TCAGTTATCTATCTCGTCCTGAGATCCCGATTTTGAGTGGTTTTTACCTCACTGTACCTGCTAAGAAAGCTGTGGCACTTGTCGGCAGGAATGGTTCTGGAAAGAGCAGTATTATCCCCCTCATGGAGCGGTTTTATGATCCTACATTAGGTATGAGGGTCATATTTCTTTCCCATTGTGGTGTGTTTACTATTTCATTCAAGGTTCCACTGAAACGTTTAGCAAAAATTTCTGCTTGCAGATTCCAATGGTTTTTGCATTTTGTGGTGCAGGAGAAGTTCTTTTGGACGGAGAAAACATAAAGAACCTGAAACTGGAGTGGCTTAGAAGTCAGATAGGGCTAGTCACGCAGGAGCCTGCCTTGCTGAGTTTGAGTATAAGAGATAATATTGCTTATGGCCGGGATGCTACAGTGGATCAAATTGAAGAAGCTGCTAAAATAGCGCATGCGCATACATTTATTACCTCACTTGAGGGATCATATGATACACAGGTGAAACTTGGAACGCAAAATATACATTGAACCTATGTCTGTTTTTATGTTAGTTTCTTTCTCAGCTGTTTTTCTTTTGAAACTTTTAGAAAGAAAAAAAAATTCATTTTGATCTTCACATTTCAGGTGGGAAGAGCAGGCTTAGCATTGACGGAAGAGCAAAAAATAAAACTTTCAATTGCCAGAGCTGTGCTTCTAAACCCGTCCATTCTTTTGCTTGATGAGGTCACTGGAGGACTTGATTTTGAGGCTGAAAGAGCTGTTCAAGAAGCTCTAGATCTCCTCATGTTGGGACGTTCAACTATAATTATAGCTCGGCGGCTTAGTCTTATAAGGAACGCAGATTATATAGCTGTGATGGAGGAAGGCCAACTAGTTGAGATGGGTACGCATGATGAGTTATTAACTCTGGATGGCCTATATGCGGAGCTTCTCAAATGTGAAGAGGCTGCAAAACTTCCTAGGAGGTATGGTACAAGAACAGTTGTTTTTCCTTTAGCTTGGTTGAAGATTTCCTGTGATTATCTGTGCACTATCCGTTCGGAGTTGTATGCAACCACACAATAATTTCTATTTCGAAATGGATTATCATTTTTCTTCTGACCAAGTTATGTCTTTATGATTTATGTTAATACAGGATGCCAATGAGGAACTACAAGGAGACTGCAACCTTCCAAATTGAAAAGGATTCTTCGGCAAGTCATAGCTTCCAAGAACCATCATCTCCAAAAATGATGAAATCACCCTCACTTCAGAGAGCTAGTGGCATGTTCCGGATGGGAGATGGCAATTTTAACTCACAGGAGTCACCAAACGCTAGGAGTCCTCCAGCAGAGAAAATGTCGGAAAATGGTCAGCCCTTGGATTCAGCAGATAAGGAACCATCGATAAAAAGGCAGGATAGTTTTGAAATGAGACTACCTGAGTTACCCAAGATTGATGTCCAGTCTGTAAATCAACCGACATCGAATGGTTCGGACCCTGAATCCCCCGTTTCACCCCTTTTGACATCTGATCCGAAAAATGAGCGTTCCCATTCACAAACCTTTAGCCGTCCACATAGCCATTCAGATGATTTTCCCATGAATTTGAAGGAAGAAAAAAGCACACATCAAAAGAAGGCACCATCATTTTGGAGGCTTGCACAGCTTAGTTTTGCAGAGTGGCTTTATGCTGTGTTAGGAAGCATTGGTGCTGCTATCTTTGGTTCCTTTAATCCTCTTCTTGCTTATGTTATTGCACTGATAGTAACAGCATACTACAGAGGTGATGAAGGTCGTCACTTGAGTCAGGAAGTAGACAAATGGTGCTTGATCATTGCTTGCATGGGTATAGTGACAGTCGTTGCCAATTTCTTGCAGCATTTCTACTTTGGTATTATGGGGGAGAAAATGACAGAACGAGTTCGTAGAATGATGTTCTCAGGTGCGTGACTCTCTATTATTAGTTTTAGATGTTGCATTGTACCATGTGGGCACTTTATCTTACATTTTGCAATCATGTGACAGCAATGCTGCGCAATGAAGCTGGATGGTTTGATGAAGAAGAGAACAGTGCCGATACCTTATCCATGCGCTTGGCAAATGATGCTACATTTGTACGGGCTGCTTTTAGCAATCGGCTTTCAATATTTATACAGGATAGTGCTGCTATTATTGTGGCTGTTCTCATTGGGATGTTGCTACAATGGCGATTAGCACTAGTGGCTTTGGCAACTCTACCAATTCTCACTATTTCTGCCATCGCACAGGTTTTCATCATATCTACTTTATAATGTAAAATTGTCCTGATATTTCTACACGAGTTGAGTTGTGTTTGTTTTAATGTATTGTTCAGTCATGACTTGTGGATGGACAGTTAGGTTTATATACATATTTTTTTTTTTTTTTTTTTTTTTTTTTTTTTTTTTTCTGTTTTGTTTTTAGAATAGATTGTGGTTTCTCTGGTTGAGCAGTTTGCCCCTTCTTTATTCTCCCAACGTTAATGTCAAAATTAGCAGTACCCATGTGTTGGTGAGCACCATTTAGTGGAAAGCAATCAACTTCTTAGGAGCTTCAAACTTTTCCATTGCACATTTGAATTACTAATTTTCAGTGCTTCCCATTACTGCCTCGGGAAAGGGCACAAATCCAAGGGAAACCTTTTTTATTTATTTTATAAAGCTGCATTATGATTATTATGCCTTTTACCTATGGTGGATTTGAAAACTAAGTTTTAATTATCTTCAGGGATCTATTAAGTGATAATATGCCTGGCTTCTCTTTTATGAAATCATCTTATTGGCTGAATTAGAGATACAAATCTAGATAGTTATAGTTAGTGTTTGTTACATAGTGTTGTCTGTGACTTTGTCTTGTTTAAAGAAGTTATTTATGCTCCTCGTCAAATTTAGTACCCTTTTGATTTAATGAGGCATTGCCATTGGTTTTTTGACCTAAAAAAAAACCTCATTATTTTCATTCTGAATGTTGCAGAAATTATGGCTTGCTGGTTTCTCAAGGGGAATTCAGGAGATGCACAGGAACGCATCTTTGGTTCTCGAGGATGCAGTTAGAAACATTTACACTGTTGTGGCTTTCTGTGCTGGTAACAAGGTAATGGAGCTGTACAGATTGCAGCTAAAGAAAATATTTAAGCAGAGTTTCTTTCATGGAATGGCCATTGGCTTTGCATTTGGCTTTTCACAGTTCCTTCTTTTTGCCTGTAACGCCCTTCTTCTCTGGTACACTGCAATCTCTGTGAAAAATAAGTACATGGATCTACCTACTGCTATCAAGGAGTACATGGTTTTCTCTTTTGCTACATTTGCACTGGTAGAGCCTTTTGGGTTGGCTCCTTACATACTAAAACGCCGTAAATCTCTCATTTCAGTATTTGAAATCATTGATCGAGTGCCAAAGATTGAGCCAGATGAAAACTCGGCAATGAAACCACCTAATGTTTATGGAAGCATTGAGTTGAAAAATGTTGACTTCTGTTATCCAACTCGCCCAGAACTGTTGGTACTGAGCAATTTCAGTCTCAAAGTAAACGGAGGGCAAACTGTAGCTGTGGTGGGAGTTTCAGGATCAGGAAAGAGCACTATAATTTCTTTGATTGAGAGATTTTACGATCCAGTTGCTGGCCAAGTCCTACTGGATGGCCGAGATCTGAAAGTTTATAATTTGAGATGGTTGAGGAACCACCTGGGTCTTGTTCAGCAGGAGCCCATCATTTTCTCCACAACAATCAGGGAAAATATAATATATGCAAGGCACAATGCTAGCGAAGCTGAGATGAAAGAGGCTGCAAGAATAGCAAATGCTCACCATTTCATCAGCAGCTTGCCTCATGGTTATGACACGCATGTGGGGATGAGAGGTGTTGACCTGACCCCAGGACAGAAACAGAGAATTGCAATTGCTCGTGTCGTGCTAAAGAATGCTCCCATCTTGTTATTGGATGAAGCAAGCTCGTCCATTGAATCCGAGTCAAGCCGAGTGGTGCAGGAGGCTCTTGATACATTAATCATGGGGAACAAAACAACCATTTTGATAGCCCATAGGGCTGCAATGATGAGGCATGTTGATAACATTGTCGTTCTCAATGGAGGGAGAATTGTGGAAGAAGGGTCCCATGATTCTTTAATGGCAAAGAATGGTCTCTATGTCCGTTTGATGCAACCGCACTTTGGCAAGGGTTTGCGTCAACACCGACTTGTTTAGTATGGGTCTTCAATTGTCGAGAATTCAGATTTGGTTCATCTGTATAGTTCCCATTCCCTCATTTTGAATTGCTGGAGACATCTGCACCTGATGATGGATCTGTCTGTGGGGTTCCAGAGTAAGCTGGGGAGAATGAGAATGAGATGCTGAGGGTTGTAACAATGTTTATAGCAGAATGAGGCATGGAATGCAGAGGCGGCGGATTCGTAGTTATATTGTTCAAATCTAGGGTTTAGGAATAGGGTTTTTGGTGTTTGGTTGGTCTTTGAGGATGTGCTACCTGGGCTAATTCTTTAGGAGGCAAGCATGGTTAGGTTGGTGTTTGTGCTTCGTCTCCATGGTATATTGATTGTTTTAAGCAGAAAAATGGGTATCAATTCAAAGTCTCTACTGAGGTTGCGGGGGTTTTCCCTAAAATTCTAGTTTTACTTGGCTCGCTCTTTGTTGTAACCTTTGTAAATATATAGATTATTTAATGCTATTCATTTTCTCCTGCTTGATTCCACGATTTGAAATTTGTGCCCTGAATCTTCAATTATTAGATTGGGTTTTGCCTGTTCAAATACCTTAACCCTATCATGATTAATCCAGTTGATGAAGTTGATTCGATGCTCTCTTTTTTTTCTTCTTCATTATTCTGTACATCCATACTCGGTTGATGCAAAGACATCGAGAAGAAGAATATAGCAACGGATTTCTTAGAAAGTATATATATATACACCAAATGGGAATTTCATTCCTTAACACGAAAAACAAATCCTGAATTTCACATCGGAGATTGGCTTGCTCCATGACATTGCATCTCAGATGTCAAGCATCCTGAAAGAGTCTGCTACCACTTTAAGCTGGTTGCGGTATCTTTTCCACCGCCTTTCATTTGCTACCACAATTAGGGTGTAAAATCTCCCTGTAAGACAGAACATGCAGTTGTATTGAATTTTGGAACTCCGTTAGCTTCTTCATTCTTGCAAGAAATGAGAAGAAAAAAACATGGAATCTTTGGTATGTTAGGTTGTCCGACTGGGAATTTCGACCGGGTAGATTCTTGTGCAATCTAAATATTTGTTAAGATGATGGATACTTACCATTTCCAATGGCTACGGTTGCAAAGGAATTGGTAGCAAAGTTTGGAGTTTGAAGTCCATACTCGACGGTGTAATAGTTTTTCCCATCTATGTTTCTCTGCACTCCATAGATAGCCAATGCAGGAGTTATGAAGATGTTAGAGTTGTGCAGTGCAAGAGTTCTTCTATTTAAAGAGGATAAATGCAAAGAATACAACCTCCTGCATGCCAAATATAGTTGCATACTGGTTGGGTGAAGCCAGTTTATATCTAACCAAATCGGAAACAACCTGTTCAAAATGGAAACTTGTCTTAAACTTCATAGAGAATATAAAACAACCCAAACAAAAACAAAAATGCGAAGGTTTTACCTCTTCCATTGGACCCAATTCATGAATATCTGTTTTATTTGTTGGTAAAAATCTCACTCTAACATTATGCAGTTGCATATATCTGTCCTTGAAGGCAGAGTCATGTGCCCTGAACTCAAAATCCTGAAAGATGAAACCACAGAAATTATTCTGATGAAGAAAGAGATTTTCCCTGTAGGAAAGATTAGGCTTCTGCATTATGTTGATTTTCTTACCCTCCAATCATAGGGGTAGTAATAAGAATACCCATCTTCTTTGTCAACAAAAGCTCTGTACTTTTCCGGTATTTCTTCACATTGAAGAGAATTGGTTACCAATTTATAACTCAGAGGATATAGTTTACAGAAATACAAGTTTAGGCATCATACCTTCAGCAAAGAGGGAGCTTGCTTGAAGTAGAGTTGTAGTTAGTGCTCCCACTCCTAAGAGTAGCGGCCTTCTCTTGCAATGGCCTGAATTTCATCAAGCTCATCAATCAGTTAAGGTTACAACGCTTACTGGAATCTGATGAAGTTTGAATCAAAATCTTTCTATATATGTAAGTATTACCAATTTATAATGACAATTTTCTTTTGGCCAATGTTAGGAAGGAGGAGGGGGAAGCTCACACACACGACGGGTACCAACTAACACTCCGTTGGATATAATGACAATTCATAAAACATATTCTTCAGGAAAAAACCACTTACATGATACAAATTAAACCAGGCAATTAATCGAGAACAATGTAGGAGAAATTTTCTAGAAAAATGCACAGAGAGCCAAAATTCACGTAAATTGAAGCAAAACTCAGAAGCAATGTTGGGTGCCCATCAAATATGGCACGCTATAAATATGCAACACTAAAAGAAAGAAAAAAGCTGAGATGGGTAATCTTACTTTCATCAATGGAGGCTGGCTCGGGTGAGCATGTGATGTTTTTGGAAGAAAAATAAGCAGTGGTGGTAGCTCGTGGCAACTCATTGTTGTGATTAGGCAGAGTTAATTGAAACTGGTGCAAAAACAAATACAGGGATTAGTCTTAATGAAGATCGCTCAAAGATATAAACATGGTGCGTTTACCTTGTCAGGAATGGTAGTGGAGACCCAGCTCAGTGAGAGAGATGACGAAATTGCCATATTTGATTGTAAGAAGTGGATGGTGGAGACTCAAGCTTTCAGTTCGGCTTTTTGATGGGGGTTGAGTGGACTCTGGCCCGGCGAGCTCTTACACGGGACATGCACGTGACTAAAAAGAAGGCTTGATAGCATTTATTTTATATTTTTCTTAATAAATTAAAAGGTAGAAAATGGTGAACATTCAAAATATCAGAAAATGTCATTGGTTAATCCAAACATTAAGAATTAAAATTATTAATTAAATGAGAGTAATATGATAAATTCACACTTTTTCATATTTAAAAAATTAAAATTAAAAAAAAATCAGATAATGAATCTTATTTTAATGGAATACAATTACCCATTATCATCATACCCCAAAAAAAAACCCCCAATTATTTTTTTTAATTCTAAAATAAATTTAAATTTTCGTGCATGAGGAGAGGCTAGTTTTTCTTAAAGAAATTATAAACATCTATTTGTCTATTTCTATATAAGTATTTCTAAAGTAGGAACATGAGAAGACATTAATATTGTGCGGCATTGGTCTCCATCTAATGGTAATTTTGTGAAGATAAATGTTGATGGTGCTGTCAATTTGCTAATTGGTTTTAAGGTTTGGGGGTTGTCATACGAGATAGTATGGGTGATTTAATGTTGGCTGCCTATAAAGGTCTTCATGGCATGTTTTCTCCTAAAGCTACTGAACTTTATGCAGCAATTATGGGATTACATATTGCAGGTCAAATGGGCCATCGTTCTGTCATTTTGGAAATGGATGCCAAAGAGATTATTATGAATCTTCAAACTTATTAGCAAAGTTGGTCGGTGGAGGGTGCTTTAGTAGATGAAGTCAGGGGCCTTTTTAATCGTTTTGCTAATATTTCTCGTCATTTTGCTCCTCGGGAGTGTAACTAGGTTGCTCATCTATTGGCTAAGCAGGCTATCCTGTCTCAGGACTATCAAGTGTGGTTAGAGGATGGTCCTTCATGGATTTTCTGATGTTTTGGCCAATGACAAATTATTTTCTTAATTTAATTTTACACTAGATGTGATGTAGTAGTACTTTTTTTTCCTTGACCGAATTTTCCCCTATTTGGGGGTTTTTAAAGGCAAGGTTTTAATGAGGCCACACTTGTTACATTACTAAAGTCCAATCTTCTTTTTGTACTCTAACATTGAAGTTATCTTACTTTGATAATAATTTTTTTTTTAATTTTTAAAAAAGTATTTCTAAAGTATTTGCAATTTAAAAAACGGAGTATTAGAGAGGGGTTGGGCTCAACCCCATATTTAGGGCAGGTCGGCGCAATTGACACATTGATGCCTGGGTTACTGGCCCATACTCAATTATGGTTGGAAAGGTTTGGTTAGTTTCCTAATAAGAATGGGAGATTTTGCCTATGACTTGCGTGACAAGAGAGGTGCTTTCCTAAGCACTATATAAACAGGGACTTCCTAGCCTAACCTAATTTTCTAATTGAGAGATCAAAATTATCATGATGGAAGTGGACGGAGAAAATCATGATGAGGGTTTGGAAAGAAATTACCAGAGGAGGCCACATACACAAAGAAGTCGGGTAGAAGCAATCGAGTGGACGCTGGAGCACCACAAGCAATTCGTGGACACCATGAACCGGTTATGTTTGGGAGATCTCACAGTTCGTACACCCAGGAGGACGATCCTGATTGTGGAGCTTATGAACAACGAGGCCTTTAGGCTTATTCCCCGCTCAACTCTCTTGCGCCACATCAAGCTCTTTGAGCGTTTTCAGAGTTGCCAGAAAGCCAGTAGTCACAGTGATTTGATGAGAGACTTTGAACGGCTTAACATTAATAAGGAGGAGGACTTGTCGTTTTCATGGACACCGAAGTACTTGTCGTTTTCATGGACGCCGGTGTATCACGAGGACTTGGTGGAGGCAGTGATCCAGTTGGGTGGGCTTGGAAAGGCAACCGCAAAGGGCATTCTGAAGCTGCTAGAGCACCACCGTGACCTCACCGTTCAGGCAGTGTCGTACCATCTCTCTGGGTTAAAGAATTTACAGAAAATGACTCGAACATTTCAAGAAAAAATCCACTAATCGACTCAAACATTTCAAGAAAAAATATACTCGTTATCTTATGAGAGATATAATCTTTGTGTCTCTTGTACATCTAATTTGGTATAGTTATATGTGAATATATCTCTCGTCACGTGAGGATTTATTGTGCTTGTGTGGCTAGATTAGTTAATGAGATGTATTTTTTATTAATTGAATATGAATATTTCAGTTATCTTGAAACTCTTTGTTGTGGTTTGCTCATTCAGTGTTTTTTTTCCTTTGTACAGATGCTCATTCAGCTTTTAAATTTACCCATCAAGGACTGGTCTTTTTGGCATTTGAATGTATGAGTTTTGGTTACCCAAGATGATAAAAAACAAAATAAAATATGATGAATTTCTGACCTTCTTTTCCAACACTTCAAAAAAGTTTATTAACCAAATTGTGGATTTTATATTCCCTTTTTTTTTTAAAATGGACAGAGGTATTCATGTTCTCCATTGTAAACTATAAATAAATTTTGGGCATAGGATGAATACATTAGAAAGAGGACCACTACTTAAATCAAACCAAGGGGAGGAGCATGTGATCATCATTAATTATTTTTTGCCAAGATCACACTTGAACAAAATTGCCATGCTTCTGTTGAGCACCAGCTTTTTTGTAGCTTAATTTAAACTAATTTAATCAGATCACATGCAACAAATCATTATTTATTTATTTATTACTGTAGCTGCATAATAATATATTGAATCTTTAAGCCTGGTCTGGAAGCAGCAAATGGTTTGCAAATGAAAGCAGAATACAGTTGGTCAACACTCAACAGGGAATCTGCTGACTGAATTAGAGAAAAAAAACAAAACAAAACAAAAAAACAGAGAATCTTGTGGATGGTGCCTTAAAGAAAGGGAAGATCTAAGTTCTGGAAGAGGGTTTAATGATTTCAAGAAAGACACATCACACTTAACACATTTATGAAATTTAGACTTGAATCTGACAATATGCCTAACTGTATTTTAATATTCTTTATTAGACAGTCACTGGCTAGACCTTGGAAACAGCATCTTCACTCACTATCATCCCTTCAACACAACCCCAAACTGCCTCTTTTTCCTGTTCCACTCAGAAAACTCTCTCTCTCTCTCTCTCTCCTCTCTCTCTCTCTCTCTCTCTCATATTGTGTTTTTGTTCCTTCCACAGAATCCCAGCCTTATTATTGTTAGTTCTTCCCCAAGTAGATTGAAGAACAGGTATGCTCTGCTTTCATTTAATTCTAAAGATGAAGTTTGTGCATACACAGCATTTACATACCAAAATCAAGGCAATGTTACAGGCTATGTCCTCCTAGTGATATTAGTAGAAATATTTCTCATTTCTGTATACAAAAATGGGTTGTCTAAATGGGATTTCCTTGATTTGCATTGTTCTTTGTTTTTCATCAATCCCATCAGTTGTATTTGTATATGCTTCTTTTGTTCCTCAAGATCAATTCTTTATTGATTGTGGGGGAAGCAAGGCAATGGAGTTTGGGGATGGCAGGGTTTTTCAGCCTGATTCTGGGAACCCACATGTTACTTTATCTTCACAAGGCCACACTGCAATTTCAGATCATGAAACCAGTTTGTCAAACCACTCAAATCTCTATACTTCTGCCCAGGTTTTTAGAGAAACTTCATCTTATACCGTTAACACTAAGCAGATTGGTCGTCATTGGCTTAGATTGCATTTTTACCCTTTTGAGAACCCAAAGTTCAATTTGAAATCTGCAGTCTTCTCTGTTGTGGCTAATGGAATTACACTGCTTCATGGGTTTTCTTTTTCGGAAGTTGGCAAAACCTCTCATCTAGTGAAGGAATATGTTTTTGAAGTCGATGGAACAAGTTCTAAGAAACTGGTTCTTACATTGTCACCTTGGAATGGTTCAATTGCATTCATCAATGGGATAGAGGTTGTTTCTGTGCCTGATGGGCAATTCCCAAGTACCAAAGTAATGCCTGTTCCATTGGGGCCTGCAGTTGATGTTCCTAAACATGTCACTTTCGAGACGGCTTATAGGATAAACATGGGAGGTCAACATATAACCCCCAAGAATGACTCACTGTGGAGGACATGGGATCCAGACCATGCTTTTCTTGTCAATGCTGCTGCGGCCCGGAACGTTACAGCCAATCCCAGCAGAATCAAATACTCTGATGGAGTTTCAGTTGAAATTGCACCAAATTGGGTTTATGCCACAGCTCAAGAGATGGCGGATGCACAGGTCAGCAATCAGAAATTTAACATTTCATGGGCATTTGAAGTTGAGCATGGCTTCAGCTATCTTATCAGATTGCATTTTTGTGACATTGTAAGTGTAGCTCTCAATCGTTTGGTTTTCAATGTGTATATCAACCAACAATCTGCTCTAGACTATTTTGACATCTCAAGCAGGACAATGGCATTATCAGCAGCTTACTTCATAGACTTTGTGACAAATATTTCGATGGGCTCAAATCGGATTTTGGTGCAAGTAGGTCCTCCTATGTTAAGAGACCTCCCATCCAACGCAATCTTGAATGGTTTGGAGATTATGAAAATGAGCAATCATAGAGACAGCCTTCATGGGAATCTTCCAGGGAATCATAAAATGGACACAAGATCACTTGCAGGCAAGAAAAAGTGGATGCTGCTTGCAATTTCTTCTTCAGCAGCAGGGTTTGTAGTTTTGGTGCTCATGTCAGCTGCCTTCTATTTGTATTGGCGTAAAATCCATCAAAAGAAGCTGAAGCCTCAGTGCTCAGCCTGGATGTCATTACCTAGCCATTTGGGGATTTCTGATTCAAAAGTTTCCATTTGCAGTTATGATTCCACAGCACATTCTCTTAGTTTAGGCCGCATTCTGGCTTTCTCGGAGGTTCGTGAAGCAACGAAGAACTTTGACAAGAGCTTGGTTTTGGGAGTGGGGGGATTTGGAAAGGTTTACAGGGGAGTGCTAGAAAATGGGACTGTGGTTGCAGTGAAGCGTGGAAATCCAAGGTCACAACAGGGACTTATTGAATTCAGGACAGAAATTGACATGCTATCAAAGCTCAGGCACAGGCATTTGGTTTCTCTGATAGGTTACTGTGAGGAACTCAATGAGATGATCCTTGTTTATGAGTACATGGCCAAGGGTCCTCTGCGAAATCACTTGTATGGTTCGAATCTTTCTCCGCTTTCTTGGAAACATAGGCTTGAAATTTGCATTGGAGCTGCAAAAGGCTTGCATTACCTTCACACAGGAGCAGCAGAGAGCATAATTCACCGCGATGTTAAAACAACCAACATACTTCTTGATGAAAGCCTCACTGCAAAAGTGGCTGATTTCGGATTGTCAAAGCTAGGTCCTACATTGGATCAAACACATGTAAGCACTGCAGTGAAGGGTAGCTTTGGTTACCTTGATCCGGATTACTATCGTCGACAGCAGCTCACGGAGAAGTCAGATGTGTATTCTTTTGGAGTAGTTCTGTTAGAGGTCTTATGTGCTAGGCCACCTATAAACCCTGCCCTCCCTAGGGAACAGGTTAATATAGCAGAATGGGCTATGAGTTGGCAAAAGAAGGGAAGACTAGAAAAGATTATAGACCCCCATCTTGGAGGACATGTCAATCTTGATTCTCTTAGAAAATTTGGTGAAACAGCAGAGAAGTGCCTGGCTGAATATGGAGTTGATAGGCCAACAATGGGAGATGTTCTGTGGAATTTGGAGTATGTTCTTCAACTACAAGAGGCTTCTATACAAACTGTTTCATCTGAGAACAGTGCAAATTACATCCCATACACGCCAGAATGGCTCCCCCAAATGAGTGATCAAGAATCTGATGCAACATCAAGTGCTGTGTTTTCTGAGTTGTTGGATCCAAGGGGAAGATAAAATTATCAAAGAGGGTAAGCTAGGATCACACACATACTCCTCGTACCAATATAGTTTGTTTTGTTTTTTTTTCTTTTCTCACTTAGTTTCATAATTTATATTATATTATTGTTTGCAGATCAAAATGCAAAGGAAATATGAAAATCTGAATTGATGGTCTATTTCCATACCCTATTTGATTGATTTCCTATTTTCAGTTTACCTTTTTTTCTTTTTCTAAATTTTTATGAGTGTGTTGGGCCTCTGTTATGATCCAGCAATTTGGAGGCCAACACTAAGCCAATGTCTTAGTTCAACCCAATTGAGTTGAAATGGGCCAGAAAAATAAAGTTATATCCTTTTAGAAGTGAGAAAGAGACAGACGTTGGTTAGGTCATTTGATTAAAATAGCGTGTTTGATCCCTCCCTTTATATTAGACTAGTTTAGAATATTGAACAAGAAAAACGTGAGAGAAAGAGTTTGCAATAAAATAAACTTCAATCATACAATTGATATGATGCAAAATGATCCACATGATAAAACAAATCCTCCACTTAGCCTTAACATCCAAGAATTGGTCGGTCCAATTATAACAAATAAATTGATGTACCTCCTTTGTCGGCATACAGAATATTAGTTTGGAACGTTGTAATTAATAAGCAATTTATTTTTCCAACTTTTTCCCCAAAAAGAACTTTCTCATTTTTAGTGGAACTAATAATGTTCATGGGCCCTCTAATAATATAATAATATGAGACTCAACTCAACATTGAAAAAATTAACAAAATAATTAAGAATCTAATTAACATTATTTTTATATACAAACGACACATCACCGATTGAAACAATTCGGTCGTTGTGGGACCATGACGACGCAAGTTTTCCTGCAGGGACCCACCGCCGCGCTACGAAAACGACACTCGTTTTGAATAGTCAAACGTCGGTTCGTCCCGCTCCAAAAACTCGCCGGCCATTTCTCGCTCGCGCGCATAACCACTACACAATCATCAAGCGGGGCCCGCCACGTCACTTGGACGGCGATCCTAAATCTCCTCGGGCTACTCTTTTTGCCGATTCAGCCGTAATGAAATTTCATCACCACCACAAACGTGGGAGAGCCGTACCAGGACGAACGACGCGTCGCATTCATGAGCTGTAAAGCGACCGACATGTGGCATCGAGAAGAACCCACACCACTCTCGTCGCTCACTGGCCCTACAGATTTACTACATCTTTTTTTACCGCTGACCGGCTAGACCCGTTCCATAGCCGTTGTTTCAGGTATTTATAGGGCAAATCCTATACTTGTAAAGCAAAGCAGTCGACAGTGGAAGCTAAGAGCTACACAGAGAAACAAAAAGGATTTGAAAGAGGAATTTGAAGAAAATGCCAATCAATAAAATTGCAGTTGGGACGCCAGGAGAGGCAAGCCACCCTGATGCCATAAGGGCTGCCTTTGCTGAGTTTTTCTCTACGCTCATCTTTGTTTTTGCTGGGGAAGGCTCTGGCATGGCTTTCAGTAAGACCCATCAATTTCACAATTTCAATATATTTGTCTACAAAATTGTTGTTACTCTTGCCATGATACACATTGTTCGTTCATTTCTTGACGACTTGATTGTTCAACGTTGTCGTTCGTGATCACTTTTCACATCAACATGGATTGGTTTATGCTTTCTTTACTTGTGTGATACGTGAGAGATAAATGTTAGCTTGATACATGCCTTTCTCAAAGTATGTGATTATCTAACCTTTTTTTATCGCTTTCTAATTCAATCGGCTAATCAAGGGAAGTTAATTAATTTTGGCAGACAAGCTAACTGACAACGGGTCAACCACACCGTCTGGGCTTGTAGCTGCATCATTGGCACACGCTTTTGCACTTTTTGTTGCGGTCTCTGTGGGTGCAAACATTTCCGGGGGTCATGTAAACCCTGCTGTCACATTTGGCGCTTTCATTGGTGGCAACATAACTCTGTTGAGAGGCATTTTGTATTGGATTGCACAGTTGCTTGGATCAGTTGTTGCTTGCTTGTTGCTCAAGTTTGCCACCGGTGGATGGGTAAGTAACTTGTTGGTCAACATGAGCGCGAACACGTGATGCTAGCACATCTACATCAATGACCGTGGTAGCATTACGCGCTCACACACAATTGACTGATGCTAGCATAACTTTTGTTGTCCAAGATAATTTATTGATTTTACGTGTCCCCAACTTGATGTTTTGATTATTCATTTAACCCCTGCAGGAAACGGCAGCATTCTCTCTGTCGTCTGGTGTGTCAGTATGGAATGCTCTAGTGTTTGAGATTGTGATGACCTTCGGCTTGGTTTACACAGTGTATGCCACAGCAGTTGATCCAAAGAAGGGCAATGTAGGCATTGTTGCACCTATCGCAATTGGTTTGATTGTTGGTGCCAACATTTTGGCTGGCGGTGCGTTTGATGGTGCATCCATGAACCCAGCAGTGTCGTTCGGGCCTGCTGTGGTCAGCTGGTCATGGTCTCACCACTGGGTCTATTGGGCTGGCCCATTGATTGGTGCTGCCATTGCAGCTCTTGTCTATGACAACATCTTCATTGGTGATGGGGGCCACGAACCACTACCCAATAATGATTTTTAGACAGTTGTCCTTGTTTGGTTAAAGATTAAATATGCAAATGTTTGTTCAACTGAAGGGGCTCATGGGAACTGAATGATCAAGTCATGTTTCATGTACTTTTGTTGTAGGTTTTACTTTTACTAGTGTTTTGTTTTGGTGAGGAGAGTAGAACTCAGCTAGTTGGTTTGTCTTTTCAAATCTTTGGAAATGCATTGTTTGTTTTATAATCTTCTGCTTCAAATTGATCTGGTATCATCTACTTTTACACTGGGAAAACAAAAACATGGGTTGTGGTGGCCGATTGATGAAAAGCATGTTTAAAAGATGAAAATATGTTCAGAACCACAAATTTCAAAACATCTATGGGAATTATAGTAAATCTTTAGACCCATATGAAGAAGTTTTGTGCACAACTCATTAATATCTTTTGCTTCTTCCAAAAACACAAGGGAAAACTTGTTTTGCATCCTTTCCATGGTTTGCTCAAACTCTTTGGCCTCTCCCCAAGCAATTATCACTTGACGCTGCTGTGATTAGTGGCTCCACTGTAACTTGATCCCTTCTTACGCATCCTTTCTCGTTCTCTTGATTTGTAAATCCTTCTAACTTAACTACTTTCAGATGAGCCAATATTTTATGGCTTTTGACTTCTCCCTTTCTAACTTTGACCCAAAAAAAGAGAGTTGTGCTTGCCATGCAGTAGCTTTTAGGATCATTCTGCACATCACTAACATAGTATAAAACCACATAATTGTATAATATCTTTTATTTTTTGAAGTTTTGGAACTAAGAGAAGGGTTGAAATTGCAACAAACTTAACGGGGCTTGTAAATTCCCAACAATTAGTCTACTCTATTATTCGTGTTTGTGTTTCTTGAAAGGAAACAACCAATAAGACATTGGAAATTTGTGCTTGGAGAATATTGTTAAGGAAGAAGGAAGGTTAAAAGTCACTTTTGGTCTTTATTGTTTGGCTCTTCAACCGCTTTTAACCTTGTAGTCTCAATTCCGTCAATTTTGACCATGTAGTTTCGTATTTGTAGTAATTCGAGGACAAGTTAGTATTCTTGTCAATTTCTTTGACAGTGTAAAAGGCAATTTCATCAACCCAAAACCCTTGAGCATAAAAGCTTGTATGAAACTCTCCCCATTTCATATTAGGACTTGAAATTGGCCATTTGGGTTTAGGGTCTTCAAAAATTAGGATTAGTGGTTGAATTTGGAGCCCAAATATGAAATGAGGAGAGTTTCAAATGACTTTTTACGCTCAAGAGTTTTGGGTTGACGAAATTTCCTCTTGCACAATTAAAGAAATTGACAAGAATACTAACTTGTCCTTAAATTGCTACAAATACGAAACTACAATGGCAAAATTTGTGGAATTAAAATACAGAGTCGTTGAAGTACCAAATTACAGAGATCAAAAGTGACTTTTGATGAAGGCAAAATTGTGTGATACTTCAGAGGACAAAATGATTGTTTAACTTTTTTGTTTATTTACCAACATGGTAGGCATGTCTTTTCTAAAAGTATAATACAATGAAGTTTGTTATTGGTATGCCAAAAAATTTATTACAAACACTTCCTCCTTTATAAAAAAGATAAGACCGAAAAAAAATTATGATGAGTTTTTCGAAGTGCCCATAGCAATTGCTTAACAAAAATAAGAACCTAACTAAGACAATATAAGCCTTTGAACAAAAAAAATTGAAAACAATGTAAGTGTCCACATTCTCGTAGAATTCTATAGTGAGGGCCTTATCTAAGACTCTATTTCTTAAAAGTTAAGAGATAGAGCTTCATCCAAGAGCCTTAAGGTCCTCACTATAAAATGATTTCCACATTCCCAGGCTCAAAATGTCAAGCCCAGGTCCAAGCATCGAGCCACCACTCCGAATCCACCATTGGCTTCGGCCCAAAATAAATCTCTAAGCATGCACCTGTACGACGTCGTTCAATCGACTACGCTTGCCTCCGTTTTCCCTACGAACCAAAACCTCAGGCCAAAACCTTAGGCTTTGGCGGCTTTGGCCCTTGCCTTCTCATTCTCTTCAGAGAGTTCTTCGACCAAAAAAAAAAATTCTCTTCAGAGAGTTCTTCAGTAAAAGCCATCACTTCGAAAGAGTGCAGAGATGGTTTTGTCAAACAGAAGGCTGAAGCAAAAGCTAAGAGAAACACTAGCTCAATCCTTAGTAGAATCGGTAGCTAAAACCGTGTCGCAAACTGATGGGTCAGAAAACCCAGACCCGAATTCGGAGCCCCAGTCGCTGAAAGTGCTCCTGGACTCTGCAACCCAGAAACCCAGATTGTCCAAGCGAGAGAAACGTAGAAAGCTCCTTGCTTTGCGAGGTTCAGAGCCGGTGAGTGGGAGTGGCACTGGTGGCAATTTTGAGGAAAACAAGGGCGAGGAAGATAAAGGGGAAGTGGAATCAGAGGATTTGGGGGATGAGAAGGAGGAGAAGAAAAAGAAGAAGAGGAAGAGAGATGAGGAGGAAAAAAATGGAGTTTTGAGTTCAGAGGAAAATGAGGTTGTGAAGGAGGAGGCTAAAAAGCCAAAGAAAAAGAATAAGAAGAAGAAGAAGAAGAATAAGAAGAGAAAGGAGGCAAAGAATGAGGAAGAGAAAAAGGATGGTGAGCTTGGGAGTGAGGAGAAAAGTGTCAAAGAGGCAAATAATAACAGTGATAGGTAATTTTAGACGATAACCCTTGTGCTCAAATTGAATTTGTGCTTTTTTTTGGGGTCAACTTTGTTTTGATTAGGATATTGTTTAATTAGAATTTTTAGTTTAATTTTTGTTGTTTTGGTAAGTTCAGTATCTCTGTTCCTATATTTTACCTCAACACTTGAACCACTAGTGTTTAGAAAGTGTTTAGTAGAAGATCAGTTGATTTTGTATGGGAGGCAATATAGATTGATCGGAAGATATCTGCTTTCTATGTGAAAATGTGTTCTATAGTTTTTGCCTCATTCTGTATGTGTTCTGTCATTTTGTTTAGCCAAACGAATGGGGATGTTCCTACAAAAGTTTATGTTGGAGGCATTCCTTATTACTCGACCGAGGACGATATTCGAAGTTACTTTGAAAGCTGTGGCACAATAACTGAAGTTGATTGTCTGAGGTTTCCTGACAGTGGGAAATTTAGAGGAATTGCTATTATTAGCTTCAAGGTAAGAAATTTTGTAAATTATTTTCTGCATTTAATTTGGGCAAAATTAGAAAGCTGTGTATTTAAGTCCTTGCTAATGTAACTTAGAATTGAAATTCTCTTCACAAATCTTACAAGCAAAGTCTTGTGGTGGTGATGGTGAGCTGCCAAATTCTCCTGTCTCCTCCACTTTGGATATGACTCGTCAATGTGTTTTTGAAAAAATCTTAAAAGTCAGTTAGTTGTATTCTTAGTGATGACACTAAGTAGCTGATCTGCCTAAATTCAGTTAAATAAGTTTTCCAGAATGGTAGAGTAATATGGCCTAATCTGTGGTAGAAATAATAGCATCACACAACCTCTGAATCAATTTATGCTAATCTTTTGTTTTTCGATTATTAGAAAATATAAGTTCATGCTGAATACAAGATTGTTTATTGTTTCTCATCTCAACATTGTAATGTTTCTACAGACAGAAGCTGCCGCTAAACGAGCCTTGGCTCTTGATGGAGCTGAAATGTGAGTTTGGTTCTCATTGGTTATTCAATTTGTTTTAGAATTGGCCAATTCTCACGTGATTCTAATGGAACTTCTTATTGTCTCAGGGGTGAACTATTTCTGAAAATCCAGCCTTACAAGGCAACTCGAGCCAATAAAGTATCTGATTTTGCCCCACAAATTGTGGAGGGGTACAATAGAATTTATGTTGGAAATTTGTCATGGGATATTACTGAGGATGATCTGAAGAAACTTTTTTCAGATTGCAAGGTATCATCTATACATTTTGGTATGGATAAGGAAACAGGGGAATTCCGAGGTTATGCTCACGTGAATTTCTCTGATAGTCTCTCGCTGACGCTGGCATTGAAGTTAGATCAAAAGGTTGTATGTGGAAGACCTGTCAAGATAAGCTGTGCAGTACCTCTGAAAAGAGCAGGGACCCCTTCAAATTCTGCACCTACAAATTCAAGTACCCATTCAATATCAGTAGCCCCAACCACAGGAGCCAATTCAATACCAGTAGCTACAACTACAGATACAGGAGCTGATAATACTGAGTTGAGTACTGTCAGTGGTAAGATAAAGAGGAGGACATGCTACCAGTGTGGTGAAAAGGGACATCTCTCATCCGCTTGTCCAATGGCAGCAACTACGTTTTCAAGTACCCATTCAATTGCTGTAACTACAACTACAAGTGCCGATTCGATACCAGTAGCTTCAACTACAGATACAGGGGCTGATGATATTGGGTTGAGTGCCGTCAGTGGTAAGATTAAGAGAAGGACGTGCTACCAGTGTGGTGAAAAGGGACATCTCTCATCCGCTTGTCCAATCACAGCAACTGCGTTTTCAAGTACCCATTCAATATCCATAGCTACAACTTTAAGTACTGATTCGATACCAGTAGCTACAACTACAAGTACCAATTCAATACCAGTAGCTACAACTACAAGTACCAATTCGATACCAGTAGCTACAACTACAGGAGCTGATAATGGTGGGTTGAGTGCCATCAGTGGTAAGATTAAGAGAAGGACGTGCTACGAGTGTGGTGAAAAGGGTCATATTTCTTCAGCTTGTCCAAAGAAGCAATCTGCTGATAACAATGCAAGCATGCAGGCAGTGTCCTAAGTTTTCCTGTTAACTATATGTAGGAAAAACATATTATCCTTCTCATCAAACTATTATTTTTTCGAATAGGCTGAAAAGCCACAGATTGCAGCTTAGTTTGAGGCAAAGATTTGTAGAACTGAGATGTTTCTTTCTTGTTGATAAAGCAAATTTTGATTCTTGCTTAAACTCTCCATGTCAAAAGGAACGATTAAGTGTTTTCATGTACTTTTGTTGTAGGTTTTACGAGTGTTTTGCTTTGGTTTTATGTTGTAAGAGGACAGTAGAGCTCAGCTAGTTGGTTTGTCTTTCCAAATAATTTGAAATGCCTTGTTTGTTTTGTAATCTTCTGCTTGAAATCGATCTGCTATCATTTACTTGAATAGTGGGAAAATAAAAATATGGGGGTGTGGCAGATTGAAAAGAAAAAAAAAACATGTTTAAAAGATGCAAATATGTTAAGAACCACAAATTTCAAAATATGTACGGGAATTTGGGTTGGTCTAAGAAGCAAATTATAGTAAATCTTTAGACCAATGTGAGCAATGTTCTGTATACAGCTAATTAAGCAATTCCAATTTGATGCTGTTAGGATTAGTGGCTCCATTCCACTGTAACTAAATCTCTTATATGCTCTGCCAAAGATGTCTGATTCTCTTGATTTGCAAATCCCTCCAACTTAATTACTTTCAGATGAGGCAATATTGTATGGCTTTTCACTTCCTTCGACGACAGAGCTGTGCTTGCCATGCAGTAGCTTTTAGGATCATTCTGCACATCATTAGCAGAGTATAATTGTGTAATGAGAGTCAACCAAAATGCCTCTGATGAACCTCCAGTCGCGCTTCTCTGTCTCCGGGGAAAGCTCCAACTCCAAGTGGAGTTTATTGTTGGCTGCAATGGTGGCCAAGAGGAGATATATGCACCACCTTAAGGGATCAAGTTTGTCAATAATGAGATAGAAATCCAGCAACCACGTGAGTAGCAGCATCTATAGAGTATCGCCGCGGCTGCACTCCATAAATAGAATATTTTAACAGTCTAGCCGCGCGGCTATACACTGCTACCTGTTTCACTGAAGTTGTGTTCTTGAAAGCAAACTGGTTTCTAATGCAGATTCTGAAGGGAGAAAAGAAACAATGCGGCAGATAATCTCATTTGGGAAATTTCCAAACAAATCATCTGTCTTTTCCTTCATCATATCTCTATTTGGCTAATTGCCACAAATCCCATTTGGTATAAGTTCACATTAGTTGAAGAAATATATGAAGAAACATAGCTATAGCAAAAATGATGCCATTACCTACCCATGTCGAATATGACTTTATCTCAACCCTATTTATCAAATATAGGTAGAGTAGCCTGAACAATATCTTGTTAGAAATGAATAGATTGTGGAGGTTGATATAAACTTTCGGAATTTGCTTTGATATCTATAAAATTAAAAAATTGTTTTTGAAACGTAACATGGGTACCTAACAAAAATTGTGCAAGTTTTTTTCCATTTTAGGACATGAATGAAGAATTGTTTTGTTTTCAGTTCTCTCTTCTGCTTTATTTCCTTTTCTGCCCGTTTCTTTTGGTCGGAAATTTCCTTTTGTGATTCTTGGGTACCTAATAATTGGTATCAGAGCCGTTCCGACAATGGGACAGCATGGATACCCACCGGCGACGCTGCCTCACTATCTTCCACTCGTCTATTTTTCCGATCCTACACTCCCACCGCCATGGACTGGCATGTTCGACGGTAACCTTGGGGTGGTGTACTATTGGAACCCCCAAACCAACGTTTCTCAGTATGAACATCCGGCCTCTTCCAGTTACCCAACCACCCATCTCATCAATTCTCCAATCCCCCAATTTTGGAACTCACATGTGCCGCTGGACTACACAACCAACTCGCCTCACCGTCTCACAACATCGACGCCCACCGATCTTGCTGCACCCTCTAACGTGGGAACCGGCTCCGTTGCACATCCGCTTCATACCTCTCTGGAAATCCCAGACCCGAATTCAAAGCCCCAGTCGCTGAAAGTGCTTCTGGACTATGCAACTCACAAACCCAGATTCTCCAAGCGAGAGAAACGTAGAAAGCTCCTTGCTTTGCGAGGTTCAGAGGCGGCGAATGGGAGTGTCAGTGGTGGTAATTTTGAGGAAAACAAGGGCGAGGAAGATAAGAGGGAAGTTGGGTCAGAGGATTTGGGGGATGAGAAGGAGGAGGAGAAGAAAAAGAAGAAGAAGAGGAAGAGAGATAAGGAGGAAGAAAATGGATCTTTGAGTTCAGAGGAAAATGAGGTTGTGAAGGAGGAGGCTAAGAAGCCAAAGAAAAAGAATAAGAAGAAGAAGAGAAAGGAGGCAAAGAATGAGGAAGAGAAGAAGGATGGTGAGCTTGGGACTGAGGAGCGAAGTGTCAAAGAGACGGGTAACAACAGTGATAGGTAATTTTAGATAGTAGCCTTTGGGTCAACTTTGTTTTGATTATGATATTGTTTAATTTCTTGTTTTAGTAAGTTCAGTTTCTCTGTTCCTATATTTTACCTCAACACTCGAACCACTAGTGTCTAGTAGAAGATTGGTTGATTTTGTAAGGTATGGGAGGCAATATAGATTGAATGGAAGGTATATGCTTTCCATGTGAATATATGTTCTGTATTTTGTGCCTCATTCTGTCTGTGTTCTGTCATTTTGTTTAGACAAGCGAATGGGGATGTTCCTACAAAAGTTTTTGTGGGAGGCATTCCTTATTACTCGACTGAGGACGATATTCGAAGTTACTTTGAAAGCTGTGGCACAATAACTGAAGTTGATTGTCTGAGGTTTCCTGAGAGTGGGAAGTTTAGAGGAATTGCTATTATTAGCTTCAAGGTAAGAAATTTTGTATATATATAATTTTCTGCATTTAAGTTAGGTACAATTAGAAAGCTGTGTATTTAAGTCCTTGCTAATGTAACTTAGAATTGAAATTCTCTTCACAAATCTTACAAGTATAGTCTAGTAGCGGTGAGCTGCCAAATTATCCTGGCTCCTCGACTTTGGATATGACTCGTCGATATGTTTTTGAACAAATCTTACAAGTCAATTAGTTGTATTCTTAGTGATGCCACTAAGTAGCTGATCTGCATAAATTCAGTTAAATAAGTTTTCCAGCATGGAAGAAGTTATGTGGCCTAATCTGTGGTAGAAATAATAGCATCACACAACCTATGAATCAATTTATGCTAATCTTTTGTTTTATGATTATTAGAAAATATAAGTTCATGCTGAATACAAGATTGTTTATCATTTCTCGTCCCAACATTCTAATGTTTCTACAGACAGAAGCTGCCGCTAAACGAGCCTTGGCTCTTGATGGAGCTGAAATGTGAGTTTGGTTCTCTTTGATTACTCAATTTGTTGTAGAATTGGCCAATTCTCTCGTGATTCTAATGGAACTTCTTTTTGTCTCAGGGGTGAACTATTTCTGAAAATCCAGCCTTACAAGGCTACTCAAGCCAATAAAGTATCTGATTTTGCCCCACAAATTGTGGAGGGGTACAATAGAATCTATGTTGAAAATTTGTCATGGGATATTACTGAGGATGATCTGAAGAAACTTTTCTCAGATTGCAAGATATCATCTATACATTTTGGTACGGATGAGGAAACAGGGGAATTCCGAGGTTATGCTCACGTGAATTTCTCTGATAGTCTCTCGCTGACGCTGGCATTGAAGTTAGATCAGAAGGTTGTATGTGGAAGACCTGTCAAGATAAGCTGTGCAGTACCTCTGAAAAGAGTGGGGATCCCTTCAAAATCTGCACCTATGACTTTGAGTACCCTTTCAATATCAGTAGCCCCAACCACAGGTGCCAATTTGATACCAGTAACTACAACTACAGATACAGGAGCTGATAATTCTGAGTTGAGTTCTGTCAGTGGTAAGATTAAGAGGAGGACATGCTACCGGTGTGGTGAAAAGGGACATCTCTTGTCCGCTTGTCCAATTTCAGCAACTATGTTTTCAAGTACGCATTCAATATCCATAGCTACAACTACAAGTACTGATTCGATACCAGTAGCTACAACAAGAAGTACCAATTCGATTCCAGTAGCTACAACCACAAGGACCAATTCGATACCAGTAGCTGCAACTACAAGGACCAATTCGATACCAGTAGCTACAACTACAAGTACAGGAGCTGATAATGGTGGGTTGAGTGCCGTCAGTGGTAAGATTAAGAGAAGGACATGCTACCGGTGTGGTGAAAAGGGACATCTCTTGTCCGCTTGTCCAATTTCAGCAACTACGTTTTCAAGTACCCATTCAATATCCATAGCTACAACCACAAGTACTGATTCGATACCAGTAGCTACAACAAGAAGTACCAATTCGATACCAGCAGCTACAACTACAAGAACCAATTCGATACCAGTAACTGCAACTACAAGGACCAAATCGATACCAGTAGCTACAACTACAAGTACAGGAGCTGATAATGGTGGGTTGAGTGCCGTCAGTGGTAAGATTAAGAGAAGGACATGCTACTGGTGTGGTGAAAAGGGACATCTCTTGTCCGCTTGTCCAATTTCAGCAACTACGTTTTCAGGTACCCATTCAATATCCATAGCTACAACTACAAGTACTGATTCAATGCCACTAGCTACAACTACAGGTACCAATTCGATACCAGTAGCTACAACTACGAGGACCAATTTGATACCAGTAGCTACAACTACAGGTACAGAAGCTGATAATGTTGGGTTGAGTGCCATCAGTGGTAAGATTAAGAGAAGGACATGCTACCGGTGTGGTGAAAAGGGACATCTCTTATCCGCTTGTCCAATTTCAGCAACGTTTTCAAGTACCCGTTCAATATCCATAGCTACAACTACAAGTACTGATCGATACCAGTAGCTTTAACGACTAGTACCAATTCGATACCAGTAGCTACAACTGCATGTACAGGAGCTGATAAAGGTGGGTTGAGTGCCATCAGTGGTAAGATTAAGAGAAGGACGTGCTACGCGTCTGGTGAAAAGGGTCATATATCTTCAGTTTTTCCAAAAAAGCAATCTGCTGATAACAATGCAAGCATGTACAGTGTCCTACGTTTTCCTGTTAACTCTATGTTGGAAAAACATATTATCCTTCTCATCAAACTCATCATGTCAAATGGAATGAAGAAGTGTTGCCAATGTCTAGTCTAGTGGAAAAGGATATTGACTTGCAGACCAGTGGTATCAAGTTCGAACCTTTGTAGTACCTTGATAGGGTTAGTGCGTGTGTGTGTGTATTGATTGTATTTATAAAATTTAAAAGCAAAAACAAAAAGGGACGATGAATTGTTTTCTCTTTTGCTTTTTGTAAGTATGTGAAAACTGAATTGGTATTCTTCCCACTGTTGGGGGAAAGTACATATAAGCATGTACAGCCAAGCTAAGCTAAACCTGTCTTAACACTTTTTATATGTTATTGAAAAGGCATACAATGATTTTTTCCTAGAGTTAGCAGACTATGGTTTTATTCGAAGATGGGCCTAACTGAACCTGAGCCAACCCAACCAAGTACATTAGAACATTTATGGGCCCAAGTACTGTCAGATATACAAAGCCTTGTGGGGCCATGTACTGTACACACATTTTAACGCAGTTCCATGTCGCCGCTTTGTGACAAAAAAGGCTTCTTCTTTTTTTTCTCTAAATAAGATGAGAATTTTTTATTTTTTATTTAGAAATAAGATCAGAAAAAGTTTAAGAACACTGGTGTGATGCGTTCCAAAACTTATGATATGTCTAATGAGCTCCCAAACCATCATGGATCCTTAACCATTATGAGCTGAGACGATAGTTCACTTTTTATTTTCTTTCAGTCTGTAATTCTTATTACTTGGGGATAAAAAAAAGATTGAACCCTCAATTTTCAAACCCTACATGGAATGTATGTTTAAATTTTACATAAAATGAATTCATTTACCCTCCATTTGAATGAAGAAAAATAACTCGGAATTTAGCTAAACATCGGAAATTGAAGAGGATTTAACTAAAAGTCGAGAGTTTTTATGGGAAGGATATAATTTGGTCACATATAAATGTAATGAAGTATAAATTACGGTCTTCAGTTTTTTTATTGGAAAAAAAAAATCAAATTAGAAGCTGTTAAAGATGAGGTGGAGAAAAGCTTGGAACTGGTTCAAAAGTAAAATTGCAAGGAAAAACAAAAAAGACAGATTTGGGAGCTGGGTCACCCATCATCCCTTCATCAATTAATGACAACAAACGTCCCATTTCCTTACTTACAAGCACGCCATATTTTTTGGCTACCATTGGATGAATTTTTCTACTTCAATTTGACCAAAATACATTGCTGGTAAAATACTTCAATATTTTTTGTTTACAAAAATATATGAGTATCATGCAAACTCATAATTTTTTATTTACGGCACAAAAATAAGTAAATAAATAACAGTTGGTAGTGAGTGATTGATGCTTTGTAGAAGAAACTTTTTTTAAATCAATTTGAGATGGGAATATCGTTTACGGGAGTGTAAAGTCTCTTGAATTATAGATCAATGATCTCAAATTCGAAATCCCGTGAAATATTGACAGTGTGCGTAAGAAAACTCCTCCCTCTTTCCGATGTTGACACAAAAAAAAACGAGAGATTGTAGTTTCGAACATGAACCTCTTGTAAACTTAGAGATGAAAACTATCATTAAACTAAAAAAGAATTAAATATTTTTTGGGTTGTTGAAAAAGAGATATGATATAATAAATAGACAAACAGAGCGAAAGAAAGAGGTAGGAAGTCCGTCATGTCCAGAACTTAATATTCATTGTCTTGCCCTGAACAAAAATACCAACGCGGGTCACTTGCAATCACAACTTGTCTGGCTCCCTCTACACCTCTCAACCTTCTCCTTCACGTATTTTTCTTCAACTTATTAACACTGGCATTGCATGCTTTGAAATCCAACAAAAAATAGCACCTATATTTATATATCGCGCATCACATATATGTATGTATATATATATACAATGTTACAAACCTTCATCTTCTAACCCCACGCTTAAGCCAAACCATCTTCTTCCACATATATAACATATATGCATCATGTTCCTTTTGCTCAGCATCTCTGTTTCTTCCGTTGTCTTCAAATTGGAGGTTTTTGATTAATGGGTTTTCTCCGTCTCCCTCTGAATTGTATGAGATTCTTTAATTTTCTTGGTTGACACTTGAGCCTTGACTTGCCCGAGTTTGTTTCCTTCAAAGTTTTGAAATGGGACCCGTTAGAGGGATGAAGAGGAGGAAGAAGGCAGAGAAGAAGGTTGACCAGAATGTGTTAGCTGCAGCTGCTTCACTGAGTTCTCAACCCCAGCCCGTCGATTGGTGGGACGACTTCTCTCAGAGAATTACTGGTACAAATATTCCTCAAGTGCTTTGTGTTTCGCATTATCTTTTACTTGGGTTGTTGGTTAATTTGTTTTATTGGGTTGACTGTAAATATATGCATTGGTTTGGCTCTCAGTGGGTATATCTGGTTTGTTGTTTATGAGTATTTGATGATATATTAGGACTTGGGTCCAATGCAGTTTTGAAGAATTGGATTGATTTTATAATGCATGTATGTTTGTTGTGATTGTGCATAAAGGATTAACTTCTGCAAATGGATTTCTGGTATATATTATTACAATCTAACAGTTCTTAGCTTCTGTTGATTTGATTTATCGCGCTCTAGTTTCTCCTACCTCATCGATATTGCTCAGACAGAGCACAGCATGCCTAGTGTGGTGATAATTGAAGCCACCAATTTAGGTTTTCCTTGTAAGTTGTATCAGTGAAATCTAATGACATAGGTCAAAACGCAATTCCGTCGTTAACTATAAGATTGAGTTTTTATATGTATTATTTCCTTGAAATAAAATGATGCAAATTAAGAACTTTGTTAGCAGTTTCCTGATTTATAATTCTGAAGACGATCAAGACTTTCTTTGCTGGTTATGTTATTGTTGTTTTGTTGATTTTTAATGTCTCTATTAGCAGGCAATCCTGTTAGTGTTCATAAGAGAAATTTGGTCTAAGTATGTGCTGAAATTCCAAAACAGGCTACATCTAGTTCTCAATTATTAGATTGTTAGATTGTAGTAACGTATGATGTATGTTTTTCTTGAGATAAGATTGCGGTGAACATTCATAGTATATGCATTTTCTTCTCTTCAGCCTTCTTGTATATTATCTTGATACTATCAATTCAGGTTCATCATCGTGAATATGCCCTGTATTCTTGATTAGATTCTGGAAAGCCTGTTTATATGCTTGACCACTGCTTACTTAGTTACCCAACACATAGTTATAGGTATCTCTTGGCATTGGCGTTCAATGGCTTTTGCTTAGTGTTTTGCTATTTCCTAAGAACAATATATGTTTGGATGAGGGGTCACTATAATTGAAAAAGTAGCTGTCCTGGATTCTTGATTCTAAGCCTTATTGGGATTGGACTGGCCAAAATCAGTACTGCAAAAAATTGAAACGAAGTGAGAGAACTGATTTGGAAAACATTTGTAGGCAAACAAAGAACAATCAGGCACCTATGTTTTGTTTTCGTTGTGTCCTGAGATGACAAGATTAGGTTCAGAAGTCTCATTTGTTAGTTGAAGAGTATTTATTCTGATGAGATGTTGATAAAAACTGTGCTCTTTATCTTCTTGTATGTTAAGTTAATCTATAAATTTCAAATTCTGTTGACAAAGATATCCTCTAGGTTTGGATTGTTCTAATTTCTTTGTTTAAAACAATACAAAGTGCTGTTCTTTAATGAAAAAAGTGAACTTATTGCACTTTTCTGTACTTTTCTTAAGAAATCAAAATATGCAGACTTCTCAATTGAGTCTTTCCAATTACAAATGAGATAGCTTTCCTGCAGAGCATTTATCTCTTATATGCTGCTCTGTCAACCATTTTAGGGGGATCCATTGTGGGAAGCTGTATCATTCCTTGGCCTGATCAGGTGGGAGAGTAGTTCACAGAACTAAAAAGCTGCTTGTTTAGTCCAAAATGAGAGTATCAGTATGCTTATCTGGATAGAGTAGGTAGCATAATCATTAAAAAAGATGATGGGAATCTAGCAAACTAATTTTCTTTGGTAGAAGTAAAAAACAATCAGTTGTGGTGGTTTGTAAAAATTTAAGAAGAAAAGGAAACAGTAAGCAAACGAAGACTGAAAACAAAGTAAGCAAACGAGAATAAGTACAGTGGCGTTATCTGCCTTTTTCATTTGGTGTCCTTTTAGTGTTTACAAATATGCTCATTTTATCATGCATTCAATGATTTTGGTTTGTGCAGTCTTATTGTTAAGAACGAAAATTTTCCCAGAATAAGTTTGAGTCGTACCTGCTAGTTGTACAGCAGAAAGGCATAAGGTTTTAGCGATGTGATTATACCAAATACCTAAAGCCCTGAAAGATTAGCTTTCAAACATTTGCTTAACAAAGTAATTATTAGTAAGGAATAGTTTAGCAAATAACTTTTTTCAAAAGTCTTGCTATGTGAAATGACTTTTGGTTATGTTGTTGTGTGAGGAACTTAAATTTGCACCATCTTCTTTTTCGACTTTGCTTGTGTTCGAGTCGACTACAATTTGGACTATATCAAAACTCTAACTCTTGCGATTAAATGAATTCTATCCTCTTCTACAAAGGTTTCTAATCTTTTGGTTCTGCTATGGGAATTGACATAGAGGTTCTGAAAACTCACATTGATAAATGATTATATTTTTGTTCTCTACTTTCTAGGCCCTTTATCATCAAAATCAGAAGATAGAATGAAATTTGAATCTGTCCTCAAAGTTTCGAGAAAGACATTCAGTTACATCTGTTCACTTGTAAAGGAAGATATGATGACTAGCAGCTCAAACTTCAGTTATTCAAATGGAAAGCAGTTGTCTCTAAATGACCAAGTTGCTGTCGCTCTTAGGAGGCTTAGCTCTGGTGAGTCCTTAGTGAGCATCGGTGACTCATTTGGGATAAACCGATCAACCGTTTCTCACATTACCTGGAGGTTTGTGGAAGCAATGGAAGAAAGAGGGCTGCACCATCTTTGTTGGCCTACAAAGCTCGGTGAAATGGAGGAGATAAAGTCCAAGTTTGAGAAAATCCGCGGCCTTCCAAATTGTTGTGGTGCAATTGACATCACACACATCCTGATGACCCACCCTACACCGGGCTCACCAGATGATGTCTGGCTCGATTGCGAAGAAAAATGCAGCATGATCTTGCAGGCAATCGTTGACCCAGATATGAGGTTCCGTAACATTATTACAGGATGGCCAGGAAGTTTGAGTGATGAGCTAGTCCTTCGGAGTTCAGGTTTTTTCAAGCTGTGTGAAGAAAGAAGTTGTTTAAACGGGAAGAAGTTGGTGCTTTCAGAAGGAACAGAAGTAAGAGAATACATAGTTGGAGATTCTGGTTTTCCTCTCTTGCAATGGCTTCTCACTCCTTACAAGGGGAGGGAGCTCTCAAACCATCAGTGCGAGTTTAACAAGCGGCTCTCTGCGACGCAGATGGTGGCACGCAGGGCGTTGGTGAGGCTGAAGGAGATGTGGAAGATAATTCAAGGGGTGATGTGGACGCCTGATAAGAACAAGTTGCCAAGGATTATTCTGGTTTGCTGTATTCTGCACAATATAGTTATTGATTTGGAGGATGAGGTGCAAGATGAAATGCCCTTGTCTCATCATCATGATTCTGGTTACCGGCAACAAACTTGTGAATCTGCTGACAATACTGCCTCTCTCCTGAGAGAGAAGCTTGCTCTTTACTTGTCTGGAGAGAAGAATCTTGCTTCAGTCTTACCTGGTTGAAATTGGAAATCTTATAATCTTTTGGGGAACTTACTTTTGTAGAAACTATAGTTCTAAATATAATTTTGGCTGAATGAATCTCTCGCTCAAATTGGAACCTAGCGGCATGTTTCTCCTTCACATGGATTTTTTAAAAACATAATTGAAGGGTTTGCTTTGTTTCTTTTGTCATGCAAAAAACGATCGATGTTATTGGCAACAGATAAAATATATATTTATATATGCAAGCTGGGCAAGAAGTTATATCCACACCAGAATGAGGTAACCAATAATCCACGAATTACAAATCACATTCTCAAAGGCAATGCAATAAAATAGTAAACCAAACTCAAGTCCACAGACTATAAACAGGACATATAAAAACCATATAGTATAGAGATGACCCCCTCCAGTTGCAGAGCTGATGCTTAACATTCAAGTCGCCCGGCTTCTAATAACATCAAGGCCCATTTCGGTTGGATCGGTGGCTTGCAACTCTACCTGAATACCGTCCAACTCTCTCTTAAACCTGTCCTTCGAACTAGCATAGATCATTTTGCTTCTCACCTTCGATGTGTCAGGGGACCTTCATACATAGATCTTAGAATGAGTGCGCCGATCAAAAGGAAGATAAAAGAATAATTACAATCAGAGTCAAACTCTAAAAGTCTAATTATTACCAAGCAATGAAAATAATCCGGCTCTTCTGGCAGTTCTCCTCAGTCACATAATCAAAGTCATAGACAGCATATCGGCATTCATCAGCAGGGAGGCTTGCAGAGAAATCCTCGTAGCTATCAGCTGGTTCACCCACCTTTTCCACTATAACCTGCTTTTGCTTCTCCTCTATCTTGTAAACTATGAAGCGGTAAGTTCTTTTTGCCTTCAATTCTAAAAACTTTAGCTTGCATTCATCATGCACAGCCATCCCAGACGCTGCGTTTGCCTGGAGAAATTTATTCGATACCGAATTGCATCAAACACCAACAAAGCATCACTAGAAATTCCTATAATTAGACCCAAAAGTTTCTCCAAGCATAACTGTTACATATGCACCCGAAAGTTTGACACCAATCAAAATCCCAAATATCCTAAAACAAAACACACACTGCTTTTCTTCCCCTTGGCTTATCAACTCTCACTTCATAATTCAAACTACAAAGGCTGCTCATGAGTGTCTTCAAGCATATCATAATTCAAAACTATTAATTAACAAAAGTAAAATGAATGATGAACCAAAGGCATACTGATATACTTACCCTTGAAAAAATTAAGCACCACTACTCCCAAGCAAAAGAAAAGAAAAGAAAAGAAAAAATCCATATGAAGGAAAATCCTGAATATAGCCAGGAAATAAAATCATAGGCTGAGTATTTTTAGCCATTGCACTAATCATACTATATGTGAATCAATCAAAATCAAAATGCACACTGGCACTGCAATTAAGCATGAACACAATAACGAGAGGCTCAAAAATTGTAGAAAACTCATGAATCAATCATGATCAAGTAATTCGAATCACACGATTGAATATCACGACTGAATTGAAAGTTAACACGCTATCTGACAAAACTTATACTCCACCACAGACGAATTTCACGAATTTTTCCCAATCAAGCAATCAAAAATCAGAAGATCGAACACCAAAATCGCAGAGATTATACTAAAGAGAATCGTTAAGCAAACAAAAATTTGAAATAATAACACTAGCATGCGAAACCCTATAGAGAGAAGACTGAAGTAAAGGAAGTGCTCACCATTTTCCCGAGAAAATGTCGAGGTAGAGAGAAATGGCGAGAAAATCTAGGGCTCCGAGAGAGAGAGAGAGAGAGAGAGAGAGAGAGAGATGGATAGGCCTAACGGTGGGGAGAGGGCAGCGAGTCGCGCCTTGAAAATATGGAAGGCCTTCGCGGTCGGTAGCTCCTGCTAATATCACCGCGGCAGAGTTAGGAATGGGCGGTGATCCAACCATACGAGGACACGTGTTTTACGTTGTTGAATAGCGTGCAATGCGAGGGATGGCATGTCCCTTTACGTCTAATGTGGGTTACTTGGGGGCTGCTACGACTTCGTTTGCCTTCATGGATTTGGCCCAAAATACCTGGTCCAACATTCCATGCATGTTTGTTTGTTTTGTTTTTTTTTAATTAAATTTTTTTTTATACAAATGATATTGAGAAATCGGGAATTAAACTTAAACACATGACTTTGATGAAACTATATTTAAGTCAAAAGGAGAGTACCTGCATAATTTTTTTTACTTATTTGGTTAAATTGTGTTTATATTACAAAAGAAAAGGAGTCTCATTTTAATTTATGACCCTGAGTCACTCAAAAGTCACGATTGACTTGCTTTTTGTTAAAGAATTACTTGTACATCTTTTCATCTCGTGTTTGATCAAAATAGCCAATCTTTTTGTTAAAGAATCACTTGTACATCTTTTCATCTTAACATTCAAGCTTTGTTCTTATTGTTCTTATTCTCTTTGATATCGAATAAAAGGAGTATGAAATGATGTAATATTAGGACTTGGCCATAAAACCGAAGCTACTCAATACATCACCTTTTGTTATAATTAAGTAACAAAGTGGGGCAAAAGGACCTCTCTTTGGTTCAAGATTAATATTCTCTCAATTCCCTCTTCAAATCAACTCCAAGAAGGAAGGGATTAAAATTCTATAGTTCAAAATAGTTGGGCTGGTGTTTATAGATCAGTACAAGTTATTAGCTATGACAATTTTTCTTGATGTAGAAGCATGATCAACACCCTCTTCCATGGTCACTTTCTGAGTAACAGATACAGGAACCAAACAAAGGCCTTTGCTTCTGAGGTCGAGCATCTGCCGGCTCCCACATTCCTGTTCACAATTCCCAATATAATTTGTAAGGAAAAAAAGTCGGGGTTAGAGGGTAGAAAAACTTGTGCGAAATGGTATGACGAGTGAAAAAGTTATCACGCGTGGAATATCGTGATTAGCCGGGATAGCAAAACAGTGCTATCCCCATTCCACGCACAAATTTAAGTGCTTGCCTACCTGTGTGTGAAGAACTGCAGCATTCTTGTATGAACTACTAAACATCCTTAGCAGATTCTGCTAAAAAAAATTAAAAACAAAAACAAAACCCAAGAAACAAATTAGCACTAAAATTTATATGCAGCATAAAGAAGTGAAGATATTGTTAGGTCTATATAAACCTGAATTTGTTCTTGAAGTAGCATGATATAAATGGAAGCCTCATGAAGAACTGAGGCAGTGTCAGTCTGCAATGAGTTCAGAAGCCTAATGTAATTAATTTACAGAAAATACAATATTTTTTGTATAATTAGAAATCTAGATATAAACTTTTGTAATTATCTGCAAACTGCTAACCTTGCCATAGGGGGAAACCAGTTTTTGAAGAGCTGTGATCTTGTCACTGAGCTTTTGGCTTCTTCTCACAGGCGCATGCAACTTCTGGCAAAAGCAGCAAAAGCTCAACAACAAGGCCATAATAACTTAAATGAAGAGATAAATTAATGTTAAATTAATTTTGTTTTGTTTATTTAACAGACCTTATTGTTTTGTTGTTGTATTGAGGTTTCTTGGAACTGTTGATGCCATTGTTGTTGAGAATTTGTCACCTTGCTTCTCTTATTTTGGTTCCATTCGTTTAGAGCTGTCTTGTCCCCAACCAGACCACCAAGGTCATCAACCTCAATTGGACGTTTCCCTGCATTTTGTATGGCCTGGAAATCCTTCAAGGGAACAAAAAGAAAAAACCAGAATAAACTTAGTTCTAGGATTTGCTATCACCAGTTGTATTATTGTATAAATGTGTGGTCCAAATTGATAATCGAACAATATAAGATGAATGATTAATTGTCTTGTTACCGATAATTTACTTTTCGTATTTTAACTTAAACATTCATAAGTATACAGTTATCAACTGTTGATTTGTATGAAATCTATCGTGACACGCATATCAACAACTAACAATCACGTGAAGTAAATCACTTGGTATTTGAAGTGAATTGGGAAGTCTTGCTAGTTTTTTATTAAAATCTTAGCTACCAACTAAAGAAGATCAACATACTGCTTCAAATTGGGGAGCTGAAATCTTCTTGTCCAGCAAGACTGGCTGCTGGGAAACACCATCATGGTATCTGAATGCACCAGATGGATAAGCTGCAATCAACGAAGGTAATTCATTAAACCCAGAGTTCTTGCTAGTCAATTATTAGAGTTTACTAAATTACAAAATGTTTGATGAGGGTAGGTGGCAAGGACAAGCAAAACTGGGGAAAACAAATTAAATTAGGCCAAATTAGAAAAGTTGTTCCTCAAAATAGAAACATATGGATGGGGAAATAAACCAAACCTGGTTGATAAGCAAGGAGGGATGATGACTGCAGCGGAAGAGGAAGAGAAAAGTCATCTCCAGCTCTGCTATTTTGGTTGTCACTTTCGAATGCCTTGGACCCCATGCAAAACCCACTGCCATATTTGCCATGACCAATTAACTTCATTTTTTACTTTCTTTTTCTTGAAAAAAGAAAGAAAGAAAGCAGAAGAGAAGGTTGCATTATTGTAAGTGGGGTTGCGGGCCTAATTAACTTATTTTGTAGAGGCAGCATTTGGATAAACTGTGATTGTACAATTACTTTAAATGATCCCAATAATGGTTTTGATACTTTGTCGTGAAGTATTGAAGAGAAGATAAATCAGTAAATCACAGCTAAGCTTACCAAGAGAGGTGAATTCTAAAACATTTTCTACTGCTGGAGGGACGATTATCAGTCCCGAGATTTTTTTTATTTTTTATTTTTATTTTTATAAAGACCTTTCATATTGAGAAATGCGATAACATACTAAATCACTACACTAGTATGGAATATTGATGCATACAATTACTTTTTCAAACTTATTTGTACATTTGAAAGATATAGAAACTATGGAAAAATAATCCCTGATCATTTTAAAGATTGGTATAATTTCTGAAAGTAGGGAGGTTCATATGTTTTCCTTTATAAAAAAATTGGGATAAAATTTTGAAAAGGGAAAAGACTACTTACAGTTTTCTGTTCATGTTCATTTGAGCATCCCAATTTGACATCTGAACATCAATATTGTTTCCTGAAGACACAAAACAATCACTGGATAGTTACGTAGAACCATCTTCATCATATACAAGTTTCTGCAGAGCCCAAATGCCCTTGTGGTCAAATTAAACAATATCAATCTATGCTAATTAAGATTTGTAAATTGTAATGATCATTACCAAAGCTGTAAAGATGGGAGGGTACAGATGGAAGAAGAGCGTTTCTCATTGAGCCCAACAAATCCACTTCTGCAGAGACAGATAGCCCTTCTGTTGATGTTTGCACGCAGAGATCAGAAAAGCCTTATCTTGCCAAAGTGATCCTATCAACTTCTGAACACAGAAAATGAAAACACAAAACCAAAAAAAAACAAAAAAAACGAAAAACCGAAGTTGTCAAAAATGTTGTTTAATTGGAAGCACAATGCATGCACACAGAAAATGCGGCCTTGGAGTTTCATTAAAATTCTTAATCAAACTAAAAATCCAGCACCAAGCACGATCGAAAGAATGAAAATAAAAACCCAGTACCAAGAAAAAGTTACCCAATAAAGCATTGATTCAAAGAAACTAATTAACCCCAAAAAAACCAAAAACTTTAAATATCAAACTGGATTAAGAAACACACAAGTCAAAACTGAAATGGCAAGATTTGGAGCCCAAGATTACTCTGAAAACATGATTCAGAACCAACTGAATTCTCACCTCTGATCACAAAAACTCTAAACTAAGAAGGGTTTGCCAGTGAAAGAGCCAAGAACAATGAGATGAGAATTTGTCCAAAGGTGGAGGTATATATTCTGCAGTGGAGGTATGAGCTTAGGCTTCCTTTTGAGTGTAACACCGGTTCTTATCCTCAAAGAGAAAACGTTGGGAAGACAAGGTTATATATAATAGGTAAGAAACTGCATGATCATGAAAGGAATATGAAACGTCCAGATGACTCAGAACCTTAAATTATATAATGCCATGGGGCGGCTCTCTCACTCTCTCTCTCTCTCTCTAGCTACCAAGTTATCTGTTTGCTTTCGCTATCACTTGACTTGACTTGATTTCTATTAATAATATGCCTCGAAAATGACTGGTTTTTTTCCACCAATTGATTTGTATAAATTTAATCACGCTGCCATAGTCAAAGCTTAATCGTATATGTACAAACAAGATGATGGAAAGTTAGATAAATGAGTACATGTTGACTCGGTTTCTGTTCTGTTCCGAACTCTGCATCATACACAGTTTTAAGTTTATCCTTTTTCTTTTTAGCTATAAACTACCAAAGATTCGATTAGTTCCGTGTGATTGCACCACCGTACGTAATGTTACTAATTCACTTCATGATATTATGCAACAACAGACTGTCACACCTAAGAGGGAACTGCAAAATGAGGGATATACAGTGAGAGGTTGACAATTTTGGGCCACTTACTGAAATGAATATGGGGTTTAAATTTTGGTCATTGCTCTGTTTTTGGCATTTGTGAGAAATCAATCCAGATCATATATGTTTGCTTCCGTAGTCTGTCACGTGAACGAGTCTCAGAAGCCAGTTCTAATTTGGATATAACAGCTAGAGAAAACTGGCTAGTTATACAACTTTGGAAGTCTCAGCTGGTAAGCAAAGGAGGTCAGATTTGCTACTTTGGTACTTGGTTTAATTTATCTGCTTTAGCTGGTACTTTTGAAAATGAAATGTTATTAGTGTGTATAAACAAAATACTATAAAGCCATCTTAATTAGTAGATCATGAATAAGCCAAGGCTGATCAATATGAAAAGAGAGAATGTTAATGTAAAAGGTATGCACTGCGTGATATGTACGTTTCTCTCGAACGTTAACGTCAAAGGTATACACCGCGTGACATGTAAGTTTCTCTCGAACGTTAACGTAAAAGGTATACACTGCGTAACATATATAAATTTCTCTCGTTCTCCATAGTAAGATAAAAAGAACTCATAAAAACCAAGAATTATATGCAAGTCAAGAATACAGATAAACAAACCTCTCCTAATGTACTTTGTCTTCCAGTGCCTAGGCTCATCGAAGCTTAAGTTTGACCTCTTCTTACTATGGGGTTGACCAATGTTCATACGCCATACAAATGTACCTGTCGATCGAACTGCAAATTGACAGCATCATCATCTTATATATATTACTTTTAATTAATTTCCTTTGCAACTGCAAGTAGTTCTTGTTTGGTTGGTGATTCTCGGACCGTCCTTGATGTTAATTCTTAATTAATCCTATATTAACATATAAGATAATAAAGTAAATATTAGCACGACTAAATAAAGTCCTATAACTGTTGTTATCCTGAAATCTCTACATGTTATGTTTTTTTCTGTTTTTATTCTCCTGAAAATTAAATAAATAAATAAAACTAAGTCAGCCTCCTGTCTTTGGTGTGCAAAATATTAACAATCCTCAAAGCAAGTACGTGATGACATGTGGACAATTGTTCAGCGTCCAATCTGATAATCAAGTTGGAGTAATTTGCATGGTTTGAGTCTGTGACTGCAGAAAACAAACCTTATTCTTATGTTGTTATTTGAGGGAGAGTTTAAAAATAAAAATAAAAACATTATGGTTGACCAGGTTGAAATTCGGGAGGTCAAAGTAGGAGATTGTCATTTAGGTCTTGTTTTCAACCTTGAAAAAATGAGTTCAAATTCATTTACATGAATGAGTCTTCTTCCCCATGCAAATATATTATTATCAGATTTTGCATGGTCTACGGTTGGGTATATATTTTAATGAGCTTTATGGATCTATACGGTCTGTATTTTTATGAAGTCAATCCTCTCTCTCTCTCTCTCTCTCTCTCTCTCTCTCTCTCTCTCTCTCTCGCAAATCGAAATCCAATTTATTATAAGTTTATGAATGAATCGTCATGTTTACGATAACCATTTGCAGGCCTTTATATAAAGGAAATGCTACTTCACATGCGCGTATAATTAGTGTTCTAGAAACAATTAATAATTCTATTTTATTTTGAAGTGAATAATAACCGCAACTTAATTTGGTTTTGTTGCCGAAGTTTGGAAGGGGGAGTGGGAAAAAACTCACACACAGGTATCATGAGGGGTTTAAGAAATAGAGAGTTGTGAATGATACACCAAAAAGAAGCTGCCTCGGCTGGAATATGCAGGCCACTGCAAGATTTTGAAAACACAAAATTCAGTGCTAAGTTTTAGAAAAGCTTGCACATTCTAGCAAAAATTAGTCCACCTCGTCCAAGTAAAATTAATCCATCCACTTAACGGACTCTCTAAAACAGAAGTTAGTCGGTCATCCACACATAATATATGAAAAAATGAAGAAAAAAAATAGTCCATCCTTACGAAAATTTATAGTTATGCCCTTGTTCAGAAGTTAATTTATTCCTCAATCTCAGACAAATCATAGTAGTAATATATTCACCAATTTCTCAATCTCCTTTAAATAACCAAATACAAATACAAGTACCCAATTTGGGCTGCATAATTCCGGCCCGAACTTTAATATAATTGGGGCCGATGCATGAACAGAATGGGCCTAACAACGAATTCGATCCTTAAGGAAACGACGACGTGTTGCACCAAATAAGGGTCCGTAAGGGCAATTCAGTAAAAGGCGCTCTCATTCCCACCAAATATATGTGCTCGGTTTCACTAACTCGTTCCTTCTTAAGCCCTAGAAACCCTAGCTCTCGGAGGCGCCTCTGCTGATATTGCGCATCTCTTCTGGTATGTGAAGACTTCACTCTAAAACTTCATTCTCTTCATCAATAAGTGAAGCTGTTTCGATCTGTGTTCCTTTTGAGGCTCTTATTTGTTCATGTATGACCCTTTTCATTTCTTTTGGATGATTTTTTGAGGTGTAGAGTTTATCGTAACACATCTAGATCTATTGGATATTGCTTTGATCAATTTGGTTTCAAATATGTATTCATTAGGCGCCTGTGTAGTTGTGATTTATGATTTGGTGTGTTTCTCTGGATTGAAATGCTGAAACTTTTTTTTTCTGCTCAAGGCCAATTGTTTGTTTTGTGTTTTATTTTTGTTGGAATAGATGTTCTGGAATTGGGTTTAACAAATTATGAGTCTTAAACAAACCACAATAGATGTTTATTGAATCTTGATTAATATGTTTGACCCAGCTAGAAATGGGAAAAGGGATCAAACTACCAATATGGTGGTTGATTGCGTTTATTATATAATTAGTTAGACTGTAAGATTTGACAAGTGAATCTGTGTAGTTCTGGTCCCATTGGGTAGGAACACATTTAAATGAGGTTTCTAATTACATGTTTCTGTTTGTCGCATATGTTTTACTTTATTTTTTGTGCAAAACCCGATGATCTTAATGAATTCTTTTTATAACATGCAGAAGCGACAATGGTGAGAGTTAGCGTTCTGAATGATGCGCTCAAGAGCATGTACAATGCAGAGAAAAGGGGCAAGCGCCAGGTCATGATCAGACCATCATCCAAGGTCATCATCAAGTTTCTTTTGGTGATGCAAAAGCATGGTATGTATCTTTTATTTAATTCTTATATTCGCCACTTACATCATTTCCCAGTTATTTCTTATTTGAAAATTTTATGATTATATAGACATTTATGCTTTTGTTTCTCTCTATAGGATACATTGGTGAGTTCGAGTATGTTGATGACCACAGGGCTGGTAAAATTGTGGTCGAACTGAATGGACGGCTTAACAAATGTGGGGTTATCAGCCCTCGTTTTGATGTGGGTGTTAAGGAGATTGAAGGCTGGACTGCAAGATTGCTTCCATCTAGACAGGTTAGCCAATTGTTATCAGTTAACTATTTCAAGCCTAGAAACATGTATATTTCTTGATGGTTTCCTGTTGAGTAATAACATTGTAGTTTGGATTTGTTAACATGTATATTTTTTCAATAAACTTTTAGAATGTAGAAAGATGTGCAGGATTAGGTCATTATATTTGGTTGATCATGTTAGTGGTGGTGATTCATATAGCTCTGTAGTTGGTTCCCATTTGAATCAAACGTTGAGATATCCTGTAATATGGTTAATGTGTTATAGTAATCTAGAACCCTTATATCGATTTCTAGTCTGGTTTGGATGTCTCATTTGATTCCCTTATTGCGTTTCATGGTGTGCAACTGTGCCATTGTGCACGTAGCTTATTCTGCTGGGCTTATGGTTTTTTGCTTGAACTTGCAGTTTGGATACATAGTGCTGACAACATCTGCTGGCATTATGGATCATGAGGAGGCAAGGAGAAAGAATGTCGGTGGTAAAGTGCTTGGTTTCTTTTACTAGGCAAGGTTTATTCCAGGAATGAGAATTGAGTTTTCCTGCTAATGAAGAGCTTTTGGGTGTACTTTTGAACATCATAGGTTACTTCTATGTTTCAATTTGTGTTTGTTTTGAATGCTAATAGAGGTTTTTACTGGAATGTTATTTGCTAGAATTTATCTTTAAGTGTTTGGTTATCCATAGTGCATCTGGTGGTTGTGGCCTCAGTCTTAAATTATCTTATGAAATCCAACATTTTTGCGTCCCGCAGAATAATTTTGAATGGCTAGGTTTTTATCGCAATAATGAATGAATAGAAGTTGGGGTGTTGCAGGCGGTGCTTTGTTTTCTGCATGTCATGTAGAGACGTTACTTTTTCGGGTTTTAATGGTTTTTTGCACATGCATATGGTTTTCAAAAAGGAAATTAGCATCTCCTTATCGATCAGTTATCTGCTATTTAAATGCGGTGCGGTATGACTACAATTTATGTTTCTCTTGCTGTCTACTACGTACACTTCTTGGGTGGGCTTGAGAATTATAAGAGCCAACGAATTTTATTTTTATTTTTATTTTTTTGGCTTCGAGGTCAGAGAATAAAAAAGATTTTATTCATGTTATAATGATTCGTTCTCGAGGTTGTTGTCAACCTTTCCACAAAGTTTCTTCATGGTCAAGTTTGGGTTAACAAAATTGCTTGTGCTGACTCTAAAACCATCCAATTACTGATACGTCTTAAGTTTAAATGACACAGGAAATGATTTCCCATAAAATCATTTCCCTGAATCAAACAAGGCCTAAGATTAGGCAGGCAATAATCAGGGACGTTCAAATTCCAATCCATTGTCTTCAAGCAACTAATTCGTCAGCTATTTTCGTTTCAATGATTCAACAGCGAGTAATTTGATCTGTTATTTAATTTTTTTGGGTCTTACAAGGGATTCTCAGCTTAAATGGTTAATAGCTTACAAGGGACTTGGGGGAGCTTAGCTTATACATGCGACATGGTTTTGTTTATTTTTTCTTCTTCATCTTCTTCAAGGTTGGTTTAAGGTTGGCATCTAGCTTTTTTAGAAAGGAGGGGAAGGGGACAAGAGTGATAACCATCAAATCATACAATACATTTTTTTCGTGCTTCATGTCCTCTTAACATCATTATTTGCATCGCTTTCAACCTCTACTCAATTAATGGTCCGCATGGATCTTAGACATCCCACAATTAAAGATTCATGCTGTGGTTAATATAAACACAAAACACACACACACACACACACACACACATATATGCGTATATATATATATATAAAAATTATTACAAAGTTACATACAAACCAACAGAAAGAGAGACAAAAAAAAAAAAAAAAAAAAAAAAAAAAAAAAAAGAAAGGAAGAGAGAGAGGGTTAGGTAACGTTTGAGAATACAAGAGAGACCACATGAGCCAGCCGAAGATCTTTATTAGGAGGAGAGAATGCTAATGAAATAGCATTAGGGGAACATACGTAAACGCTGGATTTTCTTAAACCAAAATATCAAAGTGAACACAAAGAGAAACACACACTTGTTGAAAAACTGCCAAAGATCTGTAGTTGCCCTACCATCAAATCAAAGCCAACATAACTTGTTCAAGTTTCAATTAGCTAAGCTTTCTTTGTCGTCTGCACTGCATCATCATCGTCGCCCTTGTTGATAGTAGTAGTAGTAGCAACAAAACCACCAACTTCAGCACCGACGGTATCGCCGCCGCTCCCGACTTCCATCGGTGGCCGGACGATGAAGAAGTAGCAGAGATGAATGAGATGATGCAGAAGCAACAAGACGAGAGAATGTGTTGTTGATAGATGTTGGAAAAGGTTACAAAGAAAGAGCAATGTGTTGTGACGTTTTGTAGGTGCAGGGAAGGTGGGTAGAGGATCTTCTCAGCATATACTCCAAGCACAATTCCTTTTGTGTTCCTTTCTATTTTACCTTTTTCCTCACTTTTCATTGTTTTCAATTACTCTTTATTATTTTTTATTTTGGCTACAGTGTTCCTAACTCTTGATCCAACGTTCTAAAGTCGAATTTTCTAACTCTTGATCCAACGTTCTAAATTGGAATTGTCTAACTCTTGTTCATTTGTAATGTATTTTTTTTTTAATTATAAATAAGCGATAGTTTAAACTACAAAGGAGGAAGATTTCTCATATACACACTACGATGTCATAGGGATTCAAACTTGAGACCTCTGGTTTACAAGTCAAGTTCCTTTTCTATTGGACTAGACCCTATTGGCTTATTTTTATAATTTTTCTATAACAAGGAATTCGACATAAAATCTTTTGATAAATTTCAAACATGTGCAATCATTCGCAAATGTTTTAACTCTTCTTTTATCGTATTAAAATGAACATGGAGAATTTTGAAAAAACCTTTCCTTTTAAATTTATTTGATTTATCAAGAACTCTAAGCAACAAATTATTAAATTGTTAAGCTACGTGAGTTTTTGGGCTTCTCTTTGGACAATATCCAAATGAGTTTAACAACTTGGGTCCAGGCTTAGGCCCGAAAGTTCCAAAAATGAAATGTTGAAATTTAGACGGTAGGGGGGCCAACGGGGTTTAGCCTAGTAGAAAAAGGACATTGACTTGCAAACAATAAGTCTCATTTTTGAATCCCCAAGGTATCATAGTTGTGTGTGTTCAAAAAATCCTCATCTCTTGTAGTTTAGACTATCGCTTATCTCTTGTAATTTAGACTATCGCTTGTACTAAAAATAAAAAAGATAGTAGAGGGGAAATTGATAGTTTGTGTAGAGGATAAATCAACAGTTAATCTTTACAATTTTGCCATAATATGAAAAGATGTTAAATCATTAGCTCCATATTTTTTTGAACTTGAACTTTATCTATCAAGAAAAATATATATCTTTTGAACTTGATCTTTATCTATCATTATCTTATACAATCAATTTGAATTTCTTCGAATTTGGTATTTGTGTTTTATTATCCTTTCGCTGTGAATTTAATAAGTATTTTATCATATCACCAGATTTTGTTTATTAAAAATAAAAATAAAAATTCAATGTGTGGATCCACTTTTCTAATTTTGTGCTTAATATTTCCTTTTTCATATTGGAAATACACACTGGATTTTGGTCAATATAAAAAATATTAGGTATAAAAAAAAAATCATATGTAACATTATATTTCACATAATATGCAAAGATAACATAGAAAAAAAAAATATTTAGTTTTTTAAGCGCAAAATAATGAAAAAAATAAAATGAGCGTACATAAATAGCAGAGAAGTCATTCAGTGAAGCCGGGTGTACGGAGACGCAGAGCTCTGCATACAGTAGAGAGTGATCCACGTATTATACAGAGACAGCCAAGGACGTCCTGAACCCGAAGAAGTCCTCTCAAATTCATTGGATCGCTTTTCATGTCCCCGCCACTTGCTAAGCTTCTTCACAGGTTTCCTCTCTCTCTCTCTCTCTCTCTCTCTCTCTCTCTCTCTCTCCGATCTCCTGCAGTTCTATGATTTTTGAATTTTTATTTTACTGTTTTGTTTTCCATATTGGTTGCAGAACGAGTTTGATTTGCAATTTGGGTTGGTGATAGAATCAATCCATGGCTGCGCCACCGGCAAGGGCTCGGGCCGATCACGATTATCTCATCAAGCTTCTCCTTATTGGCGACAGCGGTTAGTTATTGTTATTGTTTGATATCCTCCTCTGTTTGGTTCCCGAGAAAATTATGGGAGAAATGGGAGTTGAACATTTTCGAGATCTAATGTGTTTTTTCCTTTACTTTGGTATCACTGGGAGCCAATGTGCTTTTCTTTTCATGTGAATGATCTATTTATTAACAAAATGTCATTTTTCTCAAAGTGTTTTTAGTTGCAGAATAATGGGTGTGTCGAAATATTTAATTGTGTCCAGTTTGAATATATCCAATTTTTGATAAACGATTGTGTTTAAGGACCTGACTGTATGTGTAATTTGTTCATGAAAATTAAACATTTTCAGCTGAATGTTTCAGGTGTTGGGAAGAGTTGTCTGCTTTTGCGCTTCTCTGATGGCTCCTTCACAACAAGTTTTATCACCACTATTGGGTTTGTATACTTGGAAACCGTTGAATTTTTGTATATGGAAACTTTTAGCATTATGAAAAAGTTGAATGAATTAATATTTTAAGTCAGTGGAGACATGGTCATGATGTGCTTTCTTGTAGAAGCTCAGCTTTGTTTAGCATCTCTTTTCTTACATATCTTTTTTTACAGGATTGATTTCAAGATAAGAACCATCGAGCTTGATGGCAAACGGATTAAATTGCAAATCTGGGATACAGCTGGTCAGGAACGATTTCGAACAATTACTACAGGTATGTGCTTGATATTTTACAAATAGTTAATTTTAAATAGGAAAACGCACGTTAGATGCTGCTATTTGGACGAGAGGAGAAATCTGATTATAACTACTTGTATAGGTGGTACATACTTCATTCACACTAGCTCGGGTTCAATTTTTAGAGATAATTTTGATTTTCTTCTTGAATTACGTCCTCTCTTACTGTAATGCAGGAGTTTTCTTATGTATTTCTGTTATGCTCTGCAGCTTACTATCGAGGAGCCATGGGTATTTTGTTGGTGTATGATGTTACTGATGAGTCATCTTTCAACAGTAACTTCTCGTTTTTCCTTACCTAAACATATGAATTTTGGATAGCATGCCCATTTTGTATTTATTTTAATTATTTCAAATCTTGTGGATTGGAATGTAGACATTTCAATCTCATGGTTCTTTTTGACTGTTAGTTCTACTTTCCTTGTGGTCGATGGTTGAAATCTGCCTTGTTATGGTGGCACTTCTTTCATCTGGATGATTTTTATATTTGTATCTAGTGCTTCTTATGGTAATTGTTTCTTCATATGCAGACATTAGGAACTGGATTCGCAACATTGAACAACATGCATCTGTCAGTGTCAACAAGATACTGGTGGGAAACAAAGCTGATATGGATGAAAGCAAAAGGGTGTGTAGTTTGTATTTTTTCACTTACAGGAAATCCACTTCTTTTTTAACCTGGTGGTTGGTCACCTAAAAGACTAAGAGGATTAGATGTGGATGAATTTAGTGCCCTGTTGGGTTCAACATGACGGTGCTAGACTTGTGCGCTTTATCCCTCCCTACCTCTTTTTGCATGTGTTTGTGTGTGTGCACATGCCCAGGCTTTATCAATGAAATTATCTGTTTTTTAGGCGGTGCCTACATCTAAGGGTCAAGCTCTTGCTGATGAGTATGGTATCAAGTTCTTTGAAACTGTAAGTAATAATAAACCTTTGGTACTATACTACATAAGAAATTATGTACTGTTTATATATTGAAAGAAACTGTTCCGCAGAGTGCAAAGACAAACATGAATGTGGAGGAGGTTTTCTTTTCAATAGGCAGAGATATCAAGCAGAGACTTGCAGATTCTGATGCCAGGGGCACTGAGGTGTTTTCTTTTCTTTTCTATTTTTTAATAGTAAAACTACCTTTCTTATTTGAACTATCGTGTCCTCCGTTTTTTTCTTTAGCTTGTCAAAATCAGTATTTTTTATGCTTTTCGAAGTGGGAATAATTTTCTTTCCCCAACTATTCTCTCAACTCCTCATTTTGTTTGATGGTTTCAGCCTCAGACACTTAGGATTAACGAACAAGACAAAGCTGCCGGTGGTCAAGCTGCACAAAAGTCATCTTGCTGCGGTTAGTAGAAAGAGGGAAGGTTCTGTTAGTCGTACTGATTTGGGTTTGAGGGGAAACTTGATAACTTTATGGTGGCCACCTCTCTTAAATCTCTCGACTACCAGCATTAGTATTAAAAGTAGTTTTCATTGTTACTTTATTTTCTCTCAAATGTGGAATTTATAAAATGACGTTTTCCACCCTTTCGTCATTCTGGTCTAGGGGGCTTCTTGTCATTGCCTCTGTTTGCTTGCTTGTCTCAATGTAGATAGAGATAATTAGGTCCGAGCTTCTTGTCAAGAAAAATGCTTTAGGTGTTTCCTTTGCCTAGTTTAACTGATATTATAAAGTTTCTCTTCAAAGTTCAAACATTGTGAATTTACCTTCCTGCAGTAAACCCGGCAGATATTTACATCATTGCTCATAGTTTCTCCACATTTTTTTTTATGATGTACCGATACTTACAATACACTGGATGAACCGATCCAACAATCCGGCCGGAACCCAGTTTCTCTCGGATTTGGGTGAGAGATGAGAAAGATTTAGCAAAATGTGCACATTGGCAAAATGACATTTCTTGCAGCAGAAGTTATCCTATATGAAATATGCTCCTTTATGTGAGTGATTTAGAGAGGGCTAAAGAACACCCCAGATAAAATATGCTTCACAAAATTGTCTATTTTAAGCAGACCTTTATCAGAAAATAAGAACCAACCATTCGTAGGAAGAAGCATGCCATAGTTTCTACCCGTTAATTTTAGGGTTTACCAAATAATAGGTCTTTGGTTGTATTACAACATGGAGCAGGACATGCCAACACAGCTTCAATCCAATTACAACATGTGTGATGTAATATTGCTTCAAAGAAGGATAGGAGTGATGAACATAATGGAGAGTCCGCTTCGCCATGGTCGAACACGAACGGAATCTAAAATTCGCGAATCAGGTGCATAAACTTATGGTGAAATATATCTATCAGATGCATAAATAAATACATGGTGAAATCTCTCCACTGTAACCATTGACGGGATATTAAGTACTGATCTGGAAGAGCGACTTAGAAATAGCTCTCCTTGTCGCAAACGATTGGAATACCTATGGGTAGAGTTTGGTTAGCTAACCAACACACGAAACCAATAATCTGAAATTGATGGTGGGGCTCCTATGGTGTTTTATGCCTAATATAACTCACTTACAAAATCGTTTTGTGAGTTTCATTGTTATTTGGGTTTAATTATGAGGGTACTTCAGTCTATTTAATTGGGTTCTTTTATTATAATTTGAAAGTTTTTATAAAAACCGACATTTATGAAAGCATGGACCAAATTTTGGCTATTTATGACAAAAACTCCATTTTGTGATCTCATTTCTAGTTGAAGTTAATGCACTCATATTCCAAAATGTGCATGAATGAATGTACGTATTAAAAAGGTATTAGCCACTCCGCCCGCGCTTCCGCGCTTGCGAGAGGCTTGATAATGAGTAGTTGTGTTCCATAAAAATAGGATCCTTTATCTGATTTCTCTTTTAATTCTTTTTTTAAAATATGAAAAAATGTAAATTTACCATATGATCCTCATTTAATTAATAATTTCAATTCTTAATGTTTGCATTAACCAATGCCATGTTATGATATTTTGAATATTTTACCATTCTCTGTCTTTTGCATTATATATCTTTTTTTCAAATATGAAAAAAGTGTGAATTTAACATATTATACTTATTTAATTAATAATTTCAATTCTTAATGTTTGCATTAACCAATGACATTTTCTGATATTTTGAATGTTTCACAATTCTCTGCATTTTGCTTTATATTATTATTATTATTATTATTATATATAGATATATATAGATGATATGATCATTGGGAAACTTATTTGATTGATTTGTTTTTGCATGGTTTTGATTCATGTTCTGAACAACTTCTGATTGAGGTCTGAGCTTCGGAGGTATAATATTCTGTTGGTAGCCATGACGTGGTTTAGAGCAGGGTCTCGTGTGGCAAAGCTTGCCATTAGGAGAACTCTATCAAACAGTGGATCATATGAGGCGAGGAGGCGGCTCCTTCCGTGGCAAAATCGACACTTTCACACCACATTATGTAAATCAAAGGCTCCAGTTCCTTGCCCTGTGTCTCTCTCTAGGATAACTGATAGTGTTCTGGATGGAACCAGCAGTGTTTATTTGGAGGGGCTTCAGAGGGCTTGGGAAGCCGACCCCAACAGCGTCGATGAGTCGTGGGACAATTTCTTCAGGAATTTCGTGGGTCATCAGGCCTCTACCTCGCCTGGAGTTTCAGGCCAAACCATTCAAGAGAGTATGCGTTTGTTGTTGCTTGTGAAGGCATACCAGGTTAATGGTCACATGAAAGCTAAATTGGACCCTTTGGGTTTGGAAGAGAGGGCAATCCCAGATGACTTGGACCCTTATTTATATGGGTTCTCTGAGGCTGATCTTGATAGGGAGTTCTTCTTAGGGGTGTGGAGGATGGCTGGGTTTTTAGCCGAGAACCGTCCCGTGCAGACCCTTCGGTCCATCCTGACCCGGCTTGAGCAGGCTTACTGTGGGACTATTGGGTATGAGTATATGCACATTGCCGATCGTAATAGATGTAACTGGTTGAGAGACAAGATTGAGACTCCAACACCAATGCAGTACAATAACAAGCGTCGTGAGGTTATTCTTGATAGGCTTATTTGGAGTACACAATTTGAGAACTTCTTGGCCACTAAGTGGACAGCAGCAAAGAGGTTTGGGCTTGAAGGTGGAGAAACTCTGATTCCAGGCATGAAAGAGATGTTTGATAGGGCAGCAGATCTCGGGGTTGAGAGCATAGTTATTGGAATGTCTCACAGAGGAAGACTGAATGTATTGGGTAATGTGGTTAGGAAGCCTATGCGGCAGATATTTAGTGAATTCAGTGGTGGTACAAAGCCTGTGGAAGAAGTTGGAGGACTATACACAGGGACTGGTGATGTCAAGTATCACTTGGGAACCTCTTATGATCGACCCACGAGAGGCAGGAAGAGAATTCATTTATCTTTGCTTGCTAATCCAAGTCACTTGGAAGCTGTGGACCCTGTTGTTGTTGGGAAAACTAGAGCGAAGCAGTATTGTTCGAGTGATGCGGACAGGACGAAGAATATGGCTGTGTTGATTCATGGAGATGGTAGCTTTGCTGGACAAGGTGTTGTCTTCGAGACTCTGCATCTAAGTGCTCTTCCTAATTACACCACTGGTGGGACTATACACATTGTGGTGAACAACCAAGTTGCCTTCACAACTGATCCAATGTCTGGAAGATCTTCACAGTATTGTACTGATGTTGCCAAAGCATTGAGTTCTCCTATTTTCCATGTAAATGCTGATGACATGGAGGCAGTCGTTCATGTCTGTGAGCTTGCAGCTGAATGGCGCCAGACTTTCCATTCTGATGTTGTTGTTGATTTGGTGTGCTATCGTCGATTTGGGCATAATGAGCTGGATGAGCCATCTTTCACGCAGCCCAAAATGTACAAGGTCAGATCATCTTTCCTTTTCATTAAAAATTTGATATTCTTACCTGATTGAAGAAAAAAAATTGGTATTTTTCTCATGATAAAATCTCAGTCTCACTTAAATGTGTCAAGGTATTTTATATTGAAAGTATAAGTGCAGTCCTGAATCTTTTACTTACTGGGGGATTACAGGTTATCCGGAATCATCCCTCAGCTCTAACAATCTACCAGAACAAACTTCTAGAATCTGGACAAGTGACCAAAGAGGACATTGAAAGGATACAGAACAAGGTTAATTCAATTCTCAATGAAGAATTCGTGGCTAGCAAGGATTATGTTCCCCAAAAAAGGGACTGGCTTTCGTCTCATTGGTCTGGATTTAAGTCACCTGAACAGATTTCCCGTATCCTGAATACTGGGTATAACACTGTTTTTCTATCAGTTTCACCTGTTCTTCCCAATATCTATTTTACTTTATTGTATTTTAATGAATTTTATATCCTGTACAGGGTAAAACCAGAGATTTTGAAGTGTGTTGGCAAAGCAGTCACAGCCCTCCCAGAAACTTTTAAGCCTCACAGAGCAGTAAAGAAGAATTATGAACAACGCGCACAAATGATTGAGACTGGTGAAGGAATTGATTGGGCAGTTGCTGAAGCACTTGCATTTGCTACACTACTAGTAGAAGGTAACCATGTTCGATTGAGCGGTCAGGATGTTGAAAGAGGCACATTTACTCATCGGCATTCTGTACTTCACGACCAGGAAACTGGGGAAAAGTATTGCCCTCTTGACCATATTATGGAAAACCAAGATGAGGAAATGTTTACAGTTAGCAACAGGTAATGAGTGATTACTTTTTAGTGTTCCCTTTTGTAAGGTTGTAGGACTGCCAGACACCACCATTTGCTAAATTGGTGTTTTCGTTTTTAATTTGCCTTGTACAGAAGTTAATTGTGTTTGTACGTACAGCTCACTGTCTGAGTTTGGTGTTCTTGGATTTGAATTGGGCTACTCGATGGAGAGTCCAAATGCATTGGTAATCTGGGAAGCTCAATTTGGTGATTTTGCCAATGGAGCTCAAGTTATATTTGATCAGTTTTTGAGTAGTGGGGAGTCCAAATGGCTTCGTCAAACTGGGCTTGTTTTGCTGCTTCCTCATGGTTACCTTGGCCAGGGCCCTGAACATTCTAGTGCACGACTGGAGCGATTTCTTCAGGTATTCTTTTGTCAAATATGGTTAATCCCTCCTCCCCTTTCCTTCCTCTCTTCTTCCCTTTTTTTCCAGTTTAGACAACAGTAGTAGTCTCTGGCATGGATCCCCGTCTTAAATAATTTTATTACAGATGAGTGATGATAATCCTGTTGCCATACCTGAGATGGATCCCACACATCGGAAGCAAATTCAAGAATGCAATTGGCAGGTTGTTAATGTGACAACTCCTGCCAACTACTTCCATGTTCTGCGTCGTCAGGTGACTTAAAGGCTATTTCGTTTATCAGCATTTTCCAGTATCTTGAAAAGTTTATGCAGGTTCTAATGTTCTTGTCTCGTTTCTCAGTTGCACAGGGAATTCCGTAAGCCTCTTATTGTGATGGCGCCTAAAAACCTGCTACGGCACAAGGAGTGCAAATCAAATTTATCCGAATTTGATGATGTGCAAGGCCAACCAGGTTTTGACAAGCAGGGGACCAGATTTAAGCGCCTCATCAAGGACCAGAATGACCACTCTGATCTGGAGGAGGGTATTAGACGTCTAGTTCTTTGCTCTGGGAAGGTACTATATTCAAGGAACAAATTATGACTTATATAATTTTATCTTAGCCAAGGAACAAATAATTAATTCTATGGCGGGCGCTGTATTTCGGGTTTCCCTTGCTTGCATGCAGCTTTATTATGAGCTTGACGAAGAGCGAAGAAATGTTGAAGCAAAGGATGTTGCAATTTGTAGAGTGGAACAGCTTTGCCCCTTCCCATATGACCTTATCCAGCGAGAGCTGAAGCGATATCCAAGTATGTACCTCGAACTTTCCATTTGAAAAGATCACATTGTACTAGCTGTGAAATCAAATCAGGTGATAAATTTTGCTAACACCATGAGGTTGACATTTCCTAATTTGATTCCTTCAGATGCTGAGATAGTTTGGTGCCAGGAAGAGCCAATGAACATGGGTGCATACAGCTATATTGCACCCCGCCTTTGCGCTGCCATGAAGTCTCTCAGCAGAGGAACAATCGACGACATCAAATATGTTGGCCGTGCTCCATCAGCTTCCACAGCCACCGGTTTCCCTCAGGTTCATGAGAAGGAACAAAGCGAGATTTTGCACAACGCTGTGCAGCCAGAGCCAATTGAGTATCTCACATCATCTGAAGCCCGTGCATATCTATCCAAAACCAAGCAATGACGTGTTTATAGATCCTTACATAATACTATATCTGAAGTTTCCTATCCTGATTTTTTGTTGATCCAAATGGTGATTTTTCACCATGGTATTCCATGCAAGCCGAGCGGCGTCTCAAAGAGTAAGATTTTTTTTTTCCTTCTCTCATGTGATGCTGCACAAGTGTTTTTGAGATTAATGTCAAGATGCTCATTAAATAACACAAGATGCTTAATCTTCACAGTATTTTACCTTCCTTTATTAAATCTTTGCTTGTCTTGATGTGGATAGAGATAATCAGGTATGAGCTTCTGGTCAAGAAAAGGTGTTTCATTTGCCTAGTTTAACTGATATCATAAAGTATCTCTTCAAAATTCAAACATTGTGAATTTACCTTCCTGCAATAAACCCGGCTCGTATTTACATCATTACTCGGTGTTTCTCCACAATTTTTATAATGCACTGACGCTTAAGGGTGGCAATGAGTGGTGTCGTGTTGAGGTTGCACAGGAGTAATGGGTTGGTGTTACCATCCCTAATAAATGAGACGACTCATTGCCAAAACCCACTTGTTTATTAATTGTGTCTTAACTGATTGACCAGAATTTGACCCGAAAGTTTTATCGTGCGGATTGCGAGTAGTTCATTGGGTTGAGTTGGAAGTCTTAGAGGTCTCTCTAAATTGGCAAGTGAATGCTACTCGCCAATGTTATGCATTATCTATAATACACCCAACGAACCGACGCGACAACCCGAAACCCAGTTGCTCTAAGATTTGGGTGAGATATGAGCAGATTTAGCGAAAAGTGCACATTGGCAAGATGACTTTTCTTGCAGCAGAAGGGATCCTATATGAAATATGCCTCTTTTATGTGAGTGATTTAGAGAGGGCTAAGGAACACCACAGATAAAATATGCTTCACAAAGTTTTCTGATTTAAACATACCTTTATCAGAAAATAAGAACCAACCACTCATAGAAAAAGATGTTGCAAAGTATCGAATGGTGCAGCTTCTTTGTGTGAGTAACAAGGTTCTCCAATTTGACTTGTTTTTTTTTTTGGGAGATTCACTATATATACCTATATATGTATCTAAATTAAAAAAAAAAAAAAAAAAAAAAAAAAAAAAAAATACATGAAATAAGAAGTTTCGAAATTTCTATAAATTACAAAACTGCCATTGATTTATTAAAACAAGCTCACCCCCAAAACCTCATTAAAAAAACCCAAAATTTTATAGGTAATTAAAGTAATTTAATAATTAAAATTAAATTTAATAGGGCCAGTTGTCATTTTTTGGGTTTGTTTATAAAAATTAAATGGTGTAGAATTTATTTGTATCATTAGTGTTAAAAATAGGTATATAACTAAATATCTCTTTTTTCTTTATGAAAGCCTCAAGTTTTGTCCCCACGTGATGAGTTAAATAAAAACAAACTGAGAAAAAAAAAAAAAAAAAAAAAAAAAAAAAAAGGGAAAACAAAAAAGAAGTAAAAAGAAGCAAGCCAAATGAAGAAGGAAAAGATCTTGGGATTGATTTGGGCATACAATTTCCATAAATCAACATGATGTTTGGGCTTGGGCTTTGGGCCTACTTCACCCGACCCATCCATATTAAAATATTAAAATAATAAGGAAGTAAGATTTTTCGGTTCAGACAATTAACCAAAAAGGAATAAAATGTTGCACTCAGAAAGCTCAGAAAAGTCACCGTCGCTACCCAGCGATTAGGGTTCCCCTATTCTTTTCTTCCTTCTATATCTCTCGTTTACTCTTCCTCGGTCACTCTCAGGTATTCCCTAATCTCCGTCGATTTCAAGCCTTTATCTTTCGGGTATTTTTATATCTCGTTTCCTGTTGACCGAAACGAAACTTTTGTTTCTCAAAGCATTAGGTTCACGGAACAGTATCGTTTCTCTGTGGATCAAAATTTTCAGAGTAGTTCTCATGCATCAGTTTTGTTAAACTTTTTTGGTTTCATTTTGAAAATAATCTCTGTGATCTCATTCAAGTTTGATGCACTCATATTCCAGTGTGTATGTATGAATGTATTAAAAGATATGATAATTGGTATGCTTATTTGATTTGTTTTTGGATTGGTCTGAACAGGGTTTTGATTGATGTTCTGAAGATTTGTGACGTAGAATTTTCTGTTGAATTGGATAAAATTGTGTGATAGATTGGGTTGGTAGCTATGACTTGGTTTAGAGCAGGGTCTAGCGTGGCAAAACTTGCCATTAGGAGAACTCTATCAAACAGTGGATCATATGCAGGTAGGAGGCGGGTCCTTCCGTCACAAAATCGAGACTTTCACACCACTTTATGTAAATCAAAGGCGCAATCTGCCCCAGTTCCCCGCCCTGTACCTCTCTCTAGGCTAACTGATAGTTTCCTGGATGGAACCAGCAGTGTTTATTTGGAGGGGCTTCAGAGGGCTTGGGAAGCCGACCCCAATAGCGTTGATGAGTCATGGGACAATTTCTTTAGGAATTTTGTTGGTCAGGCCTCTACCTCGCCAGGAATTTCAGGCCAAACCATTCAAGAGAGTATGCGCTTGTTGTTGCTTGTGAGGGCATACCAGGTTAATGGTCACATGAAAGCTAAATTGGACCCCTTGGGTCTGGAAGAGAGAGAAATCCCTGATGATTTGGACCCTGCTCTATATGGGTTTACTGAGGCTGATCTTGATAGGGAGTTCTTTTTAGGGGTCTGGAGGATGGCTGGGTTTTTGTCTGAGAACCGTCCTGTCCAGACCCTTAGGTCCATACTGACCCGGCTTGAGCAGGCTTACTGTGGAACTATTGGGTATGAGTATATGCACATTGCCGATCGTAATAGATGTAACTGGTTGAGAGACAAGATTGAGACTCCGACACCAATGCAATACAATAGGCAGCGTCGTGAGGTTATTCTTGATAGGCTTATTTGGAGTACACAATTTGAGAACTTCTTGGCCACTAAGTGGACAGCAGCAAAGAGGTTTGGGCTTGAAGGTGGAGAAACTCTGATTCCAGGCATGAAAGAGATGTTTGATAGGGCAGCAGATCTCGGGGTTGAGAGCATAGTTATTGGAATGTCCCACAGAGGAAGACTGAATGTATTGGGTAATGTGGTTCGGAAGCCTTTGCGTCAGATATTTAGTGAATTCAGTGGTGGTACAAAGCCTGTGGATGAAGTTGGACTATACACAGGGACTGGTGATGTCAAGTATCACTTGGGAACCTCTTATGATCGACCCACTAGAGGCGGGAACAGAATTCATTTATCTTTGCTTGCTAATCCAAGTCACTTGGAAGCTGTAGACCCTGTTGTTGTTGGGAAAACTAGAGCAAAGCAATATTATTCAAGTGATCCGGACAGGACCAAGAATGTGGGTATCTTGATTCATGGAGATGGTAGCTTTGCTGGGCAAGGTGTGGTCTACGAGACTCTGCATCTAAGTGCTCTTCCTAACTACACAACTGGTGGGACTATACACATTGTGGTGAACAACCAAGTTGCCTTCACAACTGATCCAATGTCTGGAAGATCTTCACAGTATTGTACTGATGTTGCCAAAGCATTGAATGCCCCTATTTTCCATGTAAATGCTGATGACATGGAGGCAGTCGTTCATGTCTGTGAGCTTGCAGCTGAATGGCGCCAGACTTTCCATTCTGATGTTGTTGTTGATTTGGTGTGCTATCGTCGATTTGGGCATAATGAGATTGATGAGCCATCTTTCACGCAGCCCAAAATGTACAAGGTTAGACCATCTTTCCTAGTCATTAAAAATCAAGAATTTTTTATTTTTATTTTTCTCATGATAAAATGTCAAAATCTCACTTTATTGGGGGTTTACAGGTTATCCGGAATCATCCCTCAGCTCTAACAATCTACCAGAACAAACTTCTAGAATCTGGACAAGTGACCAAAGAAGACATTGAAAGGATACAGAACAAGGTTAATTCAATTCTCAATGAAGAATTCTTGGCTAGCAAGGATTATGTTCCTCAAAGAAGGGACTGGCTTTCATCTCATTGGTCTGGATTTAAGTCACCTGAACAGATTTCCCGTATCCGGAATACTGGGTATAGCACTGTTTTTCTATCAGTTGCACCTGTTCTTCCTAATATTCAATTTGACTTAATTGTATTTTAATGAATTTATATCCTGTACAGGGTAAAACCAGAGATTTTGAAGAGTGTTGGCAAAGCAGTCACATCCCTCCCAGAAACTTTTAAGCCTCACAGAGCAGTAAAGAAGAATTATGAACAACGCGCACAAATGATTGAGACCGGTGAAGGAATTGATTGGGCAGTTGCTGAAGCACTTGCATTTGCTACACTACTAGTAGAAGGTAACCATGTTCGATTGAGTGGTCAGGATGTTGAAAGAGGTACATTTAGTCATCGGCACTCTGTTGTTCACGACCAGGAAACTGGGGAGAGGTATTGCCCTCTTGACCACATTATGGCTAACCAAGATGAGGAAATGTTTACAGTTAGCAACAGGTAATGAGTGATTACTTTTTATAGTGTTCCCTTTTGTAAGGTTGTAGGACTGCCAGACACCACATTATGACTTATTTGATATTGAATAGTACTTGGCTAAATTGGTGTTTTCGTTTTTAATTTGCCTTGTACAGAAGCTAATTGTGTTTGTATGTACAGCTCACTGTCTGAGTTTGGTGTTCTTGGATTTGAATTGGGTTACTCGATGGAGAGTCCAAATGCATTGGTAATCTGGGAAGCTCAATTTGGTGATTTTGCCAATGGAGCTCAAGTTATATTTGATCAGTTTTTGAGTAGTGGGGAGTCCAAGTGGCTTCGTCAAACTGGGCTTGTTGTGCTGCTTCCTCATGGTTATGATGGCCAGGGCCCTGAACATTCTAGTGCACGACTGGAGCGATTTCTTCAGGTATTCTTTTGTCAAATATGGTTAATCCCTCCTCCCCCTTCTTCCCTTTTTCCACTTTAGACAACAGCAGTCTCTGGCATGGTTCCCCATCTTAACTAATTTTATTACAGATGAGTGATGACAATCCTTTTGTCATACCTGAGATGGATCCTACACTTCGGAAGCAAATTCAGGAATGCAATTGGCAGGTTGTTAATGTGACAACTCCTGCCAACTACTTCCATGTTCTGCGTCGTCAGGTGACTTAAAAGCTATTTCGTTTATCAGCATTTTCCAGTATCTTGAAAAATTTATGCAGGTTCTAATGTTCTTGTCTCATTTCTCAGTTGCACAGGGAATTCCGTAAGCCCCTTATTGTGATGGCTCCTAAAAACCTGCTACGGCACAAGGAGTGCAAATCAAATTTATCCGAATTTGATGATGTGCAAGGCCACCCAGGTTTTGACAAGCAGGGGACCAGATTTAAGCGCCTCATCAAGGACCAGAATGACCACTCTGATCTGGAGGAGGGTATTAGACGGCTAGTTCTTTGCTCTGGCAAGGTATTAATATTCCTAGATTTCCTCCATAAATAAAAGCATGTTGTGTAGCTTCTTTGCATTATAATTTTACCAGTAAAGTAATTAATAGGCTTTTATTCGGCAGACCTTGGAGAATGAAAGAATTATGAATGGAACCTGACAGAAATAGATCAATAATACTTTGTTGACTTGTAGAGAATTATGACTTATATCATTTTATCTTACCCAAGGAACAAATAGTTAATTATATTTTCTGCGATGTATTCTTGGTTTTCCCTGCATGCAGCTTTATTATGAGCTTGACGAAGAGCGAAGAAAGGTTGAAGCAAAGGATGTCGCAATTTGTAGAGTGGAACAGCTTTGCCCCTTCCCATATGACCTTATCCAGAGAGAGCTGAAGCGATATCCAAGTATGTACCTTGAACTTGCCATTTAAAAAGCGAATAATATACATTATTTTATCTTTTTATAGGTGTATGTAAATTGGATTCCTGTATTGCATCTCAATACTTTGACCATAGGATAATGCTAGAGGTATAAAGAATTCCAATCATTATTAACTAACTGTGGCGGCATATGTAGTGGTGTCATATCAACGTGTGTGCAAGAAATTAGTTTGATACACAAGGCGCCTACTCAGCTGCTACATTAGCATATAAATTAAAACTATACAGTCCTGAGATGATATAGCATTTTCCTATTTTGCTGACATCATGAGGTTGACAATTTCTAATTTTATTCCTTCAGATGCTGAGATAGTTTGGTGCCAGGAAGAGCCAATGAACATGGGTGCATACAGCTATATTGCACCCCGCCTTTGCTCGGCCATGAAGTCCCTGGGCAGAGGAACGATCGAAGACATCAAGTATGTTGGCCGTGCTCCATCAGCTGCCACAGCCACTGGTTTCTATCAGGTTCATGTGAAGGAACAAAACGAGATTGTGCACAAGGCAGTGCAGCCGGAGCCAATTGAGTATCACATCTGAAGCCCGTGCATATTTATCCCAAACCAATGAATGACGTGTTTATAGATACGACATAATACTACTATCTGAAATTTCCTATCCTGATTTTTTGTTGATACAAATGGTGGTTTTTCACCATGCAAGCCGAGCGGCGTCTCAAAGATTAAGATTTTTTTTTTTCTCTCATGTGATGATGCACAAGTGTTTTTGAGAATAATGTCAAGATGCTTTATCATTAAATAACAGAAGGTTGGTTTGGCCATTCCGGATTATTCTTTTGGTTCAATTGTACTGCAATTCCCTGTTATTATGGTTGAAGTATTTGATGAAGCATATGATCATATCAATTCGGCACATGTCTAAATGCGAGGAGAAAAACTTTCCTGCCTGTCCTCCTAACTATACTTTTTGACTTTGAAATCTGTGCAGCATTTTTATCCCCAGACGCTAGTTGTTGTAGGTATCTGAGGATTAGTAACAATGTGTTATGTTTTCATCATTTGGGAAAGATGCTGAACTAAAAGGGTTAGAATTTTTGTCAACTCTAAAGCATACTTGTACTTTGCATAGCATGTGCTTAATACAGGCAACCACTAGTGGAGTTGGCAAAGCATTTTAGTATCAATAAAAACTATATGCACCTATCATGTTGGTCCAACTTAATTATTTTATTTTTAATTTTGGGGAGGGAGAATGATTCGAGAGCAAGAAACAGAAGGCAAAATTATTGCTTTAGCGTTTATCCATCTTCCAGGTAGTTCTTGACGATTCTTAGCCAGTTTGTAGACTCTGAGCACCCATATTTTGGTTGTAACTTGTAAGTTTGCTTCAGGAACTAGTTTTGCTCCTTAATTGTGGATTAGATAAAAGGAAGATAGAGATAAACCTCTAAATTAGAGCAAGATTTAATGCTGCATGACATGGGTTTTGATTAATTAAAAAAAACCACTTCAAAGTCAATTCAAATTTTTGAGTACAAGTAATTAGGAGAGGGGGCCTGGGGATTTCAAATCTCTATCCATATGAATGGAGGTGGAAGAGATCAACCAACTGAGCGAGCAAGTCAATTCAACTTAAACCATGGGCAAGGACACATTGGTTCAAGTCATATATATAATGATGTGGTTAAGAAATGGGTACCCTACAAGCCAAGGTTTTAATCAACATGCACACGGAAAATACAACTGTGGAAGTATGAGATGGATGGCATTTTCAGTTAATTAATTGCCCTAAAATAAAGATAATTAAAATATGTCCCCCTCTCCTTTAACCTAGAGACACTAATTTCTTGCACTAGATCTAAATTTGGCTTGGCCATGAATGAAATTTCATTTTATAATTCCTACTCAAACTCTCAATGGCAATTTATCAATGAGAAGCATATAACTGGATTAGTGCACTTCCCCTGGACCTGTAGAATGTGAATCAGAACATATTATTATTATTATTATATAAGTTTTAAAATGCGTTTTATAATATCTTCTAAATCATTATTTTTCTAAATTATTATCACTATATAAACCTTTTATTTTATGGTTCCAACTAAAAAAAAAAAAAAAAAAAAAAAAAAAAAATGTTAATTGCAAATTTTATCTGATTCGGATAGTCTCTGGCTGTTTTCCATCTGCCCAAATTGATAATGAATGATAGTTTGATTGACATATTGTGCCCAATTTGTTGGTGACCGAAATATTCTCTAATTAAAGCATATATGCATGCATATGATTATGAGCACATGACCCCTCTCTTACAACTTCTATATTTTCCACTGTATTTATACAATTGTGTTTTAAAAAAAAAGTACTATAAAACAACTACTAGAAGCAAATAATTGAATAAGATTTTGCTACCATGCATTAATTGATCATAGATCTGCATTGTATATAAAGTCACATTTAGTCTCCCTTTTTTTCATTAATTTTCCCCTAAACTTATTGTAATTTCATAGGGAAAGATCCCATCATTGTAATTCGTAAATAAACAGTCTCCATTTATGGTTGAGTTGATCAAGAGAACCATGCAAATATAAGTACCCAAAACAGAAAATAAATGGTGAAATCAAATCAAATTATGCCATTTTCAGGCATCCTTTATTTTGGGTATTGCTCTCAAAGCCTTTTGAGATATGATGTAGTGAGGTACGTTTAAGCCAACCATTTGGTTGACATGTTTGGGTTAATCACTTGGAACAGTGATTTTATTACTTGTGAGTCAGATATGAATCATATGATGCATGATATTCGATGAGGAAAAGACTACTGGTTTTGATGCTTGGTTTGATGAAATGGGCTCACTTCACAGAATGGTATTTTAGCTCACCTGAGTGGAGTCCCCTGGAATATTCAAGATTGAGTGACGTACCCAAAGTTACTGCACCTATAAAGTAAGTGCAGCTTCTTGTTCATTTTCCTCATCACTGATCAAATAGCTGCTAGTTTTTTCACCATACTGAGAAATTAAGCAAGAGGCATAGTTTTAGAAGAACAGTATGTCTAAGAGCTCTATGGCTCAGATGATCAATCTGGCGAAGCCGTTTGTGGCTGTCACTCTGATGCAATTTGGGTATGCAGGAATGTCCATAATTTCAAAGTTTGCTCTCAACCGGGGGATGAGCCAACATGTATTGGTCGTGTACCGGCATGCTGTCGCCACTGTTTTTATAGCTCCTTTTGCCATTGTGTTTGATAGGTACTCTGTCTCTGTCTCTCTCTGTCTGCTTTTGTGTGTCTTGATTTTTTTTGTATTTGACATGTTGAGCAATGAAGAAACTAATCCACTGAAGTTGATGCTCTTGCAGGAAAGTAAGGCCAAAGATGACCTTCTCTGTTTTCACCAAGATTTTGTTACTTGGCCTATTAGAGTTAAGAACCGTGACCACTAAGCCACATATTTTCCAACCTATAAGCTTGAAAAGACTTGTTAATCATGCTGGTTTCATTTTTAAACATATTGGAATCGTGCTAATCAAGTTATGTCTACTCTCATTATCAGGCCTGTAATCGACCAGAACCTGTTCTATACCGGGATGAAGCTTACAACAGCAACTTTTACATCTGCCATATGCAATGTTCTTCCTGCCTTTGCGTTCATAATGGCTTGGATTTTCAGGTAAATATTCTGTGGTTCACATATTCCTACGGTATTTCCCTTCCTTGCATGGTCAAGAAATGTGGAATTAATTAGTTTGACTGGTCTTTTAGGCTTGAGAATATTAATTTTAGAAGCCTGCGTAGCCTGGCAAAGATATTGGGGACCATAGTGACTGTGGGAGGAGCTATGCTTATGACTCTAATTAATGGACCGATGCTGAATCTTCCTTGGACAAGAAGAAACTTTCATCAAGAATCTACAAGTGCCACAGATCATCAAGATCCCATAAAGGGTGCTCTCCTGATTGGAGCTGGATGTTTCTGTTGGGCTGGTTTCGTCAATCTGCAAGTAAATCCCAAATCTTTTATGTAACTTGAGTAACAAGTAACAACTCACAGTTACATGTGTGGGTATATGTCCTTACCCCATAGCATTTGAACTGCAAGGAAATAGACTAATACACAATTATCACCTACACTGTCATCTTAATGAGGCACAATTGCTGGATTAAAGTTGTCTAAACTTTTTTCTATTTTCCTATTTCAAAGAAAATTGATGATTGTACTGATTGAGGTAGATTACTGCTTCTATAGGCAATTACGCTAAAGTCTTACCCCGCTGAGCTCTCCCTAGCAGCTTGGATATGCTTGATGGGCACGGTTCAAGGCACCGTCGTGGCCCTAGGTTTTGAATGGGATAACCCTGCAGCTTGGTCCATACACTGGGATTCTAAGTTGTTAGCTGCTGTTTACAGTGTAAGCAGACTTCAATTCAACCCCAAGCTTTCTGGTTAACAAGATTTATGCAGGCTATAAATAGATATCCTTTACAAGTGCATTTACAGCATGAATATATTTTGGTGCAGGGAATAATATGTTCAGGTGTCGCGTATTACGTTCAGGGATTGGTAATGAAGGAAAGGGGACCTGTTTTTGTGACTGCTTTTAGTCCTCTAAGCATGATTATTGTTGCTGTTATGAGCTCCTTCATGTTAGCTGAGATAATGTACTTGGGAAGGTTTGCATCAATGTCTCTCTTCTAAATCCAAATTTAGGATCACCTTGGATTTAAGTAGTTTTGTATATAAAGACAAAAAAAATAGATGAAGAGCTTTTACTCAGTGGCAAAATGCAGGAAAGAAATTTGTGTATCAAAAGATTTCTGCTGAAGGGCTAATGAGGCTTTTTTCTTTTTTCTGCAGAGTAATTGGAGCAATGGTCATTGTGATTGGCCTCTATATGGTTCTATGGGGTAAAAGTAAGGATCGGATTCCATCTGAATCAGAAAAAGATGACGTGGTTCCACCGGTTTAATGAAAACTACATTCATGGAGAGGACAGTGACATCAGATAAAAGATTTTTTGGCAACTGATGTTACTAAGTAAGAAGCTGATATGTGCAATATAATAACTGCTTCGAATTTGAATTTTCAATTTGCAACGAATTCCATGCAAGCCAAAATTTATACAAGTTAAGCTGTTATGTTGTTGCAGATCAATAAAAGATTCTGGCGAATTATGAGTAGTGGACCAGTCACTTAAAAAAAGAAGAGGAAATTTCTACTTTGAAAATCTCATAAGTGAAATCATAGTTTTAATATGGAACAGAGTGGTTGCTACTTGCTCCCTCCTTCTGCAGAAAGGTGTTTTGAATTGGGCATGGATGCTCTTGGCACAATCTTTGTGTTGCATGGTTGAGTTTTAATGTCATGAATTTTAATGCAGTACTTATATCACAAATCCAAATAATTGAATGCTTGAATCCAGTTAGGTCCATGTAAAGCTGGCATCTTGACACCAATATTACTGATTGATCAGTTAAATCAATTTGCTCAATTTGCAATTACTTCTTTGTGAAATGATGCTTGTTTCCGTACTGAAGTAAATTATAACGGCACTAATATGAATGCAATTGGGAATGATAGTGGTTACTTATTGCTTAATTTATACAATGATAAATGCAATTTTCAAGAAGTGATGAACCACTCAATGCCAAATTGGTATTTGCTTGCACTCTCCAACAAGCAAAGCACATAATCTATTAGTTGGCAAAATTTTGAGAGGCTAGTCCAACCCCATAGGGATTAAGGATTAAATCTACGTATCATCACCTCGAACGTCCACTAAATCTACACATGTTTGTTATTTACAAGTTAATAACTTTATCAAAGTGTATTAGTCTTGGTTCAAATCAAAGTGGTCTGGGATGATCAGAATAAGAGTAGATCATGAGTAGTTAATCACATTACTAATCCTTTTGCTTGTGTTCATTAAAAACTTTTTATAGGAGGCTTAGTTGAAACCTGTCATTGTCTGTGGAGGGGTAACAGGGTCGTTTTCATAGGGACTCATTTTCCAAAAACCTGCCTTTAATTAGCCTAATTATGTAATAATTCAGTTTTTTATCTGCTACAAATATATTCTTGCACAACTCTTTCATTGTTTGTGATATTAATACGTTTGAATAAACCCAACTAAAGCCCTCTTTCGTTTTTTTTTTCTTTCCGCATTGCCATAAATTGCTCACTGCATTAACTTTTCTCAGTCACCAACAACGTTTTTGATTGATGGAAGTGTGGCAAGGCCTACCAGACTACCACTTTTCATGTTATGCGGTTTTTACTTTTTATTAAGAAATCGTTTTTCGATTCACTGCATCGGTTTGAGTACTTGAATTTGAAAAGAAAGAAAAAATTGTTTAGAAGGTATGAGAAAGAAGCAAGGGGTGGTTGGAACTCTATAAAATGAAAGTGTTTTAGCCTCTACAACTTATATGCTCATAAGCTTTTTTCATGGCTTCATTAGAGAGGAAAAACTTATTTAGAACAAAGTTTATTATGGAGTCATTAGCTAACCTGATCCGCCCGGCAAAGCTGATTTTAGCTGTAGCTCTCTTGCAGGGTGCCTATGCAGGCCAGGCCATAATTGTTAGGATGGCTATGAACCAGGGGATGAGCCATTACATATTCTTAGTCTACCGAATGGCCTTTGCCACTGTTCTTATTGCTCCATTTGCTCTTATCTTGGATAGGTTTGTTCTCTTGATGCATATGCAGGGAAATTTTATCTTTTCAAACAGTCTAGCAAGTTTTAAAAAAGATTAAGGAACTATCATAACTAATTACTAATAGTTAAGACTGATCACCAGGAAATCGAGGCCGAAGATGACATCCTCCATCCTTGTCAAAACAATGCTGCTCAGCCTTTTCGAGTAAGAATCTGAACCGTTAAGTTTAATTAAACTACTCTTTATGATCTTAATTGAACCCCATTTTCATTATCTATCTATACAGCCCTGTGCTTGACCAGAACCTATACTATATGGCAACGTCCTACTCTACAGCTACTTTCACATCTGCCATGTTCAATATTCTTCCTGCAATTGCATTTTTTATGGCCTGGATCTTTAGGTACAACTCCTTAGCCACTAGAACACAGAAAAAACACACTGGTAAGGCAAATAAAGTTTATAACTTTGTTGTGGTGAGGGATTTGCAGGCTTGAGACAGTAAACATTAGGAAACTGCATAGCCAGGCAAAGGTTCTTGGGACTATAATCACAGTTGGAGGAGCTATAATATTGACACTAACCAAAGGGGCTGCACTAAATTTGCCATGGACAAAGGGCAAAAATCAACATCATCATCAAATGCAAAGTGATTCAAACCACAAAGACATCACAAAGAGTGCTCTATTGAGTGCAGCAGCTTGCTTCTGCTGGTCTAGTTTCATCATTTTGCAAGTAAGAAACTCTCAAATGTTAGATGACATGCCTCTGTGTTACTGCATCAGTAAAAAGTATAATATGATGGTGAATTCTAATGCAGGCATTTACACTAAGATCATATCCTTGTAAGCTCTCCCTGGCAACTCTTACATGTTTTTGGGGTCTGGTGGAAGGAGCAATCCTGGCCCTTGTAGTAGAATGGAGGAACAGTAATGCAGACTGGTCCATACACTTGGACATAAGACTTTTAGCAGCTTTTTATGGGGTAAGAAATTTCTACTTCAGATAAAGAATGGTAAATATATACTCACAGTCAGAGTCTCAGATGTTTTTTCATGCAGGGGATACTCTCTGGGGTTGCTTATTACATTATGGGAATGGTAAATAAAGAAAAGGGACCTGTTTTCTTTTCTGCTTTTAACCCATTAGGCACAGTAATTATTGCAATTCTGGGTTCCCTTGTTTTAGATGAGCACATGTACCTTGGGAGGTATGCTTTGATTTCTCTCACCTACGCCCAACATGCCTATGCATAATAGTTACAGCAGTAAAAATGGACTGACCCAATACCACTACATGGTTTGCAGTCTTATTGGATCCATTGTCATCGTTGTTGGCCTATATCTGGTTCTGTGGGGCAAGACCAAAGACGAGGCTCCATCTCAATTATCAAAAACTCAGAGCCAACCAAACGATGAGCCTATAACTACAAGTCAACAACAAATGATGCCAGAGGGAGGCCTGGATATAGAACCTGGAGGTGAACCAAAAACAAACATGATTGACAGCTAAAAGTTTCAGTTCATTCGAGAAAACTATGGAATTATGGGAGATCATTATAAATTTTTCACAAGGTTGATGTAAAAATATTTATGTTCTTTTTAAGTTCTCAACAAAAGGTGCACCATTATTCTTAAGTTGTGAATTGTGAATTTGGACAAGAAATCTCATCTCATCCAACGAAGTGGAGGCCGACATTTTATCTAATCAATGGTAAGACAGCCAACATAAAACAATAGTTGGTGGCCTCCCAAGAGAGGCTGCATCATTGATCAGCAGCCTGCAAATAATGCTTGTTCGCAAATTTGAGCTCAAAATGGACTTATCTACATATGAGCAGGGATAAATCCCCAACCATTCATGACATTCATGTCAAAGACGATGCCCCTCGAGTTCTAAAAGCGCCCAAATTGGTGTGTCACACTGGACATTTACCAGATGATCTGTAAGCCGATTCGACCATTCGGTTATACTATCCAGTCTTGATAACTATGGATATTTGGTTCAGGGTGAATAATAAACATGCATACAAAATTTTGTAAACTGTCCAACATCCAAAAATAATTAACTTTCAACATGAACTATTTCACATAGCCAAAATACCTGTAAACATCCACCAGCTCCAATATTCAAATTTGCAGTCTATAATTTAGTAATTTACTATAAGCTTTTGTATGGTGCTATGCAATCCCATCTACCCCCCAAAAAGTTAATGAGGAAGATTCTCGCATCAAGATTGTATAGCAACTTCGTCTTTTCCATAGATACGCTGAAGTTCACGGGTGGCAGCTTGATATGATGCTGAAGAAAGTCAAAAAGAGGGAACTATATGAGAGCAATTTTCACAACATCAATAAATATAAATGGTAAGGATATCACATTTCAAGTTTGTGTTAAAGAGGTCACTCCAAAAATCATCTAAAATTCTGCATCACCTTTCCAGATCCGGAAATTCTTCTGATTAATAGGAGACCCTGTCACAGTTTGAATGGCATCAAACAGCATCTCCTGAGGAGTGTTCTTCAGCTCTTGAACTACTGCATAGATGGTCTTTCCATTCTCAAAGTAGATGTGATTATTGGGATGCTTGGTCTTAGCACCAGCATGGCGTTCAAACTCATAAGCATTGAGAGACTGCATGATACAATCCAATTTGCCAGCTAAGTTATATATCTCAAATAAAAAAATTCATTACATCTTACTTCAAAGCAGCTGAATCAAACAAGAGATCATTACCTTTGAGTGATTGCAGTCATCACAGGAACACAGATACCCGGTCCCTTTTATGATACCTTTGAGGTTTTTCTGCAGAAGATAACATATACAAGTCAGAACAAGGAAAACTAATACAGAAAATTGAATCACCTGTCAACAAAATCAGAAAGATCAGCAGATAGATAAGCTTACCTCCCGTGACCAGGAAACATACTTCACCGGAACCCCATCAAACATACCAGTGGACAATAAACTTTTGACATTTGAAGGGAAGTTGTTTGGAGGAGCTTTCCTAGCAGTCTTTGGCTCCTTAATTTTGGAAACGGTATCAGTTTTAGAATCAAGTTTGAGAACGTCATCTACATTTGGATCCATGTTTGACTGAACCGGGTCCTTCAGACCAGATTCTTCTGATTGCTCAGCTGTGTTTTGATTGTTCATCAACAAATCATAGCTGCTGATGATCCCGCCAGAAGGATTTGTGTCAGTTTCATGATGGAAACTTCCAAAAGATATGGTGGTGCTCTCATTCTTATTGTAATTGTGACTCATAGATACATTGCTTTCTCCTTTATGATAGGGAGGACCTATTGGCACAACATTCGAATCAGCCTTGTCATAGTTTGGGCCCATTGACATCATATTATCAGTCTGCTTATCATAGGTGGGAGCCATTGAGATGAAATTCTCATTTGCTTTACCATATGTTGCACCCATAGAAATAAAATTCTCATGTCCTTTGTGGTACGAGTTACCTAATGATATGAAACTGCTATCTCCCTTTTCATATGATTGACCCATTGATATAAAATTGCCATCCTCCTTGTCAAAAGGCTGACCCATTGATAAGATACTATTATCTCCCTTGTTATAATTATGAGCCATTGATATGAAATTGCTATTGGCTTTACTGAAGGTATGACCCATTGAAATGAAATTATCATCTGCCTTGTTAAAGGAAGGTCCTATTGAGATTGCACTCTCTTCGCCAGTATTATAAGCTGAACCCAACGATATGGTGTTGTCATCACTCTTATTATAGGTGTTACCCATTGACATTGTATTACTGTCTCCCTTACAGTAGGAGTGCCCCATAGATGCAGACACAACATCATCAGAGTCCCTAACTTCATTGACTTTAACTTTTCTGATTCCACCAAAATTGAGACATGATGAGGGATCTTCGATGGTGTGAGACATTGACAAACCTACTGATCGATCATTTCCATATTGATCCTCGAAACCCTTTCTTCCCAAATTCATATTTTCACTTCCAACAGATTGAATGTTCCTGTCACCTAGGTTTACTGTCCGTACTGGCTCAGATCCGAAAAGGCGATCAGTGAATTGTCCTGGAACTGACTGAAACCCTGAAGTGTTATCCCAAGGGGAAATAGCCAAATGTGGAACTCCTGAAACAGGCCTGCCATTAACAGCCTCCATTGCTTGCTTCTTGTTGTTGAAGAATTCCATCCCATTGGAATCCATAAACCACCGGTTACCACGCTTTGATTCTATTCTGGAAGAATTATCATAACCCATCTCTCCATCAGTTAGACAGCTAGCATCTCTCGGAATCCAAAAACTTTTGGGTTGGAACGACTGCAAAAACATAAATACTTTTTAGATTACAAGATAGAATGTTAAAATAAGAACAGTAGCCTAGAAAGAGGAAATGAGACGCAAAACACAGACATCTTCATTAAAATAATAGCATCCAGAAACAGAGGAGAAATTTAAACGCAAGCTTGAGGATAAGCAGATCAATAGTACAGCACGACTTAAGATTGAACTTGACGGGCGATCAAAAGAAACCATACATGATTCATAGTTTCCAAGAAAATAGGCACACACGATGCAGAAAGAGCTTATCTTTAAATAGTTTTGGGCACCAGAGATAATATCCTAGACAAACAAATGAATATATCATTTCAAATATCAAGGGACTTCGCAAAATGGAATACTATGAAAAGTTCATTCCGTTTAGAAGAAATTGGCAACATTTGTTGCCAACACCTAGATCTTTGCCATAACAATGAAATTATTAATAAAGTTCCTTTGAAATCTGTCCAAATCAGTTATGCCCTGAAGCATTAAATCTTTCCATGCATAATGCAAAAATGACTTGGAGAGAAATCATTTTTTTATGGAATGGAAAGAAAAAATTGCCTTAACAGTTTTCAACGTCAGAGTACATGTTCCTAATATGCATGGTTTTTCAAACTACATTTGTACAATAATTATATTGCAAGAACAAAAAGCAATGACACAAAAAACAATAGGCTGAATTTGGCAAAAAGCAGAACATGTTGGTGCTAATTGTAGAGACTAGAGACTATTCTAAGGAAATTATTAGGCATTTATTCGCCTCATGGACCACCTTTACATCACATCACTCCTCATTAGATCACATTTTCCATCACCAACTTAAAGATCCAAAGCTTCCTGAGCTCGTAGGATCAAATACATCTAACCATGACTGTTTCTTCCCCAAGTTGCCAAGTAAACTAATTTGTTAAGAAAAATGTACATGACCACCAAAATGTATAAATGTGCTTTGTCAATGATTAATATTTATTTCCAGCTCTGCTTAACGGGGAAATGAAACATTCCTATTAAAAAATTATGGGATGAAACATCAATAAATGCACAAATCCTATGTTAGCTCCTTAATTTTGGATGAAAAATAAAAGGTACTAGAATCTTAAAGTGAACAGAAACGATCTAGCTCATTTCATGCTTGATGTTGATGCCACACTCTTTTCAATCTAGGTTATACAAGTTATTCTACAATGCAAAGTTGCAACAATTCTTAACTGATCACCGCAACTTGATGAAACCCCACTCAGGTTCACCACAATGCTACAGTAACTAAGTGCTCTCCTTTACTTATACACGTAGATTCTTTCAATAATATCTGCTCAAAGATTTGACATCTTAGCTAACAGCTACGAGAGCCTTGTGCTATTCCGACTGAGTAATAACCATTAACATATTCTAGGAAGAAAATAGATGCTCTTAGATAACAGATGTCTAGTTCTTTTTTCTCCCTCAAATGTGAATGTTGAGGTCCAGAATCACTGGATATAACCACTAAGCATCTGGCAAAGGGAAAATTGTAAGACAAACATGCTCATGCATGATATGTTACTCCCCCCAAATATATATATATATAGCCATTCTTCTTTATCACTGCGAAATTTAGGTCGTTACCTACCACTAACATTCCCACTTTACCTTCACATGAGACTCCATTATGATACTTTAAATTGATTTATATGGATGCAAATTAGTAATTACTAAGGCAAGAAAGAAACTAATAGATCATCATCAATCTCATCACCAGAAGTCAAGCATGTATACCAGATGCCATAAATCTATAGTAAATAAAAAAAGATAACAGAATAAACACTTGACTTTCCATTTGACATATAGTCAAATACAATCCTCTCTTTTTTTTTCCTTTTTTTTTTCATTTAAGAGAACATTCATATTCGAAAACAATTAAAACAAGATTAGGTTCCACTATAAGATTCATCTTCTCAAAGAACCAACACACACAGAAGCACCATTTCCAAACAACAACAAAATCTTCGACGGACAATGTATAGAAAATAGTAACAACCCCACAAAGAAAAACAAGCATTGATCAAAAGTCAGATACCTCTCAGGTGCAACAACATGAAAAACCCCAAAAAATAAAGCCAAGATGTCAATATGACATTTACAATAAAAAGCTTCAATCAGAGTTTCGAGTGTACCATTTTTAACACAGGCTCACTGAGTCACCTCAGCATTAACTCAATCAACTCGCTCCCACACTGTCAACCTCAGCTTCTCCTACACTCCAATCTCGAACCGTTACTCTCTGTCAAACCCAAAGCACCTTATACGACGCCGCTTCGTCAATAAAATTCACTGATGAAACCAAAAAGCAATCCATGCAAGTCCAAACTCCAAGCTCAGAGCCTCTGCTTATACTGCAGAAACAAAACCCAGAAAAATTAAACTTCGATCGCAGCAAGTAGGCACAGAACGATACGGATAAAGAAAAATACACAAAGCTCAAAACGATCAAATTGAATTTTCAATAACCTATACATACACATATAGATACATAATTATACATAAGCACGATAAACAGAGCAATGGGGGCAAAAACCTAGAAATTGAGAAGAATGAGAGAGTGTTCGAAAAGAGTGCCTTCGCCGGAACCTTCGCCGGTGGGATTTTCCCGCGCCGGAACACAGAAATTTCCTTCTTGTTGTTTTTATTTTTTTATATGTTTTTGGAGAAATAAGAGAGAGAAGCACTGGTATGAATATGATGAGTAAGATATGAAACTGAGCTTGGGTTTTTTAAACTATGGCAACAGATTGAGTAGGGAGCTCTGTACTGTTACTTTATGAACCTTGTTATCCTAACCGTACACGTGGGCATCTTTAGCTCATTGTGAATTAGGTGGCTTTAGAGGACAATCATGACCGTTGACAGCTTGCAATGTTTGGAAGCTTCGGAGATGGGAATGTGGTGGATCGCAGCTTAACTGCACGAGTAGAATAGCATACGTGTCGCGTTTCCATAGGCTCTCCCACATGTGCCTATACGGATTCCAACTTGCAAAGATTGATCGGGTGCATCGGTTTTACCGTGTGCCGCAAACGAGAGCAAATTCATTGGTCAGCTGCCGGTATTTCCACTACACCCTTATTTATAATGTTAGTTTGACTACTCCATTTAATATGTGCTAGGTGTTTGATTTCAACACCCAATTCATTTCATATTGGTAAATAAATTTTATATTTAATTTGTTAAGTTAAGGGATATTGAATTTGATAACTCGATTCCAGTTTTTTTTTTTTTTTTTTTTTTTTTTTTTTAAAAATATTTTTATATTTTTGACAAAATGTTATGTTACTTAAATAAAGTAAATTTACTTAAATGTTTTAAACTTAAAAAAATATTAAACTTACTCTTTCACATGCCACTTAAAAAGAATACATATAAAATTAAGTTTAATTTGTATTTGATTTGTTAAGCTAACAGATTCTCTCATAATCATATCAAAATCCGATCCATTGACATGTCTAGATATGAAATTAATTGCGTCCCTAGAGGACGGTTCTATTTGAATTTATTAGTAACATAATTTTTTTGGGAAAAAAATGTTAAGGTATGTTATTAAATATATATTAGCTAAGCTGAGCCTAACCAATTCCTCACACTCTTTTCATAGAAGGATTTTAACAAATTTAGGAGGGAGAAATGCTTCAAACTAACTAATATATGTTCGATAACAATCGTTGTATCAAACTAACTAATATCAAAACAAAAAACACACATATATATAGCAGAGTTATTGGCTTAAGGAATGATTAAGTAAATTTCTTAAAACAAAACATTTGTGATCAATTGAATGTGATCGTTTAATTTTATTTTAAGCCCATTGTATTTAACAGCCCAATAAGAAGAAAGTGTTCGACCCAGAAGCATAAATCTGGTTTGGTTCATTCTAACAGATGCTGTCTTTTTTCGTCTTCTTCAGTCGGGCCCTTTTTTTGTATTGCTTTCTCATTTTTTCCACCCGTACACAAATAATGTGTGCATGTTCATGATTCATCCCCTTCTTTGGTATTTAAGTTCCCTTTGAATTTCAACATACTCATTGATTTTTACTGATTTATTCTAATTGAATTTGAGCAATCAACACGTCAATCATTCTCACGTGTATGAATAATTATCGGTTACTAAATAAACTAAATACATTGTTACGCGCCACAACTCAACAATTTGGGAATGGCTTTCCATTTATTTTGCTTATATTCAGCCCTAGTGCAAATAGAACTTTTGTTAATGCGATCAATGGTTTTGGATAAGATTTGAATGTGACTAAGACTACAAAATCAACTTAACATGGATTAATTATAATTTTTATGCTGGTTTTTCATGGCTAGTAGGATTTCCAACAAGGCAAGGGAATAAGAACCAAACAATCAACCACACGTTAAGAAATTTCTCTTACAATGACAACTAGGAGAAAAATTCCAACCGAATATTGCCGAAGCATAATTACTTCGAAAATCTATGACTGATATCACAATGGGATTAAGAATATAGACTTTGATTTTCAAAAGCAAAAAAGATTCGTATGAAAAGCATTAATGTTTTTCATCAAACAAAAACTCTTGTACTAACAGCCGTAGTTGATCAAAATAGTAAGTTCGTTTCCTTGCACTCAAGCACAATTCCCGTATAGAATAGTCGACTATCGTTTGTGTCAAAATGTACTAAAAGCATCTCCAATAACCTCATAAAAAACTTTAGAATTCTAAAATAGGTGAGCCACATCAAAAAAACTCTCTCTAGCAGTCTCTTCAATGTCAATCATCAAAGCTGCAACCTCTTTCTCTCTCTCTAGGACTGGTAAGTTAACTTTGGCTCTTCAAACATTTAATTTTACTTTAGAAAAACAAAACCTACCTTGAAAATGTTAAAAACGTGCATTTTTATTTTTCATATAATAAACACACAGACAATTTTCACATCTTTTCATATTTTTAATTATTTTCCATAATATTGCGTTAATTGAATTAAAGAGTTTGTTGGAGCAAAAATTATTCAAGTAGCAAATAAGACTTTTCAAACTATCACGTAAAAACTTCAATTTGAAAAAATTTATTTGCTATTGCCGTTGGAGATGGGTGCTGATGCACAGCAAGTCATTAGTTAGTGATTGTTACGTGTTTGGTCGGTACGTAATTAATATAGTGGAAGTCTGAGGAGGTAAGATATATATTTGGTAGTTGACTGGGCGCCGGCGGTTTATATAAATTATTTTATATTTACTGGTTGAAATATAAAAAACACCTTTTGTTGATATCATGGCATTTTCACGGAAGGAAGAAAAAGTGTCTGCAAATTGCAAAGCCCCATTTCTTGGACTAACCCTTAGCTGAAAGGTCATCGTTTCTTAAGTTTCACAGAAAATTTCCAACCACCCCCAAATGAGTGAGTCACGCAGGGAAGAGATAAACTTCAAATTCTGCTGCAACTTGATCGTCTTTGACTGTTGACAGCTCTGCACTTAGCTTAGTCAGTCAGACTTATGGGTTTGCCTTTCAGTTTACACAATTACTTACCAGTACTTGAGTAAGCATCCAAATCCTAATCCTAATCCTAATCCATTTGTGTTGTATATATGCAGCCCACGTCAGCAGATGATGACATTGGCCTGGTTTGGCACATTTGCCCCCTGATTGTAAGACACGTCAAAGAGAACACCCTCTATACGCCAACGTTTTGCACAGTCCTAGCTAAAATACCATTTCATAGACATCTGTTTTTCTTAAAGAAGAAAAAGAAGAAAAGACACCTCTTCCTTGCCTAACATTCTAGGATAAACTTTGAATACGACTCACGAGTACTTGCATGCGAAATTGCACAAGTGAAGTGTGTTCAATGCACGTAATTAAATAAGATACATTGTATTTGATGTGTTATGTTGTAGTGTGTGAACGAGGGATTTCGAACTTGAGACCTCTTTCACCATTGGGAAGAAAAGTACCAGTAGACTAAGAAGTAGTTGATCATTATGCCGTGGTTTGAAACATTCAAACATGTATATCTCCTGTACGTGAGACATTTCCAAAGAGAAAGATTGGTGCAATGGCGGCAATTAATTATTATAACCCTACACGCTAGACATAGATGGTAATGACTTGTACAAGGGGAAACTTTCTCAGAATTAGGGTGTTGTGTTAGACATTTTAGTCGTTTTGTTTAATCCTAATTGGCATTAATTTCCCACAGTACTTATCATTTCAAATTATTTCCGTGGATTAATCTTCTGCTGACTCTATGACATCCTGGATATTTCGTCTTTCATACTACCAAAACATTACACCAAAAAAAACAAAAAAAAACCAGACAAATAGTAAGAAAATGTGAGAATCTTCTAGAAAGCTAGAAGATATGAAGGACTCAGCTGAGGGTCGTCACTGCAGACTGTTTCTTGCACTTCTTGCTATTAGTATATAGACTGCGCCATGTAGTCATGCTGACGTGGTCAATTACGTACCTGGTTTCTATATGCCGCTAAAGCTCCTTTCACACCAAACAACCAATTAACGAATTCCCTGTTACACACTACGCGCTCTCTCTCTCTCTCTCTCTCTCTCTCTCTCTCTCTCTCTCTCTCTCTTGTTTTTGTTATTTTAATTTCTTATCCAACAAGAAATTAGCAAAGTCTTTGTTGTCACATATTCTCAATTGTCAACCACATATATGAAAAGTCTAATATCTCAGTGGCCAACTTTCCCCTATAAATACCAAACCCCCAAAACCCCAAATGTTCCATTCCTTTGTTCGTTTTTAACATTCCATCCCAAATACATCAAGTCTATAATTAGCACTTAATTAATCTCTTGTGTTCTTGCTTGCACATGACCATGAAGAGGAGCATCACAGAAATGAGAGAGCTTGACCGCAGCCTAACCATGGCCAACTGCTTGATGCTACTCTCCCGTGGCAGCCACGACCACCACCATTACGACACCTTCTCCGCCTCCCCCACCCGGGTTTTCGAGTGCAAGACGTGCAACCGCCAATTCCCTTCCTTCCAGGCCCTCGGAGGCCACAGGGCCAGCCACAAGAAGCCGAGACTAATGGGGTCAGGAGATGGAAATAGTAGCAACGGCTCAGATCAGAGCCAGTCACAAGGATCACCACCAAAACCTAAAACCCACGAGTGCAACATATGCGGGCTGGAATTCGCTATAGGGCAGGCCTTGGGGGGTCACATGAGGAGGCACAGATCAGCCTTGAGCAATAATAACAATAATAATATTAGTCAGTATTCTGATTCTAACTCTCTGAGCCTGAGCCCTCAGCCTGCGCCAATGTTTCAAGTTTTGAAGAAGACGAATAGCGGTAGGAGGGTTATGTGTTTGGATCTCAACTTGACGCCATTAGAGAATGACTTGAAGATTCTTCAGATAGGGAAAGCAGCTCCACTTGTTGGGTTTTCCTAAATATATCTCTAGGTTTTTGATCCATTTGTATTTCTTGTAATTAATCACATAGGGGTTGCTGATGAGCTTATTACCGATTCTTCTTTTTGGTTATAAGGTGTATCCCAGTATTCTTTGTTCATTATATAATTTATACACCATATATGATTATTATATAGTTTCTTTGTTTAAATTTATTTTCTTTAATATAAGAGTTTGTTGAAGAACAAAAAGGGAAGAAAAAAACAAGAGAAATATTGAGTAATTATGAAAAAATCATTAAGGTATCTAGTGGAGCCCAACAAAATAGATGAGTATGGTATTTCAAGAAAAAACTATAATAACAACCATTTAATTGAATGATCAAATGGTTTCGGATTCAAGTGTTTTAAATTTTTAGATCATTGAAAGGGTATACTTCAACTGAAGCTCTCTACATACATATATCGATTTTTAAATTTTTATTTTTAAAAGAAGCATATAGTCACTTAACGTGTATCTTCTACTAGTAGCTAGCATCACTACTTGAAAGAGAAGCAAGAAATTGTGGGTTCAAAAGTCAAAAGCAATGGTGCCGTTTGTTTCAAGACATAGAAACGAAATCTTATCTTAGGGTTGCTTTCGTGCAAGTCATTTTTGGTTACTTCCTGATATTTTCTACACTCATTGTTTCAACATTAATTTGCTTAACTTGTTTAGGGAAAAGAAGAAATGGAAGAGTATGTTGTGGTAGTTGAAATTCTATGGATGTGTTTTGTCGAACACTAGCCCCGTTGTTAAGTCCTACAGATTTTCCAAGAATAATTTAAAACGAGTTGGTAAGTCTAGGTATGGGAAATTGTTGCCTGGCTTATGAGAAAGTAGGGGGGAAAGTGAAGTCATCCTCCCAACTTGGGTTTTGTTTTCCCTCCTCATAGGAAAATTTGGAAAAATGAGCTAACATTAAATACATATTTTTTATGACCATTTTATTCCCATTAACAATTTAGAATTACAATATATCATTAAATGCATTCTTTTTTTATTTGATTTAATATGGGTATAATTGAAAATTTATACAAACTTTGTTTTCCATTCATACTCAAAACAAACATGGGAAAAGAAATAAAGTGATATTTCCCGATTACTTTCCCAGCATTACCAAACGTGGGAAAGAAATCTTCCATTCCCATTCCTTGGGGAATGACATGAGAAATAATTTCTCTTCAAATTCATTCCATGAACCAAACGGGGCCTTATTAATAAGGGTTGTTTAATTATAGACATGGGCTTGGTCAAGTTGCCTAAAGTCGATGTACACCACACTTTGCACACGAGTTCAAATCTCCCTCTCCGTAGTTGAAATTAGATTAAAGTACGTAGAACATCACTTGTATCAAAAAAAGCAAAAAAAGGGTTGTTTAATTAGCTAAGCTTATTCGTTCCTAAATAAAGAAGAAATTAGCTCATCAGTTTGATTACTTGGTTCATAAGATGGTATGAATGATACTTAATTGCCTTTGACTTTACTAGAAACCATAAACACCTTTACTTAATCCCTTGTCATCATCCCATCATCAACAACCTCACTATCAAAGCAGGAGATTATTGGTCTGATTTTGCTTAATTAATCCACATAAATGCCACGTTAAATACATATCTTCCTCGAGACATATGCTCTATGTGAATGTTTAACTTTATATTCAACTCTGCTAGCCGCACCACACTGGTCCAATTATATAATATAATGCTTCAACAGTAACTTCTACCCACTCAGGTAAATACTTGCGTTCTGGAATGGTGATGGTGAGGTGGGGTAGCTGAATAGTTGGTGCAATTGGATAAAGTTTTAGTCTAACTTTTCCTAACAAAGAAACCGTGTCAAACATTTTAGTAAGACTCCTAATAAAACATCACTACGACCTGCGCAGCTAGATTGGATCATATTCATCTTCCTTAGTGTGAACTTGATCTAATTTAGGGAGCAAAATAACAATATAAAAACATATACAGTAACGTGTCTATATTCGGTACGTAAGATAAACCACATACAATTTAATGACATAACATAAAATGCTTATATTATCAATCTCTGAATATCAACGATGTGATATTTATTGACGCTATGAACATCTACTTATACATATATGAGTAGATGCCTGTATCGCCAGAGTATAAATTTTACTTTTTAACAAATTATACGGTTCAGATTTACAGTTTATTAACATAAATTTAACAATAAGACATTACTCATATACACGTATGCATGCGTGTATTTCATGTGGTCGGCATATTAATATAATATAATATAATATAATTTGTCTTATAATCTGACCAGAAAAAATTGCTAACAAGGAAGTAAGTGATGACATATGTGGATTAATAGAAAATAATTAATTTATTATATAGTTGGCTAAGACTGCAAGTAATCGATGATGGGTTTTAAGCTTTGTATATATCAACTTCCCCAACTGACTCCTTCCACTGCATTATTAGTTTCTACATCGTTTTCCATTCGAAATTTCTATTTGAATTTGAACCAAAGTGTACTTCAAAGTCGGCATGTTCATTAATTTTATTCCAATAATTTGAATACAGAGAGAGAGAGAGAGAGAGAGCGAGAGAGATATTCTAAGCATAATAAATTTAAAGTCACATTCATATCTAGAAGACAAGGTCCTGGCTCTTGGTAGTGGCTCATACTCTCTGGTGTGGAAATTTGACTGAGATACTATTATGTATTGACTTAATTAAGATACCGAAATACAAGGCTGGCATGGCCTTTTGTGTTACTCAAAAGTTGGATTAAAAAAGGGTTGGGAGAGTGAGCTCATCATGCATCACTGGCTTCACTGGCTGGCTCCTCCTCAAGTCTCCTTTGAACCACAAGTTAGCAACAATAAATACAAGAGTTTAGTCAAGATTTGTATAATTTGTCCTGGCTCTGAGAATTTCAGCTCTTGAGATCATAATGTTTGTAATTCGTAGGCTAAAAGCAATTCTGACCTTAAATATGGAAGGTGAATGCTCACTACTACTAGTCGTAAAGTAATATACCAAATTCTCTGAAATCGTGCAAGTTATTAACATCTTATAACTTACTCATTTTAATCTTCGTAAGATGAAAAATTCTTAAACTCATTTCTTTTGATGAGTTATCGAATTCAATCCTAATCATGCTAAGAAAAATTATGCCATCATAACTTAATTTTTGTTTTATTAGTGGATCCCCCAAGGCTAGGGCCACACATATAACTTTTGGTCCAACTAGTAAAGAAATTAAGAATGAACACAGCATCCAGTTCCAGCATGTGTACAAAGTAAAGTAGGATTGGAAAATGATGGATGTACTTGTTGTAGCTAGGCAATTCCATATAGCTGGCTATACAAAAAATAATGGTAACAAATTAAGCAAAATCGGCTCAGGCCAAGGGGACAAAGAGGGGTTTATATAAGATAAGAGCAGCTTCCTATAACTTATGCATGATATATAATTACTGTTAATTGACTTAATTTAGTGACTATTAAAAAACCAACTTGATTAATTAATTAAGTTATTAGCTATGAGTATATATAACTTGTTACACAAGTTTTTAAACATTCAGCCTGAACAGATCATCCACTGATTAATTTGGTGGCAAGCTATGGCTTAAGTTATATAATATAGACAAAAGCATGGTTCAGAAGGCATAAACAATGTGTTATGTGCTCTCCACACGTTTTCTGTAATTTTATAATCTTTTGCTAGTGATTTCCCAGAAAGACTAGGGTTTGGATAATACTACTCTATGCTCTACTGGTCTTGTCAGCCAAAAGGTGGGGCTAATACATTATTGCCGACTGTGACTTGGCATCCCCACAAGGACTTGAGGAACCAGAAAACCAGTTCAAACTTCAAACTTCAAAGAGACCCAGGTAGTGTGAAAAGTGCCTTTTTGGGTAGCTGAGCAATTGGCGCAACTGCATTTTTGCATACTTGTATTTTGCTTTGACTCTGACTTTACCTAACAAGAATGAAATGAAATGAAGAACAAAACCCATATCGCAGTTTCTTGAACTGGTTTTTGCTTCCCTGGTCAAAAGCTCAAGTTGACTTGCCCATTGGCCCATCCTCATTAGTAGAACAGAACCAGTTGGGGTTTGAGAACTTGAATTTGGCAAGTGTGCCTAATTTGAATTCAACAATCAAGATGGTACCAGAGACTAAGATCACATAATGATTAAGCAAGTGCTGACGGTAATGTGCTTGAGATGAAAAAAATAGGGTAAAATACTAAAAAATGATGACCAAAAACTTGGTGACTTGGTGTGGGCTTCTAGATGCTCACGCTACCTCACTGTGTTTCTTCCAAGTTCCATGCAGACATTTCAATAGCTGTCCACATTGCAATTTCCTTGAAACTCATGTGACAAACAAAACAAGTAAGAAAGTTAGAGGCTTTACCTGGGTCTGGTTGGGTGATAATTTTCAATATCACACGATACCATTAATTCATGTGTTAGAAATTTGTTGTTCCTGATCTACCAAGAAAATGTACAAACTTTACTTGAAGGGTCACCTAGAGTTGGTGATTTATAGTTGGTCTTACCTTACTCTTGAACCCTGCCCCAATACCTGCTCCTTCATCATCACACCTTGCCCTGCCCCATGCCGACAGTTCCAACCCCAAAACAGAGTGGCCCCAGGGGCAGGAGAATTTCCGATCAGTCTTTTAGTTCACACCAAACACTTCAACAATTTCCACAAAATAAAGACTCTGAATTGTAAGCCAAGGAAATCAAGAAACAACATAACCCAAGCTGAGAAGTTCAGGATATACGACTTATAATAACACGTAATCATACAGCTTCACCTCCATGGAGCAAATATTACAAAATAGTATGCCAAGCCAGCGATATAACTAACGGAGCAGGAGATCAACATGAATGACAGGAGTATGAGATCAACGCGAATACATTACCGAATTGATCTTTGTATCTGAAGATCCAACATCCTCAGAAAACTCAAGCCAAATTTTTTACAGAATATAACACTTGACTAAGACATTAATCACATGTTGTATCATGTCTCATATACTCGGATAAAAATCTTAGGTGATGGACCAACTCCTTTTAGGTCACAAGTTCAAACTTCAAAGTAACAGCGTTGCTGTCCAATCTATGTCAGAGCTAAGGGTTCCATTCCATGTAGAGAATTGTATGAATTTCTTTATCAAAATTCAAAATGGCGCTAACTGCTAAACCAAAATTCAAACTAGTGCTAAACTGCTAGCAACACTAACAATAGTAATTAGCTGACTAGCAGAAAATGATGGGCACTAAAGTCTGTAGATAACATCAGTAAGATAAGAAGTCTACATTTGTTTGTGCTGGGCTTCACACAATGACATATAAATTGATCCACCAGAGTAGCACTTAAAATGACATGAGTTGAAACTTTATCAACACAAACCAAACATACAAGCCACAGTAAATAGGATTTCCAGCTTTGCCTTTTATTTAATTATACACCACAATGGCACAATTGCTTTAGTTCTGAGTATATCCAGAAAACTTTCACAATTACTATCAGATTACTAAACTCCAGTTACACAATAGAACTCATAAACCAATCAGACAAACTTTTTAAAAGAGAAAAACTGGGAATTGTTTGTTTACATACAAATTTTGATGGGCTTTTAATAAAAAGTTTGTCTGCCTTAGCTTACTGATCGGCATCATTGGTGTTGGCTTCGCTGAGATTCCCAAACTTTTGCTTGAACGAGTCTTGTCTTTTCACCCACATCATGTGCCCCTGAAATTCAAAAAAGTTCCCAACTTTACTTCCACAACCCAATTGATAAGTAGTAGGCTCCCACAAAATTTTTTAAATTAAAACAAAAAATGCAGTCTTTGAGTGTAGAAGGAGAATTTGAAGTACCTGGAGAGCAGCAGCCCAAGCAATGAGTACAGATGCGAACCAGAACTTCTTGTCGTTGAGGAGCTTCCTGGCTTCCATTTCCCAAAACCCTAACCCTAACTCCAGATACAATCTGGGTCTGATTCAGAAAGGTGAAACCTTGAAGATGGTGATGTTGGGAGGTGATGGTTTTGGGCCTACTGAACCTGAATCAAATATGGGCCTCCAATAGAAACAATTACTTTGGGCCTTTTGATCTTTTGTGGTCTTCAGGCGCAAAAGACTCTCACTTACATGTCACCTGAAGAGCAAAGCTGTTCCAAACTTCCACCCGTTTCGTACTATGATCGTGAAACATGGACTGCGTAGACCGTACCATGCATTCGCATCAGCAGCAGCTTCTGAAATTCCTTCTTTGCCCTCCACCACCACCAACAATTACCCGCGGTACCTGAACCTCCTATCTTCATGCAGAGACTTGAAGTCTCTGCTTCAAATCCATGCCCACCTGATCGTCTCAGGTCTCCAACAAGACAATTCCACACTGACCCATCTCATAAATTCCTACTCTTTGTTTAAAAAAAGTGGTTTGGCGAGCTTGGTTTTCGATTCTGCTCAAAACCCAAGTGTAATCTTGTGGAACTCCATGATCAGAGCTTATACAAGAGCAAACAAGTACAAAGAAGCTCGAAAAATGTACCATTCTATGTTAGAACAAGGTGTAGAGCCAGACAAGTACACCTTCAACTTTGTTTTGAAAGCTTGTACTGCTGCTTTGGATTTTGAAGAGGGTGTCTTGGTACACCGTGAAGTGGCTCGGAAGCAGCTTGACTCTGATGTATTTACAGGGACCAGTCTTATTGACATGTACTGTAAAATGGGCGAGTTAACATGTGCAACAGAGGTGTTTGATATATTACCTAAGAAAGATGTTGTGGTTTGCAATGCTATGATTGCGGGTTTATCACAAAGTGAAGATCCTTATGAGGCTCTGGAATTTTTTCGGGGGATACAATTATGGGGGCTGGAGCCGAACTTAGTGAGCTTGTTGAATTTGGTTCCAGCAGTGTCCAGATTAGCTGATATTGATTCTTGTATGTGTATTCATGGTTATGCGTTTAGGAGGGGCTTTAATTCAGTGTTTTCAAATGGGTTGATTGATATGTACTCCAAGTGTGGAGATGTAGATGCTGCTCGCCAGGTTTTTGACCTGATGCAGGACCGGGATGATGTTTCGTGGGGGACAATGATGGCAGGGTATGCAAGTAATGGGTTGTTTGTTGAGGTTTTGGAGTTATTTGATTGGATGAAAGGGGATAACACTAAGATGAATAAGGTTACTATCATAAGTACTCTTTTGGCTGCTACTGAGATGAGAGATTCAGAGAAAGGGAAGGAGATACATTTTTGTGCTTCACAACAAGAACTTGATTCTGATGTTTCAGTTGCTACTTCTATACTGACCATGTATGCAAAATGTGGAGAAATAGAGAAGGCAAAACAAATTTTTGAAGGACTTAGGAAAAGAGATTTAGTTTCTTGGTCTGCACTTATATCTGCATGCGTCCAATCTGGTTATCCTGAAGTGGCATTGTCTCTCTTTCGAGATAAGCAAAATGAAATTCTCAAACCAAGTGGAATAACGTTGATAAGTGTCCTATCCGCATGTTCAGAATTATCATATCTGAAATTAGGCAAGAGCATACATTGCTATGCTATTAAGGGCAATATTGCTTCTGATATTTCTTTAGGAACAGCCCTAGTATCCATGTATGCCAAATGTGGATTCTTCACTTATGCACTAATTCTATTCAATAGAATGCCATGTAAAGATGTTGTAACATGGAATGCTTTGATAAATGCATATACCCAGATTGGTGACGCCTTCCATGCGATAGATATGTTTCATGAACTATGGTCGTCTGGAATAAAGCCTGATGCAGGAAGCCTGGTGGGTTTCATGTCAGCTTGTAGCATATTAAATGACCTAGATCAAGGTACTTGTATTCATGGGCAAATTATAAAGCATGGATTTGAACATGATGTTCCGGTGAAAAATGCTCTTATTGGCATGTATTGCAAATGTGGTAACATATCCTCAGCTGAACTTCTGTTTAACAGAACCAAATTTATGAAAGATGTGGTATCTTGGAATGTAATAATTGCAGGATACATGCAAGGTGGATATGCCAGGGAAGCTATATGTTCTTTTCATCAGATGAAATTAGAGAACTTTCAACCTAATATAGTCACATTTGTTAGCATACTTCCTGCAGTGGCATATCTGGCAGCCTTAAGAGAGGGCATGGCTTTTCATGCCTGCATTATCCAAACGGGGTTTCTATCTAATACACTTGTGGGAAATAGTCTTATTGATATGTATAGTAAATGTGGACAGCTCAATTATTCAGAGAAATGCTTTAATGAGATAGAACACAAGGACAAAGTTTCGTGGAATGCAATGCTTGCAGCATATGCGGTGCATGGGCAAGGAGTTGACGCTGTTTCACTTTTCTCATTGATGGAAGAGAGTTTGGTCCGAGTTGATTCTGTGTCACTCATCAGTGTTTTGTCTGCTTGCAGGCATGCGGGTCTGGTAAAAGAAGGAAAGAAAATTTTTCAGGCCATGCATGAAAAGCACCATCTTGAACCAGAGTTGGAACATTATGCTTGCATGGTAGATCTTTTAAGTCGTGCTGGTTTATTTGATGAAACTTTAAATTTGATTAATACAATGCCAGTGGTGCCTGATGCCGGAGTCTGGGGAGCCTTATTAGGTGCATGTAGGATGTATTCTAATGTGAAGTTAGGAGAAGTTGCATTGAGTCATCTTGTTAAGCTTGAGCCTAGAAATGCTGCTAATTACATAGTCCTATCAGATATACACGCTCATTCTGCTAGATGGGGTGATTCTGGCAAGACAAGATCAATGATGAATGGCTCAGGGGTGAAGAAAACTCCAGGATGTAGTTGGTTAGAGGTCCAGAACATGGTCCATCCATTTGAGGTAGGTGACTACAATTACCATGCCCCAACTTGAGAGCAGAGAACGTGCATTTTCTGTGTAATAATTCACTTGAAAAGAATCTGGGACCACCATTCAGGTAGTTAAAACTCTGTGCCTATGTGCATTGCCATGCTGCAAATTGTAGAGATGAGAGATGCCATAAAAATATAGTGAGGGATGCTATGTACTTCCATTATTTGGAGCTGCGCTGGTATCTGCTTGGGCAATTATTAATACTCTCATCACACAATTTACATCATCTTGTGCCAGTGGCAAGGAAGCACTGATATTTTCCATTTGCAACTGTAAGGGGCCAAACAAAATGAAAATTGGTTTCTTAGCTGGTATGTCAATCAATGCATCTGGCATCACATCTTCAACTAACAAGGTTCGTTCTCTAAGCTGCACAAGTTTGCTCCATGCTACCTGCAGTGAAGCTTCGGATTGTATGGAAAGAACCAGATTGAACTGAGAACTAAAGTAATCACTTGCTCTCTAACTTCTTGATAATTTTATTTCCTCTGCTTTTGTTCTTTTAATTTATTTTCTCGAATTGCTGGTTTCAGGCTCTGTTACGAGATTGAGAGCTGTATCTATGATTTTCATTTTCTGTGGGCAGATTGGACAAGTTTTGTCCAAGGATGAGATGACTCAAAGCTTTGCTGCTGAAGTTGTATTCATTGCTCTAATGAACATCACCTGCAGTGGCAATATTGGCAGGACGCTTGGACCAAGGACATGGAACAATGGAGCTTTCATTGAGATTAAAATGAGAAACAGCTTGCTGGGGAGACCTGGAAAAATGAAGCCTTGGATTGTTAGAGCTTTGAGAATTAGAAGTTAATTCTACTAGGTGGTGAATCAGAGCGTGTGTGATGTGACAAATGGAAACCCAACATTTCATGCTATATACCATCAATAATATATGGTTGCCTCATTTTTATTAAGGGGAAACAAATTGGAAATAAAGAAGAAACAAGGACTTTAGTGGATGAAATTTTAATCGTCCATTGACTGCAGTCACAGGATGGATTTTCCTTTCAATTTTCTTAGGTTCTGCGCGGACGTGGAAACCCAAATGTGGGTAGCGCCACGTTGAAAACGTATATTAAAATAAAATTTCAGTATATTAACAACTAAGGGTCCATAGCTCAGTGGTAGAGCATTTGACTGCAGATCAAGAGGTCACCGGTTCGAACCCGGTTGGGCCCTTCCTAAGTTAACCTTTTTGTTTTTGTTTTTTTTCATGTTTTATGAGAATATATTTGTACTTTGCCCAACACTCTAAACAGAAAACCCATAAATATTCGTAATTGCATTTTTTTTTATTTTATAAAACAATCGTGAATATTACATTCAGTTAGTAACATGTTTACTTTTCCAGTCACTTTCCAAGCATATATATACATATCTTCACGATTGGAAGGCAATACAAAAACTCATGAATTCCTCACAAGAAATATAATTTTATAAAATCCCAAGACCTAAATTGTAATGGTACTAGTTTATTACAGTGAGTAAAAGATAATCAAGTAGCTGATACAAGATTCAATACATAAAAAGGAAAAAAAAAAGTTGAATCAGTCGCTGCTTTGATGGAATTGTCTTCTCTTTATTTCTTCCTCCTATACCCTTCGTCAGCAACCAGAGTCCAGCACGTGCAAAACTACACACAACAAGCAGACTACAGTTTTCTGTGTGTTGTCTGGGACTGAAACATTCCCATTCCAAGGGATTCACAAGCTACCATCTAAGAAATGTCAGAAGTGCCTAGCTTCAAAGAATGGTCCTTTTTTGCATGCTCGCATGCACATTTCATCCATATAATGAGCATGACCAAGCTGTGTCTCGAAAGATTTTTGTACATATAGAGTTACCGAACTCGCTTGTTAAGGGGAAACAAATACGTTACACCGCCAAAAGAACGCCTCAGAGTTCTTCTGCACTTCACTTCTAATAATTTGTGTGTAATGATCCAAAGTCTCTGTATGCTCATCTATGCTATCACTGGATATTGTATCTTCAGTTAGTCTGACTGCTGCCATGTGAGACAGTTGCAAGTTTTCCCCAGCCCTTTGCAGCTTCCTTGCGGTTTCAACCTCGCCAAGCATCACAAGCGAATGTAATAAAGATTTTAGCTCGTACATCGCTCCAGTCGTTAGAGACATGCCCTTCAAGTGGTCTGCCAGAGCCAATTCCTCGCCAGGACTAAAATGTGAAGTAGTTAATTTATTTGGGATTAGTTAGTGACCATGAAGGAACAGTAGCAAAATAATCCTGTATAACAACAAAAGTACCTGCCAGCACGGATTTTTCCTCTTTTTCTCTGACGCCTGGCATCTCTTGCCTTGCTTGCTGCACTTGATCTGGTGGAAGTGACAGAGCTGTCCCTGGTCCTGTTCATAAGATTAAGAAAAAGAAAATAGGTTATCCAAAGAAACATATAACAAACTGCAAGGCCAAAGACCATCAAGCACACAAATATGCACAGAAGTGATGATCAACATACTATGACTCTTTGATGGAGACCATTAGCTACGCACAACTATTAAAAAATAAAAAAATAAAAAAAAATAAAAAACAAGTTGCACAACAAACCATAGAGCGCTATATGACAATAAAAATGTAAAATACATACCCAGTGGTGTAAGCACTCATTCCACTGAAATTACTGCTAGCCTCTGAAGCAGTATCATCATCAAGATCGTTCATTGACCGTTCCTCTGACTGGAGTTTTGCAGCAAGAAGTAACCTTCTTTGTCGTAAAGCTAAGTAGCGAGCCAAGTACTTCCCTACTTTCTCCACACCTTCCTCATATTCACCGACAAGCAAGCTTGCACATTCCAAGGATGCATTCTTCACATCAGAGATCAAATCCTGTCTATTGTGCATTAAAGCGACTCTCAAGGCCTCCTCCCAGTCCCTCGCACTAATCAACAAATTCATCCCGTTGTTAACATCGCCACAATACTCCAGCGCAATTTTGGCTGCTTCACTTGGTTTACCAAGAGCTTGAAGTTCTTCACAAAGCTCATGAGCCAGTTGCATTATCTCATCTTCACCCAGTTTTAGAAGCCCAGCAACTGTTAGCACCTTACTCCAATTACCACAAGCACGGTATGACTTCAAAGCCTTCTCCAAACTGGAACAGCACAAATAAGTTGCAGCAGCATCCTCAAAGCATTTTTCATCACTAAGATGATCTCCCCAGGCCTCAAGGACTTGCCTCTTCTTGGCAGGATCAGCAATCAGTTGAAGTCCCAAGGGGAAAAGTTGAGGATTTTTCTTCATCAGGTTCATAGAATCTGCATAACAAGTGTCTCCTGCAGAAACAATGTGCTTGAGAGCTTTCTCAAACCTGTGCAGCTTTAGGTCAATGTTATAGCGCATTAAAGTAACTGGCATGCATTCCAATTCTTGGAGAAAAGGAAGAAATTCTTTAGGGTCCCGCTGAGAGTTCAAAGCCACCATAGCTGCAAGGTTCAAATCATAAAGGCCTAAAGCAGCCTCATAAACAGATTCAGAATCAGATAACCATAGAAGATGCTTCAAAGCCTCTTCGGCAGAGGGATAAGACATTCTTTTCTGGTCATTCGAACCTGACAATTCCATTTCACGGATATCTTTTATTCGCTCCAAAGCTTCATCAAGTGCAGGGGGTTCACTTTGAGCTAGAGTGGTTAAAATGCAAAGCTCCCTTGCAGGAACTTCTGGTAATTGTTCCTCAAGAGCCCTCCTTATGGCCAGAAGCACAGAAGATATCTTGTTATTAGAATCAAAACCCTTGGAGTCTTGAGATTGCACATCTTTAGCTTCTTTTGGGAAAGGTAGAGAGATAAAACTTTTATATAGTGTCTCTCTAATGTTTTCATTCTTTATGGCACAAACAAACTCAGTTATGTAGTTCAAATTATTAACCTGCTTGACAAATTCTGAAGCTGATTGGAGAAACATTTGCAAACCACAATAGTCAACAATGACATTGAAATCTATTCTATGACGCCTCACCATGAGAAGTGCATCTCTAAAACGCCTCTGGACCAATGCATTGCAAATAGAGGCCAGGACCAATTTTCTTGGATAAATGCATTCTAGATTTCCCCGAGTTGTTTGCAAAATAACAGCAGCTTCATCTCCATGCAGAACACCAATAATTTTAGCACCTCTTTCCCATATGGTTATGAAGTTTCGATTATCTTCTCGTTTCTTGCTACCAGCTTGTATGGGGTTCTCGAATTTTATTTCCAGCTCTCTGTGCAATATATCTGTTATGTCAGCAATAAAAAGACAATCCTGCTTAGTTGCCAAAATTAAATGTGTGGTCACTTGGTCATCCAAATTTGAGTAGAACGAGAAACTGCTGCAGTTGTTGCATATTATCTTCCCACTAACGTGCAACCTACAACTGTCCTCAAGTCCAAAAAGTAAAGGCTCCAACGACCCACTGTTTCCAACTAGAACCACACTCATAGAAGGGCAAGTTGATGAGAAACTCCAATTGTGTTTTGGAACCCCTCTGGTGATGCCCAACTTTGGAACATACTCGGAAACCTTTCCCACCATCAAATTGAACAAATGCTGAACCTTTCCGAGCAGGATTAGGAGCAATTGCAATAATCATCTCTTCTAGAGAGTGTTGGCTGGAAACTTTGGCATGCCAGCCTGAGCATGTCACTGAACCTGGGACATGATCCTCAGAGCATATAAGCTCAATTTCCTGCAAATAAAAACCAGCGCCATCCTCACTTGATGAAATTTGAGATACGTAATTACTATGACTGAATCCATAGTGAGAAACAGCAAGAATTTTATGTGGGTCCAACCATATCAGATGCAATAAAGAACCAAATGGTGATTCAGAAATGGATGCTTCAACAGAAAATTCTTTGCCTTCTAGTTCTTCCCAAGAATCAGTGGCTGGAAGCTCTACGACACATAAACAACCATCTGACAGAGAAGCAGCAAAACAGTTCTTAGAATTCTTGGAATAGTAAGCCAAGTCCCGTACAGCACTTGGGAATTTAAGGCTGAAAATGTACATGGGAGGTGGCATTAGGTACAAAGAAAGGGGGGTTACAAGTATCTTGGAGTCATCAATTACTAGTGCGGTTGAGTCATCCATCACAGCTGAATTCCATATGAAGTCGTACGATGTAATCTGGCCTCTGAGAGTCCAACATAATAACTGCAATGGCTTTGTTGGATTCCAAACAAACCTCACTCCATCCTGTCTTGGGTATCTAACTTCAGATTTTAAATACCAGTGGTTGTTACTGAAATACCATACCTTGACACAGTCATAATTTTCACATCTGACAGTGGCAGCAAGAAGATCTGAACTGCAATTCCACTTGAGAAATTCTATGGTTGCATTTGTTTCCTCATTAATGCTAAACAAGCTCCTTTCTAACCCATTCCTCTCAAAGAAAACAATTGAGGGACACTCATTTTCTGATTTCCTATCATACACGGCTGCAATTTTTGCTCCACTGGGCATCCAGTCGACAACTGATCCCATTGACTTTGATTCTGAAACAGCATGTAATACTCCCGAATGTCGCTCCCAAATTTTAAGCCTCTTATGCAAGGATGTCGAATCCAGCACCTCACTTAGTGTGACAAAGTATTTCCCATCACCTCGCCAGGAAATGGGGCTTTCAAATTGTGTTTCACCTGGAACCATAAGTACAGTCACTAAATTTTCCAAATTAACCAAACTCATGTCATAGAAAAATGAGGAAATACAACCACCATATGTGTTATATAATAAGTGGACACCAAAAGAAACTGCGCAATGCTTCCAATTAAGGAGGTCATGTAGGCCAAATACAAAATGAAAAGTGAGTCCTAAACACTGTTTCCTAATATTATCTTGAACCACACATTGCTATTTCCACAGCAAACAGCAAACAGCAAACACTATGTGTTAAAGCAAAACCGAAATTCTGAAAATCCATGAATAATGGAAAGAGGTCCTTACATACGTGGTTGACATCTTCTGGAAGATCCTCAAGTGCGGTCTCGTACAACAAATCCCAATCCTGAGTCATTACCAGTATCTGCCCAGAACCAGTAGTTATGGCAAGAAGGTCTCCATCTGGACTAGGCGCAATGCACTTGACACCGCCATCCACTCCACCGACGATTTGGGTGTCATTATCATCCACAGAATGCAGCAGCAGAAGCCCATTACTTGTACCCACCAAGAGCGCTTCTTTCTCCATGAGGTAACCAAAGGAAGTGATGAAGTCCTCAGGATCCAATTCAATTTGATGAACTTGTGCGGATATTGAGGTTCTGCTCCATGCTCTTTGATGCTATACCACATTCATCATCAAATTAGGGTTACCAATAGAATAAGGAAATTAAACAAGCATCTATACACACATACATATATATATATATATATTATATGCATAGGCGTAGGCGTAAGGGTAGGAGGTAACCTGGATAGAAGAAAGGTGAGTGGCGTAAATGTTATTGGAGGAAGAAGCGAAGAACAAGCGATTCTGCTCGATATCGAAGGCGGAGAAGAGTATAAGCTCCTCTTTCGACTGTAACTGGAGATTCAACGAGACCTCCGAATACAGCTTCAGGTTATTCATTTTCACAAATCGATGCAACTCGCCAGAGAGAGAGAGTTGTGCCCTAGCGACTGGCTAAAGGTAGCACTACTGAGGGTTTTGAGGGTTTAAGCAAAATTCTTTCGAAGAGAAGAGACGTGGGCGACTATAAAGACATAAACGACATGTCGTCTCTGATATCTTTTTTGTTCTGGACTAATTAAATCCAACTCGATTGCAAGGGAAGGGATGAACTCATTGCCTCGGCCAACTAACCTAAACCACGCTCGCACGGTCGCACCCTCTGCCTGCACGTATTAGTAGAACAAGTGGCGTATGCTTAAATTAAAGGTGGGAAATGTCATTAGAGTTCTAGTTAAGTTTTTTATACTTTTTCCAAAAGATTTCTGTTTGTGCTTTGTTGGCAGAATTTGGTGAAGTATCTCATCTCAACTCATGTGTCTAACAGCATCCATCCAACTCTTGTGCAGTTTTAATCGGAAAATAAAGGCTCAATAAAAATTTTAAACTGCTAACAATAGTAAACAAGATGATCTGCATGACGATCATACAGGTAAACTAAAAAGAAAACTAAACTCATATTCATTTCATTTCTCTACTTCAAGTACAATGATATTTGGTAGTTACAATTAATCCACAGATTGCGTGAAGTAAGACAAACTAAGAATCTGGAAAAGACGACAACAACAACAACAACTACTACTTAACCTATGGAGGTAAGTAAACCACTAAATCCAAAATGTCACTGAATCTCATGCCTGTATCACTTTGAAGTTGGTGAAAGCTATAACCTCTTTGATTGTATTGCTATCCTGTACAAGCTTCTGTACTTCCTAATTCCATATTAACCTCTCACCACCTCCTCCCTGTTAGCAAAAATGGGAAAATCAACTTGCCACAGACGTCAAAACTAGCACCGTATCATCTACAAACCGAGGCCTCCATATACTACTTGTAATCAAAACTGGCCAAGAAAGCTTTTACCAAATGCTGATCCAACCTGACAGCCAAACCCACATGTAAGAAAGAAACTTAACCAAGTTCTATGCCCTTTTCTTTTGCTGCTTCCACAACAGTGTTCGTATTTCCTGTAGTCATCATAGAAAGGATCGAATAGGACTTCCACAACTTCACGGAAAATGGATATACAGATAAAGCTCTCTTGTAAAACCTCTCAGAAATAGCCTCAACACTGGCAATATTTCCCAAAACCTCTGCAGCTTCAACCCATACGTACTCTGGTGGAATTGGGACAGCATGAAAGATCGCACTGACCAAGTTCGAGCTAGCCCAAAACAAAGCACTGAGAGATGTAACATCACCGGCATTGCTGCCACTGCTTAACATCTTGCATACAGAAATAGCTAGCTGATAGTTGGATGGAGTTATGTCCAAGATGGCTTCAACAAAATCCACCAGATTTTTTTGCTCACTGAACTTTTCTGGTAAAAGAGATGGTCCATACCACACTTCAAGAACTGAATTTACCACTGAAAAATCAGATGATAATGGACTGAATACATTACTAACCAGCTGCCGGACTCTTGGCTTCTTGATGTTGTTAACGAATTTTCTAGATAATAGCTCAGAGGTAGGGAAAGCCGGAGCATCACCTAAATATTGCTCCAAAATCTTCTGTATGCCACTGATAGAACCATTCTCCTTTAACAGTGATTCATCAGTAAGCATAAACAGCGCATGTTCTCTTACGCAATGCTTAAAATATTCAGGAACAGCAGCATTCAATGCTCTGTCAAGGGCTGAGCGAGCTTCACTGTGGTCATTCTGTAAGAGGTTATGCAGAGAGAGATTAAGATATCCAAACATTATGTCCATCTGTTTCGGATTGGAACTGAGTGTCTGCTGAATTGAATTTGAAGCCAATCCTTGCGATCTATCTGAGTTATCACAATTCATTTCATCCAACGTACCAATTTGAAGATAGTGAACCTTCCAAACAGAACGAAACCAGCGGTTCATAACTTCTTTACCAAAATCATATCTTCCATTCTGAAGGGCATACTCAACATATTGATTCCAAATACACTGGACTCCAGGGACTTCTTTTGGCCAGTTACTAAGGGCTTCTTCAAATCTCTCAAAATGTGAATCCACAAGATCGTGTTTATGTGTCCGAGCTGATATTAAAACAAGTTCTACGCAGGATGGGTATAAAGTAAGATATTTATCCAAGAGGTGGCCACATCTTTCTAAGCTGCCAAGAGCTGCCATGCACCTTAAGTGGTTGAGAGCAAAAAAATATGCCACTCTGATATTAAACTCACTATTTTCAAGTGATTCAATTTTCATGTATGAATCTACAGAATCTACTACTGTTTCCATCAGCATGGTAGCCCTTTGCTTCTCATCATCCATTAATTGAATGGAAGGCCATTCAATTTCAAAGAGTTCTTTGTGACATTCAAACTGTCGCACTACAGCATCAGGAAGTTTCCTGTAAATAACCAAGTAAACACAACAAACCCCTAATATACATTTGTCATAAATAGTTAGGCATGTGAGTATATCAGAGAGCGACAGAGAGTTAGGCTCATCAAAATTTGTGGCAGTGGGGAAGAGTCCAAAAGTTTTCTGAATGGCCTTCTCAATGTTACCAGACATGCATAAACAGTCCATCATTTGCAAACATAGGTCTAAGGTGCATGCACTAGCATACGTTCCATCTATGTCGGAAGCAGTAGCATGACGGCACAGTGCTGAGAGAGCGACATCATACGTCACCAATCGGTCATCAAGCTGCATCCGACTGTTGATGCACATGAGCCAAAGTTCATAAGATCGATCATTGTATTTGACCTGAAGAACAAGAGGAAAGTGTTTCCAGGCAAAAGTTTCAATTTCTAATCTCTAATCGAAATGCAAAGAACATGCTTACAAAGAAAGAGTTATGCTTTACATACTAACACAAAAGCAAAGAAATGAGTACGTAAAAATGAAAATGGAAATAGAGAAAAGCTGGAAAATTGATGCTCATGGAGGTATCAAATGAGTTATTGTTTGAAAATAGCATGAATTAATGCACAAAAAGAGTTAAAGGAAAAACAATTCAGAGAAGGGATATCGTACTGGCTATCTGGGAACAAGTATATACCAGTTTTTTTGTTTTGGGCATCTTGCATAGTAGAACCACACTCATCTAGGTACATGAATGAAACTACTCGTCAGATATTTTTTTTAATAAATGTTTTATGGCCATCACCGTGTCAATGACTTGCGGATTACTATGGTTTAAGGCTTAGGAATCAATAAAGGGTAACCACTGTGACACAAGACATTGATAACAACCACACCAATCATCTTCTCACCCAAAAAAAACTACTAAAAGTTGTACTCAGGACCCTAGTGACTTCATATTGCTATAGAAGAATGAGAATCTAACAGGTGTGTGGAAACCAACCATCAAAAACAACTTTTAACAGGGGAAACCAGAAAAGAGATTTATGAAGCAAAGCATATCTGGTGTTTTCCTGTTATCAATACTTTAATAGGGTTTGCATGTACGGCTGGAAAGCCTATAAGGATGTATCCACCCACACATGTGGAGACTGCCCCTGGTATTCATGCTCCATATAAAATAAGATCATAAGAGTAAGAATTATGTAACAGCATACCGCACAAGAGAACATGTCATCCTTCCCTACTGACTTCATATTGCTATAGTAAATAAGCAGATAAAAAATCCAGAGAATAATGGATGTTGGATCAGCCTCAAGAGCTCGTGACAGCACAGGGAGAGCCTGCAAAACTCAAAAACATAAGATGACAGTAACTGAAGTCTCTGAACACAATTATATTGCTGTAGTCATACACCACAGGAGTTACCTTTCTCAGACCCTCAAGTTCATTAGCCTCCTGGCTGAAAATTAAAAGAGCCATTTCCAGGTATTGATCATTGTCAGCCAAAGCTTGTGTGAGTTGACTCTAAGTAATCAAATTTGAGAAGGAAAGTTAGCACAAACAATGTAACGGACCAATCACATAAGAAGGTTGTTATTAATCAGCAATAACAAACGAAGGACACTAAAAAGTACAGGCATTCAAGCATAAATCATAAAGATCGCATCACACATCAATCATCAATATGCAAAACAAGAGCAGGGCGGGGGTGGTTGTGGGTCTTGAGAGGAGACATTTACAGGGAATTCTCACATGCTCTCATCTTATAAAAATAGATGGAGCTAAGTCCCTTGCCTCAAGTATTTAATAAATTATTTTAGAGCAACAATTCATCACAGGAAAGATTTTGACCTAAATAAAAAACAACCCAAAATATAACAGTCCAAGAATATGGTGAATAGGAGAATTGAGATTGTGATACAAATAAGTTCCTAAACAAGGCATATCATTCACAGCACAAGAAGTTCAAAGAATTCACAGCACTAGAAGATGCAACACACCAAGTAAGTAAACGGAAGTAGTATGCAACACTCGGCATATAAATTAAGTAACAAATAGAGCAAAAATGAATAAACAAACCACTCCGCTGTTACTACTCTGAAAATACGATGACTGTCTGTTCCAACTCACAGGGAACTCCATGTGACTGTCATTTCCATGCAAGAATGGGACATCTTCAGGAACATCTTTCCGAAACAAATTTGACAGCACTAAGAAACGGCTGAAACACTTCTTCCACCATTGACCATTTCTCCGTGCTAGAACAGGTTCATATGAATGCAGCTCAGCTTTCATAATCCCTAAGCCAACGAGATAAGTTGGTGAAGTCATAGCATTGTTATACCAGGGGACTTTTGTTGAATCATCACCCTTTTTTTTATGCAATGTTAATCCAACCTGACGATCTGTTGAAACATTATTTCAAGAATGCAAGATACAAAAAACAGGTTCAAAATTTGTCAAGGGGTTGACCATACCAGCACTACCAGAATTGTCATGCTGATGTTGATGCATATTTGTGTTAGAGTAGTCTTTAACATGTTGCCAAGGACACTCGTCATTGTTGCATTTTCCTCGAAGCTCATACATACAGAGTGGCCAAAAGGGATCAATAGCAGGACCAGTGCTATAAGTGCCAACTTCTCTTCTAGCTAATTTCACCATAGTCTCTTTCAGTGGTTCAACCATAACATTGCTAAACTGGACTTTTTCAGAATTGATACAAGTTGGACTCTGTTGACTTTTAGCTTGATGTTCTATCAAATCTTTTGGGCAAATGACTTTCATATACCCAAAAGTACTCCTCAAGATATTACCACTCAAGTAAAGCCTATCCTCAGAATATGAATTGGAGTGGGAGTTCACAGAAATATTTTCGACGGAGTGCTCTCTTTGGATCTCAAGAGGAGCCTCAGAGGAACTTTTTTCTTGCCCATCAGTGCCTGGAAGGTAAAAACAGAAACGAAAAATAAATAGAAATATACATAAAATAAAGTGATATGTGGAGCAATAGATGATCAAGTCGAAATCTTCGAATACTCTGCTGAATCTGTGCCAAATGGATTCCCGTTGTTGCACTTGATGACAATCATGCATGAGTTCTGAACTAAGGTAACAATAACAGATAGTCTTGAAAGCCATAGATTGTACTGATCCCGTTAAGTTGCAAGTAACTCAAAACTCACACTAACAAAGTAGATATGTAAAATGGGCCGGGCTGGCAGACTGGCACGAGAACAGCACAAGTGCCAGCCCAGCCTTGGCATGACACAATTAAGACAGACATGACACACGTTATTTACCAAGTTTAAGAAAATAAAGACACACACATTGGCCATATAGTGTTAAACTAAGATTAACCTACTTAACTGGCATTAAAAATTAAGTCCATTGAGCATAACACCAACAGTTAAATAAATGGACTTTTTCTGCCTTTAATACGAAAGCTCAGCTCAAACAGGAAGTTACCTTCATGATTCCTTTCCCCTTCAGAGAAGGGAAAGCTCCCTTTAATTTCTTGGGGGTTTTCACTTCTGACATCATTTTTAGTCCCACGTTCCACTGCAACCTCCGTGTTATTACATGAACTACTATTCTTTGACAAGGTTTTTGTCCCTAGGGTTGCAAATAGTTTAGACCTCAACATTCTTTCAAGAAGCACAGGATCCTGGGGACTATCAATAGACATTTTTCTATTTGATTCCTTATCTATTTCCCTTTGCTTGTTTCCAAAATCTGTGTTTTTATGACATAGAACGTTAGGTTGGACTGATTCATTTTCAAATGAAAATCTCGCTTCATCTTCATCTTCATCTGCAGAATTATTTAGTTCATTGGATGGAGAGCAAATTCCATCTGCACCATTATTTCCCAGAAGAGGCACTGGCTCTGATGTGCTAGAATCTGGTTCACTGCATGGTTCTGTCCCCATGTTTTGTTCGCTTAAATGCTTGTACGATGTGTGGATATGAGCATTGTTAACACATTGGATGTTTGAATCACAAGCCGCTGGGTTACAACCATCATCCTCAGGATGCATCTGATGGCCTGAGGTAGGTATTAGATCCATATTTTCAGACACGTTATTAGTGAGATCCAACCCAATTCCAGCTTGTTCATTCTGCCTTGAGGACCATATCAAACTGGAATTGTCCATAATAAAAGACCGCAAGTTGGCAGAATAGAGTTCTCTTTGACGATATAGATCAGTACACCTAACATTGGCCTGAAGCAGATCCCTCTGTGCTTTACGATAAGCTTTTAGAGCATTTTTTTCTTCAATTTCACACCTTCTCCTATTCTCTTGTGCTTCCTCCAGATCCTTGTCCAGGTTTTCCTCCATTTCAACCAAGGAATGTATGTCACCATTTGTTGTGACATTTGCATTACCAAAACAATTCCACAGGCTTGCATTGTTTAGAGATGCCTAAACAATTAGAAAGAATGAACATTAACATAATTAATAAATAACATTAAAAAAAATAAAGCAAAAATATACAACCATACTGATGTAGCGGATACTAGTGTTCATCCATTATCATGTCTAATCTTAGAATTTATCACTTTGTTATGGCTTTAGTGTTTTTCTTTGATCACTTCACAATTTATCTGGTTTTATTGCCCCTGTAAATAGGCCATCATTTTTACATTAAAGATTAAAATTCATTGATGACTTAAAAGCCTCAGATTTCTCTCTGTTCATTGTCTATTCTTCTCTCCTCTATTTCTTTCCTCCTAGTTTTTCTTCTGTTAGTCCTCTACCAGTTCTACATCACAGACACACCAGAAGCCATTAACTTTTCCCACTTAGAGACCAGAAAACACACCTGACATATATTGTAGGAGGGATCAAGTTTCTTGTCACTGGCTATGACTTCCTGATGGTCAGCACTCCTCAGTCGATTCTTTCCTGATGTTGATTTTTTCAAGAAGGAACCTGGTTCTAGATGGCCACCATCCCCATTTGTATGATTCAACTCCACGGTGTTCTGTAAAGTTAAAATGTACTAATAAACACAATGGGAAACTTTTGAAAATGAAAACATAAGCACCAAAAAAACTTCTCAATAAAGTGTACATCAGTAATCAAGTGTCATATCCAACCCTAAAGCAAATTGATGTTTTTTTTCAAACGAAGTCAGGATGGATTAAGGTTATGCAATATAAACTGCGTGAAAGTGCAGATCCCAATTACATGAGGTATCATCTCTTCATGTAAAGTTCGGTGTTTTCTGCAAGCCAGAAATAACTGTTATGGAAACACCTTACACACCAGTTTCATACTATTTTAAAATTTCACGAACCTCTTTATGAGACATATTAAGCACAAACAGCCAAAGATGGCTGCACAAGTTTGATCAATAAAAGGAAATCTTCAATTATGAAAATAATATTAGGGCAGGTGGAAAGGAAATGGTATAGTTCAATCTACAATATCATATTAAGCTAATCAGATGTAGTACTGTCATCACTAAAATATTCACTTACTAAATTCTTTGGTAAATTATTGCAAGTCATAATTTCTTGTGATGTCCCCTGGTTTAGTGTATCATAAAGATCAACCATCTTACTCCTCCCACTGGACTGGATGCATTTAGTATCGATGCCAGCACCTGCAGAACAAAACCACCCTGATTGGTGAGGCATCTAACAGTACTAACTAGGGTAAGTTTCAGAAAAACGAAGATATTCACCATATTTCATTCCACTAGGAATTTTTTCCAAAATACCAGCAGCATGTTTATCATTTTGACTTTTCGATTTTTCAATGCTTGACTCTGTTGGACCTATTGGAATTCCTTTCTGGCCATGATCGATCTTAACTATCTCCGGTGGATTATTGTTTTCCACTGCTGGGAGTTTAGATGATAAAGTAGATTTTGCGACAGGTATATCTTGTGGGCCAAGTGCACTTAGCTGGGTGGAAAAAGAGCCACCAACTTTCATACGTTTCTTATCTGGCTCTTTCAGTTCTCCCTCTATTACATCAGAATATCTCGCACTGGATTTACTAGCTTCATGTGTAATTGATTCCTTAGTTCTCTGGGCAGACTTAAGCTTTAGTTCGCTTTCCCGGAGTGCAATCTGCTGCCGCAAGTCCTGCAGTTTACTATTGTTCAAGCCCACACCTTGATCATATCCACGCTCTCGGCTCACTACATTTTTGTTCATGGTATTAAAATTTCTAACTCGAGATCCTTGATTAACTGATGAAGGCCCAGAATCCCTAGAATTAACTCCGCGGATTTTGGTCATCGACGAGATAAAAGTACGATTCATAGACATTTTTTTGGGCATTACTTTGTCCACATTCCTGGCTGTCTGTCGTAAAATGTTTGATCTGGCAAATGATGAAGTAGGTGGTTTTCCATTGGCTACCACTCCAGTCACATGACTTTTCATTTCCCTGGCTTTCTCTATCCTGTGCTCTTTTTCTCCAGAATCACTGTCATCATCTGAGAAGCGTATCACAAGATCATCGTTGGCACCCAGAGGGGCACGCCATCCCGGTGTGGCAGATTTTAATGGTATTCGGTTTTTATCATTGATTTTCTGGGAAGTAGGTTGTACGGATGTTTGGGACCGAATATCAGCAGAGCTTGCAAGAACATTTCCACATAGAGCCTTACCTGTTAGATCAACATAAATGCATGACTCACTTCACCACACATCATGAAGAAAATAAATAAACATAAATTATGCAAAGCTATCAGAGCACCATGAGAGATGCAGATGTACCAGGAAATATTAGGTGTAATATGGTGGTCTGGTATTTAACCACGTTATTTAAAGGGACAAGATGCCTAAAAATTAAGTGTCCAGCTCTGGTACAAAAAACATGAGGCACCATGAAGTCTGTGTGGGAGTTGCCATCAAGTGCAAGAATTCATAGCATCCATGTATTGTTTACAGTGTGTTTTCTTTTAGCCCGCATGACTACAAGTAATTTTAAAACGTTTAAAGCAGGGTATGAAGAAAAATCAGCCTCTGTCAATGCGATTTGGCACAACTTGGGAGTTGAAATTGGTGCTCTATATGAAACTTCCCAACTTCAAAGGATGTTTAAAAGAAAATAAAAGAGAAGAAAGGACACATGATCTTTCATTAGCTTTCCAAGCAAGACTTACCCTCTTGAGTACCTTGGGTGAACTTGTTCAATGGTGGAACCAGCATGACCCCTGAAGTAGGTACACTGCTAGCAGTGGAATGTGGAACGGAGCAAATGGTATTTTCCTGTGGGATAGAGAGTGCCGATTTAACACCTTCCAACAATATTTTTGCAAATACTTTGGAGGGGGGCATTAAACAATAATAACCCTTGAAAAACCACATACAATAACAAACATTTTGCTATAAAAAAAAAGAAAAAAAAAGCAGGTGATATCTAAGGCATACCTAAATGCTACAAACAAACTCAGATTTGAAGAAACACTGATTATTGAACATATCACATATTTAACTACATATAAATCACTACACACATGTAAATAAGGCATACCGCATGGGGGAGTAACTTAGACAGCAGAACTATGAAACAATTGATTAATGGAAACAAAAAGTCAAATACATTAATAGGCAATTGAAGAAGATCAGCACGCAGATAATCTGAGAAGTGATAAAAACCTTATTCTCTTTTACCACAAACACCCCAACAGTGCTTAATACATTATAACAATCAAACCTCCACTCAGACACTGGATATCGTAGCATAATGAAACAACAATAAACACTATGCTCCAATCTCAAATTTCACCTCAATTTTAACCCCCAAAGAAATGAACTCACACGAAGTTCATATAAAACTAACACCCTTACTCAATCTAATACAGCAGGTTAACCTAAGTCAAGGGGAACTTCATTCTCTAAAAACCAATCTATCATCAGAAATTGATTCACAACACTTGCAGAAACCAAACAATAATATATGCATATAGATACATATCTATGTATGCATATCATCAAAATGAGTTGGAAACTCCCAGATTCAACAAGGAATTGGAACAAATCGATATAAAACTATTGCAAACGAGCTAGGGTTTGGGAAGATGGAAAATACGTCGTCATCGTCGGAAGACAGCTCGCCTTCTTCCCTGATTTTGGCAGGATGAGGAGAGAGCTCCGAGTTAGGGCTCTTGTTCGGAGGCTCTGGTGCCGTCTGCATAGCTTCGTCCTCCATTGTTGACTCTACCGCACAGAGCCGAAAGCGCGCAGCACACTTTCTAGTTTCAGGCAGTAATTTCGTCGAGCATTTTGGGGGCTATGCAATAGAGGGCTTAGAAGAGTCAATAAGGAAAGTTTTTGGGGGCTACGCAATATATATGTGAATGTGAATGGGGTCAAGTTTTTGCTGACTCTTGTGTTGTGGTGTGTGCGGAGAATGGAGAGACGGTTTGATTGAGGGTGTACGGACACGGAGTGTGACGAAAGCACGACGTGAACTCGCGATGAGGTGGAGTAGGTGGTTATTATTCCCGCTTGCAAAAAAATATCCCTCGTCTCACTCTCGTTCCTTTTACGCGTCGTTTTGGGCTTGTGTAAAATAAAAACACTTGTTTATAACTTTTTTTTACAAATTACAATTGCTCAATGTTTACTAATTCATAATTGGGTGAACATGAATAAAATTGATGAGAATGGTTAGAATCCGAATCTCCAATGTATGAGTGATTGATGAGAATGGTTAGAATCCGAATCTCCAATGTATGAGTGGTACGGATTTCTTATAATTTGTTTACTAAATTACCATGAATCATAATTGAAACCAATTTGATTACTAAAATGCCCCTATTGTTTGGTTAAAGTAGATTGGCAAATTTGAATTTTTAAAATGGTGTGAGGATATAATGATTTAAAAAGATGAATTTTGATGGGTTAGTTCTCCATGAATTAGATAACACCACCCAACCATGAATTAGTTCTCCATGGATTTGTGTGGGCCCCACTTGCATTTCATTCATTAATATGAACTAAACACACGAGTAATTTATAATCGGAATCAAACTCCTTATTTGAATTCTGATTACGAATTAGTAAACATGTCATAAGTATTTTTAACTTTTTATGCCAAACACAATTAAAAACGCTGATTATGATCTATAATGGCTAAAAAATAATTCAATCTTAAAGCAGTTTAGCCCAATCATAAGCATTTACTTCAGTTGACACACACATCTAAAAATTTAAAAGAAAACTTACATAACACAAGTTCATATCGCGTGATGAAAGAAACAACGTGAGTAAATTTCATAAACTTGTTCACATTTAATGACAAGGAGGTTAAATGTATACGTGCATGAATGACGAGGAGGTAAATGATGTTAGCGAGATTCTAGCTTAATTGGGAGATTTATTTCCTAGTTTCTTAAGACTCTATTTCTTTCATTTTGTACAGATATTGTGTAATTATGATTTTATCTTGTTTCCTTGTTTAACCATACTAGAGTTACATACTTGTATTATAAATACTTCCTTTTGAAAAATGAAATATAATTTGAAAATATTCTACCCATATTATTTGACTGATGAATATTGTTCCAATTGTCTAATAGGAACTAGCGGATCATTTCTAACGGTCACACCGTCATGTAGTATTACTAATCCATGTATTATAACATAAGTGGATGCCATAGTTAATATGTTATGGACTTAGAAGTGTGATTGTCACACCGAAAAATTACTCATATATATATATATATCCAATCACAAAGCTCTAAGCCATGTATAAATAGAAGACCAAAATTAATGAGGATGGTAATATAACATAAGAACCATATACATATATCTTAGCATTGGCGTGGTCATCTTTCATTTCATTTCTTTTTACAAGTAAAGAGGAGGTACAAGTTGCCAGTACAATTAAAGAGATTACATTACATATATATATATATATATATATATAGCAAAAGCCATAGCTAGTTAGCTATATATATGCATACATAATTAATTAGAACCTAGAGAGAAATTGCATTTGCTTGAGAAGAGGAGTAAGGGTTTCCATCAGCTTCTCACATGGATGATTGTGAACTCCTTCATAAGTTGTAACGACGATGCTTGTGTCCTTTGATAGCCTCTGAACCTGCTTTTTCACACTGCATGTGTGATGTGTGCATCGATAGTAGCTCCTATATATGAAAAATATTTGATATTGAAGTGAGAATCAAAGCAATATCTATTTTATTTGTGCTGTGTTTTCCAAGAACAAATTATAATATATATATATATAGCAATTAAATCAATGAATAACCTGGGATACAAGCTGTTCTTGACGGCTTTCTGCCCATATTTTCTCCAGCGGTAGCCATCATCAAGAATATCATCGGCACTCCGAGTCTGGAAGGCAAACCTAGGCCTGCCCGCTTTTTTCATCACACTAATTTTCCTGCCCTCACCACCTTTCCTTTTATTGCTACCCTTTTCTTCCTGAGCAGCTTCAATAACATTATTTTCATTATTATTAACCTCCACCATAGCAGCAGGCTCATTAGTATTAATCTGATGATCATGATGACCAGAGAGAAGGCTGATCCAGTCAATGTCTGGAAGCTGGGCTTGCTGCTGATGATGAGGCTCTGGAAGAGGAGGAGGGTTCATTGAGGTTGAGGAGGATGGGAAAAGGTAGGAAGGGTGGGGTGGCAATAATGGTAGTGATGACGATGTTGATGGAGGTGGATAGTATTGCTCTTGATGACCTTCCATCACTGCTGGTGCTTATAATTTACTGAGAAATGAATGACATGAGAGAGAGAGAGAGAGAGAGAGAGAGAGGAACTGAGAATGTTTGGTGATACCCAAGTGTGTGTATATATATGTATATAAAAACGTTCAACAAAGTTGAAGGTGGTGGAAGGTGAAAAGAGGTTGGGCTGACCCACAGTACATGTGTGTGTAAGAGAGAGAGAGAGAGAGAGAGAGAGATGGATTGTTGCTTACTGCACGTACTAGAGAGTTGAAACTTGAAACTAATTGAAAAGAGAAGGCTAAGCTAGAGTGTTGATCATCTATTTTTACTCCCTGTGAGGGGTAAAGCCAGCCAACTACATCTCAACTACTTCTGTTGAACTGCCCTTTCAATCCAAATGAGAGAGAGAGCGAGAGAGACGTGCCTCATCATACATATCGTTATCATCAATGCATGCATTTGCATGCTCTCTCTCTCTCTCTCTCTCTCTCTCTCTCTCTCTCTCTCTCTCCTGAACGAGAACAAGAATCTTGATATAGCTAGGTTTTTCCTTAGTTTAATTCATATATATGGAACTTTAATTAGCACACATGTTCAAGAATCAAATTGCTCTACAGAATTTAGTTTTGTTGATTAGATACGGCTTACCAACCAAAAAAGGGACCCAAGAGGATAAGGTCGATCTTGACCATTCAGGTCACTTTTGCCAGCTTTCCATTTCAATTATAAATGAGAAATGAGAAATTAAACCCACCCTTCTCACTACTTAAAACATCCTTTTTATACTGGTTTTTGATTTAACATGGAGAGCCTTCTAGTTTGCAGATGCCTAGGAGACAAGAATAACAAGAAGCATGTTTTTATTACAGATTCAAGTTGCGAATTTTCTAAGCCTTGTGGGGCAACAAGCAAACCATCTGATTTTGATAAATCTAAAAACTATCCTAATTCGGAGTAGAAAGAACAAAAAGCTGAACCCCTTTAGCTCTTAGTTTTTCAAGCCTGATGTGGGTCGGGAACCAGTATCCTAATTCGGTCACCTAGATGGGTTTTTCAAGCCTTACATGATGAAGGACACCCAAGGCAATCTGATATCAAGTATGGTTGGATATACACATTTTTGCATAATGAACGTACAAGAGATTGAGTTAATTAGAAAATGTACATATAATCGTGAACCAAGAACCCAATTGCTCTACCGCCTTAAATCTTTGAGATTTTTGCTGAGTTGATTGTTGAAACTCATAAGAGAATGCCAATGCACATTTCTCTCTTGGTTTACTAAATTTCCTGCAGTATAATGGAGGAAGGAAAGTAAATGCCTACCGGAAAACAGAAGAGCAAACGCTTAAATCGGCATAAAGTAGCCAAGTAGTGCTTTAAATGACGACTTTTAACCATTGGCGGCGGGTTTTTCTCTTAGGCGATGAATTTCTCAGCTATCGTAACGAAAATAAGGTACTCCAAACTTGGAAAAGCAATTAGCGACGCTTTTTACCGTCGCCAACCGTCGCAAGTAATGTTTTCGTCGACGGTTTGTAAAACCGCTGCTAAAAATGGTCATATTAAAGCCCTTTTTCCTTCCAGCTCTGTCTGTAGTATTTTTTAACTTTTTTCCATAAACAATTCTAGTTTTAGGAAATCTCCCGTCATTCGAAAAGGCACACCTTCTCTTATATGGGTCGTGTTCATAAATAAATATTTCACTCAAGTTTCTTTTTAAATGAAAATATTGTGCAGATATGAATAGCTTCGATGCAATAGTGAAACTATCCATAAATTCAAGTGCTGAGCCTAGCTTTAACCACCAAAAGCATGAACGAACATACAGAAAATATCAATTTTGGCACCTACAGCCTAAGATTTTCTGTGCTAGCTTCAACTCTTCAACCAACACTCGGTACTTACGCTTCAACTGAATTGCAAAAACTTTATGCAAGAACAAAATGTGTGTTGGATCAGCTGATGATCATCTTATTAAGGAACTCAGCTTTCTCAGGAAAATACTCCAGCAGTTCATCCTTGGTCACCCAAACAAAATCCTCACACTTCTTAATGTTGAACTTGTTGGTTGCAATCACTTGAGACTTGAAAAAGAATTGCTGAAAAGGGGAAACCAAATGTCAAATTGTGATCAATCTTCAATATTTGATAGTAGGAATCATAGGGAGCACCAATATACGTTTTGATATTTATCGGCTAAAGCCAGTGGAAGACAGAAAAAAAAAACGATTTACAAAAGCATACCTTAACATATGGAGAGTCTGGCACATCCTCTGTTGACTGTGTAGCCATATGGCCCATGGGGGCATTTCCAACAAAATATGTGTGTGACAGATCTCCCAAGATAGATTTTAATGCAGATTCTGCACACTGAAATACATGGGATTAATGAGACCGAGCACTGAAAATACATGGGATTAATGTGACCGAGGAAAAGAAAAAAAAAAAAACAGGATTTAAGGAGAGAGAAGTGTACAACATCATATAGCAACCATCACCTTCCGCAATGTCTCTTCAGACTGGTAAACTTTTTCTGGAAAATGCCAGACTGACTTCCCAGCAGATCCATCCGTGTTTCCATAGAGAAGAAGATATAATCTTCTGTCAAGTGCTCTTTGCAATGACCTAAAGAACAAGAAAATCAACTTTTAACATTCCAGACCTTATTTTTTGTGCTTCTCACATATAGGACAGGTATTTCTCAAAAAAATGTCAGTTTCAAAATCAGTCCACATACGGTTATTTTATTAAGGACCTAATGAGTTGTTAATTTTTTCTTCTTTTCTCTCAGCAAAAGAAGTTTAACTAGCTACTACCAGAAATATCTAATCGATCTGATAACTCCAAGTCACAAGCATACATGGCATCTTGAAGTTCCTTCATTTAAACCTAAATAAAGTTGTATTTTATTAATCCAAAAAGGAAGAACAGCCGGGCATCAAGAAAGAAAGCTAGAAAGTACAGGCAATTAGGTATTGACCAAACCAAACAATCAATAAAAATCAGTCAAATGTCCAACCACTAGCAGTAAAGGACAATTATCTGTCTTCTAACTTCCAAGAGGATGTAGAAATGGTTTTAAAATAATATGAACAATGAATCCCACAACTTTCTAAGCAATAAGAAAATTTCAGGTACTTCTTAACTTGAAATAAAATTGAACGATTTTTTTTCTTTTAAGTAAGAAGAAGAGCAGGATTCTTATATAACCATCATCAGAATTAGATTCCATACTTTCTATCATTTATTTTGTCAGCTTCAGTGATCCGTGGAGCAGGTACATAATCAATATGGTAGTCACCCTTTCCCCTGTTCACCAAAAGAAAGTGTCATGCTAGAGTGATAACTTTTATTTGCAATTGTCTTCTGAGCAGCAAGCGTGAGCAAGGCTTATACAAAAGACGAAAAAAATTGCATATAAACTTAACTTTGCCTATAAAATTTGAACAAAATGAATGAAATAGACTCTGCTTTTGTAATGGTGGTTTTGTAGACTAATCAATGCCAATCAGAATATAAAGTTTTCCGTTCTTTATCATGCCTTTTTTTATTACAATTATTCTTGTATTGATGTACCTCTCCGAACATGTACTAAACCTCATCTTTCCTCATACTAATATCAACATCATCCCTTTTCAGAACTCTGAAACACATAAAACTGAGTCCAGAAGGATGCTTGCATGACTTTCATTATTGAAAGAAATAAAACAGAGTCCACTATGTTTAAAGAATGCATATCAACATCTAAAAAAACATTTAACTACGAACAAATTACTCAAGGAGTTGGAGCCATTGAAATTGATAAAATAGTTTGACATAACAATGGACAGAATATGTCTCAATAAACTATGGAAATCTAGGGACATTCCAATCAACACACAGATCTGAGATTGAGATATTTAGATAAATTGGCAAATATACTCAAGAGTAAACTTTAGTGATGAATGCATCCTACGTTTTAAATTTAGTGAATAGAACAGAAGTGAAGGGCCATTATGTGTTTCCTACAGTAGAAGTCAAAAGAAGCACCAACATTATATTTGTTTCCATTAATGTGAACATGTTATGAAGTTGTGATTAAGTATATAACAACATAAACTGAGATGAACCAGTTAAGCTTTAAAACAAACCTTACCTAGCATTAGACTTATCTAAAAGCTCATCTGGATATATGCGCCGATATTGCTGTCGCCACCGAAACCTAAAATCCAAGGGGGGAAATATTCCAACATAAGCTACTCAACACAAATCCACATAATTATTTAGTTCAACCAAAATTTTGCAAATTTAGGTACTCTTGTCAGCAACTATGACCATAGCACGCCAAAAATCTCTGTTTTTTTGGATTTCAAAAAGCAGTCATCTAACCAAAAAACTAAAATGGCTGTCATCAGTCACTTGCCCAGAGTCTCAAGCAGAGGAATTGAAAGAATTAAACTTATTTACGAGTGATCATAACAATGTCTAGTCCCATCTTTCCAAAACGTAAACCTGAGCTCAGTCCATCTCAAATCCGCTAGACCATATAGTTTCTAACATAAAACGTAACTAAACTTTCAGTTTTTTTCGCTCATTTCTTTCCCACAACTTCCTCTGCAACAAAGCCCTGCCCTAGTTTCCCATCTACGTCTAAGTTCATTTTTCCTGCATTTTCTGAGCAACCAAACAGAAATAAAACGAGGAAGAAAAACAGAGAGGGATTAAAGAGCGAACTTACGCGAACTCCTGATATGCATAAACGACGGGGTCGATTTTGGGAATGACAACAGGCAACCTCTCGAACAGTACGGACGCGACGATTTTCTCGGAAGAAGACGAGCTCGTGGAAAACCCTCGGTCTCTGACCAGAGGCCCACGCAAAATCGTAATCGTTCTCTGCATTTCTGGATCTCCAACGACAAGAATCAAAGTGGAGATTTTTGGGAAAAGCCCTTTCTAAAACCCTAAATCAGGCTCAGTATAGTCTAGTGTGACCTGATCTGAAAATGGTCCTTCTACTGCTACTATTTACAAATAATAGCCATTACAAAAAAATAATAATAATAATGACCGCTTTTTGCTTGTGATCGACACGTATCCCATTTCTGGCTGCGTTTCACGAATCATGCGTGCCTCTGAAGACAACAATTGTTAACCGCCTTCGGCTGGCCATATACATTTTCTGCACCCATTAAACCTCTCTTTCAGTGACTGAGCGAGCTTTGCAAAAGCAAAACCCCTTCACTGTCCGTACTGTCACTGTCCTCGCGAAACCTCAGCTCTCAGCGTTTACCGAAAATGCCCCGGGGTCTGGACATGTCACTTGACGAGCTCATTGCGAAAAGGAAGAAACCCGGAGGGTATCATGGTTATTTCAGAGGCCGAGGCCGTGGCCGTGGCTACGGCCCAGGCCCAACTCGTCGGCTCATGAACCGCAACACCGTCAGAACAGCGCCGTACTCTGCTCAACCGGTGTGCTACGGTTTCTCTTTTCCTGCATTTTCAAGTTTGATGAGTTTTTCGTCTATTGTTTGGTTGTTGCTGAGAATAAGCACGGAAAAATAAAATAAAAAAAATACTATATATTTATATTTATACTGCAAATTATTTTTTGAATGAGAAAACCAGGGAAGTAAATTTTTTAAGCTTTGTTTTGAGTGTTTAAATTTTCTACGCCAAGTAAATTCTTTAAGCTACACTTTCTCAGCAACCAAACAAGCATTTGGTTCTGTGTATTTAGCTCTGTTATGTATGAGGTTTTTGTTGTGTGTTTTTAATGTGGGTTGTAGATTATGCAAGTGGTGAGAACAACCGTTGAGCAAGAAATGGAAGTGAGCGGAGGCACAGACACAGAGGAGGGCACCAAATTATACTTATCTAACTTAGACTATGATGTTTCTAACAGCGATATTGAGGTAGTTCTTTTGTTCTTTTTAATTTTTAGTTCGTTTCTGTTATATGCTTTCTTTGTTTGTGTCTGCATATAATGTGTTGGGGTTTGGTGAAATTTCTATGTGGGTAAAGAGGGCACAACTATGACAAACATGAGTTTTCACCCCCAAAAAAACGAAAAACAGAAGAAGAAAACAGAGCTGTATATATGGTTATGTGGTTGGCTTCCAGATTCTGAGATGGGGTTGCAGGTGTGCGGTGTATACATATATGGTTACTATATTACTGTGACCCTGAATCTCCGTCTGGGGTTTGTTTGAAATGGGGTCTGTCTTTTGATAGTCTTTGTAATCTATGTAGGATTGGGGGTGGAGTGCTCAATGAGCAAGAAAAGTTCTCCTGGAACCAAGATTGAGAATGTGTCATTTCATGCCTCCTGTATATAATGATTTTTTTTTGGATATGCACTGAATTCTTCCAATCTAGTGTTATTAGGATGGGTAATTAAACTTGTGTGTTTTGTGGCAGCATTTGAAAAACAAAGTACATTGATTTTCAACACTAGTCTGTATTCATTTGTTTTATTTCTTTGGTTTTTGCTTGTATACATGGAAATGTGCATGCATGGTGTTTATAGGGTATGGTTCTGTAGTTGCTAATAATACATAGGACGCTGCTCAGTCCTCAATGGATGTTTCTTAATTTTTCTTACTGTTGTTAGGCTAGGACTTCTACATGACAATTGGTGCATCAGCACCCATCTTATGTTCTAAACTTAATCTTCTTTGGACATTATATATGTATCCACAACTTGTTGGAAATTAAGTGGAAAAGTTAATAACTACAATGCAACCTGGCAGTTGCTCTTCTCTGAGATTGGTCACGTGAAACGACATACAGTCCATTATGATAGGAGCGGAAGATCAAAGGTATCTTTCCAGTTTTACATTAATAGATTGTTTAAAAGAACAGATTGTCTTTTCGTGGCTTAGAAGGTTTGCTTATATTTAGGGAACAGCGGAAGTCATCTTTGTACACCATTCAGATGCTCTTGCAGCAATTGAGAAATACAACAATGTTCAGCTTGATGGAAAGCCAATGAAAATTGAGCTTGTAGGAGTGAATCCTGTTGCTCCTATTTCTGTGCCTCCAAGAAGCATTCCGGGAAATCCAAACTTTGTCTTCCAAAGGTATACAGTTTCTCTCTCTCTTTTGGGTTTGAATCTATATTCGTATACTGTGTATCACTGTCAATTGGGCCAAGCTAAATTTTTGGGCAACTTCTGTCACATGCTTGAAACTGCAGTCTAATACTGTTGAAGAATTCTGTTAAAATGGTTGTCATTTTTTGCACTTTTAGACCTGCATTTGGTCAGTTACACTCGAAAATAGCACTATTAGGGAAAGGGATTCCAATAGTCTTTCAACGTATTTTTTGTCATGTTCTTGGGCAGTAGCCGAGGAAGAGCTGGTGCTAGGGGATTGTTTCATGGCCGTGGTGCTGGTGGGTTTCGACTTGCAAGGGGCAGTGGACAGGTGAAGAAGCCTAGTGGGAAGGTGAAGAAGCCTCGTGAGAAGGTGACTGCAGAAGATCTGGACGCCGACTTGGAGAACTACCGCCTAAAAGCTATGCAGATATGAATTGCTCACACTGGTAGTTTAGGGGGTTAAGTCACAAACTGGCAATATACATATATGGAGCATTACCTTTTTACTAGTATTACTTGCTCCTTTGAATCTATCTTACATCATTAGGAAGTTCCAAGAGTTATAGTAACAGAAAACAAAAGATACATGTTTATGCATGGACATCACTGATAGATTTTTCGGCCGTTGTTGGCCAGCAAAATACTTCTTCCTGGGTTCTGATCGTCGGAAAAGTACTTATATCATATGGTTGATCATTTCTATCGGCTTATGTTATGGTTCACTCATTTGTTATAAGTTTATTTTCAAGCATCCTTAATGATTTTATGTTGGAAGCATTTCTAGTCAGTTTGGGTCAATACGAATGCTACATTTTCTTTACATGATTTGATGAAATTAAATTACATCAACACGTCAAGTGGCGTATGACGAGATATTTTTAGGTGCAAAAGTAGCAAAAAAACTTATATGAAATGGGGATAGCACTGTGTTGCTATCCCCGGCCAATAACACAATGACATGTGAAAATGTTATCCTACGTGTCATTGCATTATTGACCAGGATAACAAAAAGTGTTATTCCCATTGCAAGAAGGTTTCTCTCCAAAAGCAGGGGTGTAGCGATGTAGGCCTTGGCCCCCTAAGCTTTTGCTTTCGTGATTATCAATTGAAATATGGCACTGGGTTTGTGTACTCCTTCACACGCGCGCGCACACATAATTGTCCAATATAGAAATCATTCAGCAAGGTTCAAGAGAAGGAATAAATAAAAACCAATCATACTTCTCTCAGAAATCAATCGCTTGGATGTCATACATGAAAAACAAAATTTCTCAACAGCCATGCCAAAAAGCTAAATTTCTCTACAGCCATTTTACAACAATCAACAATTAGTCGAAGGAAACAAAGGGAAAAAAAAATCACATATTTACAATGTCAAAAATAAACCTGAATATCCAAAAATCATAGCAGGCACATTTTAGGATGCCCTGAAAAAACAGACACCCAGTAATGCCCCTAATAATGGAATTAGAGGGCCTAGCGTCCAATCTTACCCTCTAACCTTGGTATCCAGTCCACTAGACATACAAAGATCGATTCTCTTCTCGTTGCTGTCGGGTTGATGGAACCTCTATGAGTTAACAAATGTAAAAAGGAAAAAAATTATTACCCATGTATTCCTTTCATAAACGCCAGCATCAAGATCGCCTTCAGGAATTACAAAAACATAATGAAGGCTTTGAGGAAAATGGAAATCTTGATTCTGTACAGTATATTTTCCAAAAGTTTCCCATAAGGTCTCTTGGCATCGTAATGCACATTAACTGCACTGCATTCACACAAAAAATATATATTAAAAAAAAAACTCCGGCATAATGTCATGATCATGCTACAAATAATAACAATAATAATGAGTTCAAAAAAATTAATGGTTATGAAACAGAAAATAATCAGATTATTTCCATGCGTACATGTAACAAGAATTTGGCCGATTCAAGTTGAACCTAGATAGAAACAAATTTATTGGGGTCCAACTAGAGCCAAAAGTTCAAATAAATAATAATGCATGCATATATTGACGCAGTTGCATATATATACCAGCAATAAAATAGAAGGCAGAAAACTGGTGTTCGGAAATACAATGATAACATAAATGGACCACTTTTATTAGCATTGAAGATAGGTGGCAGTACCTGGTGATATGTCTACTTGTTAGGCCCATGAATCGCAAGTCCAATGGCAGAACGAAAGGCAGAAGAAAAATTAAGCATTTCCAAAAATTTCTTGAATGACTTGCGCTCTTCGTAACTTCTTTTCTTATGAGTCCCCAGTCATAATCCTTCAGCTGAACATGAACTTCATATATTTTACAAAACAAAGGCGCCCCCCAACAATTGACTACATAATTGTACAATATGGAGAGGAAGATTTGAGAAGTAGATATCAATCTGTCTCAGCATTTTCTAATAATCTGAGAAAGACAACCACAAGGCACTGATTGCTGATGTTGGAGCATTGTGTCCTGTAGGAAAGACTTTCCAGCATTATCCAAAAAGTGAATGCATCTCCTACCCTCTGTCTTTACTATTTTTTGTCAGAACTGCAACATTTTGTCTTCAACTCCATTTCTTAGCCACTTTAAGTACCTTCAGAAATCATATTCCGAAGAGTTCCATGTATGCTTACAAAATTAAGCTTATCCCAGTTGAAGAATAGCATAAGCATCATAGAGGTGGGACGAAGCTCTGTGCTTGGAAGCATCAACAAATCTGCATCACCAGATTACAACCCAGTTCCAAGATCATTCGCCAGCTGCAGTATTCCACGCATCTGAAGATATGGATTTTCCAACAGCTTTTCATTGTTGCTCTGCCCAGAGCAAACACGGCAGTGAGATGTGACTATCCAGTCCCAAAACTAGCAATGCTATATTAAAGTAATTGAGAGACAACCCAGATTTCAAAGCAATTTTTTTTTTTAAAGGGTAGAAAGAGGGCCAATAAGAAAACAATAAGTTTACAAGGAATTGGAATGCAGCTCTTCTTACAAGTATTTATAAACGATGATTTACATCTTTTTTAACTGTACTTCTGACATGTGTAGGCAATAAGTTACCTTGTAACAATCTCCTCTACTAGCAGTTACAAATTTGCCAACCATGTTAATCAGCAATACAAACACAAATACAAGGATGAGTAATTCACTAGAAATAATCTCTCTATACAGGATAAGGAAAGGCTGGTTTCAGAATAATAACGAATGTTTCTGGCTCTTCTTACAAGGAATAGGAATCCAATGGTTGAATGCTATATTAGTTGCTTATCAGGATGCCTAATAGTATCATACTTCCCAACTGTGTTATTTAGTCAAACATAATCTTCCAATATGATATTGCTCCTATAAAGAAAACAAGTTCATATACTTCAATGTTTCTTTGTCAGGATTTGTATATTTCGAACACCATATCAAAATCAAAGGTGTGACAATAGAATAATTCTATGCTAAAAAGATGACATTATCTTTTTCAGGAATCATATATTAAATTGTGCGATGGCATGCAACGCATTAAAAACAAGGCCCACCTGCTGAGCCCTAACAACAAGATTCTGAAGCATGTGTTGGTACTTTTCAGGTTTTTCTGTCATCATCCGCTGTTAAATACCAAATTAAATATGTTAGCAGGGTATATTTCACCACATACTCAGTACATTGTAATTTGTTGGAAGAAGGGAGAAACAGCATTCTTGCCTTCAGAAGAAAAGCTGAAGAGTAATATGCCACCCTCGAGTCTGTATCATCCAAGAGTTCCCTGAATTTATGTCTTAAAAGTAATTACATATCAAATCACACACACAAAAAAAGGAAAAGATAGCAAGATCATGCAATGGTAGCATTAGCATAGAATTTCAGAATCACCTAAAAAATTCTTCCCCACCAACTTCCTGGAAAGCAGCAGGATCTGCAGTACATTTACCAATTAGAAGTAACAGAAGGGTAGCTCGTATGTCAGATGTGGCACCAGGAAGGTTCCCTCTTCCTTTGCTTCCAACAGCTATACCCAACGCAATGTTGTCCGTTGCTGCACCAGCAAGTTGAATCAATGGCCAATAGAACAAAGCAGCTGGAACACGTGTAACCAATTGCATGGGAACTATGGCATGTCCTCGAAGAAGCAGTGCTGCCATTGATTCTGTCTCATGATCAAGACGATTGTTATTACTGTAGACAGGTCTGCCACTGGCTTCTTCCATACGGATATCCTGGTCAGAATTTTCTTTCTCATCAACTTTTTTATTTCCCTCCATGGAACTAAGAACCCTACCAAGCTGTGAATCATCTCCGAACTCTGTTGCATTTGCTAGAGGAACTCTCAAGCACAATTGAGAGAATAGGATGTCACACATCTGTTTAAAAAAACCAGGAAAAATAGGAGATAAGGGAGACAGAATACTCTATGCTAATCAAAAGATGCACAAGGGAATTTCATTAAATCATGAAACATACACGATGCCTTAGGGGAAAATAAAAATGGACTCTGCATCAGCCCAAAGCAAATTCTCCAATATTGTTGAGGAAAACAGATTTGCTCTAGATGAACTAAATTTTATTTTTCATCTCTTTTCTCTTACATTAAAGCATATTAGTCAGAATTCCAAGCCAGTAAATATTTTTTTTATAAAAATATACTTTGTCATGATGCCAAGCCTTATCAACATTATACTAATAATGTCTAGCATTAAGGGCAAGAAACATTCAACATATAACTAGTACGATTATGCGCAAACAAACATTTTACATTCTCATTTGACCCAGCAGCAAGGTAATTAGAGAAGTACTTCAGAGTCCCCACAATGCAATCTGTTAAAATATTCGAGAAGTGGTACACCTTATGTGTTCCCAAACATTCAAATTCAAAGGTAGCATTCATAGACAAAATGTTAAAAACCATTTAATCAAAGCATATGCATTTAGGTCGGTTGCCTCTTCCTGCTTTTGCATTATATGCATCTCTAGGACCTGAAGACCATCTGTAACATCTAGTGAAGACATTTTCTAGTTCTTAAATAATTACCTTCAATATATTGATGCGATCTGTTTCGTTTATCTGAAAAACCAAGGACAAGGCAGTACTCATGATGTCTATCACTGCATTAGCTTTCTCAAGACGGCTGTCTTTGCGTGTATTGCCAATATCACTTCCAAGTGATTGCTGGATTTTATTTTCATTTAACAAAATTTTACACCTCATGAGAAGCCTTTCAAGAACATACAAAAAGCCCCATCTGATTGAGTTGTGTTTTGACTTCAAAAGCCCACACATAAGCCAAATGGGCAAAGGAACATCAGAAGCAACTGCAGAATCATGAACACCAGCATGGGCAATTTTCTGCTGCATGCTTTTGATATTTGACCATATGCTTGTATTCCTTTCCTCACTAATTTCTGCAATAAGCAGGTCACTTAACCAGACATACCCATTCCGATGGTAAGTAGTTCTTTCTGAATGAAGAAGGGAATGTAAAATGGCCCATGAGAGCTTTGCTTTCATGCCAACACCATTTCTCAGAACTGCCCCTTCAATGCTATCCAGAGACTTGTAAGATTTGGTTATCTGCATCATATGTGAGAACTCCATGTCCAAATGAGTAAATGAACATATTGTTGCACCAAATTTGTCCATCACACTGTCCAACAGCTGTAAAGTGAAAGTAAATTTTAGATAGCAGCAACTTTGATAAATTGTTGTAACTAATTGACTTGTCCAATAAGAAATGAAAATACATAACAAAAAATAACTGTCCAACAATTTATGAAACTGGTGAAATATCTCAGTAAAGCATCAAAGTGCAAATAAAACATAACATGTGATACTCCACAACAGCTCATCAGCCAGCCCACCACCATCCATGCCAACAGTAGGATAGCAAATAGGAATTAAAAAACCCAAAGCGGAGGAGCTGGGTTGTAGTTCAACCTAATCAACTTAATAATTGGTAATCTTACTTTTCAAGTATTCAAGTGAGTAGCTTTGAAGGATCCAGCTCCTCTCTTTCCAAATAAAATAGAGAGTGCTGGTTAGACTTGAATGGCTAAGTCCATGTACCTACACGGGGCCCACTCTGAATGCAGGAGACTGCACCATAGAAAGTCCAAATCAAACAACCAGTCTACCCACTTGCAGTACCAAGGGAAGGGAGCCTTTTCCAGCTCTGGAAATAATGAGAACAAATACACCTACAGGCTACAGAGATTTTGGATTTGAAAGATCAAGTCCAACTAAAGCCTATATGAAATTGATTACACAATCACTTTATAAGTATATAACCATAGACAATTGACTCTGGACACAGGTACTGTTTTGTACAATTTGATACTAGTCAAGAACTTCGCAGAAACCTAATTTGTAGAAATCATATCAGAAATTTATACAGGGTACACACCACATGCAAAAAGGATAGAATTGTTAATGCATGACATGAAGTTCTGGAGTCTTTCTGAGAGGGAGAGACTAAGATATCTGATAGGCTTTTGCTATAGCAAGGCCATGCACAACGACTGCATTTAACAGCAAGGTTGCCCAATGCCCAGATCAGACTCAACATGAAGGTCTGGAGGCTTTCTGAGAGGAAGAGACTAAGATATCTGATAGGCTTTTGCTATAGCAAGGCCATGCACAACGACTGCATTTAACAGTAAGGTTGTCCAATGCCCAGATCAGACTCATGGCCACATATATTACATATGCACTTATCTATTCTAAAAAAAAGATAAAGTCAACCCGATAAAAAATAAAGAAAAAAAAAATGGAACCAATCTCAAAGTCACCTTTTCTTAAGATGAGAACGAACCTCAAGGCACATTTTCAGAATACGAGAACCAAAGGTGAAGGTTAAAAAATTAACTGCAATTAATTGCTTTGCATTGAATTTGCATATAGTTTGAAGAACTCTTGAAAGAGTAAAAAATAAAACATGAGATAAAAAAAAAAAAAAAAAAAAAAAAAAAAAAAAAAGCATACCCACACACCGCATGCACTAACACAATCTTGAGAACGAACAAACAGAACATAAATGCACATTGACTCACACCAACCCAACACACTAACTTTTGAGACATTACCATATTTAGCCGTTCACTGTTCGGATATCTAGACAATGCATCAGAAATAGAACTCCTCAAAATTTCCCCGATGCCTACCAACCCAAGCTTAACAGATATATAAAAAGCTTCGGGCGCATCAGCCAGATTGAGCAGGGCAACAAGAGGCTGAATCTCATCATCGCTATACTCAGTGACTCCGGTAGCTATGCATATTTCATTTATTTGATGCAAGGCATGGTCAAAAAGCACCAAAAAGAGATTTCTCCTTTCCTCCCTTGATTTTGCAAGTGAATACTGCATTGCAAAGAGTTATTGCTTGGAATCAGATAAATTTTGTGGTAGAAAGAAACCATTTTTACAAAGCATGCAAAAACTGTTATAGATTAGTTCCCTAAATCATGACCATAAGAAATAACGTTTAGGTAAAGCTTATCTCAAATAACGGGACTATTGCCATCGTCTATAGGGACATGATATTTGAGTATGTATGTACATTGTCTCCGAAAGTGATTTTTACACATTTAGATCATTAAAATTGCTTTCACATCCCCAAAGAATAAGGATAAGCACTTACAAATTGTGACAACATCAGGCAAATGCTTTACAACTCACAGACAATAAAAGGATTGTGATTACCAAGGGTCTTAGCTAAATGCTAGGAATCAACTCACTACTTATTTCTTTATTTCTAATCAAGCTAATCTTACTTCTTTTTCTTTTCTTTTTGTTTCAGTTTCACGATAAATTATCAGCATACCTCAAGAAAAATAAACTCTATTCCACCAATCAGATCAACTTGCTCCACCAGAAACAATTGGGTACTTGAAACAGCCTTGTTGGTTCCTTCAGGTACTTGATAAAACATGTTTGCTAACATGCTAATAAGCTTGCAATGAACTACTTCGGCCCAAGAATGCTTCCTGCTAATTTCTAGTAGTGCCTTAATAACCTGACAGTAGGAAGTAACATTAAAACCAACATGAAAATCATAACTGATACGATAGACAAGAAATATTAATTGCCTTTGTAGATTAAGGCATTTTTTATACAAACTAGACATATAAGGTCATAAACAGTCTTACGTCTGGTATTATAGGAGAGGTTTCCAATAATCACTACTAAGAACAAACTCACTGTTGAATATTCTCAATGATTACAGCCTTGATATACAAAATTACAAAATATCTCACCCTTATGTCAAGGCCATTTATCCGGTTTCTCAAGATTTTGCCTCTATCACAGACAAAATAAAGCAAACAGCTAAGAGCAGAAGCCCAGACAGATTCTTCGTTCTCTTCTATCTGAAAGAAAGGAAAGAGAGAACTAGATGGTAAAGAACGATGACAATAAGTTCCACGATATAAGAAGATAAAACATACAAAAGGAAAATAGTATAGTTAACATGTGTGCTAGGATTTATTTCAGTGTCAAGAAACTACAGAATTTTCAAAGATAAGGCTAAGGATTTTCATTGGAAGAGGAGCAGAAGTCTGCCATCAGTGTGGCTTCTTTGTCTAAAGGGTGGGAGATATGTTTTAATTCTGACATTTCAACTATAACTTTTTTCGTTTTAGTTGGAAACTTATTTTAGATGGACAACTGGTACGTCTTTCTTTGTATCATTTTCAACTATAAATTAACAGCACTAGTTTGTAGCTTGTTTCATGTAACCTTTTCTCTTGGCCAATTTTTCTATGTAACCTAAAACCAAAAAGTTCCGTGCATCCAAAATGGCAGTGCTATATCAAATATGACAGAGCTAATATACCTGAACAAGAAGAAGCAATATCTCATATAAAATATTTAAAATCCAAGATTCAAAATTATGAATAGCTGAGGAAGCGCCCATCAGAACAGAATCTGATCTTCTCATGCCTTGTGTTGCAAGCTTAGCTTCACTGTCAAAATATGAGTCTTGGGAATACTCTTCTTCAATCGTGGAAGCGTTATCGGTCACCATTGGCTCTAATAAATGAGCATGAACTCCAAGGTTCAAAATCAAATCAAAAGCACGAACCCTACATGTTGTTCTTGGAGAATTAAGCATTTCCTGAAAGATTAAATAATAAAACATTGTAAGCTAATGAACGAAGAAACAAGGGGAAAAAAGAGAACTGCATATTTTAATCATGAAAAATTATAATGTAGTTCACCATCACCTCGAGCATAGACAGAGTGAGAGGGGCAGCAGTTCCAGAATCCAAAACATACCTACAAAAAGAGATTTTCAAAACACAATGAGGCAGAAAACGGGAATTAGTTTTGTGTGTGTGTGTGTATGAGAGAGAGAGAGAGAGAGAGCATACAGAATAAACATATGGCATCAAGAATGAACTGCAATAAGCCAAATGCATAGAAAACATACATGTCAATAACAAGTTTGATAAGGACGCTCACTGCAGCATCCATCGACGGCTTTCCATAGTTATTATTTAATCTAGATGATCCTGTCATCACATTAGCATTCTGCGAAGATGACTCAGAGCAAACTGCAGCAATGACCTCACAAACCTCAGCAGGATTCAACCGCAACGGTTGTTGTTCGCTAATCCACAACCAAAATATGGTGAGTGAGAGATGCAGAAAGAGAGAGTAACATATAACACTAAAAATTTGAATTTCCAGTTTACAAACATAAGTGGAAACTACTACCAACTATGAATTTAACAACTAAGTTGCCCTCTGTTCTAAAACATCAAGAAATTAACAAATGAAAGGGAAGTTTAAAACCAAAACCCTCACACCCACAATCAGAAGTGGACCAAGGTATAAAGAAAACAATGAATCATAATCAACAAAGTTTATTATTTGTTACCTATAGTGACGATACTGGAATAGCGGCTTAGCCCGTGGACGAAATGTGCTCGCCGGAGAATCATCCCTGAAATTTTGGTGTGCAATGTTCAAAATAGAACTTGGTCAAACTTTACTATCGTATCAAACTTATAGTTGCAGAGGATAAGACTAGTGAGTGAAGGTTTAAAAAAAAATTATTTCACAGAAAACAGGGATTAACAAGAGATTAGCTTCAATGTAAATCACCTGGTGGTAAAAGAAATATATCCAAAGGCCAGTGGTTATAAAGAAATATCTTTAAATAAAAATTGGTCACAGGACTATCTTTAAATTTCATGCTTATGTCCTGTTGTAGTTTCTCAGAAATATGTGCAACAAAATTTCTACACAATTTTTTCAAATGCTGTAACAAAGTTCACCAAGATTTCATGACAATGATACAAGAGGGAAGAGCATACCATATTTGACGAGGGCCGGATTTAGTGCGCTTAGATGCTGTTATTGCTCTCAAGTGGGAACGCGCAGCGGCAGAATCAGTAATTGTTGTTACTGGTGAAGGTTGCAACAGTTGATCCAGATAAGGCATACCAGCAGTTCCAAAATACTTCCAATGCTGACCTTTCATTTTAGCATCCTTATCTCCAACAAGTAGAGCTGCTGCACCTACTTCTAGGAGATTATGCGTTCTCATGTCTTGGTGATTTACAATACGATCACTTGATAGTGGAGCATGTCAAGTACTCAAGTTAGTTAATTAACCAATAGAAGAAACATGGCATAATGATCAAATAAAACTGTAAACTGACCAATAAGAAGGCACACACAAGTATCTGTGATTACCTGTCAGTCCCCAAGAATGATGACTGCTGTTCCCCAAGCCAGCGCCACTTGAGAACATCAAGTGCAAAGTATTCAAGATCTCCCATTCCATCAACCTTTTCAACGTTTGATAAGTTCAAAATAGACATAGTTGTGACATCTTTATTCTCCAAAGGTTCACTATGTGCAGGGCTTAGTTGCACATTAAAGGATCTACTCAACAAAGAAGACAAACTCGGAAGAGACTGTCTAGTTGCAGAGAGGGCTCCAGAGAAAGCAGCCGGATGGAATGACCGCCTTGGAAGATGTTGAGACACTAGAGAGCGCACATAGTTCAAGGACTTCACAAGCGCCCCAGAAGCAAAACTAGGTACAGACAAAGGAACAATATTTGTAGATGTTGTTGATGCTGTTGATGCTGTTGATGTTGTTGATGCAAATGATTGTGACCATGGAGAAAATCTTCGGTTTGGACCAATGTCGCATTCAGCAATGGTGTTTACACAAAACCGATCTATCTGCAGTAACGTCTCTTCACTAGGTTTGTACCTATGGAGAGTATAAGAAATTATAGGTTTGTAAGAAATTATGCTCATAGGAAAAATGTTTCTCCCCCATTCCATGCACATAGAATGTGAATCCAGTGAAAAGGCCTACTGATGACAATTTGTGGGTAACTTTAAAGACAACAGAAGATATATTCACATCAGTGTCAACATGGCAGGTGTCAACCCCCTGGTGTTTATAATTAACTGCAATGCAGTAAATGGAGCAGAAGAAAGAAAATTTAGATAAATCAGAGGCTCAAGTGATTGATGTGATGGGGAAGGGATGGCTATATTTATGGGAGTGAACTATCATTCTTATACTATACTTTTACTATCAATATTTTCTCCAACGTCCTACAAAAGGACTGCACTGGGGAAGGAGATAATGTAGGGGACAAATTTATAAGGACTGCACTTAAAACAATAATAAGCTACAGAATCAGGTGTCAGGACATCACCAATGAACAGAAAGAAACCACGACAGAAAAGCAGCATATCAGTCCCTACACGTGTAATCACCACGGACACCCTTCTAAATGTAAGAAATTACAATTACGACCATGAAAGGAATATGAATGGATACAAAAACAGCAAAGTCCATTTTCAAGCAAAGAAAAAGTAATTCAATGACATTGCAATATGCACCGGATGCAATTAATAGAAATGAGCACAGCTGCGATATAAACAACATTTCATACATCAAGTTATCAGAATCATTAAAGATCTCAGGGTTTTGAAGAACCTACCTTAAAAGGTAACGTTTCAAAAGTGCCACACACCTTGCAACAACTGCTGGGCTGGCATAAATAAAAGCAACATCAGGAAAAAGGATCGGCACCGTAGCAAATACCATCCTCTACACAGTGCTTAATGCAAAACCCATATAAGAGAAAATTATAATGATTGACAAGCAGGTGCAAATGGAGACAATACACATGCATATATAATAACACAAAATACACACACACACACACACATATTGGTGAATGTATCCAAAACGTCAACCAGTGTACCACTCTGCTTCTAATCTCAATATTATTACTTCTATGTATTAATCTAATAGTTATTATAACTCTATCCCATACATATCTGTCATCACCTTTTTTTATTTGTTTGATTGCAAACTCCTTTCTTTATTGTATTCCAGATGCATATTTATTTACCATTACCTAAAAGCCATAAATTTTTACCCCTCACCTTCTCTTCTAGGGTTTGTCGTATCAATGCCTATTATATTAGCCACTTACTTTTTTTTACACAAAGCCCTGGTGAGTATCAAAAATATTATTTCTATACACAACTTACTTGCGAGTTATATGGTTTGCCGTTACAGGTATTCCCAAATTTACCCTTTTCATGACTTTTGATAAATAGGTTACTGAAAATATATGTTTATGGCCTATTCAATCTTGTGATGCAGATCCAGGAAGTACACAACCAAAGCTGGTTTTTTTGTTTCCTTTAAAGAATCACCAAAGCTGGGTTTTTTATCCAAAATAGAATCGCCAGAGCTGGTTTGGACACCAATTATTCCTGGACTGTGTGAAGTATTAGTTTTTTTCTTTTGTTTTGATTAAATAGAGGTTTGAACCTAGGATCTCTACCCTCTGCCCAACCGTCCCATCTGACTTGAGTTAAGGCTCACGGGCAAGTATTTAAGTTAAATCAAGGAAAAGAAAACCTACGAGAGTTACCTGCGCTCCCTCTCAGCAATGGTATGTTCTAAAATCACATTGTAAGACAAGTCCATCGTCGAAGGGGCCGCCAGATAGTCCTGCCAAACATAATAGTTTAACTTGTGAAATCTGAAATTGAATCTAATGCAAGTTCGTCAAATATAGCAATGCACTACAAAAAAAAAAAACAACAATTATCTCAATCATACATCAGATACACACAAGCGTGGTAGCTGAATAATTGCAACCATCCAGAAGAGGAATAAAGGTGGGATATAATTACACAAGGAAGCTTATGTTCTACATGTGTTAACTCTACTTCAAGCCAGGACAGCCAGAGAAATCTAAACGCACTCCATAGCCAATAAATTTGAAAACCAGCAATAAAATACTTTCTCCAAATATGTATAATTAAAGATAGAACCACTTGGATGAGCAACAGTTTTGAACGCCAACTAAGAAACTAATTTATTGTAATTGTCAGATTTATTCAGCCACTTGTAAATTTGTATAAAGAGCTTATATCACCTTGCATATAACTGTTCTAAGCCATTAGATTGTTAGGTGCTCACTGTTGCTCACCTGAGCAGGACTGTAATTAAAGAAGCCTTTTTCAAAATTTGAAATTAAATATAATGAAGTAATCCAAGCAAGGACTTTTTAATTTAAAACCAATCACTTGAGTAGGGAAACCACATTAAATACTCCCTCCAATACAAACTCAAAAAGAACACACACACACACTAAGAATAACCATTTTCAGCACTCGTGCACTGTTTGTTGCTAAGAAAATGTAGCAAGCTAAAACCATCCTTGCATTTCATCTTCAATGTGTATAAGTTTGCACTACCTAAAGACAAAACCTTACACTCACTAAACCAAACACATCCATTAGGCTACCATTCAGCTTAATTGTCTATCTTTAAAGCCATAAAACTCAGTAATCACTTTCTTTCTTTACTAACAAAGAATATCTCCTTCTTTACTTTCCTAGTGTTCTTCTCAGCAACCAAACAGAGTTCAAATCTCAAGTTCATTCAAAATCCATCATTTTAAAGACAAATCACACACACACAAGCTGAAAGATCTAAATTACTCAGCCGAAACCGGCATTTCAAAGATCCAAACCAAGACCGAGCAAAATCACAACCCAAAATTGTACGAACCCGAAGAATTCTAGAAGCTTCGGAGAGGAGCACAGTGGAGGATGTGCTGGCATGGTGGGAGCTAGCCGCGGAGGACGATAGGCAATCGGCTACAGCTCGGCGCAGCGGCTCAGGCGGCTTCTTCAGCGACGAAGATCTCAACCTGGCGACTCCTCCACCTCCACCACCCAACTGAAGCCTCGAACTCCCGGGGCTCCGAGCCGGACTGTTATAGCCCGAAGACATGGGTGCTCGGGTCGTCGGGTGCCACCGAATCTCTTTCTCTCTCTCTCTCTTTCTGATAAATCTCACTCCCTCTTCTGCGTTGGCAGATTGTACGGTGGAAGAGAAGAAAGCCTTCGTTCTTGTTTCTCTCTGCGAGCTCAACTCTACATTTGAGCAATCGAAAATAATAATAAAAACTGCGTTGTGCTTGAAATGAAACCAAGTCTGCGAGAGAGAGAGACAGAGATTGGGATTATTTTTTTTTTTTTTTTTTTTTTTTTTTTTTTTTTTTAAATTAGATTCTTTTAAAAAAAATGGTCTAATGGTGGTGATTAGCTGGAGGAATTGGCGTAGTTTTATGAGGGTGATTAGCTGGCATGCGCTAGAATTTGTCACTTTTATGTGGGAAAAGGGACATTTGGGAATAAAATGGGGGGCTGAGTGGGAAGTGAGACTGTGATTTTTTAAGTGTTTTTTTGGGTTCTTTTATTTTTTTTAACAAATCAATATGATGTATGAAGAAGAGAATTGAACTTGAATGCAAGAAAACTGGCACACTATCTTAATTAACCGGTTTAATTATTTTCTTTATTTTTTGTTAGGTCCTGTAACTTCAGTGCAATATGATGTCTTTTATGGTAAGTTTGGAATATATATATATATATTGGTAAAGTTGGAGATAAATATCCATAAAAACTTATATAAAACGGGAATAGCACTGTTTTGTGACCAATCATAGAATGTCATGTGGAAAAGTAATTACGCATGACATACCGGATTGGCCGAATATAGCAAAATAGTGTTATCTCCATTTTATGTAAGTGTTTCTCGTAAACAACCTAGAACAAAAGAATTTGGATTTGATTTTGATGGTACTGACTGCTGGAATTTCCCATATAGAAATATATGGTTAGATTTTTTGTGACTTCCTTATTAGATATGGGTTTCTAAATTTGCAACGCATTCCAAAAAAATCACGTCCATCCTGACTAATTCAAATCTTTAGTATGCAAGTAAATTATAGTAAATGCCTTCAATTAGGGAAACAAATAGTGCCACCACTAAGAGGAGTGGAAAATTGCATACAATGCTGTTCTTCAAATCCTTAAAGAAAGTTTTGTTTTTCCAAGTTTAGGTAAAACCTCTAGTGAGATTACTTCTCTGTCTGATGAGCCTGTCCCTTTGGATGCTAGTTTGATTTTGTCTTTCATCTTTGTTGTATGTTATTTGTTTTCCTGCCACGATGTTGATCTGCTTTGCGTGGTATTTCGCGTTAATCAAATAAGTTTAAGGGTCAAAACAAAAAAGTCGGATGTTATTATTATTGTTTATTTTACAAGACATACGAGTAGGAACTCGATTTAGTTAATAAAATATGGATTGGGACTTTCAATTTATAATCAATTATGATTTGAATTCGCTAACTCGATAACTTAACAAATCAAATACCTCTAGACTAGCAGAAAACGTCTTGACTCGCAGATCAATAGCCTAATGTTTGAATTCCTTGACACTTTGACAATGTTTATGAGAAAATCCTCCTCTCTAATATCGCTTGTATTAAAAAAAAAAATTAATAAAGTATATTCGACTGGATAACCATCTTTTTATATATTATTTTATAAATATTACAAGAAAAGTTTGGGAGGTCTACATAGGACGACTTCCACACATAAATTGTAAGACAAAAGCAGAAAACTGAGCATGTTGGGCCAAGCGGACCATCCCAGATTTATTATAATCTTCAACTCCACGACCCGTATTGGCCCAAAATGTCCAATATCCCCACCCGACTCGACCCATTAGCTACAGTTTCGATCTCAAGCCAGTACCGTTATCCCCTCGGATCTCATCTAAAACCTCAGACAACAAGTCCATGCGAATCTGAGCGTACACGTGTCCATTCCACTTCCGCTCAACCAACTCCTCCCCCAATCTCACCGCGGCCTCAATCGTCTCCTCCGCGCTATCGTGCGCCGAGTCGATAATCCCCTTCTTCACTGCCACGTCAGCCGTCACCTTATCGGCTCTGAGCAACAGGTCGCGCCGAGCCCTCGGCGAGCCGACCTTGCTCTCGATCAGAGCCAAGAACCAAGCCGGCAAAATGAGCTCGATGTCGAGCTCGCTCATGTAGATGAAGCCGCGGTCTCGCCTCATGAGGAGGTGGTCGTGGCTGAGAGCGAGGATGAAACCGGCGGCGGAGGCGTGGCCTGATACGGCGGCGATGGTGGGCACGGGGAGCGAGATGAAGTCGGAGACGAGGGACCGGAGCTTGGCGTCCATGAGGTAGGTCCGGGATTGGGATGACTGGGCCCAGGAGAGATCGTAGCCGTTGGAGAAGAACTTGCCATGTGCGGTGGTGATTAAGGCTGCCGGTGACGACGATGCGGAGGTGGAGGTCACGGCGGCCCGGACTTGGGTTAGTGCGGATTGGATTGAGTCGATGAGAGTGGGGTTGAGCCTGTGCTCGCCCGGGCCTGTTAGCGTCAGGATGAAGATGTTGCCTTTTCTCTCTAACGTGCACATCTCTCTCTCTCTCTCTTCTCTCGCTCTCTCAGAAATTGGTTGTATTGTAGTGTTTGAAATTTCAAAGGTCGATGGAATATTCGAAGTTCCGGGCTTGTATTGCAGTCTTTGAAAATGGTTGTATCTCTTCGTCGCATTGACTGGTCAATTGAAGCTGCAGTTGAGCGTGACTTCTTTTTTTTTTTTAAATGCCACAAGAGTCTCCACACCCGAAGGGTGAGATTAATTTCTGCTCAAGGTTCGGGTTGTCCCTAGTCACAGTGTTTCAAATCTCTACTATTCAAGCACTAGATAGCTCACCAACTGGAAGTAGCAATTTGCCAACGACACCACACTTGTGGTTAGTTGAGAGCAACTTTAAACTAGTCTTTTACTTTTCTTTCTGCCATGAAAATATGATGAAATTTTCATTCAAAAGCCCAAGCAACAGCCCAGCAACTTATGTTGAAGGCCAAATTTCCAACTCCAATGGCCAAGACTAATACTACTGTAGAAACTCAGATTGGTTAAGAAAATCATCTCACACATTATATCATATGACGGATTTTGAAGGAAGAGATATCCTACATCAACTACAAAAGAATGTATGTGAGAAGAGAGATATGGCTGAAATTTAGAATATAGATAGATCCATAATTGCTGTAGCACAACTTGAGAAGCAAATCCTACAAATGAGACCTCTACACATTAGGTGGTCAATACTTACGGATGCCATGACGACCACATATCAAGGCAGAAGAAGGGCACTCATAAGCTTGATGACCCCTTCCACCACAGTTGTTGCAGATGACAATGGATACGCACTCTCGGATTGCATGGCCTGGCAGCCCACAATTACAGCACATAATGTCGCGGAAAGGGCCTCCAATGTATGGTGCCCGGTTTGACTTGGCGCACTGGCGGGCAATGTGACCTGCTATGTTGCAGGTGTGACAAACAGGTTCGTTGGGGCAGTTGCGAGCAAGGTGACCAGGTTTCCGACAATTGTTGCAAGCCTTCTCATTTGTGCAATCCACTGCAATATGACCTGGCTTGTAACAGTTGTTGCAGAGTCTTGCATCATGGGCTGGAAGACTAGGGTTCGCGCAATCCCGAGCCAGGTGCCCTATCTTACCACAAATATGACAGACTGGATCATTTGAGCATTGGCTTGCAAGATGCCCAGGCTCCTTACAGTTCCAGCACATAGTTATTGAGTTGCATTCAGCAGCAAGGTGGCTGATACAATATATAGGACTTGAAAATCAAAAACACTTACCGCAAAAAAAAAGAAAAAAGAAGACAGAACTATTAGTAATTGGTTATCAGGATTTGCGGTTCTCCATGCTTACCTATTTTCTACAATTCTAAACCTTACATGAAAAATGAAAGGTTTGGCAGAAATTAAACATTCTCACCCAGGAAGTCCACAGTTGTTGCAGACAGTCATATTCGAACAATCCCTGGCAAAATGCCCTGGCCGTTTACATTTATTGCAAAGATAATCTTGCCTGGGCAACAACAGAATAATCAATTGTGATATGAAACTAAAGATGAAGTAGCAATAGACTATCTCAGTTTTAACAAAATTATGGAGTTCAAATATCAAGAAATCAAAGTTCGGGTGCAATATATGAAAACTGTGATTCATTAGCAATCAAATTTTTATCATAAGAGCATTAAGAAAACGCATACTCAAAAAGTAAGCACACTAAAAACTAAATATTAGAACGCTAAATGGGATAGGATACCGATGACTGCGGCGCTCTCTAGGATATGGGGCATCACAGTAAGATGCGCGTTCACTGCTGTGGAACCTCTTGCCTCGTTCTGGGCTTTGGCTTCTATTCAGACTCATGTTAGAGATCACCAAGTAAACCTTCAAGGAAATATCTTAACAATATCTTTTTCTAGGAAGAAAAGAATCCAAAACAAGCCCCAGCTCCCGAAAGCAGCAACCCCCTGCCCAACGAATCTCCAAACTGCTAATACAACCACAAAAAAATAACTACAAGAAACCAGGACCATTCACAATCATTCCAATCTGGATTCTAACAAAATTCTAAGTTCTGACCAACAGGGTTTATACTCAAACTAACAAGCGTATGAATCTCAACCTTCAAACTTCATATTACAATATACCAACACCTTCAAATTCGAAAGTTTACCTGAAGCCATAAATAAATAATTTTTTATTATAAAAAAACTCTAATCACAGCACCATAAAAGGAGCTCTTTGTTTTCTTATTTAATCTCTGTCTGCTGTATTCCCAAGAACAAAAAGGAAGAGGAAACAAAGCATACTCTTAAATTCACTGGCAGAGCGATTTCTTCAAAACTCAAAACCAAATACACAAACACATGCAATATATGTCTAACGGAAGAGTAAGTACCTTAGTTCATGTCTAAGGGAAACCGCTAACGTTGAGATGCAAATGAAGCAGAAGATGAGGAGGAAACCCTAGAGTAAAGGAATTGGGGATTTGGAAGCGGAGAGCAGCGCATTTATTTCTTCATTTCTCGACGAGGATGAGCGTGATTTGTACGACGGCACAGTTTACCTCCATGTGTACGTGTTTGGAGTTGCTGTTTGCAAATTGCCACCTTTCCAAAGGCCTATAAATGTTATTTTTAAGTTTAAAATTTTTTGGTAAAAAAAATTATTTCATTGAATAGGCATGAAGTTTCTTTGAACTCTCAAATTTTTATTGTAAAAAAAAAAAACCCACTTTTATAGCCATCAAATAAATAATGTTACTCATTTATCTTCTTTTTTTTTTCTTCTTAAAATAAACTTCAAGAGCAAATAACCTCTTCCCATTCTCCTTGCCTGCTGAATTTTTAAATTTTTTGCAAAGCTATGGGATAAAATAAGAAATTGAAAAGAAAATCTAAAATATGAAAAACCCGGAAATTTTTTTGGCAATTGGGTTGGGTGTGGTGAGTAGAAACATGGAGGATAAAAGACCCAAACAAATAGTTTGGGCCTAGCGAACCCAACTAAATCATTCAGCAAAGAACCCCTTACAGTATGAACCACAACCACCAAATCAGCAGAAATCATCATTTTCAGATGAACACATCTCAGGATACAAAGAAAACAGAAAATACATTTCCATTCGATATAAGCAGTTGGAAGATGAAAATACAACATACACATATGTTCCAAACAGAAGTACACATGCAGGACGGCAAGCCTTGCGGCAAAAGCTACAAACATAGTTCTGCAGTCTCACAGAAGTGTCCTAGTACACAACCGTGAACTTCATCCTAAAATAGCCAGTAGAGACTCTACACTCCTCTAGTGCAGATAACCATAACTATTTTTATGGAACTGCTGTACAGCACACTCACTAAATGGGAAGACTGCAATCCTCAAAAGGGGAGAAAATTAACAGTTCACCACCCCATCAAGGTTCTTCTAACTTTCTCTACAATCTTACCTCTAGCTTGTTTGCTTGCCAACGGAAATTCACGACTATCATCCAGAAGAAATCTGTAGACTTCCCACTGGCAATCTAAAGTTGAATGCCTTACAATTTCAGCCTACACATCAGCAATGAAATAATGAGATAAAGAAAGGGGGCATGCCACAAAATGACAGGAAACTCAGAACAAATTCTTACCGCGAAAATAGATACTCTCAATTTTTTTAGTGCTAGGGTAACATCATAGAACACAAGGGGCCTCCCCTTTCCACATAACTCAACTGGATTAGCAACTAGGAGTTCGATATCTGGGCCCCTGTTGGCAATGATCACTCGCAATGGGTGAACCATCTCCTCCTTTAAACGAGAACACAATGCAACCTGACTTTCAGGATCCCCAATCTTTTTTCCATCTTTTTGCTGAATAAATAGGTCCAAATTTCGGAAGCCTTTCTTAGTTGAAGAGAATCTACCATAAGCGATCTAAATGAGAAACAACAAAGACTTCTATCAGTAAACTTTTAAATTGCAAACATATATAAGTATTCTAACACAAAAGACACATTCAATAGGGGTAGTTATGACCACTGAAAAGCAAAACTGAAGATTCTTTTTATTAAACATCTACAGGTGCAAGCACTGACAAATGGTACTTAGTAAATATATTCCAACACATCATGAAAAAGTACCTGAATATTGCAATCCTTGGAAGTCCTCAGAATGTCATAAAAGAGGCCCTTTTGATCAACACACTGTATTTGCAGCACTGTATGAACAGGGCTCAATGAGTTATCCACTGTAATACTAGCCTTTTTTACCGCTCCCACATTTGAGCTGATAGCTTTTGGATAGGCTTCCTCATCCTTCAGCTGATAGCTAAATAATTCTTCAGCAATGGCTGGTGGAAGAGAAGAATTCCCCTGCAGACTTTCATACTCAGGCCCTGGCAACTTAAGCTCACAGGTGATACAATACTCTCCTAAAGCAGCCATCAGATGCTCACATATGTTATCTCTCCTCTGTTTTGTGTGTAACAAGTCCCTGAAATTATATGGCACCAAATAATGGGGGTCAATAACTGTTGCAAAGTATAACCAACATTTCTTAGCAATTACTATTTCATCAAATTATGCACTTTCAGAAACTACCCTTATGAAGCGATTGTTGAGACAACGAACTCACATTAAACATAGAAGAATTCCCAAGTTTGGTTACAATAAATATCCAAAATCAAAATACTACCAGAAGAAATGCAAGCACTAATAAGCCAGAATACAAATGTGGTTGTCCCAGCAAAAAGGGTGGAGGAGTTAAAAACTATAACCTGATCAGACAATTCATCTTATGTATTTCCAAGCTAATGCATTTGTTTAAAACTGTGGGAATAACTAACTCATAAGGGTCACAGCCAACAGGAAGATCTTAAGACTGGCATCTAATCTCAACATCTTAAGAGTTATTCGCAATCCAGACAAATATTAAACAGCAAACACCGGCACCTTAATGTCAAGCATGCTTGGAACAGAAACAAATACGAGAATTGAAGTAAAGGTGGATAGTTCCTGATTACTATGGTTGCAAATTAATAACTACAATACTGATATGCAATTTTCTGAAGGTGCAAATCCTTGCATAGGAAAACTCACAAGCAATCTGTGATGAAGAAGAGGTCAAAAACTCTGCCATCTGGGGTGGGCATCACTTTGACTCTTTGAATCAGAATTTCAAGCTCACAGAGGACTTTGGTAACATCTACGCGTGTACAAAACAATAACTTCTTCATTACTCAAACATATAAATGCATAAAAATTTAAAGAAAAAAAAACCAAGAACAAGTAATGAGAAAGTTATGATATTGACCATGCAGTGAGCCTCTCTGGTCATGGCACCAAAACTTCAACAGATAGACTGGAGGAGGTGTGGGGACATTAGAGACTTGATTGAGGTAAAAGGAGAAGAAACACGAAGGTGGGCACGCAGAGGAAAGCCGATCCTTCAAGCTCTCCCAATCAACCTTGAGCGAGCTGTGATGGGGAACAACCCACAACACTATATAACACCATCTTCCATCCGTCGAAAAATCTACACCACACAAAAACCAAAATCTAAAATCACAACCCCAACCATGAAATTTCCAAAAAACAAGGTGAGAAAATGAGAGATCGAATTATCAATTACCTCCCTTCGTAATGCAAAGGCCAAACTGGAGGATAATTCTGCAGAGGTCGCAGCCGAGGCCGGCCTTGTCGGGACAATTGACAGTGACGACGGAGGGATCGCTGGGAGTCTTGCCCTCCTTGATCACAACGACGTCATCGCACGGAATGCCCATCGCCCAATCCGGGTAATTACGGATATACCACCGTAAATCGTTGGCCTTTGAGAGATGGCATAGAGAGAGGGGAGGAAGGTTGTGGCGTTCCCAGCCGACTTGGGTGGGTTTACAGGGTTAAGATTGAGCGCTCGACAACGACGGGATTGGGGTCTGTCGGCTTAGTAGCGGGACCCACAAAAATAATTATGCCACGTCAGAAAAGTTTAGCGGTCCAGAAATTGCCGGGCCCACAATAACAGCATTTGGTTTTATTCTTTTGCCGGTAAATAAAATTTTAAAAAACAAAATGATGGCGATCGCGATTGAATGGGACGTTACAACTACTCAGTGCTACTGGCAAAGTGCAAACAAAGAAAGGATACTTGGATTTCGAATCATAGCGAAAAATTACAACGCGGAATCTGGACCGTTTAAAATTCGATCCCTGAATTTACAAAATTAACCCCCGAATCCGTACAAGGTCCTGCCCTGCCTCTTGAGCGCGTAGACGACATCCATGGCGGTCACCGTCTTCCTCCGAGCGTGCTCGGTGTAAGTCACGGCGTCGCGAATCACGTTCTCCAAGAAGATCTTGAGAACACCTCTGGTCTCTTCGTAGATGAGGCCGCTGATTCTCTTCACGCCTCCTCTTCTGGCGAGCCTTCGAATCGCAGGCTTGGTGATGCCCTGGATGTTGTCTCTAAGGACCTTACGGTGCCGTTTGGCTCCGCCCTTGCCCAGGCCCTTACCTCCCTTTCCACGGCCAGACATCTTGGAAGCTCACGGCGTCGTTTTGCAGATAGAGTTACTGAGAATGTGAGATGATTGTGCGGTGTGGTAATGGGATGAGTAGGAGGAGTCTATTTATAGCGAGAGCGGGTGAAGGCGTTGATCCTTGGGTTTGGGTTTGGGTGATTTTGAGACGTTGATAAGGTGGGATCGATGGTGGGTGTTGTTTGGGAATACGCGTGGCGTGGATCGTGGTTTTGTTTTGTGGCGGGATATGAAACTTTGTTGGGGGTGTAAAGATTTCGGAAATTTAAACTGGGAATTTTGATATTTACAATTCGAATAAGAAGGGTATTTCCCGCTATTTCAAAGTACCGTTTTTTCCTGCCAAATAAAATGGCGGGCGGCATGCTTTTTCATTTCCTGCCCTTTTCTGGGTGATGGATTTTTAAATTTCAAAAAATTAAAAAGAAGACGTTCATTAGTCATACAATAGTTAAAAATTTGAAATGAATAGGTTACAATGTAATGTGGAATTAAAAATTAATTGGTACTCAAGTACAAGGCAACTGAGGTGCTTCAAATAAACTCATGGAGTGTGTACTAATTCACAATTGGAATTAAAATCATGAATTGAACGCGTTTACTTCATATCAAGCAATTCATAAGTAAGTAGGCCTCACATTTTGACTTTCGGGTGGGAGGTGGTATTCAGAATACTCGATAACTAACCCATTCAGAATTCATTTTCCTACCCATTATACCCTTACACACTATTCAAAAGTCCAAATTTACCACTCACTTTAATTATCCAACAAAACCTATGACGTTCAATCATGGTAACGAATAATTTATGCATTGCCAATGTTATTATTTCGGGTAAACATGTTGAATGAATGGAAATACTTTTGGGGTTAGTCGAAGTGGTGAGGGAGGGATAATGAGTAGAATGAATGGAAAAACTTGCAGTTAGCCGAAATGGTGAGGGAGAGAAGTTCTTATAAAAGAAAAGTATTGAGTGAAGCAGTTCAAAAACAGTCGTATTGGCCTTGCGTATATATGCTTTGAATTGCTATGTGAAAGTCGAAATGGAGAGAAGAAAAAAACTGTCATATGTGAAACCCTGTTACTAAATTCATACTTTTTGAACTTGTCAATGGTAATAAGCCCCTTGTTACGTGGTTAATATTCCTTAGCATTGTCATGCATGTAGCTACACCTTTGTTGATGGTTTCTTTCAAGATCAAAGCCAAAATAAGTACAATCAAGGATCCCATCACCAAGCCTTGTCACAGCTTCAACAAGCTGCCCTCTCAACCTTTGTGACACCAAACATCCACCTGCCTTGACACACTCCCTATATAGCAGCAGGTACGCAATTGCTACCCTCAGCTTGGGGGCTAGAAGATCTAAAATCCTCACAATGTTCATGTAATGTTCTTGTCCTTGTCTTATTCCATCCAAGTAAGCTTCCACTGACCAATACTCACCCCTGAAGAAAAGCCCTTAGCTCAGGAGCTAAATCCCCATTGTCATCGGACCTAGCAATAAAGTCCTACAAAGAAAAAATGCAACGCCTTCAAGCGAATTAACACCGCTCCGTTTACCAGCAAGCATCAGAATTTGAAACATGTACATGTAAAAGTAAAACACGTACGTGTAAAAAGTGGGTGGGTGGTCCTTTTTGTATAGTATAGCCGCGCGGCTATACACGAATTTTTTTATAATAAAAATAATATAGCCGTGAGGCTATAGCACGGTTTTTATTAAAAATATTGTAGCCGGTCGGCTGTACTATTTTTGACAGGTGGCAAAATGAGCGCTAGCGCCAGGGGTTTTTTTTTGTTTTATACATAGTATAGCCGACCGGCTATACGCGGGGCTTTACTGCGATAGTTTATTTATGAATAGTATGGCCGTCGGGTATGCTATTTACATAAGACCGATCTCATTACCCCATGAAGCTCTTAACCATACTGAACCCAAAGTGATGCACAAAGCAAAAGCATAGTTAAGAATTTGTGGATCAGCTGACATAATCAAACTCTGTGCAAGTTCCCAACCATGGCAACTCACACCGCACCCTCAAATAAGAGGCCCAAATCATTCCTTTCTTGTGTACTGAGTTTCTTTTCTTGCCTAGGTTTCTCATTCTTCTCCGTAATCTCATCGACCTGAATCAAACCACCATCACTCTCAACAGTAGTACAGTACCATTTCCTTTTCCATCCTCAACGTCCTCGGACTATATAGTTTTCCCCTACTTGCCCTTATTTTGCTTAATATAAACAAAATTAAAGGGAAAATTAATGAAAATTCCAATTCCGTCAAAACCGAATGGTTAAAGCACGAATTATTCTCTCCTTTGTTTCATATTTCTCTTTCAATTGCTAGGCCACCCGGTGACAAGCCAACAAAACAGTAATTATGGATCTTTTAGCATCCAATTGAAAGTTTGAAACCTTACTTTCCAAATAAAAAGATATTTGGAATATTTCATTATTCTTGGCTTCTTTTTACTCTCTCTAATAAAGCAAATGTCTCTCCCCATAATCTTCAACCGATTAACAAAATCAACCAGATTTTTGACAACCTCTCAAGTGAAAACATTAATGCTCATAAAATCAATATTATCTTCGGAAATTTTCTCAATTCCCATCTCTTCACTGTTCTGATCAATAAATTGCTTATCAAAATTGCTTTGAACACCCAAACAAAATAGTAAAAATGCCAGTATGAATAAATTCAAATTTAAGAATATGTAACATACAGGTGAATTAAATGGTAGCAAACAATGGAGAGTGAATACGTATCAAAGAGATATAAAACCTCCTGTAGCATCAAGATAGCCGAACAATGGAGAGAGTATGTTCCAAGCAAGAATCTTTGAATATAATTAAACGTGACCAAAGAAGGATAATTTTATATAGCAAACAAGGAACATTAATTCAATATCCTTAACAAAAACAAATACAAAATAGCCAATAATGCCCTAGATGACAGTAATTAAAATGACTCAATAAACTGTAATCCCTCCATCCATCCACTTTTTATTATATAAAAAATTCCGTTTGAAGTCTTTGGGTTTTTTTCTGATTGATTTTTGGGAGACTTTGGAAAAATACAAAGGAGAGAGAAATTTTGTAAAAGAAGCCAAAATGGACAAAATTGCCCTTATTTATTTTTGGATTTATTAAGGAATCCCTTTACATTTGCATGTCTTTGATTTGAAAGTTGAGAGGTTTTTCTGTCTTTTTTGAAAAAGCTTTGGCTTTTTCCAAAAGTGAAATTTTTTTTTGGTTAAAACCTAAATTTACTTTGATTTTTCATGCTACATGGAGGCTTTCTCATGCTGTGTAGCAGCTATTTCGTGCTTGCTTCTTCCTGCAAAACTCAATTATATTATGACAAATTACACTCAAAGGCTAATAAAAACACTTATAGACATGCAAACAATTCAGTCTCTATTGATTCATGGTCATTAAACAAATAAAATAATTTCATATAAACACATTCATTTTACCTCCCACATAAAAGAACTCTCATTCAGAATGATTTCATCTTCTTGTTTTGGCTGCTTTGTGCTAGCTGCACTCTCCGCTTCTACGGGTTCATAATCCGCGCACTCTCTAAGAGTCATAATCATCATAACAACAAAATTAAACCTACAAATTAATGTTATTGATGAAAATACGAGAAATGTGAAGAAAACTTACGGAGTAAAGCAGAGCGTAAGGCTAAACCAATTACGGGTCTCAATATCCATAGGAAGAACCGTTGAATGTAAGGTCTCAATCATATGTCTTCTTCCTTGAACAATTTGAAACGTGGTGATACAAACATGTTGAACCTCATCACATTCTTCGTTAGTGGCAGTCTTAACATGAACAAAGTCTTGGTTCCCTAGATGAACCAAATAGGCACTCACAAGTTCACCAAATTGCAATGGTGGATCCGCAATCTCAAGGCCGTTCAATTTAAACAGTTGGACCAGTGAATATGTAGTACCACCGTCATCATCTTCTTTCCTCTTCAAGGAGTATGCTATAATCTCCTCCGCATTATACAAATTTATGGCATAGATAGTCTCGCCTACAACCACGGCCCTCCCTTGGAAAGGAGTATAAGTGTCAACTTCCACTCGTATCCAATCCTTTCTAGCCACGTGAAAAGCAACGACATCCAAGTTTTGATGTATGTCAGACAATATATACAAAATAAGGCTATAACAAACGGCATAACCAGTTACCATCATGGAATATCTATAGGAAAATGGAAACAAAGGCATTCGCACCCAATCCTTCTTATCAGGATTGTATTTCCCAAAACCTAGACTCCGACTTCGTACCCAGGGACATTTCTCTTCAAGAAAATAAACTGTGCCATATGCCGAAACAAATGTTCCACGTGGCTTAAATTTTATGGCAGACTCTGTCAAAGGATCTAAATTCCCAGTTTTCGTATTAAGGATAAACCCTCCAAATGACCTAAGGCGAAGTTTATCCGAACCCTCCTCTGTAAATACATATAGTTGGGAGTGTTCGAAAATCCTTGCAGCCCGAACGTCAAAACTACTGAACTTGGCTACAGGTTCAGGTGCTCCCATATGCTTAAGTTCTCCTCCGAATTTGAACTTAATTTTATATACGGCATCAGTGTATTTGCCCCTAACGAAATTTACCATTAAAAACACAGATTTATCTTTCCCTTGATTCACTGTCATCCCCTCCATGGTCAAGCTGGATAGAGAAGAGAGATATCAATAAATGAAGGTCAAAATTTTATATATTTAAAATATATAAATATAAAAATAAAAAACTGCAATGCGAATCAAGAACATCAAACATTTTACAGAGAAACAAAAATTAAGAAGATAATCCACTAGTATGCCATGCACTGACCTTGGGTAAGGATGAATGACTCCATGTTTGCAACTGCCGGCCCTATTGGGCCGTAGTAGGCAAAGCTCTTTCGATATCAATTTCTTCAAATCGAGCAGGGCCAAAAGCGTGGGTTGATAATGTTCTTTCTCCCCCAGTTCGCCCTGAGAATTCTCCATCTCCCATATCCGGGCCAGTTCGCCCAGTGACTTCTCCATCTCCCATATCTTGTGCAGAGATTTCTTGATCTTCGATGTCTTGCGCATGAGCTCATCCTGGCGTGAAGCCAACGTCAATGCATGGTCTTGACCCGAGGTGGAATCAACAGCGGCGGCCATGGTATTTGAATGCTAAACTGAGGCAAAAGGGAATTTAGGGTTTGGGGATGCCGCGGCGGAAGGGAGTTTTATTATGGCTGGTTGTGGGTATAAATATATGCTGAAGGTTGGAATTTATTCAAGATGTAAATTTGCTTTTCATTCATCCGTGAAGTGATGTATGTATTATATAACTTCCTAATTAATCTTGATAGGAACAGGAAACTTATAATTGTCTTCTTTCTTATTTTGTTGAGAGAAAACAGGAAAGTTATAATTGTTTTTTTTTTTGGGTGCTTTTGTTTTACACACTCAGAAAATATTTAAAGAGTATAGCCGTCCGGCTATAACGGTAATTTTTTTCAGTAATAAAAATAGTATAGCTTGAGTCTAGCCACGCGGCTATACCGTTTTTAAAACGTGGCGAAGCGGGCGCCATGCGGGTCCGCTTTCTTTATTTATAATTTTTTTTTAAAAGTGTATGGCCGATCGGCTATACTTGGGATTTTTTTGTTTTGAGAAATAACAGCCGCGCCGTGACTGGGTGGTTTTTTACAAATAGTATAGCCGTTGAATGTGAGGTCTCAATCATATGTCTTCTTCCTTGAAAAATTTGAAACATGGTGATACAAACATGTTGAACCTCATCACATTCTTTGTTAGTGGCAGTCTTAACATGAATAAAGTCTTGGTTCCCTAGATGAACCAAATAGGCAGTCACAAGTTCACCAAATTGCAATGGCGGAACCGCAATCTCAAGGTCGTTTCAATTTAAACAGTTGGACTACTGAATATGTAGTACCACTGCCATCATCTTCTTTTCTTTTCAAGGAGTACGCTACCCATTAGACAAATTTAAGGCAGAGATAGTCTCGCATAAAACCACAGCCCTCTCTCGAAAGGAGTATAAGTGTTAACTTCCACTCTTATCCAATCCTTTGTTTCATTTTTCTCTTTCAATCGCTACGCCACCTGGTGACAAGCCAACAAAACAGTAATTCTTGCTCATATTAATTATGGATCTCTTAGCATCCAATTAAAACCTTACTTTCCAAATAAAAAGATATTTGGAATATTTCATTATTCTTGGCTTCTTTTTACTCCCTCTAACAATGCAAATGTCTCTCTCTAGAATCTTCAACCAGATTTTTGGCAACCTCTCAAGTGAAAACATTAATGCCCATAAAATCAATATTATCTTCGGAAATTTTCTCAATTCCCATCTCTTCACTGTTCGTATCAATAAATTACTTATCAAAATTGCTTTGAACACCCAAACAAAACAGTAAAAATGCCAGTATCAATAAATTCAAATTTAAGAATATGTAACATACAGGTGAATTAAATGGTAGCAAACAATGGAGAGTGAATATGTAACAAAGAGATATAAAACCTCCTGTAGCCTCAACATAGCCGAACAATGGAGAGAGAATTCACATATCCATTGTTCCAAGCAAGAATCTTTGAAAATAATTAAACGTGACCAAAGCGTGATAATTTTATATAGTAAACAAGGAACATTAATTCAATATCCTAAACAAAAACAAATACAAAATAGCCAATAATGGCCTAGATGACAGTAATTAAAATTACTCAATAAACTGTAATCGCTACTTCCATCCACTTTTTTTTATATATAAAAATTCCGTTTGCAGTCTTTGGGTTTTTTTCTGATTCATTTTTCATGCTACATGGAGGCTTTCTCATGCTGTTTAGCAGCTATTTCGTGCTTGCTTCTTCCTGCAAAACTCAATTATATTATGATAAATTAGACTCGAAGGCTAATAAAAACAATTATAGACATGCAAACAATTCAGTCTCTATTGATTCATGGTCATTAAACAAATAAAATAATTTCATGTAAACACATTCCTTTTACCTCCCACATAAAAGAACTCTCATCCAGAATGATTTCATCTTCTTGTTTTGGCTTCTTCGTGCTAGCTGCACTCTCCGCTTCTACGGGTTCATAATCCACGCACTCTCTGAGAGTCATAATCATCATAAACAACAAAATTCAATGTACAAATTAATGTTATTGATGAAAATACGAGAAATGTGAAGAAAACTTACGGAGTAAAGCAGAACTTAAGGCTAAACCAATTACGGGCTTCAATATCCATAGGAAGAATTGTTGAATGTAAGGTCTCAATTATGTGTCTTCTTCCTTGAACAATTTGAAACGTGGTGATACAAACATGTTGAACCTCATCACATTCTTTGTTAGTGGCAGTCTTAACATGAACAAAGTCTTGGTTCCCTAGATGAACCAAATAGGAAGTCACAAATTCACCAAATTGCAATGGCGGAACAGCAATCTCAAGGTCGTTCAATTTAAACAGTTGGACTAGTGAATATGTAGTACCACCGTTGTCATCTTCTTTCCTTTTCAAGGAGTATGCTATAATCTCCTCCCCATTAGACGAATTTAAGGCATAGATAGTCTCGCCTACAACCACAGCCCTCCCTTGGAAAGGAGTATAAGTCTCAACTTCCACTCGTATCCAATCCTTTCTAGCCACGTGAAAAGCAACGACATCAAAGTTTCGATGCAAGTCAGACAATGTATACAAAATAAGGCCATAACAAACAGCATAACCAGTTACCCTCATGGTATATCCATAAGAAAATGGAAACAAACGCATTCGCACCCAATCCTTCTTATCAGGATCGTATTTCCCAAAACCTAGACACCGACTTGGTTCCGAGGGCGATTTGCCTTCAAGAAAATAAAGTGTGCCATATGCCGAAACAAATGTTCCACGCGGCTTAAACTGTACGGTAGACTCTGTCAAGGGATCTAAATTCCCAGTTTTTGTATCAAAGATAAATCCTCCAAATGACCTAAGGCAAAGTTGATCCGAACCCTCCTCTGTAAAAACATATAGTTGGGAGCGATCGAAAATCCTTGCACCCCGAACGTTAAAACTGCTGAACTTGGCTACAGGTCGAGGTGCTCCCATATCCTTAAGTTCTCCTCCGAAATTGAATTTAATTTCATATAAGGCACCAGTGTACTTGCCCCTAACGAAATTTACCATTAAAAACACAGATCTTTCTTGCCCTTGATTCACCGTCATCCCCCTCCATGGCTAGCTAGAGATGAGATAGAGAAGAGAGATATTAATAAATGAATTAAGTTCAAAAATAAAAAAAAAAAAAAAAAAAAAAAAAAAAAAAAAAAAAAAAAATGCGAATCAAGAACATCAACAATTTTACAGAGAAACAAAAATTAAGAATATGAAATCCACTAGTATGCTATGCACTGACCTTGGGTAGGGATGAACGTCTCCATGTTTGCAACTGCCGGCCCTACTGGGGCGTAGTAGGCAAAGCTCTTTCGATATTAATTTCTTCAAATCGAGCAGGGCCAAAAGCGTGGGTAGATATTTCTCGTTCTCCCGCAGTTCGCCCTGATAATTCTCCATCTCCCATATCCGGGCCAGTTCGCCCAAAGACTTCTCCATCTCCCATATCTTGTGCAGAGATTTCTTGATCTTCGATGTCTTGGCCAAGAGCTCATCCTGGCGTGAAGCCATCATCAAGGCGTGGTCTTGACCCGAGGTGAAATCAACAGCGGCGGCCATGGTATTGGAATGCTAAATTGAGGCAAAAGGGAATTTAGGGTTTAGGGATGCCGCGGCAAAAGGGAGTTTTATTATGGTTGGTTGTGGGTATGAAATATATACTGAAGGTTGGAATATTCAAGAGATGAATTTGCTTTCATTCATCCGTGAGGTGATGTATGTATTATATAACTTCCTAATTAATCTTGATAGGAACAGGAAACTTATAATTGTCTTCTTTCTTATTTTGTTGAGAGAAAATAGGAAAGTTTTTTTTTTTTTTTTTTTTTTTTTGATGAAAACTTAGCTGTTTTTGAATATGCGTATGGTATATATATGTACCACTTACTTTTCTAATTTAGTATTCTATTTAGTTTCCCGTTTAAAAATTCCTAGTGTTTCTTTTCTTGTTTCTTTTCTATGATTTTTTTTTTTTTTTTTTTTTTTTTTTTTTTTTTTTGGGTTTTTTTGCTGGTGAGATTGGGTTTTAGAGCCAATTGAGGAAGTGGTTTAGTTCAAAGCCCTATATAATTTACCTTCTTTGATTTTATTGCTTCACTCTCGTTAATCAAAGGTGCTGGTGGACTGGATCTCTCTTTGACTCCATCGTTTTTGCTTCATTGTCCAAGATAATCAAAGGTTACATTATGCTTTCTCAGTTATATTTTAGTTTTTTGTTTGTTTGCTGGCTGATTAGAAGGATTAAATCTTTGTTTGTTTCTATCTTTTCTTGCAGAACTATCATTGTTAAGAATCTTTTCGGTAAATAATGCAGGATCAGAAAGAGTTTTTTCATTTTGTTGAAACGTTGCATGCTGAAAATAATAAACATAACCAGGTCATTGGTTCTGGGGTTTATTTGTACAGTTTCAAGTTTAATCCTAATATTTCTCAAGAATTTTATGAGGGGTATTTATATTTTGAACGTGACGGCCAAAAAGTCCAGAATGTGGCGTTTGTAAAAGTTGTTGGAGAACATGCTGATGTGAAGGCAATAGAAGTATTTCATAGGACTCGTACAGCTATTGACGATGTTGTTTTACGGCCGTGGACGTATTTGTTCTCCCAACAAAAGGACTTTTCCGAATTGCCTCATGATACAGAGTTGAGGAAGGGAATATGGAGTCTATGTTATGATCGCTTCGAACACAATCTTAAAGATTGGACGAAGCTGGCGAAGCCAAAGCCCAAGGGAATTGCTTATAATGATAAGCTTAAACTACCTATCAAGACTTGCGATGGTCGTCTTAATGACTTTTGGCGTGATTCTATAAGGTAGTTGGTTATATTCTGTTAAAATTGGTTATAGTAGTTTTGTTTAGTTTTAATTGTATTTGACATAAATTCTTTGTATTTTTTGTAGTGAGTTGATTTCTGGTGTAGGTCGCATCCATTCTAAGGGGTTATATCATGGTAAGTTGCGTTTGCGGAGTAACTATGTATTTATTAACGAATGTATGAAGATAATCAACGTTGAGGGATCTTTGGATGAGTTAAAAAGTGATGATGAACGATGTACAGAGAAGAAAAAAGATATTTTTGACATTTTCTGGATGTTGGACCAAGTGTTCCAATCGTTAGGGGAGAACAAAAATAATTGGTTGGAATGTCGCCACTTCTTTGAGTTCGTCAAAGATTCTAGGACTTTGAAGCTGCGGTTAGTTCTCTATATCTTTTATTTTATTTTATCAATGTTTTTCTTTTTTCACTTCATTTCTTTCTTATAGAATGTTTTTTTGTTGTTGGTATATTTTCAGCTATGATGATTTTATCAAAAAAGTGGCGGGTCATCCGTTTTTGTTAAGCGCTGATAAAAGGATAAATCTCTTTGACGATTATGAGTGTAAAAGAACGGATGAAACTACTGGGGAAGATATAAAATTAGTTTTGGGATCATCTGAATTTGATACGTTTAAATCCTGGAACAATGCTTTCCTTGCTTCAACCGGTACTAGTACTAACGTGGACAACTTTATGTTGGGCGTTTATAACCATGGAAAATACTCTGGCGATGTGGAGGATCTTCTTAGGTACCTTAGGAATCTAAAGCATCATTATCATCAACATGGTTTGGCTGCTGGTTCTATGGTAGATGTGGATCGTGGTCTTAGCAAACATTTTGGTGGGTTTTTGGAGTTGCTTTACAAGAAGTTAGAAGTATAGTAGGAGCGGTGGTTCATGTTGTTATTTTATTTTTTGTGTTGTAACATTTTGGTCGTACATCAAAGATTTCATGGCATCAGTAGATAGAATTGGAACGAGAGTTTATGAAATTGTTTTGAAACTGCAATGTTTTACTATTATTATTATTATTTTTTCAATTACAAGCTATTGGGTGGAGAAATTATACAATACTACTGTAGCACCAGCTGGCATTGCTAATTGGTACTACGAGCCAATAAAATTCGAACATGTGTACAACTTATACACATCAACAAAACAGCCGGCAGCATCAATGTTAACCATAAGGACAGGTTATCTGACCGGGAAAAAACAAACCACAGAGATTAATTACCAACATTAAGACTATGGGATGCCTTGCCAAAAGCTTGAAGGCATCCGACAGTGGCTTCCATCTTAGATCGAAAAATTTGTGTGCAATTTTATTATTTGACTTCGGGTGCAAATAAGGTGTTAGAAAGGCTAACAGTAGTGTTGACAGGTAGAAGGGCTACCTGTTAACCTCGAAAATTTTGTGTGCAATTTTATTATTTGAATCCTCGAATCAGTTAGAAAGGCTACTTGTTAACCTTGATAATAGGTATTCTTTCCTTCACATTGATACCTGATAAACTTTGTCCTAGTAAATCTATTCCAAGAAGTATCCATCACTAGTTGCATCTATTTTCTAATTCAGGATCGGCCGAAACAAATAACTAGTGGGCAGCACATCCAACATTCCCCAAAGTTCAATAGATAACAGCCAATACACTACTACAAAAAAGGAAAAAGACGACGGGAATTCACCGTCGTGTATTTGGTTTTCAAACCGTCGTGGAATCAACCGACATCTATTTGGGTGTCAAACCACGACGCTAAATCACCGCCGTTGTTAAAACAAACAACGTCATTAACAAGTAATAACCGACGTCTTTGTAATGGAAAAAGAGATAAAAAAACAGTCGAGGATGAGAATAGACGACCAATTCTAACAAAAAACGTCATTAAAAAGGAAACATATGACATATATTAACAGAACATGGCCGCAAGATATACATACAACGACGAGAACTAAAACTCACCGCCGTTAAATATACATTTCACGACAAATAAAAATATGACGTCTTTAAATACATAATCGACGACGTTATTGACTCCTACTACGTCAGTACATTTTCAACAACCGTCGTGAAATGAATTTTCCACTTCGATTTTTCTATTAATGATGACGTGGAAATAGATGTTAGGTCATTACTTACGACGCATGTATTTAAAATGACGACGTTGTACTAATAAACAACGTCGGTTCCAAATAATGAGAGCCGTATTACAGAATTTATACGTCATCTCTTAAAATATAATCGTCGTCTAATGGATCTGAGACGGCAACATTTCTCAGTCCACCGCCGTGTAAAATAGTTTTAACGACACGATCTTAAAATAAACGACGTGGAAAATATGTTGGGGTCATTACTTACGACATATTAATTTATAAAGACGACGTTGTCGTCAATATACAACGTTGTTATCATGCAAAAGACAGCCGTGTTTCATAATTTATACGTCATCATTAACAAAGTTATCGTCGTTTAATTCCTATTAGACGGCATTGTTGATCTAATATTTGCCGTGTAAAGAAATTTTAATGACATTATCATAAGAAAAGAGATGTGGATACATTCACTAGTTGCATCTATTTTCTAATTCAGGATCGGCCGAAACAAATAACTAGTGGGCAGCACATCCAACATTATTTCCCCAAAGTTCAATAGATAACAGCCAATAATGGCCTAGATCACAGTAATTAAAAGGACTCAATAAACTCTAGTCCCTCCTTCCATCCACTTTTTTGAAAAATATTCCGTTTGCAGTTTTGGGTTTTTTTGATCTGGTTGATTTTTCATGCTACATGGAGGCTTTCTCATGCTGTGTATCTGCTATTTCATGCTGCTCTTCCTGCAAAACTCAATCATATTATGATAAATTGGACTCGAAGGCTAATAAACATTTATAGACATGTAAAACAATTCAGAATCTATTGATCCATGGTCATTAAACAAATAAAGTAATTTCATGTAAACAAATTCCTTTTACCTCCCACATAAAAGAACTCTCATCCAGAGTGATTTCATCTTCTTGTTTTGGCTGCTTTGTGCTACTCTTCACTTCTACGGGTTCATAATCCGCGCACTCTCTGAGAGTCATAATCATCATAAACAACTTAAGGCTGAACCAATTACGGGTATCAATATTCAGAGGAAGAACCGTTGAATGTGAGGTCTCAATCATATGTCTTCTTCCTTGAACAATTTGAAACATGGTGATACAAACATGTTGAACCTCATCACATTCTTTGTTAGTGGCAGTCTTAACATGAATAAAGTCTTGGTTCCCTAGATGAACAAAATAGGCAGTCACAAGTTCACCAAATTGCAATGGCGGAACCGCAATCTCAAGGTCGTTTCAATTTAAACAGTTGGACTACTGAATATGTAGTACCACTACCGTCATCTTCTTTCCTTTTCAAGGAGTACGCTACCCATTAGACAAATTTAAGGCAGAGATAGTCTCGCATAAAACCACAGCCCTCTCTCTAAGTGTTATTATCGAAAGTGTTAACTTCCACTCTTATCCAATCCTTTGTTTCATTTTTCTCTTTCAATCGCTACGCCACCTGGTGACAAGCCAACAAAACAGTAATTCTTGCTCATATTAATTATGGATCTCTTAGCATCCAATTAAAACCTTACTTTCCAAATAAAAAGATATTTGGAATATTTCATTATTCTTGGCTTCTTTTTACTCCCTCTAACAATGCAAATGTCTCTCTCTAGAATCTTCAACCAGATTTTTGGCAACCTCTCAAGTGAAAACCTTAATGCCCATAAAATCAATATTATCTTCGGAAATTTTCTCAATTCCCATCTCTTCACTGTTCGTATCAATAAATTACTTATCAAAATTGCTTTGAACACCCAAACAAAACAGTAAAAATGCCAGTATCAATAAATTCAAATTTAAGAATATGTAACATACAGGTGAATTAAATGGTAGCAAACAATGGAGAGTGAATATGTAACAAAGAGATATAAAACCTCCTGTAGCCTCAACATAGCCGAACAATGGAGAGAGAATTCACATATCCATTGTTCCAAGCAAGAATCTTTGAAAATAATTAAACGTGACCAAAGCGTGATAATTTTATATAGTAAACAAGGAACATTAATTCAATATCCTAAACAAAAACAAATACAAAATAGCCAATAATGGCCTAGATGACAGTAATTAAAATTACTCAATAAACTGTAATCGCTACTTCCATCCACTTTTTTTTATATATAAAAATTCCGTTTGCAGTCTTTGGGTTTTTTTTCTGATTCATTTTTCATGCTACATGGAGGCTTTCTCATGCTGTTTAGCAGCTATTTCGTGCTTGCTTCTTCCTGCAAAACTCAATTATATTATGATAAATTAGACTCGAAGGCTAATAAAAACAATTATAGACATGCAAACAATTCAGTCTCTATTGATTCATGGTCATTAAACAAATAAAATAATTTCATGTAAACACATTCCTTTTACCTCCCACATAAAAGAACTCTCATCCAGAATGATTTCATCTTCTTGTTTTGGCTTCTTCGTGCTAGCTGCACTCTCCGCTTCTACGGGTTCATAATCCACGCACTCTCTGAGAGTCATAATCATCATAAACAACAAAATTCAATGTACAAATTAATGTTATTGATGAAAATACGAGAAATGTGAAGAAAACTTACGGAGTAAAGCAGAACTTAAGGCTGAACCAATTACGGGCTTCAATATCCATAGGAAGAATTGTTGAATGTAAGGTCTCAATTATGTGTCTTCTTCCTTGAACAATTTGAAACGTGGTGATACAAACATGTTGAACCTCATCACATTCTTTGTTAGTGGCAGTCTTAACATGAACAAAGTCTTGGTTCCCTAGATGAACCAAATAGGAAGTCACAAATTCACCAAATTGCAATGGCGGAACAGCAATCTCAAGGTCGTTCAATTTAAACAGTTGGACTAGTGAATATGTAGTACCACCGTTGTCATCTTCTTTCCTTTTCAAGGAGTATGCTATAATCTCCTCCCCATTAGACGAATTTAAGGCATAGATAGTCTCGCCTACAACCACAGCCCTCCCTTGGAAAGGAGTATAAGTCTCAACTTCCACTCGTATCCAATCCTTTCTAGCCACGTGAAAAGCAACGACATCAAAGTTTCGATGCAAGTCAGACAATGTATACAAAATAAGGCCATAACAAACAGCATAACCAGTTACCCACATGGTATATCCATAAGAAAATGGAAACAAACGCATTCGCACCCAATCCTTCTTATCAGGATCGTATTTCCCAAAACCTAGACACCGACTTGGTTCCGAGGGCGATTTGCCTTCAAGAAAATAAAGTGTGCCATATGCCGAAACAAATGTTCCACGCGGCTTAAACTGTACGGTAGACTCTGTCAAGGGATCTAAATTCCCAGTTTTTGTATCAAAGATAAACCCTCCAAATGACCTAAGGCAAAGTTGATCCGAACCCTCCTCTGTAAAAACATATAGTTGGGAGCGATCGAAAATCCTTGCACCCCGAACGTTAAAACTGCTGAACTTGGCTACAGGTCGAGGTGCTCCCATATCCTTAAGTTCTCCTCCGAAATTGAATTTAATTTCATATAAGGCACCAGTGTACTTGCCCCTAACGAAATTTACCATTAAAAACACAGATCTTTCTTGCCCTTGATTCACCGTCATCCCCTCCATGGGCAAGCTGGATAGAGAAGAGAGATATTAATAAATGAAGGAAGTTCAAAAAAAAAAAAAAAAAAAAAAAAAAAAAAAAAAAAAAAAAAAAAAAAATGCAATGAATCAAGAACATCAACAATTTTACAGAGAAACAAAAATTAAGAATATGAAATCCACTAGTATGCTATGCACTGACCTTGGGTAGGGATGAACGTCTCCATGTTTGCAACTGCCGGCCCTACTGGGGCGTAGTAGGCAAAGCTCTTTCGATATTAATTTCTTCAAATCGAGCAGGGCCAAAAGCGTGGGTAGATATTTCTCGTTCTCCCGCAGTTCGCCCTGATAATTCTCCATCTCCCATATCCGGGCCAGTTCGCCCAAAGACTTCTCCATCTCCCATATCTTGTGCAGAGATTTCTTGATCTTCGATGTCTTGGCCAAGAGCTCATCCTGGCGTGAAGCCATCATCAAGGCGTGGTCTTGACCCGAGGTGAAATCAACAGCGGCGGCCATGGTATTGGAATGCTAAATTGAGGCAAAAGGGAATTTAGGGTTTAGGGATGCCGCGGCAAAAGGGAGTTTTATTATGGTTGGTTGTGGGTATGAAATATATACTGAAGGTTGGAATATTCAAGAGATGAATTTGCTTTCATTCATCCGTGAGGTGATGTATGTATTATATAACTTCCTAATTAATCTTGATAGGAACAGGAAACTTATAATTGTCTTCTTTCTTATTTTGTTGAGAGAAAATAGGAAAGTTTTTTTTTTTTGATGAAAACTTAGCTGTTTTTGAATATGCGTATGGTATATATATGTACCACTTAACTTTTCTAATTTAGTATTCTATTTAGTTTCCCGTTTAAAAATTCCTAGTTTTTTGTCTTGTTTCTTTTCTTATTTTTTTTTTTTTTTTTTTTTTTTTTTTTTTTTTTTGGGTTTGCTGGTTTGAGATTGGGTTTTAGAGCCAATTGAGGAAGTGGTTTAGTTCAAAGCCCTATATAATTTACCTTCTTTGATTTTATTGCTTCACTCTCGTTAATCAAAGGTGCTGGTGGACTGGATCTCTCTTTGACTCCATCGTTTTTGCTTCATTGTCCAAGATAATCAAAGGTTACATTATGCTTTCTCAGTTATATTTTAGTTTTTTGTTTGTTTGCTGGCTGATTAGAAGGATTAAATCTTTGTTTGTTTCTATCTTTTCTTGCAGAACTATCATTGTTAAGAATTCTTTTCGGTAAATAATGCAGGATCAGAAAGAGTTTTTTCATTTTGTTGAAACGTTGCATGCTGAAAATAATAAACATAACCAGGTCATTGGTTCTGGGGTTTATTTGTACAGTTTCAAGTTTAATCCTAATATTTCTCAAGAATTTTATGAGGGGTATTTATATTTTGAACGTGACGGCCAAAAAGTCCAGAATGTGGCGTTTGTAAAAGTTGTTGGAGAACATGCTGATGTGAAGGCAATAGAAGTATTTCATAGGACTCGTACAGCTATTGACGATGTTGTTTTACGGCCGTGGACGTATTTGTTCTCCCAACAAAAGGACTTTTCCGAATTGCCTCATGATACAGAGTTGAGGAAGGGAATATGGAGTCTATGTTATGATCGCTTCGAACACAATCTTAAAGATTGGACGAAGCTGGCGAAGCCAAAGCCCAAGGGAATTGCTTATAATGATAAGCTTAAACTACCTATCAAGACTTGCGATGGTCGTCTTAATGACTTTTGGCGTGATTCTATAAGGTAGTTGGTTATATTCTGTTAAAATTGGTTATAGTAGTTTTGTTTAGTTTTAATTGTATTTGACATAAATTCTTTGTATTTTTTGTAGTGAGTTGATTTCTGGTGTAGGTCGCATCCATTCTAAGGGGTTATATCATGGTAAGTTGCGTTTGCGGAGTAACTATGTATTTATTAACGAATGTATGAAGATAATCAACGTTGAGGGATCTTTGGATGAGTTAAAAAGTGATGATGAACGATGTACAGAGAAGAAAAAAGATATTTTTGACATTTTCTGGATGTTGGACCAAGTGTTCCAATCGTTAGGGGAGAACAAAAATAATTGGTTGGAATGTCGCCACTTCTTTGAGTTCGTCAAAGATTCTAGGACTTTGAAGCTGCGGTTAGTTCTCTATATCTTTTATTTTATTTTATCAATGTTTTTCTTTTTTCACTTCATTTCTTTCTTATAGAATGTTTTTTTGTTGTTGGTATATTTTCAGCTATGATGATTTTATCAAAAAAGTGGCGGGTCATCCGTTTTTGTTAAGCGCTGATAAAAGGATAAATCTCTTTGACGATTATGAGTGTAAAAGAACGGATGAAACTACTGGGGAAGATATAAAATTAGTTTTGGGATCATCTGAATTTGATACGTTCAAATCCTGGAACAATGCTTTCCTTGCTTCAACCGGTACTAGTACTAACGTGGACAACTTTATGTTGGGCGTTTATAACTATGGAAAATACTCTGGCGATGTGGAGGATCTTCTTAGGTACCTTAGGAATCTGAAGCATCATTATCATCAACATGGTTTGGCTGCTGGTTCTATGGTAGATGTGGATCGTGGTGTTAGCAAACATTTTGGTGGGTTTTTGGAGTTGCTTTACAAGAAGTTAGAAATATAGTAGGAGCGGTGGTTCATGTTGTTATTTTATTTTTTGTGTTGTAACATTTTGGTCGTACATCAAAGATGGTGAAGACACAAGTTAAAAGCCTTTACTTTTTATGACATTATGCTTAAGAAGGTTCTGTACTATAGGTCGTCTTGCATATCCTATCTGCTGCTTCTGAATATAACGAACTTCCTGTGCGGCATAACGAGGCACACACTTGTGTGACTAGATCTATTGACCGTGGATTCTGAAAATGGAGACAATTAACACTTGACCTATAACAACTAGCTTGTGAGCGAAGTGGTATCAGTCAGTCCTATTTATTATTAAGAAGGGGCATATAAAGCATACAATATATAATGTTCATATTATATTATATATATCGCAGTCATATGGAATCATTCTTCCTCCATACAAATTCGAAGTCATATGCCTCTGCACGAACGGAGAATTCTTAGCGTCCTCCTCTGCAAAATTTATGGCATACCCGATACAATCAAAAGAAAACACAGCTTACTGATATCTCGTGTGCGTATGTAAATATGTGTACATAATCACAGAGAGAGAGAGAGAGAGAGAGAGAGAGAAAGGGAGAGGGCTAGAGTACCGGTGAGACCGAGAGAACAGTAGGTAATGAGAGTGCCGGTGATGGCAAAACCGACCAGGAAAGGCCAATTTCGGTTCCACTCACGCTTGAAGAAGACGGGCCATAGATCGAACTTTCGCATCTTTGATTTTCTCTTCTTTTCTCTCTAACCAAACGGACGGGAAATGGTGAAACGCTACCTTGGCTTGCTAGCGTTTGTTTTGGTGCGAAGCGAAGCGAGAGTCGCCGGGAGAGGGCTGAAGTGACTCTCGTCATAGCTGGGTTTGTTTTTTTGGTGTTTTTGTTTTATATACTCCGAAAATATTTTCAGCGTATAGCGCAGCTATACTCATTATTGCACTCTGCTGTACTTGTATTTTTTAATAATAAAAAATAGTATCGCCGCGCGGCTATACCGGTTTTAACACGTGGCAAAGAGGGCGCAATGAGGGTCCTTTTTTTATTTATAAATAGTATAGCCGCTCGGATATACTAGGTGTTTTCTTATTTTAAAAAGAGTATAGCCGCCTTGGAATATTTTTATTTTTAGAAAAAATAGCCGCGGCGTAACTGAGTCGTTTTTTAATAAATAGTATAGCCGTGCGGCTATACACTTTACATACTATTAGGCCCCTAATCTTTACATTCCCAGCTACTAATCCCTAACCTTTACAGACCATAAAATATTGGTGTCTTTTCCAGGTTTCCCGACATCCTTGCCAATTTTATATTCCAGAATATCCAACACCATGGAGGCAACAGGAATGAAAATGCCAGTGGAAGAGGAGAGATGATTCAGCCATTGAATGCATTTGATTCTTAAAGGCAAATATCTGTGTCCAGAAAACAAGACAGCCACTCCATTTATAATCTGAATGATCGTAAAGAGCAATGGATGAAGATCATAATCATGTATGTTGGCTGATAGATCAATGCAACTGGTGTACTGCCAACTGCATATCTTCTTGACCGCTTCCTGGCCACAGAAAATGAGGCAGAATTTCAGGGAAAATATCACTGGTAAATTCTAAATACCATAATTTCTTGTAAAGTACACACTCCCACACACACATAAACTAACTTGAAATAGCAAAAAAAATTATCTGCCTGAACTGAAATTAAGGAAACAAACAGCCAAGAGGATTGTACTAATGGTGGCAATACCTTCTCTTATGTCAATAAACCCTGCTTCAATATCTTAGCAAGTTGCTGGATGGACACCGATGCTTTTTGCAGATACGCAGAGCATAGCTCCACAAAGGAGTTTCTTAGAAATTGTATGTGTTGAAATGGAACAGGCTCCAAAAATTGGCAATGACCAATAAAGGATTTATATGTATTAACAAAGCGGGTTCAAAGCTCTGGCTATAACATTTTAACAGTATAACCGCACGGCTATACTGTTTAAATATATTAGAACATTTTAAACCTATAGCCACTCTGCGATACTCCTTATTCGAATATTTTAACTGTACCGCCGTTCGGCTATACTCTTTAAATATATAAAGTATAGCCGACCGGCTATACGCTTTAAATATATTAGAATATTTTAAACGTATACTGCTTAGTTATATTCAAATATTTTAAAAGTATAGCTGTATTCCTTAAATATATTAGAATATTTTAAAAGTTATAGCTGTACTCCTTAAATATATTCGAATATTTTAACAGTATAGCCGCGCGGCTGTACGCTTTAAATATATTAGAATATTTTAATAGTATAGCCGCTCGGCGATAACCAGCTATGAGGATATTAGAATCATTTCGGCCCTCTCCCGACGACCATCGCTTCGCTTCGCACCAAAACAAACGCTCGCAAGCCAAGGTAGCGTTTCACCACTTCCCGTCCGTTTGGTTAGAGAGAAAAGAAGAGAAAATCAAAGATGCGAAAGTTCGATCCATGGCCCGTCTTCTTCAAGCGTGAGTGGAACCGAAATTGGCCTTTCCTGGTCGGTTTCGCCATCACCGGTACTCTCATCACCAAGTTTTCTCTCGGTCTCACTGGTACTCTAGCCCTCTCACTTTCTCTCTCTCTCTCTGATTATGTACACATATTTACATACGCACACAAGATATCAGTAAGCTGTGTTTTGTTTTGATTGTATCGGGGATTCCATAAATTTTGCAGAGGAGGACGCCAAGAATTCTCAGTTCGTGCAGAGGCATAAGAAGTACGCCTCTCAAACCCCAATCTCTTAATAAATTAAATTTGAACCCTATTTTGATTTATTATTCTTAATTTCTCAACCAGTAATGGATCCAAAATCCGATGCTCACTGCTAGTTAATTTTGGTATCCATTTCCTTAATTGCTTGTAAATATGCATTTTTGATGTGAGTCCCTTCTTTAACAAAGAAGAAATGTGATTAGTTAGTGATAGGGTTTGAGTTGCTGAAACGACATCGTTTTTGGTCAGTGTTGATATTTGGTGCTCTTGTCTTGGGCCATATATGGAAATTGGATCTAGGTACTTGTTACTGTGTATCTTACATCCAGTTCTAAGGTGTTTCAGTGAGCCATCCATGATGAAGAGACATAGTTTTCTTTGCCTCAAATTTGTTTCAAAGTCTTTTAAATGAATTCAGGCTTACATTTGGTCGAGTTACATAATCAGCAGTCACTGATGATTTCTATGAATTATTCGCATTTCCGTTTAGTTGATTACTCTGTTCGTAGTTGTTAATGTCTGCCCAAGTTTTGAAAAAGTTTTTATGATTTCCATCATAACAAAAGCATGAAATCAAGTTTTATTTGAGCTCTTGTTTGAAATAGTTACCTACCCCCTCTTATCCCACACTCTCTCATCTTTCCCGTATGTTTCATAGAGTGTTGAAACAATGAGTCGTAGTAAGATAGTTCCCATGAAGGCCTAACATATTGGAAAACAAGTGCTGAAACTATAGGTGCAAAGTGTGTTGTGAGTCAACAATGTCTGAGGCCTGTCATCATTGTCCATCGTGTCACTTATCTATGACTCACAGTGATCTCTGATACCTTGCAAGTGAAAATCCACAAATGGTTGTTATGTTAGAAAATTACTATCTCCACACGGCCTTCAAACGGTATATTTTTGTTCAATCCACTGCAGTGAAGTGAGAATTAATGAGTACAGTGCTATATATGGTTAGGTAGTCAATAATATGTATTGACACCATCTGCTGATTAACCTATTAATGAAAACTTGAAACAAATGAACAAATTGGCTAAGCTGCTTACACGGTTCACTGCCGATCATGATACATTACCAGTTAATTCTAGTTTTGAAAATCCATATGGGTAAGAAACCTACATGTGCAAGCGAGGTGCCTTCGTAGGAATCTGAGTCGAGATTTTTCTTATCATAATTATTTCATACCAGCTGACTATAGTGAAGTAAAGCTTGCATATCTGCTATAGTTTTTGTATTCCACCAATAATGATGGGCAGAGTGCTGTTTTTCTATATGCGCTTACCCAAGGTGTACAATTTATTGATAGTCGATATTTGTTGTGGTTTTAGGTGAAGGAGCAAATGTTTTGCACCCAATCTAGATCAGCTTCCGTCGGCCAGAAGTGGAAGGGCTTTTAATAAATGTTTTTATCTTGGTTCTTTTCAACCTTGTGGTTCAAGATGATGTAGACGTATGGTTACTGGTAGAAGACTATGATACATATGTTCTAAATGAAAACTTTCAATTTGTTCAATGTATGCTGCTGCTTTTGACAGATTGAAATGCAGTCTTTAGGGCTGACTTAAAAACCTATATCATGTGACCACGATTCACGAATGTCGCTAAATGTCAGAAATGTTTGATAATAAGTTCGCTTTTCTACAATGATGATTCTATTTCACTGGATTTGCTCGATTTTGGTTAAGAAGTACAGTTTTGAAAATCACACTTAGATTATAAGCACGACCTTAGAATGGATGTTGAAGGATGAATTCTCATTCTCAACTTTGAGCTTAGATAATCAATTCTTCACAATTTTCATTTGAGTAATGTTAGAGATAACTTATTACACAAATTTTTGGATATCAACTGATGCGACGGTGGTACATTTGTTTTCATTATGAGCCCCTTCGGATACTATTTATTCACAACAAATAAGAAGTTGCTACATCAGTAATCTTATTATTTTTGGTTCGACCAATTGCTTTCACTTATTCAAGTTGGGTTGATTTACCATATTCACCTTTGGACAAGACGAGAAAATGAAAAAAGAAACATTAAAAAAAAAGAATAAGGTTTTTGGATGTTATTAAACTAATAATTTCAATTGGCGGGAACCTAAAATGGGATTGAAATGACCCAAAAATTCATAAATAATGTTTAATTGCTAAGCCAACGGGGTCTATCTCAATGAAAAAAGGCCTTAACTTGCAGACTAGAGGTCTCAGGTTCAAGCCCCCATGGCATTATAGTTGTGTGTGTGTGAAAAATTCTCCTCCCTTGTAATTTAGACTATCGCTTGTACTAAAAAAAATGTTTAACTGCTAAAGGTCAAAATGCTTAAGCGATCCAATTACTGTAGAAACTGCAATTAAGTACAACGGCCGTCTTAGCTCAGCTGGTAGAGCGCATGGCTTTTAACCATGTGGTCGTGGGTTCGATTCCCACAGACGGCGTCTTTTTCAATTTCGTATATCTTAATTTTAATTTTAATTTTAATTTTAATTTTAATATTAATCAATAAATCAATTTTATTTTTATTTATAAAAATCAAGATGAGCCATGGCTGATGATAGTCTCTGATTATCGTTGTGGTTTGCTTATCATTTTACTTCCCCTCTTTAAACTTATCCACCTGCAACTCCAAACCCCAAGCTTTGGCCATGAACTGAGCCCATCTCACCCCAACAAACCAACCCTTTGAAGCTTTTCGCTCAGAAATGGCGGCAGCAGCAGCAGCCGCAGCGAGAATAAACTTCTTCTTAAACCCCATAAATCCCCTCAACTCCAAAGCCACCACCCATCTCAGGACCCGCCTCCACTTTCAGCCATCAAGAAGAAGACCCAGAGCTACGTCGTTTTGCACGCGTGCCTCGGCTACTCCCCTCCACGACGAAGCCGCCGCCAGTGACCCTTTTGTCCTCACCACTCCGCTTTATTACGTGAATGCCCCTCCTCATTTGGGCAGCGCTTACACCACCATCGCTGCCGATGCCATTGCTCGCTTTCAGAGGCTGTTGGGTAAGAAGGTCATCTTCATCACTGGCACTGATGAGCATGGTGAAAAGATTGCCACTGCAGCTGCTGATAGTGCCTCCACACCAGCTCAACACTGTGACATCATTTCACAGTCTTACATATCACTCTGGAAAAACGTATTTTCTTTTACCCGCCTTTGGAAATTTACTATTTTGTTCAATTGATTGTTCAAATTGCTCTTATTTTCACTTTTATTGATTTAAAATTTTTGGGTTATTTGGTGATTGCAGTTAGATATAGCTTATGACAAATTCATTCGAACAACTGATCCCAAGCATGAAGCAATTGTGAAGGAGTTTTACTCAAGGGTTCTTGCCAATGGAGACATTTACAGGGCTGACTATGAGGGACTTTATTGTGTCAATTGTGAGGAGTATAAGGTGCCCTCTTATTCCATTCAAACTTGTATTTCTGGTTGTATGCCTTTTAGTTTTGGATAACCCTCTCAACTCTATTTGAATAACTTAAGCTTATTCCTTATGAAACTTTCTTTTTAGATGGATTTATTATATTACTTGTATTGATGACATAATATATCCTTGTGTTAGTTTTGATTCTGGAACATTGCCCTGGGTAATTTAAAGAAGTTGACTTGATTACTTGTTGAGTGGGGATTATGTTGCTGCTCCTTTCCGTTTAATATATGTTGTTTGAATACAATGTCTTCATATCTACCGAGCTATTTTTCTGGAGTACCTTGTGTTGTATACTTAATAATTGGTCTCATATCATTAATTCTAAATATTGCACAGGATGAGAAAGAACTGCTTGATAACAACTGTTGCCCCACGCACCTAAAGCCATGTGTTGCACGGAAAGAGGATAATTACTTCTTTGCATTGTCCAAGTATCAAAAGTCATTGGAAGAAACTTTGGCAAAAAATCCGAATTTTGTACAGCCTTCATTCCGTCTTAATGAGGTTAGATATAAAGTACATTGGTTTACGTAACTTAAAGTTGTTTCTTTATATATGAAATTACAAATGTAATGTGTAGTACTTACCCTACAAGCCAATTGAGATTTCTACTGCCTGGGTTGCCAATGATCGTTTCTTTATTTGTTCTCACACTTCATCTTGTTAGCGCATATAGAGTTATATTTTATTAATTGGGGAGTGTGAAAAACGAAAATTGGAGGGCTGATAATATTATTCTTTCTATAATTTTATTAGTAACTAAAACAGGTTTTTCCTTTTCCTCAAGGTTCAAAGTTGGATTAGAAGTGGCCTAAGAGACTTTTCCATTTCTCGAGCATTAGTGGATTGGGGCATCCCTGTTCCTAATGATAGCAAGCAAACAATATATGTTTGGTTTGATGCTTTACTGGGGTAAAGTTCTTTCTCCCTCCCATTCCTCTTCCCCTATGTAACTCATAGTCGTGTGTTTTCTGAAGCTGTGAGTACCTACTCAATATAGTGTGGTTTCATTGTGTCATATATAAGTCCAAACATATGGCTGACATAGACTAATAAATAAGTTTTCAGACAACTGTTATAAAAAATAGATAGAAGATTAATTGTGAATCTGCTTTCTTTTAGCACTAGATTTTTCTTTACTTCTGGTTTCTCTATTTCTTTTGGTAGATGCTTACTGGAGATTATTTATTTGATGTATATGTTCCAAAATATTGTTAACAGTTATATATCAGCCCTATCTGAAGATACGGAGCAACCTGATTTGGAAAGAGCCGTTTCATCAGGGTGGCCTGCCTCGCTACACTTGATTGGCAAGGTATGGTGACTTCCATACTTTGTAGATTAACTTTTTTCATTTCACAAGTATATTCCTTTTAATAAGCTATCCTATTAAGTTATATTAAATCAAACTTCCAATGTCAAAGCATGACAGAGGAGGGGGATATAACCGGGGATATATAATAGAATTCTGTATGATAGTTGATGTTTCCTTATTATTCTGTAGGATATTTTACGTTTCCATGCAGTCTACTGGCCAGCTATGCTGATGTCTGCTGGACTAGGCCTTCCTAAGATGGTGTTTGGCCATGGATTCTTGACAAAGGTATTTGAACTATTTGAGCGTAGTATATATGATTGTTTCTTCTGGGAATAGATGTACCTGTAACTCCCTCGTGATTGAATTCCTCATAGACAGAGCTTTTGGTATTGGAATCCTAGATGAATTCTCAGTCCTGTAAACTTTGAGTAATGATCATGTCGACTGGAGTTTCTGATCCATTGTTAGGCATTGCAGCAGGTGTTCATTTAGCTATGTGTAACATTGTCTTTTGTGTCCAATATGAGAGATGCCACATGAAATTATAATGGTCTCTTTCAAAATTAATTGTAGATAGAAAGTTGATGTTACTAAATGGGGGTAAGTTGACACATTGTGATATGGATGTCATTTGTATGTTAAAATGACAAAACTCATGGTAATCCGAACTGTTGTTCATAGATTTTGTTCAGTCCTATTGGTTATATATTTATAGCCTTAGCTACATGCACTCCGTTCCACTCATGAAGTCTATATTTAAAATTGCTGAGTTGAAGTGTACCTCTCTGCAAAGAGAGATCATTGATGCTCATACAACTTAAAACGAAAACAGTACTGCGAATAGTAGGCATTTTGAGTTTTCATCTCATGTATGTAATTTCATTTCATGCAGCAATGCTTTTTTATTTTTAAAATTATAGGATGGCATGAAGATGGGGAAGTCGCTGGGCAATACAATTGAACCAAATGATTTGGTTCATAAATTCGGGTCTGATGCGGTCAGGTACTTCTTCCTCAGGGAGGTGGAATTTGGAAATGACGGGGACTATTCGGAAGATCGTTTCATCAATATTGTCAATGCTCATCTTGCCAATTCAATTGGTATCTCTACACTGCGCCTCATTAGTATTCTTTGTTGGTTAATGAATGATAGTTTCTTTCCTATTTTATTATCTTTGGAGCACTGAAGTTGTCTCTGCTTTGCAGGAAATCTGCTTAACCGTACTCTGGGACTTCTTAAGAAGAACTGCCAATCAACTTTGGTGGTTGATTCAAGTATTGCAGCTGAAGGAATTACATTTAAGGACACTGTGGAGAAGTTGGTAAAGTTTTCATTATATTTCGAACATTATCAGGTTTCCCAAGCATGTTAAATTAGTTTCGGCCAAAAAAAAATAGCATGTCAAATTAGTGGAATCACTTGATGTTTGAGGTGGCTTATGTTTGCAAGCCATGGAGACCCTTTTGCAATTGTGATTCATTTTTTGGTTCCTGGGACATTAAAATCCTGTATGCAACTGTTGCAACCTTTGACCTAGTTGTCCCAACACTTTCCGCACTTTTATAGGTGGAAAAAGCTCGGGTTCAGTATGGAAACCTCTCGCTAGCATCAGCTTGTGAGGCTGTGCTAGAGATCAGCAATGCTGGAAATTTATACATGGATGAGCGCACACCATGGTCTCTTTTTAAGCAAGGGGGTGCTGCTTCTGAAGCCGCTGCAAAGGTTAGCATTACATAGATAAGTATGTGTCGGGTTGTCTGTTCGCGTGGTTTTGTATTTGCTTATTTCCTTCAATAAGGTCATTGGCCTGTTTTGCTTCAACACTCATTTCACCAACCGTTAAAGGAGGTCGAGTCTGGACCCGAAATGTAGGTCAAATAATGAACACATATATAGATTGGACTTGAGTACATTGTAATTGATGGCCAATGTATAAATGCAGTTTGATGAAAATCTTGTGTTTTTGGAGCAGGACCTTGTGATAATATTAGAAGCAATGAGGATTATAGCAGTTGCATTATCACCCGTCACGCCGAGCTTATCTTGGAGAATATATGGACAGCTTGGCTACTCAAAGGAACAGTTTGATGCTGCTACCTGGGTATCTCTCTGACACTTTTATAAATGTATTTTGTCTGGTTTCCAAACACTTTTTTTTATAAACTAACACGTGCCTTTGCACTGTAGAGCGACACCAAGTGGGGTGGCCTAAAGAGTGGTCAGGTCATGGCGCAACCTAAACCAATCTTTGCAAGGATTGAAAACCCAACAGAAGAGCAAAATGGGGTTGAAGCACCTAAAAAGGCAGTCATGAAGGACAAGCTACCTCAAGCCAAACGGGTGGTGGAAGCGTAAAGATTCAATACTTGAAATGTCTTCTCTACCCCTCATGCCATTTTGCATTTTTCTCTTAAAAATCGTATATATCATAGATTGCTTTGCGACTTCTTTTATTAAGGATTACAATAATTTTGTGTAATTGTAATGACCAAATCATTTTTTTCAAATAAATAATCTTGTGATTACCTTTAGGCCTTTTCCCTGAAACTTTTGTACGGGATGAGGTGGGCACCCACGTACCCATTTGGTATTACGTAAATGGGTATTAACTGTACCCGCACCCGCGCAGAAACGGGTACCCGACAGAAGCGAAGTGAAGTTTTACTCATTAGCGTTTGTGTATATATATATCAACTCTTCATAACAAGACAGGAACCAATCTCAATAGAGGAAGGAAGCTAAATGTTATAGAAGGAAGCTTGTTGATATAAACTCAAATACCGTTCAAATCGTTTCAAGTAAAACCATCACAAAACAAAAATAGTACACACCACTTATTCTTCTACTTGAGAAACATATGAAATGAAGATGTATCGCACAGTGGAGGCAAGCAAATTTACAAAAATGCACCACCACCCTCACATTCTATGCTACACCCCTCACTTGTTTTTGGGGACACCAAGTCTTGTGCGGAAATCATCCTCCATGAGGGGAAGACCATCGCGCAACTTAACCTTCGGTTCCCATCCCAGCAGGTCCTTCGCTTTTGTGATGTCAGGCTTCCTCTGGCGAGGATCATCCGGCGTGTTCTCAACCATTATAATCTCTACCTTAGGATTGATGAGCTGCAAGTCACATGATCAAGAAATTAGTTACCCTTTTTACACTTCATGGCGATGTTGAGGTGGTGAGAAGAATTGCAATTAATCGGCACGCCTTGCTGAAAAAAACAAAGAAAACAAGAGTAAATACAAAAACCTACCTCCTTCACATTCTCGGCAAGCTCGATCATTGTAAATTCACCTGAAAATAGAAGTGTGTTAATATTGTCCACGAAATAATACTACAAAGCTAAATTAATTCCCTGTTAACCACACAGGCTTTGTATGATAACCTGGATTTCCAATGTTGATCGGTCCAGTGTTGTCTCCTTGCATAAGTCGAATAAGGCCATCAACCTTGAGCATTAAAATGTATGATTAATTTGTATAAACACCTGATGAAGACCTTTTATTTTTCCACGCGAACATGAATCAAAATAATAAAATCGTGCTTACCATGTCAGACACATAACAGAAACTCCGCGTTTGTGTCCCAGGAGCTTGAACAGTCAAGGGATCATCACTACAGAAATGGGCAACAAATATTTTAGCATTACATGGGCGGGGCAAGCAAAGTGAAAACTGCACTGGTTGTACGCCTCTAATAGGTGCACAGAACCAAACTAAGGCTTAGTAGAACTTACCGGATAGCTTGGGCTATGAAATTACTGACAACACGACCATCATCAATATTCATGCGAGGTCCGTAAGTGTTGAAAATCCTAGCAATCCTTATCTCTGTGAAGGACCGTTATTAAGCAAGAGAAAACAAAGAACAGCAATTTGAAGGAATACAAAAGCAATTAATATGTGTCTGTGATGAGCATTGAAAGAAGAAGAAAGGAAAGGAGAGGTACCTATCCCATGCTGCCTGTGATAATCAAACATCAATGTTTCAGCAACTCGCTTTCCCTCATCATAGCAACTCCTAACTCCTGTTTTATGTTTTCAAACACAAAACCAATTAATATGTGCCACAAGTTGGTGCAATTGACATTTTCACTATGAAAGTTGTTTTAAAATTTGTACACGTGAAAATGAAAAACCATACATCACATTATGGCACGGTATAAATTGGAATGCAATGAAAGAAAGGTTTTAAGAGATAATAGAGCATATTTTTCTTTGCCTCAGAAAGACAATATATACTCTACCCCAGAGATCAAAGGTAATGCAAATGTATTTGTTGTCAGTAGCTAGGATGAAAAGCATACCAATTGGATTCACATTTCCCCAATAGCTCTCAGTCTGGGGGTGAATAAGAGGATCTCCATACACCTCCGAAGTAGATGTAAGCAAAATCCTGAATGAATTTCAGACCATGAGAAACGAACAAGATATCCACAGATGGTTATATCAAATAAGACAGAACGAGATTATCAAACCTTGCTCCAACTCGCTTGGCAAGTCCCAGCATGTTCAATGTACCAATGACATTTGTCTTTATTGTCTGTTACACAAGAAATGTTCACATAAGACAATTATTCCACCTCCAATAATATTTGTACACATGGTTGCTGGATGCTTGTGAGAAAACAGCTTAACACTATATTCAACTCTTCACTGTTCTCAAATAAACATCAAATATTCATAGACGCACCTTTACAGGATTGTACTTGTAGAAGATTGGAGAAGCAGGGCAGGCAAGATGGTATATTTGGTCAACCTCAATTAGCAGAGGCTCTGTGACATCTGCATGAAGGAAAAATAATATTACCAAACAAAGTAAAGATATTTACCACTTGAAAATTTTCTTATACATCTGCAATAGGATATTGTTTAAGAAGATCATGGGGATATAAAACTACATATACAATCTCCACACACGCACACACGAATCTTCATTTTTTCTTCTTCTTTGTACTGAATACACAGAAGCATCTTTAAAGTACAAGGTATTCTCTAATAAAGGGTCCACCCAACATGACCTATTAAAAAGACATACCATGACGAATAAGTTCAAATCTTGGATGACCAATCCATTTCTTCAGGTTGTCCTTTGAGCCAGTGAAGTAATTATCCGCAACAATCACCTGAAGAAAAGAAAAACAACACCAGGAAATACAAATATGTTGGTAAAGCATAAACACTTGGACATGCCAATTCTAATTCTTTTTATTATTAATAAAATTCTACCTCATTCTTTTCATTTTCCATCAATTTGTCCACTAGGTGAGAGCCAATGAATCCAGCTCCTCCAGTAACCAAAATTCTCATATTGGCCTGCCATCAGATGAATAAACATTTGAATATACATAAATTGCCACAAAAATATGGTGCAAAACAGCACACTAACGCGGTAGATCAGTAACTGACCAAACTGGTTTAAAAAGTTGAAAATAAAAATAATGCCACTTGGCCAGAGATGTTACCTGAAAGAACTTGGCATTTCTTAAAGGTGAGGGGTTTGGAGGTGGTTTTGGGGTGGCTTGCTGATCTCCATTTGTAGCCATTTGTTAAACTTCTGCACTCCAGACAATCAAAACTTCTACATTTTAGATCAAATACACCCACTACCAACACACAATCTCAGATTCCAAAATGAAATCAAACTTGACAGAAAATATAGAGACAAAACTTAACACTCAAAACACATCATTCAGCAGAAAAATTTACAAGAACCCAAATAACAACTATGAAAAACAGATGAAGAAAGCAAAGATCTTTTTTCTTTTTCAGATTATGAACTGAACAGCAAATCAAGTTCAGATCACCTGTCTGTTGAGAGCAATCCCCAATTCCCCAAGCTGTTAATGAGTGCAAGTGTGGTATGAGATAATGAGAGGGAGCATTTATATACAGAATGCAAATGGGGTCAAATTGAATTTAAAAAAGAAATTTAAACTTTCGGAATCAAACAACCAAAAAAATAATAATAAATTAGTTTACTACCAAACTACCAACTAGAAGAGAGAGAGAGAGAGAGAGAGAGAGATGAACGATGCTTCAAAATCACGAAAATTAGGTAGTCATCAGAAGCTTCTCTACAACGAAACTAAAACCCCACACCACTATTATTTTCAGATCTGAAATCTAAATCTCACACAAACCCAACAATTTTTTTCAACTCAAAAACAAGAAGAAAAAAGAAAAACTAATTGAGTAATTAAAAAAAAATTAAAAAATGATGCTCGACATGGATATATATTAATACCTTACAGAAAATAAACAAAACTGGTGGTGCTTTCTCCTCTTTGCAGTGAAGGTGAAGGCTCAAAGGTGTGAAATTTCTAAGGTTTCCTACACAACATCGAACACGAACACATGTAAAATGCAAACATATATAATGTCTTGTTCGAGATGTAACCGAAATTAACGGTGCTTCGAAGATTTGGAGTTTGCAGAAATCACTTCATGACACGTCATCGCTTAGTAGGATGATGCATCGTATCCTAGGTTCCGACTCTGCTCATCTCCAGTTGTTTTCTACTTCGTTCTGTTGAGTTACGGTGTGATGGTCCACACGATATGTGCGGTAGGTAGCCAATGAGGAACTGCCTTTCAAGAACAAATACCTTCTATACAAATTTATAAATAACCTCAATCCTAGACATGTATTTATAAAAAAACTCAAGCATTATTTAAACATAGAAACACACCCAAAATCAACCCCAAAATCAACTTTTTTGGTGTGTTTATAAATGGGTTTTGAGTGTGTGTAATGACAGGTTTTTGGTGTGTTTATATGTTTAAATAGTGCTTGGGTTTTTTTATAATTTCAACCCCCATTTTGGGTGTTTTAATGAAACTCCCTAAATTCTACTGCTCTCCCTTTTCCGTGAATTGGATATTTAAATCACTTTTTATTGTCTTATTCTGTTAAAAGGCTTGTTTTTCTCATTTATGTTGGCTTTCTATTTGAAAACCTATCATTTTTCACTCACTTTTAAAAATAAAATAAAGTAAAATACAAATTTCAATGGATATATTTAACTTGGATTTTTTAAAATTATTTTTAACGGTGAATATTTTGTTATTTTATATATTTTTTTAAAATTACTATAATTTACATTGATGAGAATCAATTCCGATACAAGGTGGAGAAACACACGCACACTCTAACTAATTGGTCTAACTCACGTATAATTCTTAAATTTTTACTTTGATTGCTACCATTTTTACTAACTTTTTTTTTAAATTTCTAAAAGTATAATTGTCTTAGTAGAATTCTTAATTTATTACTGGGGAATTATCTTAGCGTCGGTGGTGCGCGAAACATGGGATAGTTACTCTTTGAGGTGGGACCGTAGGATGGCTAAGGGCTAGTTTGGCATTGCTGTGCTGTGAAAATAATCGCTGTCAGATTTGCTGTGAGAGAAATCAGCTGTGAGATAAAGCAGTTTGGCGTTTGGTAAAATCTTTGTTAAAAGTGTTGTTGGTATTGATTTTACGCATAATCAGAAAATGATTGCTGCATAATCATTAAACTCAACATCTCTTTGAAACTGATTCTTGCATAATCAGAAAATGAAAGCACCTCATTAGCTGCTTTCCCTTATAGCTTTATCTCACAGCAATTTTTAACAATAAGTGATTTTTTCGCAGTTTACCAAACGGGTTGGGCTTCTCAAAATTTTAAAAAAATCACTTATCACCCTAAATAAGCAAAGCCAAACTGGCACTAAGAAGTATTGCATTTTTGTCCGTTTTGGCTTATTTTCAAAATATTTCTCAAGTCCCAATTGTAAATTGCCACGTCAGAAAGAGATGAAATTGTTGCAATGGTAAAGGTGACGTACATGGAAGCCTGTGAACGTCCACGCAGAAGAGTTATCCGCAACGTCAGATCCAACGCATTGCGTTTGACTTGTTCATCGAACGACTACAACCAGCAAGTGAGTTTTGAATAAAGCAGTTAATTTTTTACTAGGTGACAACCTCGTGGCTGTAGTTTAGTGGTAAGAATTCTACGTTGTGGCCGTAGAGACCTGGGCTCGAATCCCAGCAGCCACAGATGCTTTTAAATTTTTGTGAATTTTTAACACCAAGCAAAATATTTTAGAGATATTTAGTCATATATTTATTTTAAAGTCTATTTTATATAGAGTTTTTTTATAATTTGAGCTCATATATTAAGTATAATAGTGAATCTCTCAATATTTTAGCATCCTAATCTGCCATCCGACAACCAAAATTAAAAATATGTAATTAATCCTTAACTTAAATATTTATCAACTAATTCTCCTATTATAATTTGCATTCCATTTGTTTTTCTTTATGCTCAACACTCAAGTTTGGCCGCATTCCATTTGTAATCTGCAATCCGACGACTAACATGCTACTTTAATTTAAAATTGAAATTCAACATCCCACATGGACCACGGTGGTCTATCAGGAGCAACGCATAATGGCCGCAAGCCCATACTAATATGTCCGTATTTAAATGGGCCAACAATTCGGGCCAGAGTTGACTTGTTTTGATATTTCGGGTCGGAGCGAGAAGGTGAATAAAAAGGCGGTTTCTTTTCCGCTTCACCTACGTATCTCGGTTACATTTCAAAGTTGGGTCTTGCCATTGACGATCTGTTCGCAGCTTCAGGCGTCTTCGCATTTTATCTTCACAAAGGTACTTTCTCTCTCCGTCTGATGCAGATCATATGTATGCTTATACATAGCGTTAACATGAAGCTCCCATTTTCAGATCGTTTACGAGTTTATAGCATGTAGTTGGAATTTCGATTTCTCTGTCGTGGTCACTGGTCAGTTTAAAACCCTAGCAATTTGGTGGTTTTTCAGTTTTTTTTTCTTAATGCTGAATCAATTCACATTCATAAGTTTGTTTAAGACATTAGTTTTGGAGTATCGAGTACTTCATGATCGCATAGCGGAGTGGATATCGCATTAGACTCCGGATCTAAAGGTCGTGGGTTCGAATCCCACTGCGATCGTCTACCCTCTTTATACATTTCCTTTTTTTTTTCCTCTGAAAATTTTGTGCGGTATTTGAATTCCTCACTGGAAGACAATTTAGAGTTTTGTTTTTATTCTGGGTAGAAAAAATGGAAAAAGACACTGCTAATTTGCTACTGGTAAGTGACAATAACTGTTTTTGGTGGGTTGGAGAGAATATGTTGTCTTAGTAGCTTTCATTCCTTTAAAGAAATGGAAGATAAATGTTTGGTTCAGAAGATTCTGGTTACCAAGTTATTCTGTATATGGCTATGTCACATTGAACATATGGTTTAGCTTCATCTACAATGATGACACAACATTAAGGTATCCAGGAAAAAAAGGGTACTTTTTTTTGTTGATGCTAGCTATAGATAAAAGAGAGTGAGAATATTTACTAAGGATGGGAGTAGATAGTCTTTTTTTCTGGATATGATAAAGATATGTTCACACCAGGAGACTGAAGATTCCTATCTTCATTGGTGAAGTTTTATGAACAAGCAATGTGCTGAAAGTAGCAAAATAGTGTTTGGTGTGACTTAATATGTACATGACTGCTGGGTTCGTCTCTTACTTCTTACGTACTGCATCTCTCATTTTCAATAATTACCAAGGAATTGTTCTGTATGCTATACTAAAATATCTTAATTAGTGAATAAGACAAGACAAGATGCTGAAAGCGGATCTTATTTTTGCCATTCTAAGCTAGACATTGAGGAATATTATTCAGATTGTAGAGAACCCACATTCAACAAAGGGAAGCAGAATAGAGGAATGATATGATTGAATTTATTCTTTGAAAAGAGGCCTGATAGAGGAATTTATTCCCAATGAGTAAAGATTCCTCTGGTCATGGTTTGATGTTTGCTATGAAGCAAAGTGCCTTTGTACACTATCAAGATTTATGTAGATATCTGGTTAGTTTAGAATTTGGGTAAATTACTTTGGAGATTATTTAATAAAAATTTGATATCTGAGCATGCCTTCTCAGACCTCATTTTCTGTGTTATTCCTTGTGTAATTGGGCATTAGAAGATGCACACACACACACACACACACACACACACACACACACCTTGCCTTGTGTTTGTATTCAGGCAACGTACAGGTAACCCATCCACTAAGGTTGATCTCCATGACAAAGTTGGTTTCCCCCTGCAGTTTTATACCTTTTCCAATTGACTACTGCATAAATTTGAGCGAATTCAATTATAGCTTTCGAGTCAGGATTGTGGAAAGCAGTACAAAACGTTTTTGTTATAATTGCTGCTAGGCACTATTTACATGGAATATTCATAAATATTTGTGTGGTGTGTGATATAGATTGTGCTGTAAGCATGAAATATGTCCACTGCAGAAATGATATGAAGTTCTGTAGTATAATACTAATTTACTGGGTTGTGCTCGTCTTCCTGACAGATGATTGACGATCAAGGCCTGGGGATTGTTGCCAACCTTCTTGGCATCTTCATATTTCTTCTGGTGATTGCTTATCATTATGTGACGGCAGACCCAAAATATGAGGGCAACTGAAACTGGCATTGTTTGTGCTAAAATGAAGAGACCTTATGTCACTCCCGGAAACATGTAGATGACACAATGTAACTTTTCAATTTTGTTAGCATACCTAAACAGGCTGAAGTGGAAGTTTGGTGTAGCTGATAGTTTTGCTACTTCTCAACACAACCATCATCTTCCTATTATGTCTAGAAACTAATGAAGGTACTTAACAGTTTCTATATTTATGACATGGATTACGTCTAGAAACTATTTTACATGAGTAAAGTCTTCCCCTTTTTTTATCATAAATAGTTTTTTGTAATCATATGTTTTGTGATGTGAAATGGATTCTTATCTTGTCTTGGACAGTGAAAAGACCCTCTAACTACCACTCAAACATTCAATATTAGTACTTGATGAAATGAAATCAATTCAATGATAACGGCGGCACCAATTTTTTACCCCAACTTTTATTTACGACTCAAAAGAATTCTCTATGCAAAGAACATCTATATAATTGAATCTGCTATTGTCAGTCAACCGCCTTCGAAAGTGGATTTTTATAGGTTTTACATGCATCAACGGTTTAAAAAGTGAATTTTTATAAATTTTACATGCATCAACGGTTAGAAATCTTCGACACGCACCATACCATCTCCCAATAATCATGCATATTGATTGCAAGTGAAGTCCATAAAATTGAGAAGGAATGCTTAAAGAATACATGACTCTTCTCTCCCTATACACACACAGACCCGCGAAAATACACTGAAAATTGAAAAAGCTGCACCCACTGGCCAACACACCACATCCGCATCACATCACATCATCTCATCAGTCATTCCGTCTCAAAATCAAGAGTACGGTCACACAGTAAGAACTCTACACCTCGAGGCACCCAAATATTCCCTCAGCTGTACTCGCTCTCTCTCTAAAGATGAAAACGAGAGCCCTTGATAATGAAGCAGGCGACCCGGAAACCCGAGAGCAGAGACGAAAAGCCCAGGAACAGAAACCCGACAAAGCCCAGGGCGATGGCCACGTCCGCCTGTATGCAGAACGCGTTCCAAGCCGTACACGTGTCCCTCCCTTTCAAAACCCTCGCCAACGCCGTTCCCGCCGAATCCGCAGACAGCAACAAGTACGCGAACACCTACACGATCACGTCTCCTCCCGTTAAGTTTCCTTTTAAACACTAATTAATTAAAAGGGTATGCTAAAAGAGAGTGGCTGTGAAGGACCTGATCATGGCCGAAGTCGAACCAGACCTGTAAGACCTCGCTGAAGAGAGTGGCTCCTCTGGAGATTTCCCAAACCGAAGCCACCATTTCGAAGAGAGAGTAGAGCGCCACTATTGCATTCGCTCCCACTACCAATCTGTCCAGGTTTTCCCAATAAATTTTCCGGTAAAATGTCTGCCTGTTTGGCTACTGAGAAAGTGCAGCAAACTCGATCCCAAAACAAATTCCTATTCTGTTTCATCATTATGTTGACTCAGAAAAATTGAATCTTTCTTCGAAGAAGTATTAGCTTTACTTTTCGAAGGACATGTTTTGAAAATTGAGCTAAACGGCGCCATTCATTTATAATAATAATAATTCACCTTTTTCTGTTTTTGTTTTTTTCTCTTTCGGAATTGCAGTGAATTTCTCGGCAGCCAAACAGAGTGAGAGATTTAAAAAAAGACAGAAAACTGATGGTGAAATTAAGGAACTTCAAATATGAATGAATTGGAAATAGTTGTACCTGAAGGCGTCGAAGTGGTACCAGCGAGGGGAGTTGGGGCCGCGAGAAGTGGAGAGCATGAAGATGAAGGAAGCGAGAGAGAAGCTGAAGGAGGCGATTCGGAAGACAAGGATGAGGTAGTTGAAGCGCCTGAGCTTCCGTAGCGACACGGTGGAGTGGAAGGGATGGTTGGGGATCGGGTACGGCGTCGTCTCGCCGTTCCGGTGAGGCTGCTGAGGAGGAGAGTGCATGGTTGGTGAATTGGTCTCCTTGTTGTGTTGTTGTTGGTGGAGGAGAGTGGTTCAGAGTGCAAAATCATGGGGAAAAAAAGTGTGGGTTTTTGGAGAAGAAGATGAGATGAGGAGGGGAGAGAGTTGAAGCAGTCACGGGTCGATATGGCGAGAGTTCCATGGGAAAATTTGAAAATTTGAGATAAGGCCTAATGAGTGATATGAGAGAGAGGGCTATGGAGACACAAGACTCTTAAGCCAGCAGACCAACCAAAAAAGAGAGAGAAGGAAAGTGTGAGTGTGAGAAAGAGAAAGACACAGAGAGAGATAAAGCAAGGAAAAGCTAAAAAGGGGTGTGCTTTGGAAAGACAGCAAGAGAGAGAGAGAGAGAGAGAGAGAGAGAGAGAGAATAAATAAACAGAGGAGGGAGAAGGAGGAGCAGGAGAAGGCAGAGACATGAGACACTGCAGGAGGAGGCAGGAAGAGTGTGTGGGGTCATGAAATGTAATATGGGGGGCTTTCAGCTTTGCTTTTACTCTCTCTTCTGTTTTCTTTTCCTTTTCTTTTTGGTATTTCTTTTTCTCCACAACATCTTTTGGGTTTCTTCTATAGAGATCAAAAAGAGGACATATAATCTTATGCACCAAGACTCAGTTTTATTTGTACACCCACCCATGCCATGACAGAATCTTCCCTGCCCTGCAGCCAATCAAAACATTTACAATTTCCAAACAAAATATTTTCACATCCAAATCCACTCCAATCCAACCCTTGTTACATCATTTTTAGAATTTCCTTCCTCTGTTTTTCTCTGTATTGCAAATACTGTCTGGTATATGTAATGTGTGTGGTTTTAATAGTTTCATGTAATCAGTTTTGCCCTTGATGAAATTCCCGTGACAATCATTAAATTGGTGACAGACAGAAAGATGATGAACTGGTGGCACTGGCAGGTAGACACTGTTCAAAGTCGTTTCAAGTCGAGTTTTCAGCACCTCACCAATTTCATATTTTTTTAATTTTGTTTTAACGTAATTGAGACCACCATAATCTGTTCAGTTGCAGAAAAACTTATATGAAACAGCAATAGCAAAACAGTGTTATCACCATTGCACACAAGTGTTTCTTGTTTAGTCAACAATCAGGTAAAGATTTCAAACATATCAATCAAATGATGGGGTTCCAAATTTGACATTAAAATTCCACGTTCACTAATTTAATCCTGATTTCATATTTGACTTTGCAAAGTACCACTAATAAAAAAAAAACACATAAAGCATTCACAGAAGTCAACAACACCTGCGCGAGTTGAAGAAAAATCAAAATATATAAACCTTATAATTATCCAAATCTCTTTCCCTGAACTGGTGCAGCAACATAAGTATTCATTGGATGCAAGAAAGGATCTAGTTGCAAAACAGCACGTTCCTCAAACAGAACAAAACTTATAAGTGTTTCTGGCCGCATGATCTCTAGCTAGTTCTGTAATGACTTATAACATTTCTTGTGACTTTCTGACATTGCGGCCTACTTTCTTCTTGAACTCATCCCTGTTGTCTCTCCATTCTTTCTGCAACACATAATCAACAACATGTGCCAGCAGATTAGCAAGCTACCAGCATCTTGCATGACATTAAAAAAGAAAAAGATAATGAAATCAACAAAAAAGGGGGGACCGCAGCTTCAACATTCGCAGGAGATTCATCATTAGGGCTTGAAAGCATTGATATTACACTCAAAACAATGCTCTCAACCTGCAGGTTAACAGCAAATTTGTAAGTAGAGCCTCAACAATAGGACCACAGTAACTACATTCATAGAACAATATGGATGCATAAAAAATTATAAGAAAATGCCTGGCACATTGGGTTTGTATGAGTAAACCAGAACCAAAGCAAACTTTGTTAAAAGTGAAAAATCAACAATTTACAACCTGTTAAATCAAGTCATGCATCTCTAAAATTTAGGTGGAAAGAATTGATTGCGAGCTGTGCATTTGATAATATAGCATAAGCATAGCAATAATCTTTTCAGTTAAACACAGTCATATATAAACAAACACATCACCAGTTCACCACGATCTTCAGTATATACTACTATATTTGAGGCAGTAGAAATGGTTGTTTCCTACAACCATTCCAAAGTCACTGTTCGAATCCTTCAGCTTTTGCATCCCACTCCACATTCAACAAAAAAAAAAAAAAAAAAAAAAAAAAAAAAAAAAATTGAAAACATAACTGCCTTGTAAAAGTTGGAGTTGTTCCCACCACCAGTGCCATTGATTAAAACCCTACTATTCAACCCAACTTTGCCATAAGCACCTAAAACACTAAGTAGTCCAATGTTAAAAAGTCACAGACCTCCAAAAATGAGGCAAGAGTTGAGGCTTAAATATCAGGTTGAAATAATGAGGCTCAATCCTCATGTAGGAACTGAGTACATCATTGGAAAATTCAACTATCATACGTGATCCAGATGCCGCATTCCCTCTTTGCTATCCCTTACACTCTTCATTTGAGCACTTTTCCCCATTGAAACCTACAGCATGTTCAGACTATATCATTCAATCTGTCATTTCTGGACCAATTAAATAAGAACAGATGAATTTCCTCCAAAAAGCATGGATTTCACTATACTTACTATAAGCTTGTCCTATCTCATAAAATCTCTCCTTGAGATGAAGGAACACGAAGCAAACTAACAAGAGGTTCATGGTGCTATAGTACATACAAGAATAACTAATAGTTAGGGCTTCGCCAATTGAGCAATGCATTAGTTTCCAATGCATCATGCAGGTCAAAAAATTACTGCACAATATAATAATCAGCCTGAACCCAACTCAAGCAATCTTGTCTAAGCTAGAGTTGTGCTAGGGTTTAGGAACAAGCACCTCAATATGGGCTTAGGTTGAGATCCACAGGGATATTGTACAATTCAGTCCTGCAGTGATCTCATTTCAGCCCTTACAGTTAGCCACCACCAAGCTGCACTGCCAATTATAACTGTCATCAGATGGTCAAGTCAGTGTATTAACGACACACAAACTCAATCAGTTACCATATGTGTAGATCTCCAAGTTTTTCACTCTTTATCCAAAAAAAATGTGCAACTCATAACTCCGAATGACAGATTCCTTATCCAAAGAATTAGCCTTCTAATAACTGAATGCTATACACTTTAAACAGAAAGGGGAAAGCTCAATGCACAATAAACTACAGAATTGATTCAGTTCAGATAATCACAAACGTAATACAGTTGCAAGCAAACTCTGCACTCTAAATCTGCACTATTACGACTACAGCGAAACAAGTGAAACCATAAGAGCCAGAAAGTAACATGATTTTTATTCCACATGATGCACAGAAGACATAAATAATGACAGAATGAGATAATGCATCTTGGCATCTTAAGACCATACCGTATGGACTGGATTCCAGCGCTCAGTTGCAAGCTCGTAGCCATTTGGATCGTCACCAGGGGGATGAAGAATTGAAATACAAACCTTCCCATCAGGGTAAACTGCAATATATAGAAACTTTCAGGAAGCATGACCATGATCAACTAGAGGGAAGAAGCAATATATAAAATTCAATTCAAAAACAATATACAAAATACAGTAGTTACCGTTGGGGTGCCACATCTCTGAGGTAAACCGTACTGTAGGAGGGTTGTTCGGGTAATCCTCAGGGAAGCTCATGACGGCATTAAAGAAACCACCCTCACTGCAGCAGAGGAATTATATAAACCAAATATCCAAAACTTTTTTTGGATTCAAAGAATGCATGAAAATGGCTTATAGGTCTGCCCAAAAACTAAGAACCACAGTAAAATAGGTGAATTTTGTGACCAGCTCCATTAATAATCAGAACCCGGAATCCCGGATATGATAGAGCAAAACTAAACATATGAATTCAAACAAGCCCATATAGTCGTATGAAAAAGAAATCAGCATGTTAAAGAAACACAAACATGCACAGCAACACAAAGCTCGGAATTTGATTATAATGAAAGCCATGTTTCAAAGAAAGGGAAAAAACAAACGAAATCGGGTTACATACTAGAGAGTATCGGGTGGGCCAATAATTGTGACGCTCCATTCAAAGATGTTTTCTTCAACGACCAAACCTGCCGAGAATCCATCCACTGGGTGTTTGCAGAGATCTACATAAATAAATAAAAATTTAAACTTTTTTGCTTTAAAAAAACAGTGTGTAAATTTCAATCAGTATATATGGTTCAAATCCAAAATGAATCCAATTGCCAAAAACGGTGAAAAAGAAAAAGAAATATTTAGATTATGGTGTGACCTTTGAGTTGCTTCTGAAGGAGGAGACTGGCTTGGGACGCAGGTTGCGTAGCCATGGAAAACGCAGAGACAAGAGAGAAAGAGAAAGAGAGAGACAGAACGAGAGAGAGAGAGGGGATGGCTTGGCTGCTTTTGAGTTTGGGTTATATATAGAGATTAGAGAGCACCGAATTTTAATTTTCGCTCAACTTTCTGTTTCGAATCAATCGAACAATTACTTATATTTTGTCCAAAAAAAAAAGAACAATTACTTATACGACAAATAATACCAATGCCACTTATTACCTTGTCAGTTGTAATTTTGTGATGGCAAGCTTATAAATACGAATTACTCTTATAGGTCACTTGTTCATAGCCCTAAATTTGTTTTCTTGCACTTAAATTTGAATATCTTTTTTATAAATTAAAATAATTTATGGTGTGTTTACTAATCAGGAATTGAATTCCAATTCTTGGAGAATTAACTCGCTAGGAATTCATATTTTTAACCAATTATATCCTCACACAATTTTAAATATTCCAAATTTGCCATCAACTTTAACCCAACAACGATAACATTTTAGTAATTAGCACCACTCTTACCCTAATTCCATATGATTTAGTAAATAACTGCAATAGGAATATGGAATCTAACTTTCTTCAATCCATATAGTTCAGTAAACAACATCAATAGGAATCTGGAATCTAATTCTCATGAATCCAACTCCTCCTCAATTCAATTCCTCATAATCCGATTACGAATTAGTAAACATATCATTAATAGTTAAGACTATCGTTTATATAAATAAATAATTTTATGAGTAATTTTTAAGTGTTCCGGGTATATCACGTGGTTAGTGTACCATCAAATAGACATAGGACATGTGGAATATTTCCAATACAGCCAACCACATGTCATAAAAAGCAATGTAGTAAGTTGGAGAATAATTCCACATATTCTATGTGTATTGGATGGTACACCAGCCACGTGATGTACTCGAAACTTATAAAAATTTCTCTGATTTTACCCATAATTTGTAAGTTTAATATACATTTGTTATAAGCAAGAAAATGTACTTTAAATAAAGACACATGAGATGAGTTTTCTTAATAATATAGAAAGATAGAGAGACACAATACTACACCCGATTTTCCCAAAAAAATAAATTAAATACCTAGGGTTTAGAATGTATAATGGAAAAGAACTCGTGCCAAGCAAAGTCCTAATACATAAGAGGTCAATGGTCGAAAGACATCAAACAACTATGAAGATCAAGTCTAGTTAGAGTCCTAAAGATAATTTGGGCCACTAATGCATAGTCAAGACCTTTATAAACAAGAGAGACATAACAATGGAAACACAATGTCTCTTTTTTAAAGAGTTTTTATATTTAAACCCACTTTTTTTTTTTGTTCCCTCCAACTTCTAATTCAAATTTTCACAATTTCTAATAAAACTCCATTTTTTTTCCAAACTACCCCTAAATACACACCCATCAAAAAGAAAAGAAAATTTTAAAAACTCATCAACCTCACACCCCACACATGAATCCTAAGATCTTCAAGTCCATCTTGCAGTTTCATACCAGCATTTTGCAGGCATTACTACATCATTATTCTTTTGCACCCTAATGCCATGTTTGGTACGCCTCATTGGATTGGACTAGGTTAAATAGCATTCGAAACCCTTGTTTGGTAAGAGACGGGACTAACTTAAATGAGATTGTATAGTCCAATAGTGAAAAAAATGCCTCACTCGCTTGTCCAATACAGTGAGCCTGAAAAGTGATTTGCTAAATAGAACACGTGAATCCAACGCCTCTTTTAATAAATATCATAATTTTATTTGTTTTCTTTTAATTATTGTTTTAGATATTTGAATGGTTTTTTTTTTCTGCAGCATTTATTTATTTTAGATAAAAATCCTTAATTAAATTTAAATATTACAATAATTATTTTGATATTGCATTTGGAAAATCAAACTATAGTAATTTACAAATGTTTGATTTTTTATTTATTGAAACAAGTTTAATAATTCATGATGTGATGCTTTCTTTATTGCGAGCAATTTTTACCTTGTCAAATTATATTTTTCAATTTGAAGGCATAAGTCAAATATACAAAAATTATAGATATTTTAATTATTGTTTTACTTGGTTCTTGAAAAACCTAGAATTATATAGAGTGATCTTAGCTCCTTCAACAATGTTTTGACAAACTAAGATTAATCTTGAGAAGCCAAAAAATAAATATCATAATTTTATTCTTCATTAAAAACAAAAAAAAACAAAATTTTATTTGTTTTCTTTTTATTATTGTTTTAAATCTTTTTTTTTCTTTCCAGATATTGTTATAAATCTTTGAATTAGGTTTCCTTGTAGTCAATACTTAATCCAGCTTAGGCCAATCTAAGCTAATCCGAAACAGTCTCAGAATTTAGTCCAGTCTATGACAATTCACCATGCCAAACAACCCCTAAATATTTTACAAGTAATAGCCTACAAGGGTAGTCGTTCTTCATCAAGAATTTTGTTCTGCTCTGAAAAACGGATCTAGTACATGGTATTTTGATGTATATTTTCTTATTATATATATGTTGTACATGGATGCATTGAACACTATGTTTATATTATTAAGGGCATTATGTCAATTTAGGAGATAAATAAAAACAAGCAGCATAAGCGTGGAAGAAATCTGTTAATAAAAGAACGAGAGGGAGAGAGAGAGAGGTGAGGAAGGAACGCAAAGCCAGGGGAATCGTAATATCCATTCCATTCCATCCCTATCCATCTATATTACTCTCACAATCTCAATTTAGGGTTTGTGAAGAGAAGATGAGAGTGTAGTAGGCTTCTTGGATTGAAAGAGAAGAGTAATTTGGTAATAGGGTGCATAGGAGTTTGTGTTTTTTTAAAACTTAATATGAAGAGCGGTAGGGTGTATGTATAGATGTATTAGGGTTAAGTATTAAGTTGAATGACCTTTTTTTTTTGTCTTTTTACACAATAATAAAACTTAAGAGCCTAATGATTTAAGTATTTGGCTGAACAAAGAAAAATGTGGGGTTGAAATAGAAAAACTCTTTTTAAATGCCTTGACTTTAGTCTATCAACTTTAGTTCCAAGTTCTATAATTCATGCCAACGAGGCCTACTCTAGTGGAAATGGACTTGACTTGCATATCAGTGATCTCAAGTTCGAACCCCCATGGTACCTTGACAATTTGTGTGTGAGAATATTCCCCTCCTCCAATATTGTCGGTATAAAAATAGTCATATAATTCATAATTGCTTAGTTCGATTGTCAATCCGTATTAGCTTTCATATTGAAGAATAGCCTATGGTAGCACCATTGAATGAGCAAAGAAAAGCCTATGGTAGCACCTAGCACACAAAGTGCGGTGGGAGATCGAAGAATTGCAATGTGTGCATCACTTTATTCTGGTACTCTTGGTTTTTTTTTTTTTTTTTTTTTTTCTCCCTTCAGTACGTAAAGGAGGAGGAAAAGTTAGAACAACATTATATAACTGATTTGGACTTGCAATCTTCTGAACAATGGAGCATCAAACAAAAGGCACTTGTTAGAGTTTAGGGCCTTATTGTAATTGGATTGACTTCACAACTTGTAGACTTGTAGTTTGGCAAATATTTAAGATATGGTCATATCTTGTAAGGCCTCCTTTTCTGCTCAAGGAAAGTGGAGGATCTTGTTTCTTTCTTAGCTTGTGCCAATCCTTGAAAAAGAGAATCCAGATTCCATAGTAACCCAACCCACTATGCCAACCAAAAGGTTGTGTTTGAGGACGAGCTTAGGAGAAAAATGAATGGTTGAAAGGGTGTCTATAGAATATGGCCGGCTTTCTTTGTTTTGATAGAGGGAGTGAAAATTTTCTTTCACAGACGAAAGATTTGAACTTGAGATATCTTCTAACATTCAAGAGGGAGATAGCATTGTGAGCTTGTAATGAATCACTAACTGCAACTACCCCAAATTCTCAGAAAATTTGTAAACTTAATCAGCTTACTTGTCTATATTTCAGGCTAGCTAAGGGGGGTGCCTGCAGTTGTAGGCCACACCAATACTTGACCTGGCTTGGACTTGAGAATTAGGACAAGTTCAGCTCAACCACAAGCATAACAGGAACCCAAAGCAAAACAGCCAACCAACTTTGAATAAGAAAAAGCTAAATCAGAATATAATCAAAACCTACCGTATAATCCAGACAGAAAAATCATGTCCATATTAACGGTTCTAATTCATTATAAATTGTCTCATTGGGGGTCAACGGAGGCAAGAACCATCATTGCCATGGAGAAAATTCTTGTCCCTTAAAAGACATGCCCCACTTTAGGCACCTTTTTCTCTTGCAAATACTGTACTTCTTGAAAGAGCTGCAGCGGCCTTTTTTTAATTTATAGAACATATTTTTCTAATTTTTAAGTTAATTTAATTCAAATCTCTTGGTAATTAATGACAATACAGTACACTTTATGTATAATTATGATATGGTCAGCACAATAATGGATGAGAAGTCAACACACAATGACAATTGACCAACTGCTTATTAGCTTGACTCTGCATATATACAGCATTGGATTCCCAGACATGTTTTGGATGATAATCCATACTTTTCAAACTAAGTTATGATTAATTTATGAATAAGTGAACTCCGTTATATATATAAATGTAGTTCTGCATGCTTTCCTATGCTCCCATGCAAATTAAAACAATCCATGCCAAAGATGAAGAGGAAGCAACTTCTTCTTCTTGTTTTTGCACTTCTCATGCTTATAGCTCCAGATGCAGCAGAGTCAGGCAAGTCCTTAACTTGTAAATTTGCTAATAATATGAGATGTTGAAGGTCAACGAAAAACCAAGTTAACACTTTCTCCTTTGTTTCCTTCTAATGCTTGCTTTAGTGCTTGAATTTGAAACTGCACCAGCAAGAAAGAGTTTGGTGGCCACAAGATACATGTTAGCTACTTGGGTGAGTCTGATATTCCAATGTCTACTGCCGATGATCGTTTTCTTTTTTTCCTTTTTTTCATTTTTTTTTTTCAGTTTGGTCTGTGAAATTAAATTTAGTCATTGTTTAATTAAAATGATGGGTGAAATTCATTGTTTCTGTGGAAATAGCTCAATTCCAGGAAGCTGGTTAAAGTTCAAGCTGTTCACAAAGTTCCATCAGGACCAAACCCCACCGGAAATCAGAAACCACCATCCAGGCAAGACTGAGAAGGCAGATGGGGGTGCTTAATTATTGCAGATGCATTTTTGGGATTAGATCAGTTGGGTGAATTTTTGGAATTAGAGTTAATGGTCAGATATGTATGTTTTCCACTAGTAAAACTTCCCATTTTGGCATATATTTCAGAAGTGTATTGCATGCTTATCTGGATTAGCTTTTCATATTATATGTTTTGGTATAATGGAGAGAAACCTGGATACTTGTTTTTTCTTTTGCTAGTGTCATGCCGCATAATCTATTTGTATTTGCTTGAGATAGACATGAGCTTTCTGGCATATGCATCTTTTTATCTTGAAGTAGAAATATCAGCTCTTTGGGAAAATGATTCCATAATTAAATAGATTACCTGTGAAGACTGTGATGTTGGATTTTTGCAATCATGAAGGTCATTCCTATAACAGCAGAAAAACTTGTGTGAAATGAGGATAACATTGTTTTGTTATCCCCGACCAATCACGCTATGCCACGTATAATAACGTGAATAACAAAACAATACTATCCTCATTGCGCACAAGTGTTTTCTCCCATGACACGAGGTTGTGATGTAATGGAATGTCCCATATCCTCTGGATCCTATTTTTGCCATGCCAATTGTTGCCAAAGGAAGAGAGCATTAGCTACAGGTTTGGACATAAACAATTTTGTGTATTCAAAGATCTTCAAAAGCACCTATGGAGACTGTTTCCTTGGGTGACGCGTGAAGGCCCAAATCATGCAAAGCGCCAACATTTGGCTACAACAATCAACGATTCACAGAGGAAAGCAACAACTAGCATAGTTGAAATAGAGTCCCTGGTGTTTTATCTGAAATCAAATCCAGTGAAAACAATAAAATTTCATAGAGAAGAAAAGAGTCAACCATAAGTTATTTCCTTTATACAAAGAACCTTCAATCCAAGCATAACATGGGAATCAAACTTTATAATAATGTCGAACTCCCGAAACCAGATGCTATGCACCAGGATTTTTAGTGCAAAGCTATAAGCAAAGGGCATAAGGCCAATAAAACATAAGATACACAGCAGTTTCTTACCATACCATCTATAAATCAACATCAATCTGATAAATTGTATAAAAAGAAAGGGAAAGAAAGGCTACTAACTTTTTCTCGCTTTTTTTTTTCCTTAGGGTGGGGTTTAAATATCTAAAGGGAAAAGAAAAAAAAATCAGATTTCATTAAATAGATTTCCTCGGTGGAATCAAGTTAAAAAACAATGAAACAGCAAAAAATGTTTCTTGCATCTGTCGTCTTAATGGTTCCTTTAGGTCAACAGATGCTCTCTTTCATTCCAGGGAGAGGGACGAAGACACACACGGACCTCATGTTCTTCTGGTCCCACTCGACGTTTCGGTACCATAATCTCGAGCATTGTTCCAGTCTCGTCACAGTACGCTTCCAGTTTTGCATCTTCTGGAATGCGGGTAGGGAGCGCAATTTCCCTCACAAATTCCCCAGGAGGGCAGTGCTCCGGTGTTGGATCTGTTAGCTTAAATGTTCTATCACGTCTCTTAATGAATGGAATACAAGCTGTACTCACACAAGATATCTTTACAATCCCATGTGACGGAGTATTCTTCCAAGTAACTTTTACCCTTTGAAGATCTACAAAAGGCAAGCTGACAATGATCAAAAACCCTTCATCATCCTCATATATTGTTTTCGCAGCTGTAACAGGCCCAGATGCATTCTTCATTACCCCACTAAACTCATTAAACCAAGGTGACTCAACTGGGTAGACTTTGCCATCCAAAACTCTGTCAAAATGTGGGTTATTAGGTAAACAACAATCACTGTCACTCCCGTGGGGGAAAAGGTCCTTCTTTCGCTTGTTGCAGACCGGGGATAGGTCCATCCCCTCATTGTTCACATGCTCTGATGGCTGAGTTGACAAATTTAAACCAGTACCATCAAGTAATTTTCTTGGGTGAGAATTTATATTGTTCTTTGATGGAGGGACTGGCCGTTCAAGCTCGAATTCTGTATTTTGTAGGTTCCTCCAAGTACCAAAGTCACTTGCTTCAAGAGGGATTGAGAAATTTATATCTCGGCCTGTAAGCTCTGTCCACCTCTTCCTCTCTTCATCATCAAGACACATGAGGTTGGGTGATCGAACAACTTCAATCCCATGAACACACTGCGGATTAGAAAGACCCCTATAGTGCTTCCTCTGCATCCGATGAGACCGAACAAAACCCCTGTCGACACTAAATGGGAATGGACGTTCTCCTTGGCGAGAATGCCCATTCATGTAGCTCCTCAGCTGCATCTTACCCAATGCATTTTCAGGCCTATCCTTGAAAACCCACATATACATGTTCTCCATATCATGCTGAACCAAGAAAGCATCTAACTGCAAGTCTGTTTTGTCATACCCAGACACCCCATTACTGTCCCGAATGACCTTACACTTGGACTTCTCATTCAACACAGGCTTGAAATAGAAGCTGAAGAAAAACCATGCACCCCAAACGCTATCAAGTCTCTTGTTGCATTTCCTTACAACTTTGGGGAGAGTGATTGTTGCCTCAGCCTCATAAACTTGAGGCCCAAGGCCTACATCCAAGATGTCACATGAATCATTCCAGGTTTGAGGAGGTGGGCTGGGCTCAGAAAGTAGCGGGAGATTGATATCAGGAGGACGAGAAAGTATGAAAGTTCGATTCATCTCTCTTTCCAATTCATCATGCGACAAAGAACTCGAATCCATAGACAATAATGTAGACAAATGAGAATTCTCTATGGACAAGGTAGTGAGGAGAGCTTCCCCCATGATTTTCCACAATCTATTCCTTCTCCTGCTTCTGGGTTACAAGTTGTAAACCCCACCTTCCAAACAGAGTCACTTCACAAACATCTCAACATATCAAAATGTGCCAACAAAGATTGCAGATCCATCAAAAATTCCACAAATGAACAGATTCCTTATGATTCACACCTACAAATAAATCTTCCAAATATTTACAGACCCCTCAATCAATCCAAGCGCATTGAAGTGCAATTATCATTCTAAAAACAAGGACAACCTGAAAGCCATATCAGATCAGTGCAACTCAATCAGGACTATCACTTTCAGAATTAATACAATTATATGCAAGCAATTAACTTCAGAACAGCCTATCCCTTGTTTGGTTTAAGACAAAACTGGGAGGAAAAGAAAAATAGAACATGATTTTAGTTATAATTTCTCTTATTCCTACACAATAAATTTCATTACTTTCAGAAAACCATACATCTCAGCTGCATCAAAGCTTAATTTTTATTTAAAATCCCCAGTACCCAAATCATTACTTTTCCAAGATCCAATTTTCAATAATTTTCTTTTCCTACACCTTCTTAGCAACCAAATAAGGCGACACACAACCAGAGAAAACCCTAGAATCTCATAAAATGTACCAAAAATGTATATCGGAATATAAATATCCAAAGGGATAAAATCAAGCAAAAAAACCCTAGCCCTACGAAAAAAAATTCCCAAAATAAAAAGATAAAATCAAAGAGATATTCGTACGTTACCAATAAAGGAAGGCCTCGAAGCAACAGCTACAGAGGAAATTGCAATCAGAGCCCCAATTTTGAGAGAGAGAGAGAGAGAAAGAAAGAAGGAAAGGGAAGGAGAGAGAGAAGGGGGGAGGGGGGAGATGACGGTGTCTGTTTAAAGAGACGGAGTCGATGAGAAAGACCTGCACCAGTAACATCACAGTCTAAAAACAAGCGCCGTTTATTAACGGAAGCGGTGGATTATGTGTCCGAGATGGGTCAAAACAGGCGTCTATTGGAGTTGGACCTTTGTGATTTGTGATGGACGATTGTGCATTTGACCCGGACCCGTTTAACCTTTAACCTGGTAAAGCCCTAGTATGTCTAAACCGATCTTGACCGTTAAAAATCAACAGTTAGATGGTAGAGATGGCACCACATCTTAATTCACGTTTAATTTTTATAATTGGTTTTTGACCGAAGTGGTTCCTCAACTTTTATTCCAGTATCATTTTGGTCCACTAACTAAAATTTTTATTTCAATCGTCCTCTAACTCTTTATTTGGTGTTAATTTTACTTGTAAGGACACTGGTCCATTAAAATTGTGTTTTTCTTCTAACAACAAAAAAGAAAAAAATTTGTGCTTTTCAATTCTTACTTTAAGTCTTGGTGGTAGTGATGATAATTTTTCCTACAAGTTAGGGTGTTTGTGTGGCTTCGATCTTAATGGATCGAGTATAAAGGATAAAAATCGGATATTGTATTTGGGGATTGACATAAATAGTATTCTAGTCTCTAATCCGAACGTCGTTTAAGATATACATATATGTGTATATTATTTTTATCATATAAATATATTGCTAAATGGATTCTAGTTGTGTTCCACAACTTAACCAAATTTTATATTCACATATTATGTTATATATTGAATTAAATAATACATAAAAATGTAAGTCTAAAACAAAACTTTTGTATTGTTTGTTGCTCTGGTATAATATAGTTTCCAATTTTCTTTCTCATTCAAAAATTATTTTTAAATTGGTAATTCTGTAATGGGGAGTGTGCCCAATGAAGACAGGGGTAATTTCCGATTTAAAGATTACGTGTATGAAGATTGGGAGGGGAGAAAAAGTAAACAAGGATGAGATGGGAAGGGCATACCTATCCTTGATTCGCGCCATTACCATCTCTATTTGGTGGCGATATGAAATTTGATATTTTTATAAAAGAAAATTAAAAAACTATTTACCCTTTATAAATTCAAACATTTTGTACTATGGATTTTGTTTAGCAATTATAACATAGGCGCAAAAGTCGTATTTGCCATGGACGGAGGCGTTTGACCTTTGTGTACTGCGGAGTTAGGAAAGACTACCAGTCAACACATAGCCGTTTGGGAAACTGACGGTGTCTCATTCCCATTCCCATTATCCCATCCCATCATTCATTCATTCGTATGAAAAATGGGGAAAATTGCATCACCATCGAGCCACACGTTTAGCTTTTCAACCCACACGTATCATCTCATCATATAATTGTCAAAATATAGGTTTTTATTGGGGTGACCGCCAAAGCAAAATTATAGAGGAGAGAGGGTTGGATGGAGAGTTTATACATGCAACTGTACACGTGTATAGTGTAGGCTACAATGTTTCTCATGGACATCGAATCTTTTAACGAGTCCACTTATCATCACACACACACACACCAACTCCTTATTTGATAACATACCCAATGGATCTTTAACACCTGTTTAGTCTTATCACCTCCTGATCTACTTTCCAACTTTTTAATAATTAGGCAAAATAGGGTGTTCATCCTATTGCACTCGAGTTCGATCCGTATATTAGATTAGTTCATAGCATCTTCAACAGTCTCTTCAACAATTTTGGAATGATAAAATAGATGAGCCACATCATCAAAACAGCCCTCTCCAACAAACTTGTTAAACTCAGTCATCAAAGCTATAACATCTTTCTCTATCTTTTTAAGATTGGTAAGTTGACATTGACTCTTCAAAATATTTAATTTTACATACTTTGAAAATATTTATTAAACAAAACAAATAATACATAGACATTTTTCACATATTTTCATCTTTTTCATTCTTTTCATAACATTGCATTACTTGAATTGAAAAGTCTGTTGGAGTACAAATATTAAAGTAGCAAACAAAGCTTTTCAAATTGCCACGTAGGTCAACAAACTTCAATTTAAACATTTTGGTTTGCTACTACTGTTTAAGAGATATTTTGAATGCCATTTATTTTTTCAGAAAAAATCATCAGGGTACAACAAATATGAAAATTGGGTTTTAATGCTTTTATTAATATAAAATAACAATTTTTTAAATTATTAAAAAAAAAAAAGAAAGAAAGAAAGAAAGAAAGGGTTTTGAGGCTGTCATATATGTCCCGGATAGTAGCTTACCTTTCTATATAAGTGAAGATGTCTTTTTTGTGTTTGGAGGATGTATGTTGTTTGGCCCTTACATAGCGTCCATATTGAATTGTTATTTAATGGAATTGAGTTGAGTTGAGTTGAGTTGAGATGATAATCATTGACTAAAAGTAAAAGGAGATAAGCATGGCTTATGTATAAGTAGGAGTTGAGCTTATTATAAACAAGGGCAGATTCCCTTTTGCTTTATCATCGTTAGTGCTAAGATGGTATGGCAATTGTTGTCTTCTTCATGAATTTCCAATCCATTTTCTGCATAGGAAATAATCAAATTTGACCATAATGGTTTCTGCATAGGGAGACAAAAATGTGTTTATATCTTATTAATCCTATCACTTATATAAGGTTCCATTTTGCTTTTATTGTTAGTGCTACATTCTTTTTTAAAAAAATGGAGGGGATTCAAACTTGGAATCTCTTTCAACGTTTCGAAAGAATGTTCCACTAGATACTGAATCTAATTGATCGTTAATGTTACAAATGCGAAGTGAATTATCCAACACTTATTGCAAGAAATGGTATGGCAATTGTGCTGTATGAATTTCTAAACCATTTGTTCTGCAGGAAATAATTAAAATTAATCTGAATGGTTTCTAGGCAAGAGCTTTCTCAAAGTTGTTGTGCTTACCTAGTTGGGTTAATGATATTAATATTCAAAAAAGCCTATGATCTCTCACTGTTTGTCTTTTAGGCATATAATAAGACAATGGCAACCTGCTTAGCTATAACCGCCTCTTACCATATGGCTGACGAGAATAACATTGACTCTCAGGCCTTGATTCTTTTAGTTGGTTCGATTTTGGCTATGGTTTGTGTTCACATTCTACCTTTGCTTGTGCATGGTTGCTTATTGCTGCTGCAAAATCATGCCCTTAAAAGAACAAACACGACGTCATTTGGGGACTGAATGCAAGAGATTCTCATCCGAGTTGCCGATTTGCCGCGCCAATGCCACGCCGTTGACGCTAGTAGTTCAAAGTTAGTAGGGTTTCGAGTCCACTGAACAGGAGAAGCATCAGGAGTCAAGAATTTTGCAAGGCATCGTTGTAACCTAGCTCGTAGAGTGTTGCATGATGGAGCTGATGTTGCAAGGCATCAGCCCTTGTTTATAATAAGCATGGCTTATGTATAAGTAGGAGTTGATGTTGGATTCTTACTTATATTTTGCAATTTCCACTCTATATTTGTTTTGGGGTTGACCTGCAAACTGCAGGCCCATTTTGATTTGACATCCCGTTGAAGCCCATTGTATTTCAGATTGATCTCACCAAATGTTAAGGCCACCCCAAAATCAAGCCCTACTAGACAACCAAAATATAAGTAAGCCCATTATATGTATATACAGTCCCCTTCTATTAAGGGATCTTTCAAATAATTTTATTTGAGGGACGTCCTTTAGGGTACCTTACAATTTTTTTTTCAATAATCCAAACCATATATTTTTTAGGTCTTCATTCATAGATCATCCTTACAAAAAATTAGACAAATCGGAAACTGTTTCGACATCTAATTGTATCATACAAAATCAATGAACACAATGCTTCAAGAAAGTACTAAAATTTCAATAACTCAATTGAATGGTCAAATGATATCGGATTCGAGTGATTTTTTGTAGAGATGATCTTTGAATGTGTATTTACAAAATAGACGGTTTGGATTAGTGAAATACAATCCATAGTGGGTCCTACAAGGGGTGTCCCTCAAATAAGCTTATTTGAGGGATCCCACAATGGAAGCTCTCTGATATATATAAGGAATTCGATAATGAAGGTTTTATATATGACCCCTAAGTAAAGTCTTATTTCTTAACCATTAGATCAAATTGGTTAGCCTAAACCAACGGTTAAAAGATAGAACCTCACATAAAGGTCATATATAAGGCCCTATATAGAGTGAAAATTAATGTAACTAGCTCCACATTTGCATGCATTTTCAGGCCTTTCCTTGAAAACCAAGAAAGCATCTAACAAAATTCTAACTGCAAAGTCTTACCCCATCATAACACATTAACTAGAAAAGACGTACAATTTTAAGGGTAAAGAAAATTGAAAATTTTGTTAACGACTAAAACATGTTATGCACCATGAACTAGAAAAGATGTACAATAAAACCAACTAGTACTTAGTCTACCAGCATCTATATCCTTAATGTTGGAAGATATCTCAAGTTCGAATATCTCATTTTTCATTAAAAAAATATATACGATAAAAGATGAGCATCATCGCAAATATATGATCGTGCAATTAATGTTCACTCAAACCACAAAAATGGAACGTGTAATTGACGAATTGTTTAGTACGTATATTATAACAGAACTCGGATTTTAAAGGTTGATTACGTCTACTATTACAACCACTACATCAAAACAAAGAAAACAAATTGAATCACATATGGGTTGTTGTGGTGTGTGATTACTGGAGCCGTGCATGGCTTTCACATAACTAGGAGTTAGGCGAAAGTCGAAAGGCAAATAACCCAAGAAAATGGCAAAGTTTTCAGCCACGGGTGCCACCTCCTCCATGAACATTACTTGCACGAAATGATATGGTATTTGTTTCTACTTGAAGTTCCAAAACCCTTTTGATCTGCATATGAAATAATGAAAACCAAAATGATAGATCGGCAAAAATGCCGACTCAGAGGTTCAAATCTCTAACCATTTTCTCATTGTTTTTGTAGGCACACAAGACAATCCCAAACCTTCGCAATAATCGCCTCTTCTATATATAATTTCCAATGTTCCAATGTTGCATTTTAGCCAAATTAGAGTCTCTTAATTCTAGACTGTAAATTTCTACAATGGCTAAAATTGTCTCTGACGCCAAATTGTACATTCTTCTGGTGGCTTTAACTTTGAGCTCGGCTGTGCTTGTGGTTACACTCTACCATTGCATCATCATTTGTTGCTGCAACCATAACCCGCCACGACGACAAATACGACACCGTTTGAGGCCTAACACGCAAGAGATCACAAGCTTCACAGCAGCAAGCAGCATGGAGGCTTCCTCAGTTGCCCAACTCATTCCGGCCCACAAGTTTCAAAGGGGTGTGGGCTTGGTCTTGGTGGGCGATGGCATGTGTGCTGTGTGCCTGAGTGAAATTGAAGAGGGTGAAGAATTTCGAACCTTGCCGGAATGCATGCACTCGTTTCACGTTCATTGCATTGACATGTGGCTGTATTCCCATCCGAGTTGCCCAATTTGCCGCAAAGATGCCACGCCGCGGAAGCCTGCAGTTAAGGAGAGGCCTCAGGAGTCAATAATTTTGCAAGACATTCTTGTTATGCAATCTAGCTAGGAGTAATGTATGATCTTGAGGTTTGTAGAATTGCGCTTGATTTTGGGTGGTCTCAATGGGCCGTAAAATGGGCTTTGATGCCGAAACAAAATGGGCATGTGACAGAGTCCTGGTAAATTTAACCATAGTCATACCTATAGTCCTAGGCTCCTATAGTAAATGCCAATACATATATCAGTTGCGTATGGGAAGGTTACATATATTTATGATTGTTTTAAAGTTATTTAAAATGTTAGGAAGACTACATTTATGTATAACATATACACGTACTAAAAGTAACGGTTCGTATATGCATATAATTTTTTTTAACGTGGTCCAGGCAATTTACAATAAATAATTAAACTTTTTTTTTGGGTTTTATTTTATATAATTGAAACAAATCTGCAGTCTAAAGAAATCAAACCATGTTTTTCTCTTTTTTTAAACTCTGACAGATATAAAAACATAATGGATGGATATGTAGTTGTACTGGAGAATAATTATATTCGTAAATAAAATAAATTAAAAATTAAAAAAAATAAAAAAAAAGAGGAAAGGGAATGTGCATTTGCCAGAAGATTAACCTCCTTTAATCATTGGGGTGCCACTGCCAACGCCAAGCAATTTGTGATTTTAAGGACAAAAAACAAACTGTTTTTTAGTTCTTGGACTTGGAGTCAAAGGTATCAAGCCGCACAAAAAAGCTTATAAACTTTCAGTTAATATATATTATTATTATTATATAAATATAAACGCAGGTTTTTCTAGGTTAGCCATTTGAGATATAAATTAAAAGATGCTTCTTCATTCCAATTTAGCATCTAATCAAAATGACACATCGCTTTCTTTGTCTCTGTGTTCGCATGTGAACATCCCTCGAAGAACGCAAGTCCTCACAGCCATAAACCAGAGAGGCATTCGGCCATTTGCCAGCCCTCTGAGTCTCTAGGCTCCACTTTTACCATTTTTAATCCCCTGCTCTTTTTCCAGAGCTCCCAGTTTTTTGTGCACCTCACTATGACACGGTTGTACTGTTTATGAACCATTTCTGTAAGCAATTGGGGTTTCAGTGTTTTGGGCCAATTTTCTGTGATTATCCAAATCCAGGCAAGTTAGTGTTAGTGGGTTTTTAAAGTAAGAAGCTTTTGTAATCATGGTTGATGATTTAAAGAGTGATTTTCAGAAAAGGAGAAGCCTTTTAGTGATGTTTTAGCAGCTGGGTATGTGGGCATCGTTATTTGCCGGTAAAGTAGTATGCAAGGTAAAGAGAACTGGTAAAGCATAGATATTTCTTTCATCTTTTGGGTCCTTGTGAAAGTTCATGATCTTGGTTATTGGGCTTGTCCTCTGGTCATAGAAGATTGGAACTGTTGAGAAGTTCCCAGCAAATTAAGCTTTCCTTTTGCTTTCTTGGGTTTCTGTTGAAGTGGATGAAAACTTTTGAGTGAAACATTTGAGCTTGATTTTGCAGTTTTTGATGTAATATCAGTAGTATTCTGATGAGATTTGATGACAAAGATGAAATCTTTGAGTAGCGTAGGACTTGGTTTGAGTGTAGTTTTTGGTTGTCTTTTCTTGGCTCTCATTGCTGAGCTTTACTATTTGTTGTGGTGGAAGAAGAGGTTCACCAACAGAGAGATTGAAAATGACTACAGCAGCCCCCAAAAGGAGCTGTTCTACACGTTCTGCTGGAGAAGGAACTCTTCTTTGTGCCACACAGCTCGAGGCCCCAGAGAACTCTGTGCTTCATTGAGAATGACAGAAACCCTTGTCCATGATCCAAATTCTCAGCTTCATATGCACACAAGCAACAATTTGCTGCTCAAACAATTGGAAGAGGATGAGCTGGACGCAGAGCTTATGAGGCTGCAAAACGCTGCAGGCCCTCCAAGACATCTCTTCACAATTGTGGAAGAAACAAAGGAGGACTTAGAATCTGAAGATGGCAAGTCTAGAGGTGATAGGAGCCAAAAGGGGTCAAGAAGTAAGAGTTTGAGTGATTTGCTTGTCACTGTAGAGACACCATATTTGACACCTTTGGGTTCTCCAACTCTTTTCACACCTCCTCTCACTCCTGTGGTGGATTCTCACAACCAGCATGGATTCAGCCCTCTGTTTGAATCAAAAACTGATGCAGAATTCAACAGGTTGAGGTCATCTCCACCTCCCAAGTTCAAGTTCTTGCAGGTAGCTGAGGAGAAACTTAGAATAAAACTAAAGGAAGAGGCTGAAAAGGGTGTTCATAAGATTGATGGTCAAGTTCAAGAGAAAGGAAATAAAGCTCCTCCCATTTCAAGGTTCCTTAAAGATGAGGAAGATGGTTCTTTTATTACAATAATTGTTGACAAAAACAAAGAAAGGGAGCTTAATCATCACCATCTCCAGCTACCACAATACCATTCAAGCACTTCTCAGGTTCTTCCCCTTGCTTCTTCACCTTCAGCATTCAGATCACCAATTAACAAGAAGCCCACTTTACAATAGAGAACAATTTGATCTCTCTTTTTTTTTTCTTCTCTTTTTTCTTTTTGGATTTTATTAATTTTTGGTGTGTCGGGTTTATCTTGTTTTTTAGGCTGTTATAGAGGGTTTAGTAATAGGTTAATATGAAAAATCCCTTGTGCAATGTATCTTGAATTTTAATGGCGGGGACACATTTTCTGCAACCTGATGGTGGGAGAGATGGGTCTGGTGCAAGTGGGGGACCTGTGGCTGTGAAGTTATTTGTTTTATTCAGTCTCAAATGTCCCCTGAGTTGTCTGATACCTGTAATCTTCTTGTGAGTGATGATGCTACAACAACTGATGTTCTTGTCCAAAATTTGAGACCAAATTCTTCTCTCTCTCTCTCTCTCTCTCTCTCTCCCCTGCTTTTATCAGTAGGAGCATGCATAAACAATCATTGTCGCCATGTCATTGTTCTGGCATGTTTATCCCACTAGTTTTCGTAAAAAAAGATTTTGAAGGGGTAATTAATATCTTTGTACAAAGGTAGAGGTTAATTAAGCATGGAAAATAAAATAAAAAAGACATGGATTTACATACTGGCTGACATGATAATTAAGAAAGCAGAGCAGACCACCACCTGCATTACATGACAAAGTTGGAAAAAGGAGAATGGAGTTGAGATGGCATTTGGCCTTTTTCCCAAACAACAAAGATAAGCAAATGCCCCGTGAAAGTGGCTTGTGGGAATTTGCCGAAAGGTGCAACTCTCCTTCCCTCCACCATGAAGAATCATTATAGGCTCCCACTTTTTTACTGTCTCCCTTTGTAATCTTCTGTACTGACAGATTCGTGACTCAAATCATGAGCTTTAATGTATAAATCAACTTTTACTTTAATGGTCCTTCCTTATTTCATTGTTCATTGGACTGAATTTCCATTTCACAGTACCAAGGGTACCAAAAATCATAAAAACTGCTTATTTATTTATTTATATAAATAACTGTTATGATAGCAGAAGTGAAAAACATCAGCACTTAATAGAAAGTTAGAAACGTGTGATGATGATTGATGGCGATGCAGTCACATGCTTTAGGTCACTTTGACAAAAGTTTTCCAACAACTATTGTGGTCAAGTAATATATCTCCATTTCATTGTTGCATTCAATTGAACTCGATTTAAGTGAAAGTGACACCTGGTTTTATAATTTCACTTGATAACAGAAAATAAAATTAAAAAGGGAGGAGAAGGGAAAAACTGAGCAGGGTTATCTCCCAAAATGCAACTTCTGTATGAAAATTACATCTCCCCTTTTATCAACTTGTAAAGTAGAATGAAGGGTGAAAGTTCATTGTTCATTATGAAGAGCACAATTGTACGAGTGGAAACGCACAAATATTTTGAAAGGCCAACAAATATGAAGGACTATCAAGTCAGATTCCCATGGCAGCAATTGCAGTCATTCCCAGCTCAACACAGAGTGAATTCAGACCTGGTTCTTCCAAGAGGCTGAATGCCGTAAGTCCATAATAGGAGTGATATAGATCTGGCAGCTGCCCTGGGAACTTGCTGAAACCACCGTACTGATGAAAATGCAAATATGAACAACAACGTCAGGAGTTGTAAGCAACAGTATTAGCTTAGGAAAAATATCCGATAGAAATTGAGTGACTTCCATAATATCATATGAGTAGCCTACTACAGCATTCCCGATGTTCACAAAAGATTATGTTGCCATACAAATCAAGCACCAAAGTCAATTCATATTTTCTGCATTTTGTTGGTCTGGTTTGTTTTTGTAAGAACAAGTACTTAGATTTATATTCAATTGTGTTTCTAGCAGTAATCATATGTATACCATCAATAGATAGGGATGACCAGCTATTACTTATGGAAACCATATAGCATGTTGGCAGGGCTTCTATCATCAATAGCCTCATGATCTTCCTACCCTTGTAATGGGTGGGATTGATCAAATAAAGTCCTTTATTTGTATGCATGGCCGAATTAATAACAGATTTTCCATGAGAAATCTGAATTACATTATCCTCCTACCATATCATAGGTAAAAAATACGAGATAAGAGAAGCAGAAGCACCTTGGACTGACAAGTTAGCAAAAATCCATGTAAAGCCTTCTTGTCAATGAATTTATGGCCCCCTAAAATCTTCAAAACTGATGCAATCCTGCACAAGCAAATTTCTTGTCAGGGTACATAATTCCCAACACTATATGAAACTCCCAAAGGAAGTTCATCCCCTACCAAAAGGCATAACATGTGTCACTAGGCTTGTTGGGTCTACCTTGAAATCCACCGTCAGCTGCCTGCCTCTGCAGTGGTAAACAAGAATGAGATAAATCTTTCTTTTGGGATAAGAAAACACTAAAATCACTTATTGGAATGCAAAATTGAATTATGAGAATGCAAAGTCAGGGACAAATGTTTTCAGAAGCATCTACTTATTTGGCAGATTTTAAAGCCATGCCTGTCAATTGTTTACTTGCTGCAATGTTAAAAGCGTACAATCTCAAGGAAACCTGATAATGCTTGAAGAGTATAGGTGGGGAAATAAACCTGCACGCACCAATCCAGCAACAATGGCACATCTATTATGGAAGACGGTGCATTTTTAGAAAGAATTTCATCTTCAATGAATCCCATTAAGCAGAGAGATGTAACACCGCAATATGTTGCACCACCTGTGTCGCTAAGATGAATATTGTATCATTGGAGAAAATGAAGATTTTAAACTTATGAACTTATAACACAAGAGCTAGTGAGAGAAATATGCTTTCTTCCTTCTTTAGTAAATACTTAAACAAGAATCGAGCAAAAGATTAACAAACAAGCAAAGGAATGGGTAAGGAAATCAAAAGAGAAATTGGGAACATTGCATCAATGTTAAATAGGTACAACTAACCCATTCTGAAATCAGAGTCAGACACAAACAACAACAGTGCCAATAAAATTGAAAAGTTTCAAAAGAAAAAAACAAAATTCCAAGTGGAGCCATTAACTGCAAAAATAATATAGTTCAACAATTATACATAATAGTTTCAACTCACCATGAGATTCTGAACCAGGAACCAACCCAAAGCCACCATCATATGACTGAGAGAACAACGTCACTTAAGTATAAGTATATGGTATTCAGAATTTGGAGATATACTGATCAAATGGAAGATATAATGTCAAGAGGATGACTAAGTACAGATAAATTCATAGACTACCCAAAATCACTGCAGTATCCATACTGACCTGGCACTTTAATATGTACTCCTTGGCTTTCTCCTTGTCCATGCCACTCCAATTTCCCAACATATGACAAATGGCCACTGGTACATCAATCAGCTAAATTGATACTACACAAGTATATTGAATTAAATGGCTTAAAAAGTATGTACATATAAGCTTTTACCATCGTACCAGCACAAAAAACAAATCGAAGATCAGTCTCGGCTCCTGTATGTATAGGCATAAAACTGCCAAAATCAGTATAAAAATATCAGGAAATTGGTCAAGCAACCTCATAACAACCCCACTCAAAAAGAATGAAACAAATGCATCCAATTATGAGGCTATAAAGTTTTACAGTAAACCATAATACCTCCCATCAGGCTGTTGAAGATTTCTCATTGACGTCAGTATTGACTCAGAGTCAATACTGGACAAGTTATAGCCAACGATTTTAAGTAAGGCTAGGGCACAATACGTGCTCGCCAGGTTACTGACACTGGGATTTAAAGCCTATATGAAGATTAAACTATAAAATTACTAACAGGAAATAGGAGAAAGTAAATCATAAAAAGCTGTTATATATATACTAACCATTTGCTTATACTTACACCCTAACAGGTTAAAACCCAAAAGACAGTTAAGCTAAAACAACACAGAAACTAGTTCATAACTTCATACCCCATTATCATTATTCTCTGGAGGAAATTGAGCAGCTCTGGAACCATGGAAACCATAGAATTGTCCTGAAACAAGTTAAAAGCTCGTTTCTTTAATTATTTATGTACAAATGCAAGCTTAAATGAAAACAATTCAATTCAATTCAATTCAATTCTACTGAATTCAAATCCAAAAACAAACAAAGATGTTGCATTTTTGAAAGCAAGCAAGCCCCGTACCATTGTTCAATTCGGCTGTGCTTCTTGGATGAGCTTGCAATGACAGAACCCAGGTGGCAACTGCATCCTTGTCAACCTAACAAATGAAGATTTGAATTCCATCAATGAGAACCAAAGAAAGGAAGCCCAACAAAACGTTTAAGGAAGAAAATATTGCAACTTTCAAAACGTACTAGGCGATCGAGGGAGTTGAGGAGGTCGAGGCCGGAGATGACGAAGTAGGCGAGAGTGAGGCGGTTGATTTCTTGGCTCTGATAGGGGGACGGCAGAAGCTGGTACATCATCTGCAGAAACGTCACATGCCGGTCACGCTCGAAAAGCTCCGAATCCATGGCCCGATTTTATTGGACGGATGTGGAGATCCGATCCGATTTCGAGTGGAAACTGATTATGGCGATTTCTCGGGCTTCTCTGAGAATCAGCTTTTGGCTTTTGATACCTTGCCTGTTTTTAAAGCGATGTCATCTTCCAAGTTCATAGAAGCACAAAGTTTTATTTTTTTTTGGGTTGGTCAACCTCATTTTTCTCCTCTGCCGAAAATGAAAAAGGCGGTAAGTCATTTAGAAGGAGATTTCAATCTTAACCAATACTCTTATATAAATGCTGTACAACAAATTTTTATGTAAGGGTTGAGCTTTTTATAAGTCTCTAAATTTAAACCCGATTTGCATTTTAGTCATTCAATTTCTAAAATCGTTTCCGTGGTCCTTCAATTTCAATTTGTTAATTTTTCTGTTAAATGCAGGACCATTTATCTTAACGGAAGTGAAGTTCAAGGACCACGAAAATGATTTTGGAAATTGAGGAACTCAAATGCAAATCGAGTCTAAGTTCAGGAACTAATAAAACGATTAACCATTTTCATGTAATAAATGTAAATAAAAAAAAGATAATTGAATAACTTACTTCATTTTCATTTTCAAAATACGCGATTTTAAAGGTTGGAGAAATTAACTATTAACTACTCAAGATACAAGTAATTTGCAAAAGTCTTTTTTATTTGTTGTTTATCTTTAAAAAGATAATTTAGTTTGCCTACTATAAAGCCCTTTTGTGTGTATAATAATTGTAATATGATATATAAGCATAAAATTAGAAAAGCAATGAAAGAGCATTGGAGAATTGGTTTAATTCCAAAACCACCCTAAAACCCTACCCCAACCTTCGACACCCATTTCACATTGAACGCGTCCTCACGAGTCACAAGTGACAAACACTACCGCTATTTCTCTCGCGCGCGCGCCCTCGTAGACGTTACACAGACACTTTGTTTCAGTAATTTCGTCGAACACTTTGGGTGGGTTACTGCGAAAACCTCAGCTGACTCATGAGGGCCAACAAGGCAACGGTCTTAACGTTTGCTGAGAAATGCAAGGTATGCCCTCTGGGTTATGGGAGCTGTTGCATCCAAATACCTCACTTTCATTCTGCAATTTATGTTCATACTTTTGCTGGCACAAGCTTGTCATGACCTTGAAACTATTGCAGAGCATACTGTCTTCCAACTGGCAAGGGCAACTCAATACCATAAAGGCTGATGCTAAAGGAAGGTACCCATTTGCTCAAAACTGTTACTTTTCATCATCATCATCTTCTTCTTCTTCTTCTTCTTCGTTGCCCCTTTATATTTAGCCATATGGTTAGAAAACTTTGAAGAATCATTCTTTTTTATTAATTCGGATAGCAAACACCTCAACTCAACTGAATATAATACAATAACTTGGTGTAGTTGGGTTGAGAATTTAGCTTATCAAGGATGCAAAAGTAGGGGATTGAGTTGTCGAAAAGAAATCACATTGAAAACCCAATTGATTTGGATCAAAGGACCCGTGTAGACATCATTTCTCGTTTCATAATTTTGTATAGTAGTTTGGAATTGAGTTTAGGATTTCACTTTGCATAACTATAATAAGATATCGGTTCCAATGTTTTTGTGTCTGTTAACCTTCTTGTGGTCTTTATAACCATTCGGGGGCAAAAAAGACTGCTACTTTCGTACATTAACTAGTGGGATTTCTTGTTGTTTGCTCTGTATGGTTGTGTTAGTAAGGAAGACATATACAGATCAAAGGTTAAGTACATCTGCAAAAGAGGGAAGCCATACATTTGGGTACCCGAAAAGGAGTTGCATAATGTGGTAAGCTCATATCATAGTGTTTAGAGTTATTAGTTTTACCTTCTGACATAAATTCATAAAGTTTGAACTTTAATTGCTTGCTGGTTAGCTGTCTTTGGCGGTGGTTTAAATTTTTTGTTAGAAATTTAAGTGTTAACTCGCCAAGTCATAATTTTTTAAAAGGAATTTTAAGCAGTTATCAGAGAGTTTTTTTTGTTAATATCTTCACTTAATTATTTGATAGATATCCTAGGGAAAAAAATGATTTTATTGTCTAGTGACAGGTGCGCCTTGTGCACTGGGGCTGCAATTTTAGTCATTAGAGCTGTTATCCTCTTATTTATTTTTCTTCTTCTCATGCAGAACGTAATTGTTGATGAACGCAGTTCATTTGCTGTGGCCAATCCCATCCCAGGCCCACTGGCAAGCTTGCTTAGATCGATAAAAAAGGTATTCATTTTTTGATTTAACTCCCTCCCCCAAATTTAGCTACTATAAAGATAGCTTTTATCTGCTCCATTCGTCAATAGGTCTTTTTTTCATAGAGCTGCTAATAGTTCATTCTTCTGAATTTGCAGTCACCAGCTCGAGTTGCTCTGATTGGAGATGTTGTACCTCTAACAGATGCAAAGGTAATCTTATTCTACCCCGACTTTACTTTTTTATAGCATTCTGAACTTGAATAGCTCTGATTCCAACTACTGGATCCATGTTCTTTGTCACAAGACGATAAATTTTTCTTTCTGTAAGTTCTCTCATATAAAGTCTGTACCTCCTAATATGGTTGTTTAATTAAGGCTGGTCCATGACATAATCCACTGGATAAGGAAAATCCAAACCAAGAATTCAGTGATGGTTTTAATCGTCATAATTAGATTACGATAGAGAATAAGCGACTGAATTACACCTAATCCTACTTAGATTGAAACCACACAAGTAATAAGTGATCAACTGGAATTTAAGCTCTCTGATGGCTTTCAAGTATTATGGTTACATTTTTCCTTGACCAAGATGTTATTGTTCTTGTTACAGGTTAAGTCTGCAACAGAAGTCCTTAAAGAAGTCGTACTGTCAGAACAGAAAGCAATAAGTGAGTCCAGTTATACAGTTTCAGGTGTATTAAGTTCTTCTGATCATAGCTGTACATCACGAAGCGAAAACCTTAAGGAGGTCTTGGAAGGGGACGAAAAGTACATAGTTTATAAGTTCAACCAAAGGCAAGAACCTCTCTTTTTTTATTCTGTCTGGAAATCTTTGTTTAAAGTTTGTTGTTAACTGAATGTGGTGTTTTCATCAGTATATCTGGTTGTAATTATTTTAGGCTCAGGTTAGAATTAAGACTTCGATAGAAAGTATTGGAGCTGCTGCTTCTGTTTTCTAATTGAAGTACCGCCTTTTTTGTGTTCTCCCCGCCTGACCCACCTGATAACCAGACAACCTCCTGGCCAGTGTACACTAAAATTCATTTTTCTTTGTTTTTTAAGTTACACAATAAGGAGTATTACCATGCATTCCCTTAATACAACTGTGGCTATAGTTTCCAAAACATTAACCCAGATGTCCTTGAATATGTATAGTTTCTTAATATTGTTTCAATGGGAGAAATGCTCATGTTTCTGGGTTTCTTAATAGCGTTACAATGGGAGTAATGTTCATGTTCCTGGGTTTGCTCTCTGTTTGCTAACCATGTACAGCAGTTCAGATTATGTGTTTTGTTGGAGGACCCCCTAAAATTTCAGTCCCGGCTACCTATGACTCAAAATCTTTATTGTACAGATCATGCATGTATGTTGACGGCAATGGAGACACTCATGAGATTGATCAGGAAGATATGAACGCATCTAAAGCAGATCCGTTAGGTAGAACCTTCTGAAACTAGTATTTAAGGACTCTCATAGCATTAAGAAGATAGAGCTTTACCATGCTAATCACATGCGTAATATTTTGATGTCTAGCTCTTTTGTCCGCTAAGCTTATCGATGGGATAAATCAAAGCGCTGCCAGACGCAGAGCCCTCATGCTTTTCTGCTTGACATACTTCAATACAAATGCAAAGGTAAGTTCATGCATTTAAGGAGTCTCATGTATTAATGGTTACTTGGGTGCTTGCTCATTCTCAACTCATTTATATACATGCTGTCATGGAAGGATGCATACATGCTGTCTATCGATCGTAAGGGATTTGAGGTATTGAGCAAGGTTCCCAGTCCTGCGATGAAGGATGGATATGGCCAGTTTCAGTGGAAGCAATTTAGATTATCTTTGAAGGAAGAGGCACGTGATGTCGAAGCATTCTGCCGCCAACTTGTGGAAATGGAAGAGGAGGCTGTTAAGGAGGTTTCAGGCCACAGTGGTTTAGCATGAAAAGGTTTCAAGACACAGCGTAAAAAGTTTCTTGCCTGTTTTTTTTTTATTTTTTTTAAATCCTGTCGAGAGAGTCACAATCTTATAGTTGGTTAGTTTTGGAATTAAAATCCAATTAAGAACCCCAATTGTGAATCAATGAAACTTTTGTTTGGGGGTGAAATAATGACGATGTCTAAATAAATTATTAAATTGATCCAATCAAAAAACCCAAGAGATCCTAATTAAAAGGAAAATAGGCTTAATTGGTAAAATTGAAACACAACATTATCAACAAAATGACCAAGATCACCGTACACGGATCTTGGATATTTAAGTTCAAACCTTAACTAGCATACTGAAATACTTTAAAAAAAAATAAGAACTTAAACCAGCTGACAATCTCCACCATTTTGTTCAATCAAAACACAGCCACGAAAACAACTTAATCAACTTCCTCGATCTTGGGACCAGCACCGCTGCCACTAGCAGGAGGAACATCTTCATCCATGCCACCACCGACATCAGGACCACCGGCACCCTGGTACATCTTGGCAATGATCGGGTTGCAGATGCTCTCAAGCTCCTTCATCTTGTCCTCAAACTCATCCGCCTCAGCAAGCTGGTTGCCATCAAGCCATTGAATGGCCTGCTCAATTGCATCCTCAATCTTCTTCTTGTCAGCAGCGTCGAGCTTGGAAGCAATCTTGTCATCCTTAATAGTGTTCCTCATATTGTAGGCATAATTCTCCAGAGCGTTCTTCGCCTCCACCTTCTTCTTGTGCTCCTCATCTTCCGACTTGTACTTCTCAGCCTCTTGAACCATCTTCTCGATTTCTTCTTTGGACAGTCTTCCCTTGTCATTGGTAATGGTAATCTTGTTCTTCTGGCCTGTGGTCTTGTCCTCAGCAGAGACATTCAAGATACCATTGGCATCAATATCAAAGCAGACTGTGATCTGAGGCACACCCCTTGGAGCTGGAGGAATTCCAGAGAGCTCGAATTTTCCCAACAAGTTGTTGTCACGGGTTCTGGTCCTTTCACCCTCAAAGACTTGGATCAAGACACCGGGTTGGTTGTCTGAGTAGGTAGAGAACACTTGCTCCTTCTTGGTTGGAATGGTAGTGTTCCTTGGGATCAACACAGTCATCACACCTCCAGCAGTCTCCAAACCAAGAGACAGAGGAGTGACATCAAGAAGCAATAGATCCTGCACCTTCTCATTGCCTTCACCACTCAAGATAGCAGCCTGTACAGCGGCACCATAAGCAACGGCCTCATCTGGGTTGATACTCTTGCAAAGCTCCTTTCCGTTGAAGAAGTCTTGCAACAACTGCTGCACCTTTGGAATCCTAGTAGAACCACCCACAAGCACAACATCATGGACGGTACTCTTGTCCATCTTCGCATCCCTCAAACACTTCTCAACTGGCTCCATACACTTCCTAAAGAGGTCCATGTTGAGCTCTTCGAATCTTGCACGGGTAATTGTTGTGTAGAAGTCGACACCCTCATACAAAGAATCAATCTCAATGGTAGTCTGAGCAGTGGATGAGAGAGTCCTCTTTGCCCTCTCACACGCTGTTCTCAACCTCCTCAGAGCTCTTGGGTTTCCGGTGATGTCCTTCTTGTGCTTCCTCTTAAATTCTTGGACAAAGTGGTTCACCATTCTGTTGTCAAAATCCTCTCCTCCCAAGTGGGTGTCTCCAGCAGTAGCCTTGACTTCAAAGATACCCTCTTCAATAGTGAGAAGAGAGACATCAAAAGTACCTCCTCCAAGATCAAAAATCAGGACATTCTTCTCGCCAACACTGGTTGCCTTCTTGTCAAGACCATAAGCAATAGCAGCAGCGGTGGGCTCATTGATAATACGCATCACATTAAGCCCAGCAATGACCCCAGCATCCTTGGTAGCCTGACGCTGAGAATCATTGAAGTAAGCTGGGACAGTAACAACGGCATTCTTCACAGATGAGCCTAGATAGGCCTCAGCAATCTCACGCATCTTGATGAGAACCATGGACGAGATTTCTTCTGCAGCAAATTGCCTCTCTTCACCCTTATATGTAACAACAATCATGGGCTTATCACCAGGGCCTGGAATGACCTTGAAAGGCCAGAGCTTCATGTCACTCTGAACAGAAGGGTCAGAGAATCTCCTACCAATCAACCTCTTTGCATCTGCAAAAGTAACGAAGCTGGTTTAGAAACGCTTCATGAACCAAGAACACCATATCAAGATATCGAAAAGATTAAATATAAAACTCGACCCAACAACAACAAATTGTATTATAGACAGAGTCAATTAACTAAAAATACCTCAAATTAACATTAAATTAAATTATTTTTTTTTGCACAACACAAATTTCCAAACAAACTTACAAATATAACAAGCAGAGATCTAGTAAAACCGAGTGAAACTAATAACACCAAGTCGGATCATTGAAATATAAACAATAAATATTGACACTGAAATTCATAAAATCAGTCAAACAAGCAGAGATCAGACAACACAGTCAAACTGGTGTAGCCCGTGCACTAAACAATCAAATAAAACTGAACATGCAAGGCTAAACAAAATCATAACAACAAAACCGAAACGGAAAGCAGTAACCAAATAATTAAGTAACTTAAAAGGTTGGAAAATAAACAAAAAGGATTTGAAAGATTACCGAAAACGGTGTTGACAGGGTTCATAGCGACCTGGTTCTTGGCCGCATCGCCGATCAAACGCTCGCTATCGGTAAACGCAACGTAAGACGGCGTCGTCCTGTTGCCCTGATCGTTGGCGATGATCTCGACGCGGTCGTGCTGCCAAACTCCGACGCAAGAGTAGGTGGTGCCGAGATCGATCCCGATCGCCGGTCCTTCTCCTTTTCCGGCCATTGTTGTACGGACCAAAAGCTCGGAGACTTAAATCAAACAAACAAGAAAAGAATCGGAGAGAAAAGAGAACGAATCACAGAGGAATTGAAAAGCTTCGATAGGGTTTCAAGTCACAGATGTTGGAGCGAGACTTGTGTGGTGGGTGCTATATAGTAGAGAGAGAGAGAGCTTGTCTAGAATGTTCGTATTTACGATTATTGGGGGGGAGTGTGTCCAGAATGTTCGGTTTGATTCTAGCCGTTGATTTGAATCTCACGGGCGGTTCTGATGCTATTTCCTTCGTGGGCGTTGTTTCCTTTTCAAATTGGGCTTACGCGTTCCGTGTCCCACTCATACTCGGAAATTTCTCCAACGGACGGTGGTAAAATTGTCACTTTGCGAAGATTGGCTTGTATATGAAAGATCGAGCTTAATTCCGTTTCGTTGATTTGTTGTTTTTTTTTGGGTCAAAAGTTCCGTTGAATTGTCTCTGTCTGAGATTTTTCTTCTTGCAATTTTCTTACAAGCCTGATATCTTGTATGGCCTTCCTTTGGGCTTAATTCTCAAGAGTCATTTCATGGTGAGAGCCTCATATATGGCTTTTAGGTGAGATTTTATTTTTTAATTGTTCGATCATGTTAATTATTTTAATTCAATGGTTAAGAGGTAATGCCTCATTTAAGGATCATGTATAAGGTTTTCACCGTAGAATTCTTGATAGTTAGTGAGGGTATTAAATAAGGCCATTAGATGAGGTTATATTTATTAACCGTTGAATCAAACTAACTTATTTGATCTTAGAGCCCGGATATAGGTTCCTTGTAAGTCTCAAATATTTAATGGGCTTAAAAGGTGTGCATCAACTTGGATTCATAAGTTTTGAAAATAGTTCATTCAGTCAAAACACTAAAAAACATAGTTAATTTAATCTCAAAACATAAAAAGAGACTGGCATTTCCAAGAGCCTTACCCATCGTTTAGTGACCGGTTTGGTGGTTCGGTGTGGAGTAGACTATTTCAATTAAATTGAATTAATGTATGGACTGTGTTTGTTGAATTATAGATGTGTTGGGGGCTTGACTTATTAAATTGGACAAGAAGTACCCGTCCGGTATTGAGGGGGTAAGACTATATAGCACTAAATTGGATTCAATTCCAGTCCCATTTTGTCACAGCCACCAAACACAGACTCTACAGGACTAAATTGGACTCAATTCCAATCATGTTCAGCCCCAGCCACCAGACGGGTCAAAATATTTGTGATGATTGGGCTTTCAAGCTATATACAGAGCAGGCTTCTGCTGGGCCTGTTCTAGAAAAACACTGGACCCTCAAAGCCGGTTTTGCAGAGTGATGTTACAATAGCATGACCAGTTGGTGACCCATCTTTCTGGCCCAAACTCCATACAGATATAAATATGCAATTTGCCCACTCCACCACCAGTCACTAAAATCAAAATCAGGAAAGCCCTGTAAATTGCAATGCGGAATATATTGGACCACCATCTTTAAGTCGAAAGAAAAGAAAAAAGAAGAAAAAAAAGAAGCTTAAAGCACGTGAGGAGCAGATCAAGCTTGAGATTTGTCTGCTTCTTAATCTGAGATTTAGAGTTCTCAAATCCCTGCCTCTGACAAAACCCATATCACAACAACAAGGATATGGGAAGTAGAAGAATAAATTACTGCACCCCATGTAATTTTTATTGTGTAAATGTGGGAAGGAGAGGTGACAGCAGGTGAACAAAATAATGGGGGCAAAAGCTGCAGGGCTAAGCTTTCCTTTGCAACTTTGCATATAACTGTACAGCGAGAGTACCCTTACTTTATTTTTGCATGAAAATGAGTTAAAGAAATATTCTGCAAAGATTGATTAGATAGGGGAATTAGATTCCTACACCACCCACCAACCTTAACATTTTACTATCATTTCCTAAATCACTCACATGCTCTTGTGCTATATAGATACATCAAAGTCAATGAGATCTGATCCATATATACATATAAATAATATATATAGTAGCATGCACATAAAAATTTAAGAGAGAGAGAGAGAGAGAGAGAGAGAGAGAGAGAGAGAGAGAGAGAGAGTGAGTGAGTGAGTCAGAGAGAGACAGAACAGGTGCCCTTGAATTTTTTCTGGAATTTTTGTATATATGTATATATGATAAGTCCATTTGTGGATGAATTTGAGAGAGTATAGACAATGAAATTGTGTCTAGCTAAAGGCATCGTTCAGGAAAATAAGATGATGTATTTTTTTTTATATGACTTTTTCTATTGAGAGGAGTTATAATATACTAAACTCACACATGCTACACGGATGCTATTAGGACTCAAACTTAATACCTTGCATGAGGTAGCAATTACACTCTAAACCACTACACACGCTAGTGGGCCCTTTGCAAGCTGTTGTATCTTCATTCAATTTTCTTTCCAATAACCTTTCATTGAGACTAAAATTAAAGTACTAATTATTACTTTGGCAAAGCTAATCACTCTAATCAAATCATGCATTACATACAGCTCCATGAATTAGAAAAATTTGAAAGACATTTTTGTTTTCCTTGTAAATTGAGCTCAATTAGGCAAGGCCTATGGCTGCTAGGGCCTAGGTTGGTGAAGCTTTTGCAAGAATCTTAGCCTTGAAAGCCGTTGGTGTGAAACATGCATACGCGGCATGTCAAAATCGGAAAACCAAATATTAGGTAATAATTGTGAGTGTCATGCTTTTAATTTCACAAGGTATGGCCAGAGAGAGTGAGGGACCAAAAACTACAGGAATTGAAGGAGATCTCAAAATCAGTAAATTAGAATCAGATGAGCAGAAGACATGGGTCTCAATCTGTGTTTAGCATAAAGAAAATTGTCCATGCCCTCACTTTTCATCGGAGCACATGACTTGGGGTCGGGTGTAATTTGATTGATTTATTTTCTGCACTCCTGCCTTGTTTTTGTTCCAAAATGTAACTTTGGATGTTAGAAGCTGTGCCATGCGCTATAATGTATAATTTCATGGTGATGTTTGATTTGAGTTGGTGTTTTGGACCACATGAGCTTAGCTTCTTTGTCACTAAAGATTGAGACAGCATCCTGATACATTTTTCTTCTTTTCAGCCTTATCATTTAGATTGCTGACATATATGCATCCATATATGTAACAATTAATAAATCAACTTTCCCAAGCCACAGTGCCCTAAGAGATTATTATTTGTTAGTCTAGTCGTATTTCTCATGTCCCCAGTCAATGTTTGGGGAAGGGGTGTTTTCTCTCTCTCTCACACACACGCTGTCAAAATGTCATAAAAATTAGGATCTAAAACGAGTAATTTGTACGTCAAGGCTCGTTTATATTGTCGATGTTGGTTGTTTCCCCAGTCAAAAAAATGTTAGAAAATCATTATATATTCATCCAAATCAAATTGATTGAGGGGTCTCTTTCTGTCCACCATTATGCACGTGTCCCTCCCTTCTCATCATCTCCATTGATATCGACATAGCTAGGTGGCTTGGTTTTGTGTATTTTAATTAATTCTGATTTGTATTTTTAAGTTAGCTATGAAATATCAATCCTTCTCCTCATCAGTCGTAATTCGTGATAATGTGTTTTTGTCACTCCAGCTGTTCCACGTCTCCTTGTCAATTCCCTCTTCATTGTCCTCATATTAATGCTCTCAATTAAATCACTCCATCATACTTGTAAATACTATTACTTTTTCCATTTCTAATCAGTTTTATTTGCGAGTTATGTGATCAACAATGAAATTAGTAAATATGTTACATGTAACACTGGTCGTGACAGATGATCTTTAATTTGACACCATACAATTTTCATGTACGTACACTCAACTATCACTTGGAAAAAGAAAAAAAGGAAAAAAAAAGTCACCCTCAACACACAAGTATACATGCAAATCCTTAAGATCATGCGGGCATATCCAATTATGGAATCCGCACTTTAGGCCAAATATCCCTCCACTGGTTGGGTACATTCATCAAATTAGTATCGATCGGACGGTCATAATCTGATCCCCCAAGATGATGATTCGATGCACACTGCACCATCTAGATGTAATGGTTACGTGAAAACTTGAATCCCAATTAATCTTGGCCTCACGTTTGATGTGGGGCCCTATATAAATTGGATGATGAGGTTGCTTTTTTACCGACCCAGCCGATATGAGAAAGAGACTGCGACGAGCAGCATATACATATATTCTGGGTTGGCAAACGGACAAGAAGGTGGGGCTGGGACCCACTGATATCTGACGTGGCAGATTGGCAAATATAAAGTAAGAATCCTCTCCGACCGCGAGCATCTGATGACGACCAGTCTATCCACCCCACAACCGCGGCTAGGCCACCACCACCAAGGCCACACACCAACCAACCCCTAGTATTTCTTTATTTAATTTCTTCTTCTTCTTCAATCTTCATTATTTTCTTTTCCGTCGTACAACAATTGGCAGAACTCATATGAATTTAAAGCCATGATTATAGAGACTTCAAATTAGCCAGCTAGTGCTAGCTAGAATATATATAGTACTCTGATTTCTGATAGATGATGACTTGAATTAAATACGTTCTTAAATTAAAGCTCCCAAAGACCTATGCAATCCTGCTCTCTTACATCTATAGCTTGCAAAGGACGGACCTAAGATTTCAAAATAGAATTAGCTAAATTTACCTTATTAGACTGTTAGATTTTAGACTTGGGTAAACCTTATAGGAAGGCTAATAGAATTGATCATAAATATATATAAATTTAAATTAAGAACATATAAAATTTTATTTTATTTATTTAAAAAGACCATTTTACATATGCCAGCAACAATGATCATATATTCTTAAAATTAACACTAATGACTAGTATATGTCTTTTATACTAAAAAAAACTCACCTGGCGGCAGGCTATAGCTCAGATTATACACGTTAACGTTGTAGGTTCGCCCCTGATCGTTTATATGAAAAAAAGAAGAAAAAAAGTCACAAACATAATAGTCAGAAAATTAATAGTATTACTATGTAACTTTAATTTTGTCATCTTTTGGTTATTTTGCCATCATTTCACGTGAACCTTTGTCTTAGACTTTCACTTATATATAGGCATATATGAAAGATTTTGAACAGTAAAAGGTATGTGGATAGAATCACTAAGTACGGTTTGCTTAATACAAGTTTCAACTAGCAATAATATATGTCAATCTCTTTTCACACTTTTGGCTAGACACAATTCCTGGGTGGGAATAAGCTTGAACCATCAATTTTATCCTAAACTTTGACGGTGAATTACTTTTCGTAAATAATACTACAAATTCCAAAATGCTAATTAATAATCTTTCAATAAAAGAGGTTAGGGTACATCAAATTATTTCTTTAATAATATAATAATCTACGTAAAGGCAGCAACAAATGAATAAATAAATAAATAATAATAATAATAGTATACAGATTTCCATGCAAAAATAAACAGTCTGCGAGGAAAGATCGAAAAAACAAAGGTACACCCGATGGCGACACTTCCACCCAAAACATCCCCACAATCACTCACCTTTTCATTATTAATTCCATACCAATATTATTTATTTATGTGTGTAGCTCATATTATATTAATATTATTAAAGTTCTCTACTTAGGGTTGTTCTTTCTCTCTCTCTCTCTCTCTCTCTCTCTCTCTCTCTCTCTCCATGCATGGCCATTGGTCAGTAATCTTTTTGGGTTACTGTAATACAGCGTCAAAAAGAAGCTTAAAGACTAAGAAAATTGGTTCCTTCTCTTCAAAACCCTAAAAATTTAATAAAACAAAAAGAGAAAGAGAGAGAGAGAGAGAGAGAGTGGGGGGATGGGATGAGAGAAACAAAGAACAAAATAAATAAACACCAGCCTCCTTTATCTTTCCGTCTCCTTCTGATCTTTTCTTCTCTTTCTCTCTGCAGCAGCAACTATCTCTTGTTGATGTGATTCTCCATCCCCTAAAAACCCACATCAACCCTTTACAAAAGAGAAAGCCATGGTTTTCTCATCTGTTCCCGTCTATATGGATCCACCCAACTGGCAACAACAGGTAAGGGTTTTCATTTTCTCAACAATTTTTTCTTTCCCTAGCTTCTTCATAAGAAAAAAAGTTGAATTTAAAGATAAATATTCTAACCCTTTTTCAATCTATATCTTTTCTTGAATATACCAGTTATTGATTTTGTTTATTTTTGAACTTTTTTGCCTTTTGATTTCATAGCAAACAAATCATCAACAACAAGGAGGTGGTAATGATCAGAATAATCATCAGCTTCCTCCGCCCCCACCTCAAGAAGCTGGATGTAATTCAGAAGGTGGCGGCAGCGGCTCAAGCTCGATCAGGCCTGGATCCATGTCTGATCGAGCCCGGCTAGCCAAGATGCCGCAGCCAGAGACCGCACTGAAATGCCCTCGATGTGAATCCATAAACACCAAGTTTTGCTACTTCAACAATTACAGCCTTTCACAGCCTCGTCACTTTTGCAAGACCTGCAGGCGCTACTGGACCAGAGGAGGAGCGTTGAGAAGTGTGCCGGTCGGAGGAGGCTGTCGAAGAAACAAAAGAAGCAAAGGCAGCGGCGGGGGCAGCAGGTCAAAATCTCCAGCCGCAGCCGGTAATTCCAGCTCAAGCACAGTCAACTCTTCCAACAGCTGCAGCACCAGTGACAATATCATAGGCCATTTGGCTCATCCACCACCACATCAATTACCATTTTTGCCCTCTTTACATCATCTTGGTGATTATGGTTCCGGGGACATGATAGGGTTAAATAATTTTGGGGGCATGAACCAAGCTGCTGATGTTGAATTTCAACAACATCAGTTTGGCTCGGACCGGTTGACGGTCCGGCCAAATTTAGGCATCAACATGATCAACACTGAGCATTGGAGGTCATCACTGCTTCAGCATCAAGTTCAGCAATTTCCTAATTTCTTGGCTAATTTGGAACCACCAACTAGTTCTCATGGGATGTACCAATTTGAAGGTGGAAATGTTCATCAAAATGTTGGCCTCCTTCCAATGTCTAAGCCATTGGATTCTGTGAGTCCTGGGGTTGCTGCTACTCAGATGGCTAATGTGAAGATGGAAGACAATAATCATCAAGCATTGAATTTGTCAAGAAATTTTTTGGGCAGCCTTGGAAATGATCATCACCAATACTGGGGTAATAATGGTGGTGGTGGCAATGCTTGGACTGATCTTTCTGGTTTCACTACTTCTTCTTCCACCAGCCATCTCTTATGAAGTTTTATCTTGATCATATGATCACTTTGATCTTCTCCAACTATATCAATTACAGGTTCCACAAAAGGAAAATGATCGAGTGCTACTGGCGAAGATATTAAGTTTCAACCAACCTATTCCACCCTAACTTTTCATGAGTTCTCGAAGTTGAAGCCCGGAAATATATGTAAGATGAAATGGGAAGATGGAGCAATATCTCTTCATATTTTGTTGAAAGATTACCTTAGAAATGGTAGGCTTTCTAGTTTTGAAATTGTTTGTTTGTTTTTCCTTTTTATTGCTTTAGTGTTTGGGAGGGTTATGTCCAAAGTAGCTAGCTAGCTATGCTTGTAATTCATGCGGGAGACTTGGAGTATCTGACATTTTGAAGGGCCAGATTGTCATAATATATCAAATATGAATGCTATGTGTACCAAGTTTCCTTCACTGATTTTATGAAATTGTGTCCATCAAAGTTTTGTCTATTAATCTTTACTTATAAGCTAGCTATATGCTCATTAATTTCAGTGAAAGGCTGGACATTATTTCGAAAAATTGCCCACATTATCTCTGCCAGACTGCCAGAGGCAGAAGCAATTAATATATCAGTTTTCGTTTTTAGGCCACTGCAAGCAAGCTTCTTTCTAAATTGTTGGGTCATTTCTGTTTCATATTTCTGGAACATGAAAGAGTAGTGTTCATTCAATCTCAATTTTTACCCCCACCCCCTTCGCTCAAAAAGTTTGTGCCCATACTTTAAATTTAGAGAGAGAGAGAGAGAGAGAGGAGAGGAGAGTAGGGTTTAGTGAGTAGTGAATTAGAAGATGTTTTTTTTTGGTTGCAAGTGCGATGACCAGAATGATTACGCAATTATAAGAAATTGACCAAAACGAGACGTACTTGTGTTTTTTTGGTTGTGAACTCAGATTTAAATCGATGGACGATTTACAAAGAAGCTAAGAGAAACGCCAAAATCCCACTCAAAACCATGCAAAAGAACAAGGATTCTTGGAATTTTGTTGCGAAAATATACTAACCTAAAGAGGGTATAGGACCATGCTACGCAGAGTCAAAAAAGCATAAGAAAAAAACCAAAAAGAAGAAAAGAAATTCGAGACCCTCTTAACATTTGTTTGGTTTTGGTCTTTCCTCTCCTTTCTAATCAAAGTAAATTAAAGTAAAAACAAGAGTCATTATTGTTTTTGAGGTAATGGAATCTGGGTTTTGGATTTGCTTTTGCACTAACCAAGGTAGCTGTGTAAGCCTGCAATAAAACCGTCAAAAAAGCAACTCCATCTCTGTCGACTGTCTCACTAGAGCAACAGCAGTCAAGGTTGTTTTTTGTGGTTGGTCGTTGGTCGTTGGTCGTAGACAGTGATGTTTGAAATTTTTTACAGGAGCTATAGTTAACTAGTTGTAAAACTTTTTTCGGTTTTAATTGAGTTAAAAGTATTATTTTAATTCAATATTAATAAAGCATCTAATCCAAAACTAACGAAATTGTTAAAGCCGATCCATCTGGGTGTTGACGAAGAAGAAGAAGAAGAAGAAAGAGCTCGGAAATCCAAGCTTTGGTTAGTACATGAGATTAATATTGGTGATGGCCACTTCACATGTGATAGGCGTGAAGATGTTCTCTCTGTTTCCATGGCAGCTTTTCCTTTTTGTGACGTCCTTGTCCCTGTCCTTGCTCTTCTTCTTAACTAACGCTCCCTCTCTATCTTTTCTCTCTGTCTGTGTGTGATGATATATATATTCATATACATGGACTGCAGGCACACGCACAGATTCCAATCTATGCTTCTAAAATTCTTGGACGCAGGGGCCTCACGTTCTCCCACATGTGCTCAATCATATATGTGTTAGTTAGATTCCTGCTCACTTCTACATAGAATCTCAATAGTGAATATATAATTACAATATGCACGGATCCAACAAAACATAATTCTTACTCCTATTAATTAGGTATTATAGTAATAGTACTAGGAGAATGCTACCCTATATGTCAAGTTGTTTATGTATGTGTATGTCATAACCGTTGATGAAATCGATCTAGTTTATATTGATTGTCCGTTTTGAAGTGCTTTTGAAAAGACTAAAAACGTAATACATGAAAGTGTTATAAGTTATAAAATATTTTTTCAATTGTCCCTCAAATTCAAATTTTCCTCGGAGTAAAAGAAAAAAGATGATCTTGCAGTGTCAGATATGTCGCTTCTCTTAATTGTGAAGTATAGGCCCATACATACAACTTACAAGGCCATCTCCAAGCAATAAGTTTTGTACAGCCAAAAGAGGAAAATAAACAGAAACCCAATAGCTAGTAAAAGAATATTCGCTTTAGTTGTTTCTTATCTGCCTAAAAGCTTAACCAATGAACTCGTATGTATGAGAGCACTTTCTTTTGGCGAATTAATAAAGAAGAAAGTGAAGTAATAAAAACTTATACATGCACGATGACGCTGAGCATAATTATGAAGTTGATAATGTATAATATATATACAATATATATATTGCCTAGATCTTTTCTTTCATATGTAGTCTTTCGCATAACATTGAGGTGTAAGAAAGCAATTTGTGATTGATTGATATATATCTTCCTCCCAGCTCTTTCTTTTATCATTACATCATCTACCATAAAATCATATGTGGAAGCTTGCGTAACCAAGCACTAAATCTCAATCAAAACTTCTTGTATTGTTATCTTTCTTATATTGAACCTTTTTGGGTGGGGAGAGAGAGAGAGAGAGAGAGAGAGAGAGAGAGAGAGAGGAACGTTTGACTGGTCTCAGTGAGAGTGAGGGAAACTTAGCCTTTATAAAAGTAAGAGATGATGAGAGAATTTGGATACATGATTTTAACTTTATCATTTAACTTATGTTCAGTAGACACGCATACATGATTTACCTCTTCCGAATTTTGACTTTCTTTGGAATATATATTAGGGTAACTTTTTTTTTCCTTAACCTCGACGGAACGAGGAGAAATTTATTTAAAAGAATAATTAAACAGCGAGGGAATAACTGACCAAACCCCACAACAAAGCCACCCCAAAGATGGGATCAAACTAGACACACAAAATCAGTGAAAGAGAAACATGGGAAAACCCACTAAATTTTTAGCATAGGCGGTAGCAGCCCACAAAGGTAAGGAGTACTACCAGTAATAAGCACGGTTATCAGCACCAAAATTTGCTAACATATCTGCGACATAATTACCTTCCCGATAAATATGAGTGCAAACAAAATTCATCTATTTAATGCGCCACAAATAGTTCTGCCACTCCGTACGCAAAAATCAAGGAATGGAATAAGAGGTAGAGGAGAAAAAATGAACCACCAAAGAAGAGTCTGTTTCGAGCTAAAGATGCTTCCAATCTCTCACCCACGCAACTTTGATAGCCTCAAGAAACAGAAAATTAGATTTGGGCTCGATCAACCTATACATGAGCTATGATTTAGGTTACAATGATTTTTAGTAAGGGCTGAGTTCTTAATAATTGTACGATTAAGTAAAGAGTTACTATTGGACTATTGGATTGAAATCCCTCATTATAACCCCTCAACATAGCCCATTATTATAAAACCTCTGGAACATTTAGTCCATTCCAAGTACTAATAACTTTTGACTTAAGCCACAAAAACTAGAGATCGATGATGTGTGTTTTTGAGTTTATAATAATATTATCTCATGAATTGCGTTTTGAGTGGCCAACGCTAATATCCTTTTTGAATGCGAACGTGTTATAACATAAGAGGACCATGCAGAATCACAAATGTTAATATATTTTGTATTAATCCAACATTAGGGGCCTACTTTGCTTTTCTTAATTGTGTCGTGTTTCACTTTAATCTTAAAGTTGATGATTTAGTCATTCCCCATTGAGTTTTCTAGGTGCAAGGAAGATTTAGAACATCATCATTTTGTCTCATTAAATCAGCCATTCAACCTAGAAGAACTTAGGAAGGCCTCTGATAAATTTCTCTCCACTGTCAAAGCTTGATAACGCGTCGTTGGTAAAGTACCTTTATATATCGTCCTAAGATTCTTTCTCTCTCTCTCTCCTTTCCCCGTTTGGATCTTTACTTGCTAGTTAAGAGTTGATGACACACTTGCTCATCTCTCATTCATTCTTATTGGTCTCAATCGAGCCTTGAACTAGCTAATATAATATTATATTAGCCTTAAAAAAAAAAAATTCTAGATTTTAGAAAGAAAAAAAAACCCATAATTTTAAGCTTGTGACTCCCCAAACATAAAAATCTACCTCAGCTACTGCACTCTTGTCCTGTTATATGGTCTTTCATTTATGAAATGTACTTGGATTAAACCGGTTTGAAGAACCGGTTTGTTATTCGTCGAACTGGGTTTGAAATGTACGTACGTACATGGGTCATGATTTCTAGCTCTTTCTGCAATGACAAGCTATTGATGAATATTAGTTATGTAGGGACGAGGAACTTGTACAAATAATTAAGCATGCATGTTCTTAGAACTTACACATGCAATATTTAATAATCCTGCAATACAGCGCTGCAATTGCAAGCCACTTTCTGGCTACTAGTAATTTAATTGCTGCGAAAGCTAAGTAATTTCAACCATAAATGAGTTGCAAAAACCTATATACAGCCAACGTGCAGTCCAATACAAATATGCACTTCATTTTATCAAGTCAATGAAATTAAGTAGCAAACAGGCTCATTGATCCTTCAATTAGTTACCATCTCTTCCGGGTCAACCACGTTTTTTTGTCAAAGTAAACTCTCCTATAGTCGTAGGAGAAGGATATTCACTTATAAGTTATAAGGCCATTGACTTGGTGAAGCGACTTGGAAATGCATGTCGTTTATAAAAGGCTAGCATTTGCACCTATTTTCCAGTATACTTGAAGAAGACAATCGATCGAGATGGCTCAACAAGCAACTGCATCCTCAAGGATTGCCTCTCTTATTTTGAGAATCTTGACCTTCATTCTCTTGTTGATATCACTTATTGTGCTTGCCACCAACACCGTAGGCTCCAGCGATGATGACTCCAAAGTTCATTTTACCGATTTTTATGCCTACCGGTAAGCAATCATAGTCGCGGTCGCAGTTGTGGTTTTTTTCTTGTCTAATCATAGTTTGAAAGGCTTAACTAATTATTTTGAATTGTAAAATTGGTGCAGATACATGCTTGCTACAATTGTCATCGGTATTGCATATAGTCTCCTGCAACTTGTACTCACAATCTTTAATATCGTAAGGGGCGGGGATGGCATGCCCTTCCTTGACTTCTTTGGTGACAAGGTACATTTTTTCTTTCATCTTTTTAAATTTTCGGCACAAAAAGCTTCCCACAAGTTTTATTTTTATTTTTTCCCTCTTCTATTCTAGCAAACAAAACCCATGTCAATTGAGCCCGTGAGGCCCGCTGACCCAATAGGCAAAACAAGAATTTTCAATTTACTATCTATCTAGGCATTCCTGGGATGAAATTTTATTTTATTTTATTTTTTTGGTTGGGATTTTTAATACAAAAACTTGTGTTGGGCATGCAGTTCATATCATACGTGCTAGCAACTGGTGCTGGTGCTGGGTTTGGTCTGACTGTAGACTTGAAGAGACTGATGGACGCATCTGAAGTAGACATGCTCAACTTTGACGATAAGGCCTTTGCATCGGCTAGCCTCCTCCTCCTCGCATTTGTTACCACTGCCATATTATCAATTATCTCTGCCTACACTCTCCCAAAGAGAGTTTGATTGCTGCCAACCCAAGCACGTCCCTCTATTTTCATAATATGTACGTACGTACCAACAAATCATAAATGGAGGCTTTGCGTAACCAAGAACTAAATTTTAATTTTTTTTTTTTTTTTTTTTTTTTTTTTTTTTGATATTGTTACACAATTTGATGAAAAATTCCATTGGAGAATCATCCCAAATTTTAATTTCAACTACATATAGTTGTGCCAACCATTGGGGTCCTAAATTGTGACATGTTTTAGTACTTTAATCTTAAAGTTGCTCATTAGCCTTTACCAATTGGGTTAATTTTCCAGATAACCAAAATCTAACAGTCAAAGAGCTTGGACTGCGTTGGTGAAGTAAATTATTGGCTTGAAGCCTTGAGCTATATCTCATTAAGAACAATTAACTTAACCTAACGGAAATATGGAAGGGTGTCACCAATGAGAAGATCTTGTCTACCTAATGCTCAAACTTCTGTAATAACCATGGAAACTTTTTTTTGTTTTCTTTTTGATACAAGCGATAATCTACTTTAAAATAATCTAAACTATAGGAAGAGATATTCAAACTCGGGTACAGAGTGAAGAGCACATTCGCTCTAGTCAACTTGTGTTACAATTACATCTATTTTCCTTTATCTTTTTAATCAACTCAATTTCTAGTCTCTAGGGGCCGGATGGCATTGGATCTGTACGGTCATTATTAAAATACTTAAACAGACAACGAAATACACGTAATAAATTCTGATAAGAATGCCAAATCATATACAATAGATATCATGCAAGCATCAACATGATATTCTAGTCAAGAATAATCTTACAAGCCACTAGCTTTATATTGCTCTTATATTTTTATGAATGGGAATTTTGAGAGTTTTTGGGAGAACACCACTAAACTAAAGCAGATAGAGAAATAATGAATGCATTAAAACCCAATGCAAGCCAACAAGATCTCTTATTTTAATGGCTTAGTTGCCAATTTGCCATCACTTCCGGGTCAAGCATACCTTTTTTTTTCTTTTTCTTTTTTCGAAGTAAACTTTCCTTTTTTGGTACTTATTTTAAAAATTATTGACTTGGTACTTGGTAGGTATGAGTGCTATGCATGGTTTGTGTATAAAACCCTAGTAGTTCGCATCCTTTTTGCAGTATAGGCTAAGCTTGGTGTGGCTGGCTGCAGGACTAGCTAAGGCAGAAGAAGATGGCATAAACAGAAGCAGCTGCACCGCTACCACCACCGCTGCTGCCACCACCATTTTATTCTTCTGTATCTTCACGGCTTGCTTCTCTAATATTGAGGATCATTACCTTCATTCTCTTATTAATATCCCTCATAGTGCTTGGCACCAACGGAAATATTTTTGCTCACCACTTTAACCCAAGGTGTATGCTCACCACCCTTCTTAATGCTTGACATGTGTTCATAAGCATAACCATGGTTAATCGACCACCTTTTCATATCATCTCTCTAATTAATATAAGTGAGACTTATGTAAATAGTCTCAGACCGTGATACTAGAGACTTACTCGCTATATTTGTATGCATTAATGAATTGGATGAAAACAGTATGGAGGATGCAACCTAACCAAATTACCACTTCGGGCATGCAGTTGATATCAAACCTTCTAGCAACTGGTACTTGTGCAGGGTTTGCCGTAACTGTAGACACAAAGCGATTGACGGACGCTGATCCTCGATTTGAGTCAATTGACATGCGGGAATTTTATGACAAGGCATATGCATCAGCTAGCCTCCTTCTCCTCGCATTTTGCTCTACTGCAATGTTATCCATCGTCTCTTCCTATACACACTCCCAAAGAGAGTTTGATTGCTGCTCGCAAAAGCAAAAACCATTTATTTCCAATGTGCCTTTGCTAATAAGACACCCATGACCATGAATGAAAGTGTCAAGGATCTATATGATTATTATATCTTCCCATGCTTTTCATCTTCAATTCTCTACAGAAGAGGATCCATGGGACTTAAGGCTGGTCCACAGCCAAGCTTAGGCCAAACCTAAGCCTAAGCCTAAGCCCAAGCCCAGAAAGGCCAGCAAAACCCTATTTCTTAACCGTTTGATCAAATTGATTAGTTCGATTCAATGGTTAAGAGATATGACCTTAGATAAGACCCTCACTATAGAATGACTCCACCAAACACAACATGCTTTTTGAATAAAGGAGTTGATTTACTAATCTTGGAGACCCATCAAACACGACTTTAAGGATTTATTTTAATTAAAGATTCTTTTTTTAGCCAAGGATTTTAATTGAGTATGAGTTTCTGTTTGCCTCTCTCTCTCTCTCTCTCTCTCTCTCTCTCTCTCTCTCTCTCTTATTTAGTTATTTAAGAGTATCCACAATGATACTCTCTATTTCTTAACTAAAATTTGGCTAAAAATACAAGAAAGCTATTTTAGGAGCTCCCTAAAAATTTCAACTCCAACCATACACCCATAATTTGGAGAGTCATAAATACTATAACTCTTTTTTGATTGGTCTATCTCTATTAAAAATAAAATTAAAAATAGTTAACATTAAATAAAGGTTTGAAATACTCATTAAATAAAGCAGCATTAAATTATAATGAGCCACTAGAAGTCATTTCTCTCTCCTCAGATTTAAGAGCTCTTAGAGGACTCCCTATTTTAGGAGGTGAATAGAGTGCACGGTTGGAGTTGCATTTTTACGATCCCTCCCTAAAATTTGTCTAAGGAGGTGGTTTAGGGAGCCCATTATGGATGCTCTAAGTCTCAATAACAAATTGCATAAAACAAAATTTCGACCTCCCTTTGACCGCCCTTTCCTTACTCAATAACCATATGAATATGTGATGATAAATTAGGCTTGTTAATCAACTTGCGTGATAGTAATTATAAAAGAAAAGAAAAAAACACTTACCTGTAATGCGACATTATTAAAATTGAAATTGAAAAAAAAAACTCTGAAATCTTCATTAACAATGTTCAATGACATATAAAACTACGAAACGCTTTTGAATTTTTCACCATAGGCCTCTCTCAGTATTGGACCGAAGTTGATGGGACTAGTGTTCCACAAAACTTATAATATATATGCTCAACATAGAATTTGTGTTGTCTTATTATTACCTTCTTTTTTTTGGGTCAATCACAGTTGATTCATGCCCCAAAACTATGGGGAGGTGGAACAAGAGGAACATAAATGATGTGGTGTTGTTATATTGTGCCCGGGATGTTTCAATGGAGAGAAACTGATGGACAGTGGAAAAGAAAGGCCACCCACCCGGCCTTTCCGTGCCTCCTATTCTTAGTAAAATGTTAAACATATTAGAAAACCTATAAATCTTGAAAATCAGTGCAAACCCATTAAACATAAAACAAAAATCTTGACAACCCACTAGTGAAAGAAGGGTATGTTTGATGTTGATATTATTGGAGGGGGACTGCACCCAAGGGGCGGCAGTGCAAAAGTAGGCAGATTGCCGATAGGGGAAACTGCTACATTCTTCTTGTTTTTTCAAATTTTATTTTATTTTATTAAGGGTAAAGTTGGAAGACAAAGTCCAAGAGTGAAAAAAATTTAATTTTCTTTTCAAAAAAGACACGTGGCAGATTTTGAGTGGGAGTATCACCATGTGACGTGGTGATACCGTATCATTAGCTGACGTGGTGATACCGTATCACTCTGTAATTTCTCCATAAGGAGAGAGAGAGAGAGAGGTAGGAGTTACTTAACGTTAGAAAATAAAAAACAATTTAGTGTTAGTTTACGTGTCATGTTGTTTAATCATTAGATTACTATAATGGTTCAGATTTTACAAAATGCGAGAAATGCAGAAGGTCTAATTGCAAAGGCTCGCGATCCTGATAAGATGTCGTAAGCCAAAAAACTCTTGCAGAAAATGAATTGAAAATGCGATCAACTTCTAGGTTTTTCCAGCTTAATTTCATTATATTTTATACTTTTCCCACAACGAAAACGTTACGGATCATACAATAACCCCCCAATCAGTGGTTGCCGCCATGTCATAGTTGTCATAAATATGTAACTTTATATTGTATAAATATAAATATACTATAAATTATATACTAGGCAGTTCACCTCACCATGCATATAGCCAAAGCTTGGGTAAGTCAGGCCCACAAGAAAGTTAAGCCAATCCAGGAAAATTCTCGCAGTTTAATTGTCTTTTCTTCTGCCATTTAACCCAATCCAGGATCTCATCTTCTTTTTTTTGGGTCAAAATCCAGGATCTCTAATTTAATGGCTTCTTAGATATGAGTGCTATGCATGGTTTGTATATAAAACCCTATGGTAGTTTGCATCCGTTTTGCAGTATAGGCTAAGCTTGGTGTGGCTGGCTGCAGGACTAGCTAAGGCAGAAGAAGATGTCAGAAACAACTGCAACAATAGAAGAAGCTGCACCACCACCACCACCACAGCCGCCGCCACCATCTTATTCATCTGCATCTTTACGGATTGCTTCTCTAATATTGAAGATCTTTACCTTCCTTCTCTTATTAATATCCCTAATAGTGCTTTGCACCAACACCGTGGATGTTTATCCGCAGAAACTTAGATTTCAGGATATTTATGCCTACCGGTAATTAAGCAATTAATGAGCCAATAATCTGATCATCATCACATGATTTGTTTAATTTTTTAATTTTTTATTGTAACATGCATTTCTTTTTCAATTAATATACTTGAACCTTGAAATCAATATTAATTGTAGATACATGCTTTCCACAATCGTCATTGGCACTGCATATTCTCTCTTGCAACTTGCATTGTCAATCCATAATGTCGTAAGTGGCCAGGACGGCATTCTCCTACTCGACTTCTTTGGTGACAAGGTGCATACATCTTCTCCTCTGATCTATATGTATGGAGCAGTATCATCGTAATCGACCACCTTTTGTATCATCTCTCTAATTAATATAAGTGAGAGTTATATAAATAGTCTCACACCGCCATAGTAGAGATTTACTCGCTATATTTGTATGCATTAATGAATTGGATGAAAATATTATGGAGGATGTAAACCTAACCAAATTATACCACTTTGGGCATGCAGTTGATATCATACCTTCTAGCAAGTGGTACTGGCGCAGGGTTTGCCATAACTGTAGACACAAAGAGATTGACGGATGCAGATCCTCTATTTGATATGATTGACATTCGCGAATTTTATGACAAGGCATATGCATCAGCTAGCCTCCTTCTCCTCGCATTTTGCTCCACTGCCATGTTATCCATCATCTCTTCCTATACACTCCCGAAGAAAGTTTGATTGCTACTCGCAAAAGCAAAAACCATTCATTTCCCAAAGCAAATGTCTTCTCCTTTTTTGGGTTGTGAGATTTAAGCTTTGTTTTGTTAATTTTCTTCCTGAATATCACGCGTTGTAATATGCGATGAATCACGAGAAAATATTATTTTCTCTCCTTTTTTTTGGGGTCTGATTTGATGTTAGTTTGATCAATGTAATATTGTTGCGCCAATCCAATGTGCCTTTGCTAACAAGACATCCATGAATGGAAGTGTCAAGGATCTGTATGATTATATATTCCCATGCTTTTCATCTTCAATTCGGTACAAAGAGGATCCATGGGTTTTAAGGCTAGCCCACACCTAAGGCTAACAAGGTGAAATTCTATAGTGAGGGGGTCATATATGGACCTTTCATGTAGACCTTCATATTAGCCACAACATTTTGACCTCCTTTTGGCCGCCCTTTCCTTACTCAATACCCATATGAATATGATAATTAGGCTTGTTAATCAACTTGCGTGTTAGTAATTATAAAAGAAACCCCTTTCGAATTTTCGCCATAAGTTATTGGACCCAAGTTGATAGGACTAGTGTTCCACGCAAATTTATAATATGCTCTGATTAAACATAGAATTCATGTTTTGTTACTTGGAAGTGCCTGTGTGAATATTGTGTGAGAGGGGGCCAAACAATAAATTTTCGGCTTCAATTGAGAAAAATGGTATATATTACCATATGATTATTGAAGAATATGAAGTATCATATTAGAAACTTGATAAAATCCAATACATTATATAATTTATGAATCCACTTCTAATAGCATCAATGTCTTTTGTATAAAATTTCATACTTGCTGAATATGCAAGTGGTTAAATTAGGAATAATATCGATGTTGGGGCGTGAGTCCGTTCCTCTGAAATTTAACAATAATAGCATAATTTATTCGTGTACCCCATTCAGAAACCGCGTAAGCCCACTAATTAATTAATAAATAATTAATTAGGTGATCTCCAAATGTTATATGATTTTGAAAAGCTGTCGTAGGCCAGAACAACGCAAACGTTACGTATCATACAATAACCTCCCAATCAGTGGCTGCCGCCATGTCATATTTTTCATAAATTTGTAATTTCATATAGTATAAAATATAAATATACTAGGCAGTTCACCTCACCATGCAAATAGCCAAAACTTGGGCTAGTCAACTCCACAAGAAAGTTAAGCCCCATCCAGGAAAATTCTCGCTGTTTAATTGTCTTTTCTTCTGCCATTTTACTTTTGTCCGGCGGTAGGAACAATATGAAACTGAATTGAAATTGAAAAACAAAACGAAGAAAAAAAATTATATTTGTTTACTTTTTGCATTGGCCAACTGAAACAAGTTAAACTGTGTATAAAAGGCCAGCACCAGCAGGGATTAATGCAGATAATTATAAATTACTAGTAATTAATTGTGTTTAATTAGAGAGCAAAGATGGAATCACACAGACAAGTTTCAGTGCTTCCTCAAAAAACTTCCCGATTTGCCATTCTTGGGCTGAGGGTCCTCACCACTATTTTACTGGTTGTGCCACTCGCCATCATCGTCTCCAATGTTCTCTCAGTCCGCAGGGATAAAAAATATCACTTTTATGATTTTGTGCCTTACCGGTAATTGCCTACTTTTAGCAATTGATTTCTAGTTCAGTTTAATATTACTCACTTTTAGCAATTGACAACGTTCTCTGTTTTTTATTCATTGCAGATACATGGCTGCCTCAATTGTTATTGGAATTGCATATTCAGTCTTCCAAACTGGAGTTGCAGTTGTCCGCCTCAGAAGAGAAAATCATGGGAGCATCTTACTTGATTTCTATGGCGACAAGGTACACATATAATACGCGCACGCATACGCAGACTCACATGCATAAGTTAATATGTAATTTATAATGGATTAAGTGTGTTTTTTGATAGGTCAAACTAATCTGTGCAGGTTATATCAACTTTATTAGCTACTGGATCTGTTGCAGGATTTGTTATGACTGCACAATTACAGAAACAGTGGGGCGAAGCCGTAAGTGATTACTATCACAAATATTTCAAGAGGTCATATGCAGCAGATGGACTTGTCTTCCTTGCCTTCGTCTGCACTTTCATCCTATCGGTCCTCTCTTCACATGCTCTGCCCAAGAAGTTTTAGATTTTGCAGCATCATCAGCGGTTGGCTGTCCATTGATCAGTGTCTTAAACACCTTAGTTTTATAGTTTCTTTTTCTCCCCCTTTGATCGATGTGTAAATCATGATATAAAGTAGTGGTGTTTGTTACTCCAAGAGTTCATTTCATCACATGAAAATTTTGAAGGGGTTAAGATTTGGTAGGGTTTTATGTGTCTTTTATGTAGAACGACTATATTAATGGTGTAATAAGTTTCCAATTAATTTAATTCAATAGAGACAAAAGTGGAAGAAATTTGATATTCTTCGCATTATATATAATTTCAAAGTACCAATTTTCAATTTCATGCATCTCAAGAAGCATCGCATATTGCAATTCCAGCAAGGGACTTGTAGCTCAAATACCTCATCTTCCAATATCAAACAATGCAGCTCCAAAAATCTTGACGTTTGATGGGAAAAAAAATGAAGGAGAACTTTCTTTTTTTCTAAAAAAAGGGTAAAAGTCTTGGCTCTTCTCTATCTCTGTATACACTATTTTGGCAACAAATGAAACTCATGATTTCTCTAAAAACAGAAACAAGGGCAATGCAGATACAGGGTCCTAATTAACCTGTCCTTTTTTTTCTTTTTTCTTTTTGGTTATCCAACATAAAAAAAGAAGCTGTCTCTATCCCAAATCTTGTTCCAAAGGCCAGGACCCGGCAGGAGGAGGCCGAGGCGCTAGTGGTGCCGCGGGAAAGGGAAGATGGACACATCACTGCTTTCCTCCACAAGTATGCGGATTATTACTCTTGTATTGAGGATCGTGACCGCCGTCACACTGCTTGCGTCCCTCGTGCTCCTCCTCATCATATCTCATCCAGTAAAAGATCTCAACGAACGCGGAGAGGTTAAGGAAACTTGGATCATGCGCTTTTATCACAGAGTTCCATTCCGGTATATGTAAATGACCTTTATATCCCTGATGATGGATATCAACTTAATTATAATCTCATGCATGCATGCATTTTTTAATTTCAACAGATATACGGCTGCAACGATTATTATTGGAGCTGCATATTCAATCTTCCAGATCGTATGTGCAATTATCCGCTTAGCCAAAAGAAATGAAGGGAATGTCATGTTGGATTTCTTCGGTGAGGAGGTACGTACGTACGTGGAATATAAAATATCTATCTTAAATGTCTTTGTCCGTTGCCAATTGATTTCGAGTTGGATGCTCTGATGCGCCTTGTTATTCCTTCCTCTTTTGAATGAATAGCAATCACTCAAAATAATTCGGGCATGGTGCAGGTATTGTCGAAATTATTAGTTTCAGGAGCTGTTGCAGGGTTTCTTGGGTCGTCAGAGCTGGTGAAAGCTTGGGAAGAGTATGGCGTGAATAGAGAAGACATAAACTCGTTTACGAACAAGACATATGCAGCAAATGGACTTGTCCTCCTTAGTTTCGTCTTCAGTTTTGTATTATCGGTCCTATCTTCATATGCACTCCCCAGGAATATATCACTTTCAGAGACATAACTATCAGTTTGCTGTTCATTGATCAAATTCTTAATTACCTTTTTTTGTTTAAATCGTCATCTGTGATGTGTGATTCTCTCTCTAGTAGTTTGTTTTGCTCTTTTGGAATTTTTATGAGTTGTGTTAGGAATTATGTGGATCAAGGACGTTCTGATCAGCCCATATTGGACAAATGATTGTTCAATATTGAACATAATTACCACTAAGAAAAGTTTTAACCAAATATTTTGCAATATTAGAGTAAAAGTAAAAATTAATCAAACTCATTCAATGGGATAGGACAAAATTTCCCCATGAAACCTGGGTTTTATCAAATTGGCCTAGGGCTTTTAGTCTGCTTCTAAGTGATTATGAGTTCAAGCTCTCACATGATAACTTTTGAAAGAAATTCAGTAACACAAAATTTTAAGTATCAATACATACATAATTGAAAACAATTTTTCCGTGAATTTTCCTTTATAATATTTCTCGATAATTGAAATAAAATAAATAAGTTTTCTTCAGAAATAATATCATATTCTAATCCTTACCATTTGAACATAGAAGTAATTATTCATTGATGCCAATATTATTATTAGACAATAGTGAAGAATTATCTTTTTGTTAAAGATGTAAGATGAAAATGTGTTGGAATGCAGACGTGAGTTGAGCCAATTGGTTAGGCAGTGAATCCACCCCCTTACACCCAAATTCAAATATCATTCCTTGCGATGGATTGTGACTTTTCCTTTTTATATTATCACCCGTATAAGAAAAGAAAAAAACAATGTAATATATAGGAAACTTAGAAGAGGTGGGCCTAAATGGCAAAGCACTTGGATCCACCGTTCAAAACATTTTCTTTTACAACTCGGCTTCTTTATGGATAAAAGGCTGAAAGCAAAACATATATGGGCCATTGTACCGCAAAAGAAAAACCCTTCGTAGATGTTTTTATGTGAGATTTTAAAAGAAAAGTATCAGATTTGGGGTTACACATGTTTTATTCTTCAGTCAAGGTTACACATGTTCGATGGAAAAAAACCTTTGTTCTATTTAGGGATCAAATTAAACTTATCTTTTTCCTAAATAAAAGAACGAACACACACACACACACACAGAGGAATGTTGAAAACAATGCCATTCATTCATTCATTCAGTGTCTTAAACAACAGGTGTTTAAGTCATGGCCAAGAAAGAAAAGTCGAGTTTGAGATTTCAAAGGTCATGTTGAGAAGGCGAAGCAGAGATGGCAGTCTCAATGCTTTCCCCCACAACGACGCGGATTGCTACTCTTGCGTTGAGGGTCCTGACCGCCATTCTACTCTTTGCCTCGCTCATCATCCTTCTCACTAACACTCAACAATTTCAAGGCCCAACCCTTCATTTTTATGACAGAGTTGGATACAGGTAATTAATTAATTAATTAATTAGTGCATGCATGTCAAGTTAATCAATTTTTATGATGACATGCAATGCAAGCAATCTCATTCCCTGTAATTATTTAATTAAATTGCAGTTACGCGGCTGTCGGAATTTTTTTGGGACTTGCATACTCAATTTACCAAACCGTATGTGCGGTCATTCGCATCAAAAAAGGAAGTGAAGGGAATGTCGTTTTCGATTTCTACGCTGAGAAGGTACCAGCGATAATATGTAGTTATCTATATTTACTTATCATCGATAGTAAGAAAAATAGATACATAATTGTATACAAACAATTACACTTCAAATTTCTCATCATCATCGTCAGGGTTTTTTTATGATCAACTTGCTCATCAATTTTGATTCATGGAGGAAACTATATATCTACATATATATATATATATGAAATTAACCTAGCATGTGACATGTGATTTCTTTTGAATATAACAATGGGTGTCACCAATTTGGGCAGGTTGTGTCAAATTTATTAGTTACAGCAGCTGTTGCAGGATTTGTGACAACCGGACAACTAGTGGATGACGTTGTACGACAACAAGGATCAAGTAAACTTCCTTTACTTGAAAGATTTGTGAGTTTGTCAAATTCATCATCTGGAATTGTTCTCGTTGGCTGCATCTTCTCCTCAATGTTATCGGTTCTCTGTTCATATGCACTCGCTAGGGATGATGATTAATTAGATCTTCTTACAAACATACGTGTATATGAACAGTTGCAGCAGCTCATTATAATCAAAGGCTCATTGCCCTCTTTTTTTATTTATTCCTTTCTGATCTACCATGTTTAAATCATCATACAATGGGTTTCTTCTTTCTTTCTTCCATTCTTTTTTCTTTCTCACTTTGTTTTATTTATTGATCGGATTTTAGGAATTTCATACCTATTAATTGTGATAAGGATTTTAAAAAGAGAAATATTAAAGACACCAACTTTTGGTTACCAATTAATGTGACAGTGTTTCATTTGTTTAATGTATATACTCATTTCAGACCATATTTATTCACAACGAATAAGAAATATTGTCACATTAGGTGGTGACCCAAAATTGTGTAATAAGCCGGTATCTTTAGTATATTATTGTTTTAGAAGTCGATAGCAACAATCTCTCGTTCAATGTTTGGAAATTCAGAGAATGAAAAACTGAGTGTAGGTTATTGTCTCTTGGAAAGGTTTTCAATTCGTGTATATCAATTTTTGAAGTAAGAGAAAGTTGCTAGTACAAAATTCATCCTCCCAAAATCATAATAAGAGTAAGCCATCTTGATTTCAACATCTGACCAAGATAGAGCCAACATTTTATGGTATTCTTTATTCAATGATAAATTTCTTGTTTAGTTCAAGTTTCCATCTATTTGATCCAAAAAAAAGAAAAAAAAGTTTCCATCTATTTAAATATAATTAATCAACTTCGAGGAGCATCAAAACAAAAATCAAGAAAAGGATATTGTTATGTGGGTTAAGACATTTGGCCAAGGCATTGTGTCCGGCCCATTTGCACCCTAGTTTGATCTCCCGAATTTTATAATATCGCCATTGTCAAAAAACAAAAAAAGTAACCATACCTACCTATTGAACTTTGCAATTTGTAAATAGAAGATAACCATAGTGCATATTCTGTTTTTGTACTTGTGTTTTTTCATAGATCATATGATCTTTTTCCTCCTCGTTTTTCCTTGTGCATCGGTTATGCCCTAATTTTGACACGGATGACCTTAAAAATTTGTAGATGCAAAGAGGTTAATTGGTAGAAGATTTAGTGACGATTTTGTTCAGAATATCAAGTTGTGGCCATTCAAAGTCATTGAAGGTCCTGCCGATAAAACAGTTTGTGGCCATGATTTCCGTTACCCACCAGGGTCGAGAAAAACAGTTTGCTGCAGAAGAGATCTCATCCATGATTTTGGCAAAGATGCTGGAGAAAAACATTGAATTATCAACCAAAGTAATGAGATACTTCAGTAGCGCAGTCTTCAAAACCAATGTAGTCAATCTTGCTCAGACAATTTCTGAAGCTGCAACCTGCGACCAAGCAATAGAGATTCAAGTAAGTTTGCAACGTTTCAATAATCGGTCAAGTTATTAATTCATTACTTCTGAAAATATGTTAATCTTGGTGCTTCCAGAAAGGGTTTGTTTATGTGAAAGCATCCTTAGATTCAGTCGTCAAGATTTTCCTCGGTATTGAACACCATGCTTGGGACAAATGAAGAAGGTACCCGGTTTTCCAACGCTTTTGATGAAGCAAACGCAAATACCTTCTATCGTTATGTTGATATCTCCTGGAAGATCAGACGGTTCTTAACGTTCGTTCAGAGGCAGTGCTAAAGAATAATAATTATATAAAAAAGGACCCTAACCCACCTAGGCGCTAGGCCCCCGCCTAGGTTTGTTTTTTTGCTTCTCCTGACTTTAAAGAAAACCTACGTCTATAACGTGATGATCAGAGCATATGCGTGTACAAAAATCAGTGTTGCGGATGAAACTCTTTCTTCGTTTGGGTGGTTGTTGCTGTATAAGCAAATGCTCTGCGATGGCATTTCACCTAATTGTCTCAATTTTCCATTCCTTGTAAAAGAATGCACGAGTAGGGTTGATGGCTGCACAGGCCGGAGCTTCCATGCACAAGTCGTTAAGTATGATGTTTTTGTTCAAAATTCTTTGATTGGCATGTACTCTGCATGTGGGTTTCTGAATAGTGCACGTACCTTGTTTGATGAAATGTTGGAAAGGGATGTTGTTTTGTGGAACTCGATGATTAAGGGGTATTTGAGAAGTGGGAATCATGATGGCGCATTGAATCTGTTTGGGAAGATGAACGAGAGAGACATTATTACTTGGAATTCCATGAAATGCAGTTCTAACAATTGCCTGTGTCCTTGCAGCTTGTGCTCATCTTGGTGCAATTGATCATGGATTCATGGGCTATGGGTGGATAGGTACCTGAGGAGAAGTGGCCTGGAGAGTGATGTGGTCATTGGGCAGCTCTGGTTGACATGTATGGTAAGTGCGGATGTGTGGACAAAGCGTATACTTGATGACAAAGTCGTAAGTATGGTTCTGAAAGGCAGCCCATCCAAGACCAAAACTAGTAGGTTATTTTATTTTTTATTTCTGGGTACCTAAATATAACAGATTTCCAAGTAATTTTACTGTATTATGTTGGAAATAGTGGTACAAAGAATATGGAACCAAAATAAATTCTTTGTAAGGCCGATTACATTTCCCAACAAGTCTTTCTCTAATCTATTATTACCACTCAGACCGCTCTATATTACAGAAGTCACAGACTGAGGCACTCACCCAAGCAAGCATATATTCTCTTCTTCATTATTCTCCTCTCTGCCACCATTTTTCTTCCTTGCTATTCTTCTTTCGGTTTATTTTTTTAGCTGACAATGGCGGGAGAAGATAAAGCGGGGCATGCAATTGGGATTGACCTGGGACAACCTACTCTTGCGTGGCGGTGTGGCAGCATGATCATGTAGAAGTTATAATGAATGATCAGGGCAACAGGACCACTCCTTCTTATGTTGCTTTCACAGATACTGAGCGCTTCATTGGTGATGCTGCTTTCAATCAGGTCATCAAAAACCCCACAAACACTATCTTCGGTAGGCTCATGACTTTCTCACTTATGCATCTATATGTATAATATATCAGTTTTGAATTCCCCTGAGGCTCTCTGCTTCTTCCATTTGTTTTTAATTTGTCTTCTTTTTTCTTTTCTTTTTTTCTCTATCCTAGCAGTATGCTGAGTGAGTGAGTAGTTTAGTCAAAGTTCAGATGTTGTTGATAAATTTCTAATTTAGAAAATTAGATATAACTTAGTGTAGAAGAAAAACCATCTTGATATATAGTTTAGTCAAAGTTCGGATGTTGTGATATAATACTAATCCTTTGGTTTATTTATATATAATTTAAAAAAAAAACCATCTTGATATATATATATATATATATATATATATATATATATGTATGCGTGAGAGGTATAATCTTGTAATTTCAAAACAAGTCAAATGCTTGTGGTCTGTAATCTCAATAAGATGCCATAATTCTTTAAATGAAATATACATACTATCATTCTTGATTATAGCTAGCCGTCAGTGTCAATTACCTTTGAGCTTTATAAATTTAGACTGATTTAGTCAGCATAAAAGGTGTACTTATTCACTATTGTTTATGTGTAACATCTGTACTAGTGAATATGAATGATGCATATATAGCTAGTCAGTGTTCTCTAGGCATTACAACTAGTTATTAGTTTCACTGTGGCAGGGTGAGAGAGCTGTAGAATTTGGATTGGAATACTTCACATCATTTTTCGTTTAACATTATGCTTTTATTTCTATCATATGACCTGTTTCCTTATTAGTTTAATTTCCTTGTCGGGTTGTGTATTTCTATTTTGTCATCAATTTACAGATGCAAAAAGATTAATTGGTAGGAGGTTCAGTGATGAATGTGTTCAAAATGATATGAAGCATTGGCCATTCAAGGTCATTAAAGGTCCAGCTGATAAGCCAGCAATTGTGGGTTACTCACAAGGGCGTAGAGAAGCAATTTGATGCAGAAGAAATCTCATCTATGGTTCTTGTAAAAATGCGGGAGATTGCTGAGGCCTACCTTGGTTCAACTGTGAAAAATTCAGTTATCACAGTCCCTGCTTACTTTAATCGCTCACAGCGACAAGCTACAAAAAATGCAGGTGCTACTGCTGGCCTAAATGTGATGCGTATCATCAATGAGCCGACTGCTGCAGCCATTGCTTATGGGCTTGACAGGAAGTCCGGTTGGTATAGCGAGAGAAATGTGATGATATTTGATTTTGGTGGTGGTACTTTGGATGTTTCACTTCTTACCATAGCTGATACTGTCTTTGAAGTGAGGGCCACTTCTGGAGACACTCATCTAGGAGGTGGTGACTTGGATAACAGAATGGTGAATTATTGTGTTGAGCAATTCAAGAGGAAGCATAATGTAGACATTAGTGGAAACCCGAGGGCTCTAGTGAGGTTAAGAAATGCCAGTGAGAAGGCGAAGAGGAGGCTTTCATTTATGTCTGAGACTGACATTGACATTGATTGTTTGAATCAGGGTATTGATTTCTGCTTGACTCTTACACGTGCCAAATTCGAGCAACTCAACATGGATTTCTTTGAAAAATGCATGCAGCCTGTTGAAAAGTGTTTGAAGGATGCTAATATGGACAGAAGCAGCATCCATGATGTTGTCCTTGCTGGTGGCTCTTCTAGGATCCCCAAGGTGCAACAGCTATTGCAGGATGTGTTCAAGGGGAAGGAGCTGTGCAAGGGCATTAATCCTGATGAGGCTGTGGCATATGGTGCCGCTGTTCAAGCTACTGTCTTGAGTGGTAGGAATTCAATTGGGAAGCTTCAAGACTATACACTCTTGGATGTCACCCCTCTGTCACTGGGGGTGGAGACAGATAATGAACCTATCATGTCAGTTGTGATTCCAAGAAACACCAGAATTCCTGTCAAGAAGAAGGGGGGTTTTACTACTCTCTTTGACAACCAAACCAGTGTCTGCTTTGCCATTTATGACGGTGAGAGTACAAGAACTATGAACAATAACTTTTTAGGCGCATTTGACCTCAATGACATTCCTCCAGCTCCACAGGGAGTCCCAAAATTTGATGTTTGCTTTCATATTGACGCAAATGGTATCATGAGTGTCTCTGCTGAGGACAAGTCCACCGGCCAAAAGAAGGGGATTACATTCTATAGTGACAGAAGAAATTCTGAAGGAATTGAGACATTGATTTAACAAAGTCTATAGACTGATGTAAGAAACATTAGTTTCTGCCATGCAATAGACTGAAATAGCTTGTACTAATTTCATACTTTGGAGTTTTCATAATTTTAATGTTTTATTTGAAGTCCTAATGGCCTCATAATGTCTTTGAGGAAGTACATATTAGGAAGTCATTTCCTTGCATGGTTTATGCTTGGTTTGTTATTACTGTAAACTAGTCCTTTTTGGTGTGACGGTTGTGTTAAGAGATGAATCAGTAATTCGAGTGCTGGGGAACTCCGACAGGCAACCATTTGGTTGCTTGTTCATGTGTAATTGCTTCCATTGGCCCTCCGTTGTCCACAATGTTTTATTGCTCATGTCAAACATACATGAGCTTTTGGACATTGCTGCTTTATAGAATGCAAGAGTCTCATAGGACTGGTATTTTTGAGAGGTATATAATTGGCAAAAAGATAAAAAGAGGCGTTTTTTAGTTTGATGCTTTTATATTCTAGTTTAGATGTGTGGCAGGCAGGGCAATATCTTACATTGGATTTACTGGTTCTGAACTTGTGAAGGAATTGAGACAGCCATGTAAGGCACATTCGTTTATGCCATGTTATTGAAATCATCATTTTCCATATGGACATTTACTAGTTGAGTTGTGTGACTGGGATCTGGGAGTTGTATTTAACAGTGGCTTTGGATGCAACGAACTAAAAACAAATTCGCCTCATCTCCTAGTTACGATTAATCCTCCGACTTCCTCTCCAATCCTGTTTTAATCAAATACCTAAAGGAAACGCATCTCATCGTCTTTCCCCGTTCTTTTCTTCCCTTAATGCGGCACCTCAAGGAAAAAAAAAAAAAAACAGAAGGCAAATTGGTTTTTAAAATGAATAATACTAGTCTTACCACATTATTATACCACAATTTCATATCACATGATGTGGTAGCTGATTTGTACGTACCACATCATGTAAAATAGTAGTTTCTATTTTTCTAATTTTATTTATTAAAATACACTTTATTTATTTAATTGATGTGGCATATGATATGGACATACCATATCATATGGTATAGAAAATGTGGGATAAAAATGTGGTAAGTGTAGGATTACTCTTTTAAAATTTGGCTGCCAGTGCCAACCCTACCAAAATTGCCACTTCTTTTTCCTTTATTTTCTTTCATGCTCTCTCTTTTTCTGTATATCTTTTGTTTTCGTGGTACAATTCTTTATATCTTCTTATGTCCATATCATATGGTATAGAAAATGTGGGATAAAAATGTGGTAAGTGTAGGATTACTCTTTTAAAATTTGGCTGTCCACTTACATTCATTTCTTTGGCTGCCAGTGCCAACCCTACCAAAATTGCCACTTCTTTTTCCTTTATTTTCTTTCATGCTCTCTCTTTTTCTGTATATCTTTTGTTTTCGTGGTACAATTCTTTATATCTTCTTTATTAGCTTCTTGGTGCGGCAACTCCTTTTTCTGTATATCTTTCTTTCCCGCTCTCTCTTTCTCTGTTTCCCTTTCTTTTATTTCTTTGGCTGCTGTACTTTTCTTCTTTTTCCTTTTCTTCCCCGCCAAGAAATAACCTATAATTTTGTCGTGTGTAATCCCCCTCTCCCTCTCTAACGACTACCAAAAAAGAAAAAGAAAATAGAGAACCTACAATTTTTTCCTTTCTCCAATGGGCGACATACATCAATAAAGAGAGAGTGAACAAAACAATATAATATCAGTAAGAACGGGCGTGCTTGTCATTTTTGTGTTGTATTCATGTCACTCGGTTTTTTTAACGTGTTGACACGACACGACCTGTTTAAGTTAATAGGTGAAAATACCTTATAATGAACACAACATGTTAAATAACAAATGACATGGCACAACCCATTTCCCCTGTAAAAAAAAAAAAAAAAAAAAAAGTAAAAAGTAAACTAAACAAAATAATAATAATAACATACATAACCAACTACCCCAACCCCCTCTCTCTCTCTCTCTCTCTCTCCTTCCCTCTCTAAAAAAAATTTATATGAACTCAAATTCATGATTGTAACATAAAAATAACAAACAATATGTAATGTCATAAAAAAACCTTAAGGACAAAATGTGATAAATTTGCGAAATTGAGGGACCATTTGTAAAA